CATATTCTACTGTAGTCATTATTGTCTTTTCTACACCTGCTCTCCAGGGCTTTGCCCTTCCAAGGTTTTTCTATTTTTCCCTTATACCCGTTCTTTCATATGAGGTTTCCTTTTTTTCCCTCAAACATCCAAACGACAACTCTTTCGTTTAGTCATAGTACTCTACTCCACGTCGTTTTGTCAGTTAGTAAGAAGCACACACAATTACTAGCATAGATACACTACTTCTAGCCCTAATCTTAAGCCCGGCTTACAGCCTCTCCCCCCGTGGAGGGTTATGTGCTATAATCACGTGTATCATTAGGACGAAGAGTACAGTCGAAAGTGGTTTTTATGATCATTTTGATAGTGAAATTGATCAGAAAAAGTAATTGGAACATTTGAATTGACCTCCACAAAAACACTACTGTAAAGCGACGAAAGTATATAGCGCACGTGACGGTCACGCAGTCACACCCCATCTTTGGAGAAAAACGAATAGAGAGAAAAAAAGAATCACTGTTGCTTGGCGGCATCCGTCTGCAACTCCTCGTCTCTCAGGGCTACGCAAGCATGCACCAACTGCTTCACCATCTTTCCTACGCTCTGCGCTTTTCCCGACCCTCCTTGTGCACTCTGTCGGACATGCTTGAGACCATCGACGGTGAGAAAATCGCTATTCCCCGCTGGGTGCTTCAGCGTATGAGCGGCCGTATCGAGATCAGTGTCTGCAAGCGGCGAGCTTTCAGATCCGTCGTGATTTGTGGAACCACTTCCACCTCTGTGAGTGTTGCCTTGTCCCTTTCCATTTGCGTCGCCCTGGTGTGGCTCCTCCTCAAACAACTCGCCCTTGTCCTCCACCGTCCTGAAAGATAAGACGTTGCCCTGCCGAACCTCAGCGATGAGATGTTCGAAATATGCCCGCTCCCTCTCTGCATATTGTTCGTAATGAGTGCTCTGGAGCCTTTCCGGCTGTTCGCCTCTGGTTGCCTGTCGTCGTTGTAGTTCTTCGCGCATTGCTGTTGGAAGGACGGGGGTTTTGGCGAAGCAGTTACGTAGCGTGGAGGGCTTGGTTTGACTCCACGCGTGCGGAATCAATGTCCATGCGCGCCCATTAGAGATACTTCTCGTTCTATCGAAGGTTCGAGCGTAATATGTCTCGAAGCCAAGCATATCCAAGAAGGCCCTTTTGAATGCACTGATGACCCCGGCGTCTAGAGGTTGAGTAACAGATGTTGAGTGTGCAGGAAGCCGCTGTATGCGAAGATGTTTCCACTGAACCCCTTGTTTAGCATCGCGCATATCGACGTTGTTGTGTGATCCGGCAGAATCCAGAAGAAGAAGAGTCGGTTGTGAAAGCTCGTCATCCAACAGTTGTAGCCACCGTACAAAGACTTCGCGGGTCATCCATCCTGAGCTCGTTCTTTCTACGACCATCTCCGCGGTTGCCTCGTTGCTAATACCACTTGTGAAGTGTTCAGCTAAGGAAAGTCAAGCAGCCGTAAGGTTAGCATATCGAGCAGAAAATAGAAAACAAAACAGATCGACTTTGTTAAGTATTACCGAGAATCAAAGGTTTCAATGCACGCATTGTCTTGGCCTTAGTGAGGGATGTGCCTGAGGCGTTAATACAAAACAAAATGGACACTCTGCACTCCCTGAAAGCTTTGGCACCAGACCTAGAAAGCGGTGTGGTGTAAGACTTGGTGTCCAACTCCTTCAGGTACATTCCGGTCTCGTCGCAGTTGAAAATGTTGTCGGGAGTGTACTGAGCGCAAAGCTGGCGGATCTTGACGAGCTGGGGTTCGATCGCATCCAAATCCACTGATCCAGCCTCCCATGAAGCTGACAATACGACAAAGCATTCCGTTTCTTGAGCGAGTCAAACCAGTAGGCCGAAAATGATAGAGGTGCCTCGGAAACCGTACCTCCCGATTCATCCTCCAGGTCGCAAAGAACCATACATGCGGTACGTCCAGCCTCCTTCAGCATTTTTCCATGCACAGGAACGTTCGACTGTCGTCGATCTTGTAACCAGTGAAGGAGGACCTGCTCGACCAGCAGGTGCTTGCGGCTGACGATGTAATGAGCGCCAGGATGGGACGACTTCGCTGCAGTGCGTATCTTTAGTTCCCGCTTGAGCATCGCATGAAGGGTAGGCTGTTTAAGGTCGACTCCTATCGCCGGTCCAAAGGAATGCTGTGAAAACTTGAACGGGAGGTTCTCCTTCCTGTCGCATATTTGCCTGTCTCGGGGGTGTCAGCTAATGTAATTAGGCTAGAGACAGTAATTTAGTCATATGACCAGACACCGACATAAATGGAGGTGTCTGGGCTGTTAACAAAGATCCCTCTCTTGTCTTATCAATTCGATTGTGCGTGACTAGCGTAAAAATTTTCACTTCCGATTGTCGAGATAGTGATAAATGTCCAACAGTTCGACTTGGGTTTCCAGGGTGTGGGAGACTCTTGTCATCGGGACCTCATACTCGCTGGCGGTAGGAAACGTATGGAGAGCGCTCATATCATTACTCCTGGCACTTGTCAAAAGGTCAAGGTACCGGAGATGGCGAATAGTCTGTATTTCATCAAGCTGTTTTTTTGTGTATGTTTTTTCCTTCTTGGATACCAGCATAGTAGGAACAGGTTTATGTTTCTTAACTCGCACCTTCGCCTTCTCCGCAAAGTACTGGGGTCTTTTGTTGGAGTTGTTTGTTGACATGACGTTGAGGAGTGGGTTAATGAACGTATGCATGCTGGAATTGTTCTCTATTCGTTTTTCTCCAAAGATGGGGTGTGACTGCGTGACCGTCACGTGCGCTATATACTTTCGTCGCTTTACAGTAGTGTTTTTGTGGAGGTCAATTCAAATGTTCCAATTACTTTTTCTGATCAATTTCACTATCAAAATGATCATAAAAACCACTTTCGACTGTACTCTTGTATAAACCTGGTAATCTGGGGCCAAATGTGGCAATTTGAATGATGTCTTTGAATAGAATGATGTAATTAGGGCGCCCTAGATGTTATTATAATTTGAATGGTTCACTTGGTATGATGTATTTATAAGTCGAATGATTCGAATGGTTCGAATAATTCAAATTCGAATAGGTTCAAATGGTTCGAATGGTTCAAATAATTCAAATTCGAATAGGTTCGAATGGTTCGAATGGTTCGAATAATTCGAATTCGATTAGGTTCGAATGGTTCGAATAGGTTCGATTGGTTCGAATAATTCGAATTTGAATAGGTTCGAATGGTTCGAATGGTTCGAATAATTCGATTGATTTTATTCGAATCCAATCGAATCGAATTCGAATTAATACTTCTATTCGGATTCGAATAGAATTCGAACTTACTTTATTCGAACCGAATTCGAATCTGGCAAAATTCGATTCGAATGATTCGATTAGAAGCCCTAATCCCGGGGCTAATTGCAAAGATGGATGATAAGCATTTAAAAAAAAAAGGATGAATTCAAATAAAGATGGAGCACTTTTGTGGAGCACTTTAGTTCATGGCAGGACACCTATGGAAGAGTCCTGCCTCAGTACCTAGCGGCCCCTTCATGTGCAGAGGATATAAAAAGGCATATAAAAAATATCCAAAGCCCAAGGAACGGAGTGTTTACTTCCATAACTGACATATCTCTTCATAGTGGGCAACAGAACACAGAATAAAATAGCAATAGACAGCACAAGAATTTTTAAAATGTAATCTCTCCCCTGTATTTCGCCCCAAAGATACAGTTGAGAGTACAAGTGCTTTAGATGATGACATACAAGAACTACTCTGGCGAATCTTGCAGTGAGGGTTACAGGTTAATAGTAGATGGACATATTCAAGAGTGTGGTGTGCGAAAAATAAGAAGACTTTGTTGTTTGGAGAATAGGTTGGTGTTTAGTAGGATAGTTAAACAAAAAATGTTACAATGGTTGTCTTATATGCTTGGTATCATATATACATTCTCATCCCATAGTCGCTATGGATATTGTCGAGATCTACAGAGATGTAACAAACACCATATGATAACTTGGACGTGAAAGGCCTCCCTAATAAACAACAACAGCAATTCTTTGTCTCCTTGACTCTGACAATCCACCGTATGTTTCAATGTCCAACCCCCCAAAAAAAAAAAAAAAAAAGGACCATCCAAGTTTCCAGCCTTTGGTGTTGTTAATCACACAGCATGCATAGCGCATAAGGAAAAGAAAAGGGGTATGGGAGCGCGCAAGCGAAGGTAAGGGGGGGGAAGGAATGCACATATTATTGCGCTTGCCTAAAGGAAATACTCGGAAACGTGCCAGGCGCCGGTCACGAAAGGAAAAAAATGAAAAAGAGGCATTCACAGAGCATCAACAAACAAAAAGGGGGCATGGGAACGTGCCAGGGCATCAGTAGTGAATGAAATAAATGCCCAAAGGAGCGGGTGAGGAAATAGGAACGTACGCATAGAGCATGAACAAAGAAAAGGGGTATAGGTGCAGTGGCGAAAGAAAAAAGTATGTATGCACAGCGCATGAACAGGGAAGAGGAGTATGAGAACGTAGGTAGACTAGCGAAAAAAATAAATATGCACGGTGCATAAATAAGGAAAAGGGTCATGGGATCGTACGAGAAAGTAGAAGTGGAAAATCAAATCCAGAGTCAAACAGTGAGGATGAAGCGGTATAAAAAGAGTATAGGTTCTAGCAACCTGCACAATCACTTAAACAACATTTTTCAAGATATCATACAATATAACGACACTCACCATAGCCCTTTCTCAAGAACCGCTCACGAACCTTCCACAAGAACTCCACACGGACCGTCACAACAACATCTCACAGAAACCTTGCAAGAACCCTCGAAGGTAACCTCACGATAATGTTCATGTAAAACAGTAGGAACTGGACGGCTTTTGAAAAGATACACGTGCGCGTTCATCGCACTTAGGGATCGATCACCCACACCCTTCCTAAGCATACCTTCCCGGCTCTTCCCCCTAGCTCCACTCCCACCGATTAACGCAGCGTGCTCTCCATGTCGCCCCGCGCCTCGAACGCTCGCCTTGAGCAACTCAACTTCTCCCTCGGTGACGTCCTTACGCGTCTTACCGCCGCTTCTGAGAAGATGAAAACTGGTTACGCCTCTGTCCAAGCCGGCGGCGGCATCAACCACCAATACTGGACTTCCGGTGGGCCCGCGATCATGACCGCTCTCCCGGAGATTGAAGCTTGCCTCAAGGCCGTCACCCGCATCTCACAATCCCTTACATCTCTAGCCGATGACTTCCACCATCACCCCGCCCCTACCCCTTCGCCTAGCTACCCTGCGCTCATATCCCTGATCTCAGCTCAGACTCGCCTCCAAGATCGTGACCCAACGCTCACCAACGTCGCCCGCAGCCTCGATGAAGTCATCAGCGCAATACTAACGCTGAACTTCGCGGACGCCACTTCTAAATCCCCTACCAACCGCCCGTCTCCCCACCCGAACCTTATGAACTTCACGTCCCTAACGGGTAGTGCCCACCCACCACTCGATGAGGCCTCCGATAGGGAAGACTAGCTCCCTTACCCTCCCAAATACTAAAGAGAAATCAGTCGCATTATTTTGCAAAACAATTTCACGAATAAAAAGCCACCCAAGTGGCAGAAAAAGTGGAAAAAAACCTCCCATGTGGTCCCCCACCATAGCCATCGACTGCGCAGATCGGAGGATGCGGTAGGTTTAGTCAAGAATGGCCGTAGGCGTACACGGCACACGGAAATGGGTTTTAAAACATCCAACTCTCTGTCAACGAACTGTGTACCATTCGAGTTGACGTAAACGATTCGAATTTGCAAGAGAGATACAATATAAATAGGCACCAAGCAAGATGCGATTTTTTAAAAATTGGTATCTTATCTGCGTTTCACGGCAAATATGCAATAGAGTAAGAACAAGTTTTGGACTATCATCGTTGTTACTCAGGGGAGGGGGTCGAAGGCCAGAGTTGTAGGACCGCTGTAATGTCCTCAATTGGTACGGGGGAAGGGGTTGTAGGTTGCATCGATTGGTATAAGAATGGACATGATTGGGGTTCTGGTTCAATGAAATATTGGCATCAAAGTCTTTGTCAATTATCCCATCGATTGTTTCTGGTCGAGATCTCGACCAGATTTTTCGAATTTTTTGACTAGAGTACTCTTAAACGGGCTTGGAGACCCCCTTCAGTGACGCAAAAAAAGGATTTACCACTCAAAATTACGTTAGGGAAGGTGGTTTACCGTTCGACCGCTGTTTGTTTTCTTGGTCAAAAACGATTGCATTGATTCCCTCTCATCCATTCAACCATCACTCACTCAATCTCTGTCCCCCACTTTCTACTTCGCCCAACCTCCCAACCCTCCATGCCCCGTACCCGTAGTCTTATTGTGGAGGAGGTGCAAGAACCTGTTGAAGAGGCTCCAAACCCTGTTGAGGAGGCTCCAGAACCTGTAGAAGAGAACGAAGAGGACACCAACAATATGATGGAGGTTTCTAAAGGACCCAGAATACAGGATACGTATGTCGACGTCGTTCAAGTGTGGGTTCTGTAATGTGCGCCTCTGCCTCCTCTCATGTAATTGCTACAGAGAATATCATGCGATTCCTGTTCACCATCCATAATTATCCTCTTATCCCGTCCCCCTTTCCAACCACAATGCAAGATACCCATATATAAGAAGAATAAATAAATAGATACAAAAGACCCTAGACCTGGTCCCTTGGTGCCTGGGACTTTCCCAAAGTGGTTGAGTTTTTGCATAGTTATCATATGACGTTACACGTGATTTATGCCCAGAAAAATGTGGTCGATTTCTCGACCAGAAACCCTGACAATCGAAAGGATAGGACCATTAGATGGTCAAAAAAGTTAAATTTGGTCGAAGAAAGCAGGAGTATGAAGGTGGTAGGCCATGGCAACAATAGTTAGGATGGCTTCAGAGAGTCTTGAAGTGATTGCGAGCAGTTTGAGAAAAAAAAGTAGAGAAACTGTTTTTGCACAAAGACCATGTCACCTTCTTCATGCTAAACCCATGTAAAATTTTAGGACCCTGTGAGAATAAGACTTCACAGGGCTGTGAGAATAACTTCATCCAAAAAAAAAAAAAAAAAAAAAACCTTTCCCAAGACTAGACCGGGGTGGAGATGGACGGGAGGTGAGGGGAGGAAGAGAGGCTATGCGAAGGCAAATGGGACAAAGGGTTCAAGGTGGGAAAAGGTGTATATTCAAGTTACTAGGGAAAGAGCTAAACTGGAATGGGGGTCGAGGTCTATTTATGCTATTGCTGAGGGACTGTGCTGTGCTCGTCAATGAAGGTTGTTTGTGTGGAGAAGTGTGGAGAAGTGCGGCAGTGCACCTCGATCAGGAAAGTGTCTCGCCCATTTTGCTTGACTTGTTGCCTCTGAGATAAAGCGGCGTGCACAATGTGACAATGGTGGCAACAAAGGGTTGTTGGATGCGACACAAGAGCAGGAACAGGATTTGAGGGCAAAGACGAGAGGGGAGGATCAAGCAAAGACGTTGTGTAATAAGAACCCTTAAATGGAAAATGGAGAACAATCTCTCCATGTAGACATTAGAACATGTTCCTTCGCTTGCTAGGTGTAATCTTGGATGGTCGGCCCCAATCTGGCTGGACGCCTTCTTCATCATACTGGACCCTGGGAGGCGTTCCCGGCAGCGGATTGGTATCGATTGTATCCAAAAACATCTACAGATAATATTCAATTAGAAAACGCTCATCGCTCCTAGACAGCTCACCAACCAACGCCACGTGCATGTTTACATCACCATACCTCAAATGCGTTGAGCAGTCGAATACACGATGCCAGGCCAGAATCCTGTTGATCGCGAGGGAGGTATGCCACGCAGGAGAGCGACCAGTGGTACAGTCCATTGACATATTCCATGGTGTACAGACTAAGGCGGTGTTCTTCGGTAACAGAGAAAGTGACCAAGGAAATAACAGATCCCAGTTAGGTAGTGAAAACATGGCCAAGGCGTGCAGATCATGTTTGTGACAATCACTTACTGAACAATTGGACTGCTGCCACTTTGGCAATTCGAGTGCCTCGTTGAAGAAAGTCGTCGATGGCATCTTTAGAGAAGTTCGCCAGGTTCCAGTAATCCTGCAGGTACTCCCTTGCAGTATGACTACTGCCTGGGGGTTTTACCTCCAGAAAGCCGATCTGTTTGCCATTGCGAATGAGCGCAGCATCAGGTCTGTATCCATGACCACGCCGTTTTTTTGATCCATGAGCCTCACCATTGGCCCAGTCAATACAGAACTTTCTGGAGCGCGCGGGAAACTGGTAGGCAAATAGGGCATCGATTGTTTGGTGGCAATATGTGTCCTCTAGGCCATTGTCAAATAGGTCAAAGCCCAGAGGAAGTTTCAGGGCCCTACAAATGTGCGCATATGTTAATCTCTTGCAGCTATATCATCATCATTCCTCGTTCCAAGAATACCTATGCGACTTACACCATTTGATAAAGCACAACGATGCGTCGCAAGTCGGGCTCCTCTGTGTCGTCATGAATATTGTCACCAAGTGCAAGTTGTTGATCCAACCTTCCACAGAGCTCTACAGTTGGTTTGTCGAGGCGAGAACTGTTCCAAACAAATCTTTCACGGATATCCTCTAGCATCTGTGTGGGAAAGCCCTCGAGTTCCTCAGTCGTGGTCAGAATATAGTTCATGGACCTAAAAATTCAAATGCAAGTAGAGTGGGCATTAGCACCCTGCCTGACAATATCTTCTGGAGTCGATAGGTCAAGATCAGTCATATACTTACATGAAGTGGGAGATGTTTTTAAGGCTGACCGAGATATCTAAGTTGTTGACAGTTTTGGAGGCAGCAACCTGATATCGATGGAAGATCTGGCCCACATTGTGCTCGTTGAGAATGTATTGGTGGACAAGAAAGGAGGCAGGATTCACGTGCAGCTTCACCTCCAGGCCATCACCCAACGACAGGCTTGACCTACGGCCTCTGTCATATTTTGGAGGTGGTAGAGTGGACGAATACGAGGACGTGGGTGAGGGTGTGAGCGACTGATACGACAGCTCAGAGTCAGAATCGAGGGTGGATGGCGCTTCTATTGCAAACGGTCGAAACATAATAAGAGAGGTGGAGGGGTAAGCACATGTCAGCTCCACGTGGACCCCGTCAGTGCATGGAATACCTCAAGTAATATATCTACCAGCAGTTTTTTTCCGTGTCTTGTCTCTTGCTTGGTATTCATTGTCCGTATCGGCGTTCTTGCGCTTCGCATCTTGTAGAGATTGAGCATGGAAATGTCAGCATTTATGCTCAAGACTATGCATTTTACTGCTTCCCATTCCTTCGTTGGCAACTGTAAATCGGGTTTACCTGCGGGATGCAGGGACATCGGCTGTGTACTATCGAGTTCGCCAGCTATCAAACAAAGCAAATCATCGGTGAGCGATCGCATGCCTTATAAAGTGTTGTGCCATAACTGTTGGTTGACGAGACTGGATAGATATCTGCCGCGTGGATACCTGCTGTTGACGCCGACGTGGAAGACAAAAAGCTTGGCGCTATTATACGTACAAGAAAATGTAACAGTTTTATTCTTCAGTGTTATACTGCACCAACAAAGTGGAGCTGGCTGTGACAACACAAAATCGAAAGGACAACATCAACCACTTACCATTTCCAGTACCAAGGTTGCTGGCAACCTTCAAAAACATGTTTCGCATGCCTTGATTTGCATTTTTTTCTGCGAATCCATCGGTCAACTCTGCAAACGTGTTCACAAAAACATCATGTATGAAATGCGTCACCAGACCTGCTGCAACCTTGCGGAGAGCTGCAGGGACGTCAACAGTAGTGCTGATGCGCTCCAAGTCAGTCTTGTAGATATTTGCGTGGTCTTCCGTGGAGATGTTGGGATCACGATACATGTGGAATGCTTTCAAGTGATGCCAATTGCGGTAGTCCACCAAATGAAAAAAACGATGAACACGGACGTGGTTTACATCAACAGTTCTCGGAGTTGTAGTCGCTGGCTGGGATTCAATAGTGGACCGGGTTGTTCGCTGGGTTGGGGTCAATCGAGTCGATCTGTGCGCAGGCCGCGACCTTTTGGGTGCAGGCTGTGACGATTCACGAGCTTTCTTTCCGGAAGACATATCTCCATCAAGACAAGTGTTGTAGGGATTTTGGTACAAGCAATAAATGTTAGAAATATTCTTTACCACGGTTCTAGGGTAACCCAACGAAAACTTCGCGAAACAAAAAAAAGTGTAAAGCTCCATAATCACTGCAGCAAGTGGACGGGTCTTTTTCAGAACAGCGCCAAAAGCCCGTGATTACTTTCATGTTCCTGGTTGGGCATCAACCATGGGAGCAAAGAAAAGCAATGCACAGCCCAGCAAACCTTCCCAGCCTTGAGGTTATTGTATAAAGCGTCTTGGCTGAGGTCATCTCTGTCCGCCAAGGCACACAGAGGGAACGCAGGTCGCCGGGCAAGAAAAAAAAACGTGTAAAGCTCCATAATCACTGCAGCAAGTGGACGGGTCTTTTTCAGAACAGCGCCAAAAGCCCGTGATTACTTTCATGTTCCTGGTTGGGCATCAACCATGGGAGCAAAGAAAAGCAATGCACAGCCCAGCAAACCTTCCCAGCCTTGAGGTTATTGTATAAAGCGTCTTGGCTGAGGTCATCTCTGTCCGCCAAGGCACACAGAGGGAACGCAGGTCGCCGGGCAAGAAAAAAAAACGTGTAAAGCTCCATAATCACTGCAGCAAGTGGACGGGTCTTTTTCAGAACAGCGCCAAAAGCCCGTGATTACTTTCATGTTCCTGGTTGGGCATCAACCATGGGAGCAAAGAAAAGCAATGCACAGCCCAGCAAACCTTCCCAGCCTTGAGGTTATTGTATAAAGCGTCTTGGCTGAGGTCATCTCTGTCCGCCAAGGCACACAGAGGGAACGCAGGTCGCCGGGCAAGAAAAAAAAACGTGTAAAGCTCCATAATCACTGCAGCAAGTGGACGGGTCTTTTTCAGAACAGCGCCAAAAGCCCGTGATTACTTTCATGTTCCTGGTTGGGCATCAACCATGGGAGCAAAGAAAAGCAATGCACAGCCCAGCAAACCTTCCCAGCCTTGAGGTTATTGTATAAAGCGTCTTAGCTGAGGTCATCTCTGTCCGCCAAGGCAAACAGAGAAACACAGGTCGCTGAGCGAACAACGAAAATGTGGATGATCAACGGGAGATTTCTTTTCACTTACTGTTTCGCAATGTAGCAAGATGGAACGGGAAAGAGATGAGAGGACACACAGGGTTGACTTATGAGAGAAAAGGGCAAGAGACATGGCCACAAGAGTAGTGGAAAAGGTTCAGGACTATGGGCGCGAGAGTTACGTCACCGAAGTGAGTAAATCGCACGCCCTCCAAAGGGCCGATCCGAAGGCCAGATATTGCAGAATAGTCTTTTTTCTTTGCTATCTCTCTAAAAAAATAACGATTCTATAAATCACGTGAGGGCGCAGCCCGAACTAAAAAAATGTGAGGGCCGTGGCCCTCACCAGTATCTTGCGCGTAGCGCCAGCGCGAAGCGCCTGTGTCTTGCGCGAAGCGCCAGTATTTTGTGAGCGAAGCGAGCGATGGTCACGGGCAAGGCCATCAAGAGTATCTTGCGCGAAGCGCGCCAGTATCCTGTGAGCGCAGCGAGCGTACGGGCACGGGCTAAGAGGATATGAGGGCGTAGCCCGAATCAAGGGGCTTTGAAGAGGATGTGAGCGCAGCGAGCAATGGTCACGGGCGCGCGCCCTGGCGCGACAATCGAAAGTATCTTGCGCGAAGCGCCAGTATGTTGTGACCGCACGGGTACGAAAGGGAGAAGATCATGTGAGGGCGTAGCCCGAACCAGAGGACCTTTTTTGCGCCAAGCGCCCGTACTTTGTGAGCGAAGCGAGCAATGGTCACGGGCAAGGCCATCAAGAGTATCTTGCGCAAAGCGCGCCAGTATCCTGTGAGCGCAGCGAGCGTACAGGCACGGGCTAAGAGGATATGAGGATATGAGGGCGTAGCCCAAATCAAGGGGTTTTGAAGAGGATGTGAGGGCGTAGCCCGAACCAGAGAAACTTTCTTGCGCAAAGCCCCAATATTTAGTAAGGGCAAAGCTGTAGCTGTCAGATACCTGTTGCCGCCTGCGGCAAAAGGAAGCGACCGCTGGAGCGTGGCCGTCTGGGCCATCTAGCGCGAAGCACCAGTGTGCTGTGAACGAGCCTTTTTGCAAGCCTACTAAAAAGCAAGAAATCCTCTGGCGTGATGTAGAGCAAAGGGTAGTCAAGGATATCTTGAATATACTGCGAGTGAGGGTGATCCGAGAGAATAATGAATACAAACAAGGCCAGGGGGATGGCTCCCCAGCTACTAAGATGACTATCTAATAAGGGAGGTCAGCTGGGCCCAGCTGGGACCAGGGATATTATTCTTTATGGCTCAACAGGAAACTCGACAGGTAAGAGCTCTACATTCCCCAAGCGTGCCATTGGCCACAGGTAGTTGTGAAAAATTTACAGTCACACTACACTTGAAAAAGGAAAAAGGTAATAGGCAAGTGGCACCCGTATCTTTAAACGAGTCTTCTTCAAAGACCCTTCAAACACCCTTCAAAGACCCACACCTCTCACCCCAGATCCCCTTACAGCAACTTCCGGCACCCGTGGCATCGCCCACGGGCAACCTTTCTAGTTCTAGTCTAATATTACAAAATCGTTGCGTGTCACCTGATTTAGTAGTTCACAGTCACAGTCGTCCACCATCATGTGATGTTCTTTTCCTTGCCTTTTGTGTGTGAGCGAGGTGAATGTGAGTGAGTGAGGTGTGTGTGAGTGGGGGGTGTGTGTATGGCGTGTGTATGTGTATGTGTCGTGATTCTGATAATGTGCGTTTTTTTTTTTTTTTATTAGTTTAGAGTTAATTGAGAATGAGAGCCATATCAGTTAAGCACGTCAAGAATGAGAAAATGAAGAATGGAAAATTAAAATGCTCATGGATCAGGTAGAAAAGTAGAGCCAATGCTTATTCTTTCTCTTTTAATTCCTCTTTTGCAAACAACCCATCAACCTCAACCCATGTTTGCTTTTCCTTTTCTTTCTTTATTTCTCACCATCCATCTGCTTTTCATCACACCTGTCATTAGCCAGCATGCCTCCCTCTCGCTCTCGCCGTGGTACTCTTACTTCCACCTCCACCTCCGAAGTCTCTCCTTCTGCGACCTTTACAGGATACAGACGGACCAAGGCGACCAACTCAACAAGGTCGATCTACTGCTACCGCGCCCTCTACTTCCTCCACTCTGCACTCCCTTTCCACCAAATGTACCACCACTATCACCGCCAAATTCAATGCCATCACCCCTTACTCTTCCTCCTCATTCCTCCTCCTCTTCTTCTTCCTCCTCTTATTTTTTCCCCTCTTTTCTCTCTTTTCCCTCCTCTTCCTCCTTCATCAGTAGGTGTGCCAAGTATCGTGGACGTGGAACCGGTCTCCAAAGGTCGACAAGCTGTTACTGCCCCTACTATAAATGAAAACAAACAGTAATTTTAGGGCAAACAGACCACAATTGCTCGGATTGCCGCCTCTTTGCAGCACAACTCCTAATTTATAATGGCGACAACTGCGAAACAAGCTTTGATACTATTTCAGACGAGGATGCTTACGCCGCAATTGCTGACGTGGTTCAATAGTTTGAGACTACAAGTTAGACAACGGTTCAGTAGGAGGGTGAAGGGGGTGAAGATGGGCCATCGATCAGGCGGCGGAGGCATTGGTACCGGGAGAATGCTTCCAGCCTAAGGCCTACCATTCCGGCCCATTTAGGTAACATAAGCGACAACGACGACCTGCTGATGGATTTTTTTGTTTAAATTGAACCTTCCCATAGGAAGGCTCAGTAAGGAGAGAACAGCCCCAGTGGTGCAACAAGCCACCAGGGTTTTTTTATTTCTAAAGACGGTACTTGAGAAAGAAATGTGTAGGGGGCAGCGGCAAGACTCTGAATTTGAGGGAAGACTTTGTGCTGTAGAAGAGGGGGGAGCCCTCAACTCTTTGAGTGTAAGATGAGGAGATCATGCGCCAAGCCAAACGCTCTCCTAGGACTCGAACCCAGGACCTCAAAATTGCGTGGAGGACGCTTTACTACTACGCCAAACGGGATCCCAAGCCCTCGCCTGCTGAAGGAGAACAGCCGGCTGACACAGGTTGTCCCAGTCACGCATGATTGTAGCAGCCACGCATGGTTCCAGCCCGGCGCCAACCATTCCGACCCATTAGGTAACATGAGCGAGCTATTGCCATCGCATTGCATGGTGCTCCTCAGTCCTCTGCTATGATATGTAATACTTGCAGAGAACTCCATCACCATTGTTTACAACTCATCCGGATTGCCTTATGAGCAGACAGCGCATGATCGTTGCAGAATCTCTTGCTCCTACTCCTTCCACGATCCTTGCTGCTTCCGTTGCTCCTGTTGCTCCTGCTGATCTAAGTGTTTTTGGAAATAGAATAGCTGTTAAGAATCAGGACAACACAGTGTACATGATCATAGGATCGATGAGCGTGGTATGCTCTCATTGTGTGCTTTACATTGGATAGAGGTAACCGTCTACGATATTACCTACAACTATTCTACATCCTCCTTTATTTTTATTGATACCCGATTTAATCACTTCTTTTGAAACCGCAGGAGTGTGTTGGACGTACAATCGCCAATCTACGCTTCTCTGCTGTCTAAGAGTCAAAACGCCGGTCATTAAGCTTCCCTTGATGAATTACAAAGCCTTTCAGAGGTGGTACCTTTTTCTCCGGGCTATTTCTTGCAACCATCCGGACCTTCAACAATGCCATTGCCTTTACGTCCTTTGGTACCAGCTCAAAGAACCGCGACATGCATTGACAGAGGGAAGCAAAAAGAAAAAAGGTATTGCAAGTGCGATAGAAGACTTTGAAAGGATGGAGATATGGCACGTACGTTGCAAGGGCGACGGTCGAATAGGGGAAGACCCAAGAAATAACAGCTCGAGAAGAAGGCGGGTTTGAGCAAGGGAGGGAAACCGACAGGGACAGGATTTGGCCCGCCAAGGCAACGAGTCGATTTGTCAAACAAAGTCTGAGTGAGGCGGACGAGAAGGTTGTACAACATTTACATGGTAAGATGGTATTGCATTTAAAGGAAAGAAAGGAGACTGCTGTATAATATCTTTGACCCGAGATCTCGACTCATCACACCTGACAGGTCGCGTTGGGGATGCGGGGGGCTGGCTCGGTGTTCGCCACTTCATGGCATTCATACGACCCAAGTTGTGTATCTATAGGCATTAGGGTTCACAGGGGTCCCGTCTGACACCTCCTTCCCGTGGCTGTGGCTTGGATTAGTCAGGCCTGGCACGCCGGCACGATTTGGGAAATCTGACGTTAAAAAAAAAAGGAAGGGAGGGCACAGCAAAAAAAAAAAGTGAAGGCAGAAAAAAAAATGAGAGAAAGAAATGAGGAACTGACAAACACAAATAAACTTTGCAATATTCAATCACCACCACCTTTTTATCAATTCACACTTGCTCCACACCTCCGCGAGCGAAACCGCGGGTACTATTCTAGTTTTTAATAAAGTAACTCTTTACCTTCCTCTTGCAATTAATGTGCTCAATAACGAGTCAACAACCACCTTCTTCCTCGTCTTTCCATTTCCCCCTACATTTTGACTGGACAAGTCCTCGGCGGAAAGATACACAGACAAACTAGAGGTATTCCTGAAGACCCCCTGCTTCTTCTCCTATCCCAAGCTGTTCATATTACAGCAAAATGGATGATGAGCATTTCAAAAAAATTGGATAATATCAGAAAGATATGGATCACTTTTGTGGAGCACTTTGGAAACTTTATGCGAACGAATGCGATAAAAGAAGTGGAATTAGCGTACGTGGCGGAAAAAGCATTGTAGGTGAAAGAGGCATAGTTTGAGAGCATGGCAAAGGTTATTCTACTCGCTGCCTTTTTGCAGGCTGGAAATCTTGGTACGGCAAGAATCCCATCTCCTCACCAAATTTCTTGGAGCCCATTGCAGGTACCTTTTCAACAAGATCGGCATACGAGCGGTAGGGCATGTTCTTGAGGACTTGGTCCACCTCCTTGTCTCCAAGCCTATGCTTCTTTTTCAGAGTCTCCTGAGTCGCGAAATTCCAGTTGAGTTCCTTTGAAACTGCAAGGGCCATAGGTACACTAAATGCGTTGCCGAAGAATTTGTTGAAAGTTCGTCGGTAGATCAAGAGACAGTCGTCGGGAAACGAACTCTCGAGCTTTCGAAGAGCGTCATCCGACATATCCGCGGTGGTGATAAGGACAGTGATGGCACGCGCTTGTTTGATTCCTTCCTGCTCCAAGATCGATCCATGTGGTATGCTCTCGATCGTCCTTGTGTTTTTGTTATGCTCGCTCTGGATGGTCGCGGCTGAGAGTAGACTCTCTAGCTTCTTTGCCTGTAGCGCACAAAGGATGTTGTCATCGTTGTCGTCTGCCTTCTCACGATAAACGCATACATCTCCGAACTGCGCACCATCTGCATTCTTGATCACAATGCCAGACCTCCAGTCCTGTTCTTGTTCACCAACCGTCAGTCTTCCCCACTCTGGGAATCGGTGCGCTGCCTCAACAATCGATAGCTCCTTGAGCTTGACAATACGGCCCAATGTCTCTGCTTGTCCAATGGCTCCTGGGTAGATGTCCCCGAGAGTCGCTGATTCGCGGCCATCACCGATAAGAAGGTTCGTGCGTAGCGCCTCGTACTCGGCGATCATGCCTTTGAAGAATCTCCATTCGCGGTCCGCAACCCAGTTGTACAAGAATGCGGATCCTAGGCGATTCCGGACTACACCGATGGCTATGTTGTAGAGGTGGAGGAAGAAGAAGGGGATTCGGACCAACACCAGTTCTTTGCCTTCATTTATCTCTTCCAGAATGGTATGTGTGTCGCGTTCTAGGACATCCAAGGTGAGTTCCGGAAAGAGCTTGGATGGGGCGAGCGTGCGCAGTGATGGTTGCTGTAAAATGTTGAGATGAACAAGCGCACGAACAAGTTCCTCATGTGTCTGGGCAAAGGCGGTGATAGAGTAATAGTTGTTGAGATTGTTTGCGACGTTCCTGAAAATTTGATCCGTGTTCATGTCGATGTGAAGCAGCGCATCTGGAAAAGTCTTACATTTCTCCACTCGATATCCGAAAAGCTCTTCCAGTAAGAGCTCTAGTGCTCGCGGAAGACCGTCGGTGGCCGATAGTAAGTAAAGAAACGCCATCTTTGGCATCCACTCGCAGTGGTGGACATTGGCGAGCGTGGTGAAATGGCTCATGGTGTCGTAGCATGCTCCCAGGGATAGTGTTGGACAGCTGAGGAACTTGAAGGTGTAAGACGTCGGTTGCGCTGCCATAGTCACTTCCCGCCGAGCGGTTCCCGAGAGAAAGGTCTGGATCATATGAGGCCTGAACGTACCGCTCATGAAGTCTCCTAGGGTGCGCATCATATCCTGGAACAGACAGAGGCCCTGCGGTGTGTGACACTCGGTTTTGTCCCCAGGCAGGCGAATCCCAGCTTGAGGTAGGGATGCACGGTGGCCGTTAGGCGTTCCCTTCCAGCGATGATCGAAAATCAGCTGAAATTCGTCAATGTGAAGGAAAAGGAACAATGGTCGTTGTTCATTTAGCTCCAAATCCTTGCAAATGGTGAGAATGACGTTGCTGACCGTAAAGAAATTAATGTGTTCGACAGCTTGATGGCGGAAATCTTCAAATGATGTGAAGTATTTGCCTTGGAAGAAATGATAATAGGCCAAACGCAAGGCAAGGATGGTTCCGGTATCAAGGCTGGCATCGGTCCGATTCAATTTAACGTCCTTGCTGAAGTCGAGCAGCATGTAGTAGAAGTGAGGAGCGTAATCGACGTCGTTGGCTTTGGCTTTTTCTGAGAGTCGAAGTCGCAAGGCTCTGTACAGCTCTCGTCCGTAACGCGTTTTCCCTAATGGATTATGGATTTGATCTGGAGTCATTAACACGTTTGATACCAAAAAGACTGTCAGGCGACTCTAAAGAAATGAGCATCCTTACCAATGCCGGCTGTTCCGCTGCACACAAGGAATGAGCTATTTGCCTTTGGGACTTGATTGTCTTCTCGCCAAGACATGCATGTTTGGACATTTTTCAGAACTGTATCGAGAGCCTTATCCATTGAACGTTCCTGCAAGGGCATAGTTCTGGATAACAGAGGTCGTGGATCTGATCTTCGGCCGCGAAGAATGAGGGTACTCTGTATTTGCTTGATGACGTCCATAATGCCTTTGAGTGGATAACGGTGACAAAAAGAGCAGAGTGTTAGAGACTTGAATTTACTTTTAGTAGAATACTGACGAATGGCAAATGTAAAAATCGGTTACCATTGGCGGGCGAGCCAGAACGAATAATATCCGACGGAGCAGTGGAGACACGAACAGGTACAGGCACAGGGACTATGTTAGTGCAACAGGACACGAGAATTAAGGTTAGCAAGAGGAACAAGCTCATGCGCAAGGTATGAATAAGAGCGAAGCGCGTTTGATTACCTGGCGGGGGTCGCTGGACGATGATGTGGACTGTCTCTTCAGGCAGCTCCTCAGGGAACACCTTTGAGAGACGCGTGGCCGGGCCAAGCTTGTACTTGTCGCTGGGGGGGACATCTTTGAGTAGGATGGGAGTGTCCTCGTTGTCTTTTGTGATTGGGATCGAGACGCTCCAAAGGATGAGATCCTCTGCTTCCAGATCCTTAAACCAGATAGGCTTGCTGAGATGAATGTAGCTTCTGAGTTGACCAAAAGTAGTCTCTCTCGATGGTATGACCAGTTCGAAGGCTCTCAACATGGGGTCACCGTCAACAATACACCACAGACTCTGGCTATTGTCGGCCATGGTATTGCGAAGAACCAAATGAAAAGAAGAGTGAAGCCAAGGGGTGAAAGAAAAAAAGAGGCGAAAGGATGAAAGAAAGTGTATGGTTGATGGAAAAGAAAGAAAGACAAGGGATTAAAAGGGAGTGGGAACGGTGGCAAATGCAGTGAAGGTGTGGAAATGGGCGTTGAGAAACAAACGGAGAGTAAATTCGAACAGTAGAAAAAGGTGGGGAAGAGACGATAAAAACGATGCAGGGAAGGTGGTCCAGTAATTAGGCTGAGTGTGGGAGTGACAGTGAAAGGAAGCGAGTGATTGTAAAGGCGATGACGAAAGCGTGGAAAGTGCTAAAGGGCGTGGGCATGAAACAGGATAATGGGCACGAGAATTACGTCACCGAATGAATAAATCGCACCGCCTTTGGAATACTCGAGGTCATGTAGCACCATGGGATCATTATACTTTGGCGGAGGCATTGATGAGCTCAACGACTCCAGCGGCTAGACAATGCCAACAGGCTCTACGGACCAATGATGTGGATTAGCTTACGCAGAAGCGCCATGTTCGCCTCTTTAATAAACAACATTCTCGACCTTTATGGACTGCAGCACGCACTTCAAAGATCTGGCTGACCCCAGATGTTCCGCTTTCCCCCACATCTTCCCTCCTCTTTTCACCTTCGCCTTTTTTTATCTCTTTTCTTTATTTCCTCTATTCTTTTCATGCTTCGCAATGCCATAACCAACAATTGTCTGATCCTTTTCCGTCTTGTTGATGGAGAGGAATTATCTCAAGCCTTCTCTATCAATGGCGACTTTGCTGCAGACAAGCTCGTCTTTTGGCTAGGGCATCTAATCGCATTCTGTTCGAATCCTTATGTTTACAAGAGGTTTGTGCGCATTCGAATCGAATCCGATTCGAAGGCGCTTCTCCATCCAAGTCTCGGCCAACAAGCACAAGCCGGTCGTCTTGAACGAGATTGATTCCTCGACCGAGCTTGACCCGACCGGACGACCTCTCTGATATCTTTCGGACCAACCATTGGTGTGGTGATGTAGATGGGGATCTTCTTTTTGAAGCTCTGAACCCAACCACCTCGTCAGTTTTTGCTGACGAGGGGCTGGGAGGGACAAAATCTCCCCCTTTACTATGGGGTCTCCCTTCCCGTCCTACTTCCTTGGACGAGATTCCTTTTTTGGAACGACGTGGCCTCAGACCTAGTTTTGAATCCTTTCATTTTACGTGGGATGGAATCTAACCCATTCCTTCCCACGTAAAGTGAAGGGCAGGGTTCGAGAGTACTACTCAGACCAACCTGCTCCTTGCTTCCTCTCCGCTCCTTCGCTCCTTCACGTCTTCCATAAAGTCATCTCTTACATTGAATCCACCCTGCTTCATTCTCAAGTTACGCGTCAACATGTCAAGTAAAAGACAGCTCAGGTACAAAATGCACATCTCAAGCACGTTTCCATTTCCTGGCACGCGTTCATCAGAAGCATCTGAGCATCCGAGCATCCGCTGTTCAGTTTGTCTCAACTCTTTCTCGCTCTCTTCTTCATCCTCCTGTACAAAAATAATAAAAAACGCTCGGGGTGGATTCTGCTATAGCAACATTCCGCCCTACAATGGGACTCCGGCCACGCCAAGTAAACGCACTTCCGGGGCTTCCAGGGTAAGACACAGTTTGATATAGTGCTCGGCGAGTCTTTGTTGTTGTGCTTGTCACGTTTTCTAACTTACTGGTTTCCGACACGGTATAGCTTCAAGGCATAGGCGAGTTCGGCGTCCTCAACTTTAACAAACCTGATACACAATCCCCAGGAGGTGCCAGCCAAGTGAGTGAATATCAGTTACTGGTATGAACGCGATGTTTTGTTTCCAAGCATATTTCTAATCGTTGGCGCTTGGCGCTTTGCATTTGCTCCGCATAGAATACTCCGAGAAAAACCGCTAATACTCTTCTTTCGTTGGGTGGAGCCCGTTCTCCTCTGGAAGGATCGACTTCCTCCTGGGTCTCCACGACATTCAACGCCGCAGAAGACGCCGCGAAGACGCCAACAGGCCCAAGTTTAGAGATACGCGAGTTTGTCCATACATCGCATGAGACGTTCGGTTCGCCAACACCTAAGAGCGTAAGAAGTCGATCCCATCCCCTCGCATTTAGACCAGGTCAAAGTGTATGGGCTTTGGACAGACATATAACCTGCTGTGTATACTCAGAATAGACGCGCAGTGCTTGGGCAGCTGAAAGTGAGCAAAAGTACCTCGGCGATCGAGGTAGGCGAGCCATGCGCATGATATTGTTAACTGCCAAGGTATATATTACCGCCAAGAAATATGTGCTAAAGTCCATGTCATCTCGGGTGCCAGATTCACCTTCAATAGGAAGCTACACAACTGGACTAAATGGGCAGACGCCAACCTCGACTCGCAAGAAGCCTGTAAGTAGATCAGTTTTACAAGTACACGCATTATGTCCGCATCGATTTCCTATCTAAATTTATTAAAATCTGAATATATTCCAGTCCACTATTCCGCAGAAACTACTTAGAGTTTTGAACTGCATCACGGATGAAAATATGACTCTTCCCACCTTTTTGGAAGAGTTGTTCAAGTCCAAAGATGAAGTTGTCAAACAGTGGACTGGGGTATTCCACGAAAGCAAGGGTGCCGAGCGAGTTCTCAAGATCTGGGACAGCACGCTGCAAGGCACCAAATGGGAAGAGGATTTTGTCAATAGTGCCGTCGATGTCGTCGTCAACCGAACTTTAAAGCATCTTAGAAACGACGAGATCAGAAAAGACTGGCGGCTACCACACACGAAGGTGACTGGGCAGAAGGTCGCAGGTTTTTTAGTCGACGATTTTCGCTTTCTTCATCGGTACGCCGAAGGCGCCAAGTATTTGACACGGTTCTTGAAAGGTCTCCTCGAGGAAGATATTTCTGATCAGAAGCTCTCGCGCAAGTCACGCAAGCGTCGCAGGGCTCAAAAGCCTACGTCTGTTCGGGGATGCATCGCGGCGATGCTGATATTCATGTCGTCGCAAAAGGTCAACGCCTTCCAGACCATCATGGGGCTCTTTCTTCATTGCACAGGATGTCCAAAGAGAGTACTCGAGGTCCTCTCTGGGCTCGGGCTTTCGATCTCCTACAGCCAAGTCCAGAATGGGCTGCGATCGTTGACCAAGGACGCTCGGGAGCAAGTCAAGGAAGCGGTGGAGAAGTTTGATTGGTACATCGTGTACGACAACCTCAACATCGCTAACAAGCACCACAACCAAAGGTCCGACAAACGCGATATTTTCGACAATGGTACCGCTGCCACCGTCATTCTCTTCCCCCCCGACAAGGACCAGCCTCCCACTGCACCACCTGCTCTCTTTCGCCCGGAGGATGAGAGGCCGAACCCCGTTGCTGCCTTGTTCCTTCCCAATAAATTCGACTGGGAGGTGTTTCGACAGGTCAGCCGATCGCACGTCTCCAATGCCATTGTGCGATCATCGCCGGAGGGATCCACTGCCGCTGCTATTCCAGCTATGCCTATCAAAAAGCTCAATGTCAACAAGACTGCTCTGTTCCCGCTGCAGACCATGAGGCTCGACGAATCGACCATTGCTGGCAATTTGGCGGTGTTGGAAAGAATCACGCAGGTCGGCCTTCAATTGCCGGAAAGCTGGTTTGCACATCCCAAAAACACCATCGTTGCCGGCGACCATATGACTGTGTCCAGGTTGCTAACTCTCAAGATTCACCGCATTGTCGATACTGATCCATACCACAGCCTTGCATGGGTACACCCGACCCTCCAACTCTTCCACCTTGGTATGAACCTGTGCGGCACCATCTTCAGGACACATTTTGGCTCCCCACTACTCCCAGGTTCTCTTGCCTCAATTATTATTTTGCTGGGCCGCAAGCGCTTGACCAAGGAGAAGCAGGAGTTTAAAGCCGCGGACGAGTTGCTGAGAATTGTCTTCGATGCGATGGTGCAGTCACTCTGCGAGTCCCTGCGGGAAGTTGGTGCATCAGACGAGCTTGATCTTCCGAGATTCACAGAAACCATCACCAACTCCTTCTGTGGTTTGCCTTCGCCGTCGCTCTTTGGTCTGCCCTGTACTACCGTCAACATCAACGCCCTTCTTTTCTTGCGCGATGTAGCGGTGCACATCGAGTTAACCGAGGCCGTCAAAGCCGGCGACATTGGTCGCATCAGTCACCTGCTGCCGATCATTACGTTGATGATGCATGGAGGAGGCAACACAAACTATGCGCTTGAACTGCTGCGTCTCCTCTATGGTATTCGCCATCTGTGGACGGATGAGTGGACGACAAGGGTCCTCTCTAGCATGCTTGTCAACCCCAAAGGCCTCGAAGGCGGATGGATGGCGACCGACATGCTTCAAGAGAATCATAACTATCTCATCAAGTCCATCTTTTCATCGAAAGGATCCAACATGACCTGGGAATATCTGAGGGATGCAATATCCACCAACATCAGAACTTTTCAGGACATTTCGTGGATGTTCGAGCGAGAGGTCGGAGTTGGCTCCAACAGCACCAAACACCAGAAACCATCCACTGCATCGGACATCTCCAAGATTCAGAGGTACTTCCGACACAGTGGCATTTTATGCAAGTCCGGCCAATGCGATCAAGGGGACCTGGTGGTCGATCTTCAGGGTCATGGTGGAGACAAGATGGCCTGGGGATCTATTGTACGATTTTTGGATAGGCACAGGCAGGAGGATGCGGTGGATTTAGAAGAGACGGAGGCACTCGAAAACGTTATTAATTAAATATATTTTGGTTTTGTTACTCTCTATGATAATTGAATGAGGAAGGAGGAAATAGACGAGGATGGATTTAGAGAAAGAATGGTAGAAAGAAGCGAGTGATTCCTCGGGTTGCGCCATGCGGACGAAATAAAGTGGACGACTGATACTTACAGAAAAACAATTTCAATCTGCGGGAGGCGGTCGCTCGCGGAGAGGCTGATCAATCACACGTGCGGCCTCCAATGGATCTGACTATGATTCCAGTAAGTCCTCCTCACCATCGCTTCCCTCCCTATCGCCGTCAGAGCCGTCCTCCAGCTGGTCTAGCGCAGATGCCGCCGTCGTCTGGCTACCTGATCCGCGGCGTGCATCGATCTCGTTGTTGAGCTTGTCAAGGACCTGCGCGACCTCGCCGCACGAATTCTCTGCAAGGGGAGCCCAATTGCAGGAGGAAGCGATGGCCTCGACCGCCGTAGCAGTTCTGGCCCCAGAGAATTTTTGCGACAGCTGTTTGGCCACATTATCCGGCAGGATCCACGTTTCTCTACCCACCCTGTAAGGTTGACTGCTCACCCATCTTTCGTACGCCTCCTTTCTCCACTCCTGGAGTCTCTTCAAGGCCGTATGTCTCTCTTCCTCCGAACGGCTCGGCCATCTCCTTCTGTTGCTCGGTCTGGTGTCATGGCAAATAGTGGTGGGAACGGGACGATCAACCTTGAAGCATCCAGAACAGCTGTTGTTGCAAGTACGAGCGTCATTCTCAAACAATTTGTCTATTGTTTTCCAAAGACACCCTCCTACTTGGTTCCTAAGGTACTCGCGCACGTTTTCGTCTGAGGGGGAAGTTTTGCCGATCGGTGGTGCATAGAGGATTCCAAAGCCTTGGATCTTGGGATCTCGTGCTGCTCGTGCAAATCGCTGAACCAAACTCGGTATATCCCTTGGAAAGCTACATGGTCCAAAAAAATGTCAAGACATATTAGATCAGGGCATTCGTTCCCTACTGATTGCTCTATTTTCATATTTTTTTGCGTATATCACTCACCCGTACTGAATAACTTGAATCACATCGGGTATGTCACAACCCATGCTTGCAGCTTCGGTAGCCAGCAGGACATGGATGCCACCCTCCAAAAACTTGCTCATGGTTGCCTCCTTGTATTGGGATGTTAAGGTGGAGAAGTAAACACCCAGCTTATCCCGTAGATCGGGTCTCTCGCTCGTTAGATATTTGAAGACATCCATGAGAAGAGAGATTTTTTCGAAGTAAATAATCGTCTTGTCTTTGCCTAACAGACGATTGAGACCCTTCTTGGCATCCTTGGGCTGCGTGTGAACCTCGAGACGAACATTTGTGGGAATCTCTCGCACACGAAGAACATTGGCTTTGGACAGGAAGAGTTTGTCCATAGTTTGAGTGAGCGCATCGGCAGTGAGTGTCGCGGTGACACCCACAAACGGAACTCCAGGCGACCAAATGCGAAGCTCACCGAGACGAGCATATTCCGGGCGAAATTTGTTGCCCCATTTTTCAACACAATGGACCTCGTCCACCACTATGGCAAGCAACAGGTTCCGCCAGCGCGTGTCTTGCCAAAGCCCTCGTACCAACCTCGAAGTAGGGCTGTCACCAAAAATGATCTCGGGCGACATAAAGACTGCTCTGAACTCGCCTTCACATATGCGTCTAATCGTATTGCCATTAATGGCATCAGAGTTGTCGCCGGAGAGAACGACGTAAGGTATTTGGGCCTTGTCCAGCTTCTGTACGATTGAGTGGCAAAGTACAAAGATAAAAGGCGGTTAAAAATGACACTGTTGTTTCTGGCTGTATGATACATGGAAGGGTCCACTTATGAACTACCTGCTGCTGATCATTCATCAAAGCTATCAGTGGCGAGATGACAGCAGTGATACTGCGAGGCCAGTATGCCATAGGAAGAAAGAATGCGAGTGTTTTACCCCAGCCGCAGGGAGCAATTAACACACAATCGGACTTTTGCGCTATGTGTTTCAACACCTCTAGTTGCTGCTCTTTTGGAGTACAGTTGAAAACTTCTCGGCAAAGGCTAATGGCTTTTGATCTGGAAAAAAGTTGGGGGCCCTAAAAGATGCACAGGATTACGCATGCAAAATGTTAACAAAAAGACTGAATAGCAAGGCAAAAGTGACTGAATCAATCTTCAAAAACACTTACCACATCGTCACTATCCTCGTTTTCTTTGTCTGGCAATGGTATAAGTCTCTCTAGCACAGCTTGTGATGGCGACGAAAGGAACTGCATAGGCGAGGGGATAGGCTGAGTCGGCGTTGCAACGGAGCGTATTGGCGTTGCTTCAGAATTTTTTGGCGAGATGGTAGGCTTGGTTGGTGACGTGTCTGGCGAGAAGTCAGAATCTTCAGATGAAGAGTCAATTCGTGCCGGCGATAAAACATCCCATGCATGAAATGAGAGAGCTTGTGCTGTCGACGATAATGATGTTGGGGAACCAGGAGACTGTCCAGGCGAGTTGGTAGACAGATTTGGAATAAATGCGGAGCGAATTCGGAATGGTGTCTCTTGACTTGGCTGAGAAGGTTGCGCGGGCGCCCAGAAAGGATTCGCGGCGTCTTCTGCGGCGTTGAATGTCGTGGAGACCCAGGAGGAAGTCGATCCTTCCAGAGGAGAACGGGCTCCACCCAACGAAAGAAGAGTATTAGCGGTTTTTCTCGGAGTATTCTATGCGGAGCAAATGCAAAGCGCCAAGCGCCAACGATTAGAAATATGCTTGGAAACAAAACATCGCGTTCATACCAGTAACTGATATTCACTCACTTGGCTGGCACCTCCTGGGGATTGTGTATCAGGTTTGTTAAAGTTGAGGACGCCAAACTCGCCTATGCCTTGAAGCTATACCGTGTCGGAAACCAGTAAGTTAGAAAACGTGACAAGCACAACAACAAAGACTCGCCGAGCACTATATCAAACTGTGTCTTACCCTGGAAGCCCCGGAAGTGCGTTTACTTGGCGTGGCCGGAGTCCCATTGTAGGGCGGAATGTTGCTATAGCAGAATCCACCCCGAGCGTTTTTTATTATTTTTGTACAGGAGGATGAAGAAGAGAGCGAGAAAGAGTTGAGACAAACTGAACAGCGGATGCTCGGATGCTCAGATGCTTCTGATGAACGCGTGCCAGGAAATGGAAACGTGCTTGAGATGTGCATTTTGTACCTGAGCTGTCTTTTACTTGACATGTTGACGCGTAACTTGAGAATGAAGCAGGGTGGATTCAATGTAAGAGATGACTTTATGGAAGACGTGAAGGAGCGAAGGAGCGGAGAGGAAGCAAGGAGCAGGTTGGTCTGAGTAGTACTCTCGAACCCTGCCCTTCACTTTACGTGGGAAGGAATGGGTTAGATTCCATCCCACGTAAAATGAAAGGATTCAAAACTAGGTCTGAGGCCACGTCGTTCCAAAAAAGGAATCTCGTCCAAAAAAGGAAGTAGGACGGGAAGGGAGACCCCATAGTAAAGGGGGAGATTTTGTCCCTCCCAGCCCCTCGTCAGCAAAAACTGACGAGGTGGTTGGGTTCAGAGCTTCTCCAACGCCCTTTCCTTTCCACCACGCGCTTTCTTCACCGTCTTTACCATCACTCGATTCCTTTCCTCACTCTTCCCTCATCTTGTCTCTTCCCCTTTTTCCTCTGTTCGACTTTACTGTCAGTGTGTTTCTCACCGCCCTTATTGCTATTTCCACACCTATCGCCATAGTTTTCCATCCTTTCTTACTTTTCCTTTTGACCCCAGCCCTTTTCCTTTTAACCCCACACCTTCTGTTATCCTTTTCTCTTTTTTTTTTCTTTCATTCACTCCTTGCCCTCATACACCCCGCACATTCTCCACAACCCTTACTCCGTTTACAACCATCACCTTTCCCCTTCCACTTGCCATCCTTTCACTCTTCACAACACCATGTCCAACAACCTTCTGAACCTGTTCTGTCTTGTCGACGGAGAGGCCACCACCAACGCGTTCCCTGTCGAGATCGAGTCAACCAAGACCATCGGCGATCTCAAAGGCGCAATCTTACGCAAGAAACCCAACGATTTCCGCGATGTTGATGCGAACAAGCTCTCCCTCAGCCGTGTCTCCATTCATGACGATGGAGCCATTCACGACAAGACGGAGCTGAACAACCCTAGAGCACTCCTCTCCACGCTGTTTGCCGCAAGTCCCGACGACAACACCTACATTATCGTCCAGCGACCTCCTCAAGGTAATGCACACGCGTGCTATATCGTCACCTTACTCGTGAGCTTGCCTATTACACATGTACTAACTTGATACACTCATCCAATTGCACCAACATAGTCCATGCACCTGTCCCTGCCCGTCCCTCCCCTCCACAGCTCAAGTCTATTCCGAAGGATCTCCTCGAGCAGGAACTGGAAGTCATTCTCAATGACATCCAGCTTCGCCCTACCACCCCCTCTGTTGATCCAATGGAAGTTGAGGCTTTCCAGAATGAAGCACTAGGACCCTTTTTCAAGAGGACTCTTCCGCATGGTGAAACAGCAAGAGACATCAAGCTGGTGATGCTGGGACTTGAGCTGGACAAGCTGACAAGGACGAGCGACGGCGAAACCTTGCATTCTATTGTGGAGGATGACATCGGCAAATACTGTGACCGTCGCGTAGTAGCTATGGTTGCTCCATCTGGATCTGGAAAGACTGCGACTGTAGTTGACCTCGCGAGCAAGCATTTTGTGATCTATTGTGTTTGTTGCATCCCGAGCACCACCATCTCTCCCGGCTTCAAGGACCCGAATTTTATCACGCTTGCAGAAGACATTGAGAGCATGTACCGGTCCGTTATTCACAGGAATCAAGGCCGTTCGCAGTGCGCAAAGGACATCGATTCCGAAGTCAAGGCCCTAGCAGGGGAACGCGTCAAGCTCGAATTCCTTGCAAGGCTGCTCTTTCTTCAGCATCTCCTCGACGACAACCCTGATCTAGAACCCCTGCAGTTCTTCCGTGAACAGACCACCAAAGGTGCCTTCACTATTGGCGACCTGGTCTACAAATTGAAGGAGTACGACCACAACACAATCCAAGCCATGCTCAGCAAAGTCCAAGCCAAGCTTCAGTCTATCCTTGTTTCCAAACGACTTGGACTGGTGATTGCCCTGGACGAGGCTCAAGTTACGGTTACTGGAATCTTGTCCGAAAAGCTCATCTCACCATCCGCTTTGATCAACAGAGATGCCCTCTTCGACAGCAAAGAACCAAATCCAATCCAAGTTCCGTCGTGGTTTCCTCACACCCTTATCCGCAACGCTGAGCAACATGCGGGCAACACTGGTGATTCTTGGCACCGCACTCTCATTGCAAGATGCCGATCATGTGTACTCGGCCATCGCCAAACCCACCAATTTCTCGAGGATTACTGAATTTCCCCGATTCAATGAAAAAGACGTTATCAAGACCCACTCGAAGCTAGTCGACATGTCAGACTGTGAAATCCCGCCCGCCAAACGCCGCAAGCTAACCGGACGAGTCCGATTTTCCATTGACGTCGTCGAACGCCTTGCCACACGCTGCTCTACTCAGGACTCGAAACAAGCTATTCTCGATGACGCTGTTGACAAGTCGATTGAGCATACAATGAATGGGCTTCGGATCGGAGTACGCACTATTCTCGAGAGCGACAAAACAAACGAGGCAGCTCGGCTTCTTAGTCGAATGGTCTTGGCCTATCATCTCCAAGATGCCAAAATTTCGTTCTCGAGCCAACTGCAGTCCGACTTTGTGGACAAGGCGCTGTGCAGACTGCAACAACACCCTGATGGCGTTCACCTGATCATGGACGAGCCCTTGGTGGTTGAGGCCGTGGAGGAGGAACTGAAGTCTTCGGGCAAGGATCCTACGTTCATCGAGTACATGGATCAACTGAACCGGCTCATTTGAAAACCTTGGTGCGAAGTTAGCCACAAAGGGGAAGCTCTGGAGATGCTTGTTCGTCGATCGCTTCAGCGATTCAATGGTGTCCAGTTTTGGATCTTCCTTTCTTGAGAGGCCTCCCCTTGCCTGCATGGTGCAGCAAGTTCCAGTTCCAGATCGACGAGATCAACACAGCCAGTGGATTTGGATACATGGGCAGTGGCATGACTGCCGATCTTGCCTTCCTTACTGCTTGTCCTCCGTGCAAGATGCTTGTTGCGCGATCTGGTACACGTCCGGATGGAGTCTGGTTTTCCCTGATAAACGGTACGCCGGCTCTCTCGCGATCAAGTTTTACAGCAACGATGTGCCTCAGGTCAAGCACAAGGAGAACGAGACCTCCAGTGATATCCGAGCGTGCTTCTTGATGACGGACGGTGACAAGTTGAACTCAACCTTGGCAGCCACTCGACACTCCTATGAGAATGCAGGCATCCCCTCCAATGTTAAGGGAATTTTGCGCATTCACTTGGAGTTTCCGCGCGTCAAGGGAGTGAAGCCGGTCACTCAAGTCAGGAAGGATCCGACGACTCGTGCTATAGATGTGATGGTGTACATCAACAATGAGAACATGGACAGCTTTTTCGAAGAGAGTATCAAAGCATACAGGAGAGATATGATCAAGCTGAAGAAGCTGATCAAGTATGTCTGCGTCTCATAAGAATCGTTCTGCAAATGAACGCACAACGCTCTCCACATGCCTCACTTTATTTTCTTTGTTTTCTCCACGTTCCTCGTTCTCGATTATATCGTCATGTCAGCCCTTCCCATCTTGCACTGTTTCTCCTCACCCATCCATCATTTCTCACCAATAGAGAAACTTATTTTTTTTTCAGTCCCACTCAGTCCCTTCTTCGGTCTCAAGATGTGACTGTGAAATGAATATACTGAGGAGGAGGCCTTTCAAGTCATCTCTGCAGGTCTTGACGATATCACAGCGACCATTAGAGGAGAGTGTGTTTATGATATTAAGCATGTAAAACAACCACTGTAACATTCTTCGCATGACTATCCTACTAAAGTGCTCGACAAAAATGATCACCCTTTTTGTGAATTTAGCTTTTTTGAAATGCTCATTCATCAATGTTCCGATTAACCGACTCGGTTATTCTAACACCCCCTGTCAGTGCAAAATTAACAGGGGGTGTCTGACAGGGGTGTTTCCAAAAAAATTCTGCCATATGTTTTTGGTCTTTTTTCAATTCTAACAGGGGGCTGTTTGAACAGGAGCATGGATGGGAATCAAAATTCCCTGTTTCCCTGTGGTACTTCCACTCCATCTTTATTCGCTACCCTTTCCTGTCGCCACTTTCTTTCGTAATCGCTATCCGCTGTTGTTACTATTCTCCCTCTCTCCGGTCATCTCGAGGTGCGTTGTCGTTCTTTAGGAACGGAGGAGCTAGCGACCTGACGTCACCATGGTTGCGGCATCTCCATTTTGCCTCTTCGCCGTTCGATCTCCCTGCTTAAACATCTCTGTTTCTACCCTCTCCTTCTTAGCCGTTCGATTCGCCGCGTTCATCGTCTCCGTTTCTGCCCTCTTCGTTGCTCAATCTGCCCGTCCATCGTCTCCGTTTTTACCCTCCTCGTCGCTCGATCTGCCGCGTTCATCGTCTCCCTTCCCCCTCTTCAACGCCTCCATTTTGCGTTCCCTCTTCGTCACCTCCCTTTCTGCCACACTCAAGGTAGGGCACACTTTCCTTCCAGACCTCTTGCTACACAACATCTTGCCAATGCATTGCCTTCTCGACGTGGGTGATTTACGAGTCATGTTGGGTCACCTGTGCAGCTGGGATGCGGCCTGATGGTCAGTCGTTGTCTGGCCCAGCCAAGCGCATGCGTCCTGGGAATTTCGATGACTGATTAATCCGTTAAAAAATGAAAACGCCCTTGAATTTGTGTTAGAAGAGGACATTGATTTACCCGTACTGAAACTGACATCCTTTTCCTTTTCATCTTTCTGTTTATCTCTGATTTTTGCAATGGTGGCCATATTGAGCATTATTAGAGATGGCTGCGCGGGATCACCTCACTTGGGCCGAAGGCACTGATGGCGTTTCTATGCGAAAGTTCGCCGATAAATTCAATTACATGGAAAGAAAGTCTGCTGAGGAAGCATACCTGCTACTCATCAGCTCCACAGAAATTGCGAAGTTTCGTCGAGATGATCTTCTCAGAGGTTTCAACACTTTCAATTACAATGCAGCAGAGGAATTTTGGGTGAAGCGATCCACCGCTGTTCAAACCCGGACCATCACCTCGAAAGCGGCTGTCGATTCAATGCAAGCGGGATACCAGGAAGCCAAACATGAATATCAGCGCCACTTTGCCAGTAGAGAATACCAATCATCTGGCTTTCCGGAAGATGGGAAGGTCATGGCAGGTGAGTTGCACTGTTGTAATTCAAGGCGTCCGTGTTTGATGTATGTGTAGTAGATGACAGTGTATGTTGTGCCAGCGATCATATTCACGACAAATTGGTTTAACGCGAAATGGTATTGAATTTGGATTAAATTTAATATGTCTGCATGGCATGGCGTTTTATTTTCTTTACCGCTGACCCCGCAATAATGTTACTATTGTATTAGCCAAAAGGAAGCAAACTCTCGACGACCCACAAATATATCATGAAGAGGACAAGGTCCAGAACAGGAAAAGGCCCAATACAAAGGTAATACAAGTGTGATTATTGTGGTTCATTATTGATGATTACTCTGTGACGGATAGTTTTCTGACAGTGCACTGAAGAGAGCGGGAGTTACCGATATAATAGGAGATCCTAGGCATGCAAACGAAGATCGTCCCGTCCAGAAACGCCCCCATTCTCTCTGCGCAAAGTCAGCGAACCCGATGCCCAATCCTTTTTGTCTGAGGAGGACGCCTAGAAGGATTTCGCCTTTTCTGCTTTTGGACAGGACACACAGTGGTGCTCGGCTAGAGGCATCGACTATCTCGCTGATTTCAAGGATTACCTGCGCGAAACAGAGGAGTCCCTCGCTATGGATATGATTGCTGATGTGTCAGTGGGGAGGAATGAGTCAGGATCGTTTTCGAAATGGTTGAAGGACCGACATGGAACAGATGGGTTGAAAGAAGTCCGCTTTAAGCCCCAGGCATCCAAGACCATCGAGGACATGTGGCCATCGTGGATGGAGGTGACGAATCGAGTTTTCGCCAATGACATTAAGACGTATCGCGATGTCTGCAAGAGAGCTGCAGCAGAGCCCAATTAGGAAGAAGCGATTGTGGTCTATGTGAACTGCGTCCTGCATTCGTAGTAAGTCCTTTTCGTGTATAAATACGCTTTCATCAACGATATATCCATTATCGCTTTATCTCACATCTGAGGATGCTCTTTTTTCCCCCTTGATCTTTGTGTTTGATAGCACGCATCACTTCGCATTCGGTGATGCCATTAGCGACAAAGTTAACGAGCGCGAGGCCTTTATCGATACGACATGGAGCTTTGTGCGAACTGCTTTGACGATCGCAGGAATTCCCACACGCATGATGGAGATCCAAATCGACGGCAACAGAGACCGCAAATCCGAGGCTAAGCAGAAGGGTGGGCGTCAAAGCACGGCTCGAAAAGCGGATGATGCCGGTCTTTATCAAGATAAACAAATATATATATCCGAGGCAGCACAGTTGTACAAAGCGACTCTAAACTCACCGACCAAACAAGCTTGTTGTATTTGGCTCGACGTCCCATCGTGATGCAACTAAGTTCTATTCCATGGACTTTGTGGGGTGTTTCCGTGTGTCGTTGATCTTATCAATGGTTGTCCCTTTGGCGAGCGGTGTCGGCTTCGCTGAAAAAATGAAGTCTAGCATGAGGACATGTTTGGAGTTTGCCTTGATATTGTCGACGGAGATGGAGAAAAGGGACGGTGCGGTGTTCATTGACCGCTTTGAGGACCGGGAGGAGCTCATTGATCTGGCTGCGAGCATCCCAGCGACGAGCCTGACGCCTGTGAAAGTCAAGGACTAGCTCTGCGCTCATACGTTCATTATGACACGGAACATGCGTCTGGATCTCCCTAATGATATTTTTCTTTTATTAAAGTTTGCAAATGGAGTTCATAAAAGGAGCGAGGATGAAAACAATCGTAAAAGCAATGGAATAAGGCTAGAAAGAGTAGCGGAAGTCAAAATCGTAAATGCAACAAGAGGGGTATATTGGATAGCGCAGCCGAATGAAATGACGACGAAAGCTTATTATCCGACAACGCCGGGGACTCAAGATGTCCCACCCATCCCATCCTTCCTTGCAAGTAGAGAGAGAGCAAGATCACCTTGAGTCCACCTTTTGTTATCTAGTTAGTTTGTTCACTGTGAAGGTAAAGTGCTCCAAAAAAGTGATTCATCTTTTTGCGATTTCGACTTTTTTTTTTGAAAAGCTCATTCATCAATGTTCCGACCGGCCCCAAGATTCTTGTAATTCATTCTCTTGATTCGTAGCCTCATTCATTACCACTTGCTTCTTTTTGTATGGACCGACATCGGATTATCGTCGTAATCGAAATGACTGAATCGAATGAATCAGTTAATTGGATTAATGCATCCCGAGTTTCTTTTTCAACTTGCGGGGTCTTTTTAGTTTCTAACTACCTTCAAACTTTAATGCGTTACGTATTGAACTCTATAGGACCATCTATCAAAGTTTGGAGTTCTTACTCATAGTCTTTTCTATATGTCCTATATACCTGATTTTACATGGACTTAGCACGTGTTTAGTTGTGTTTTTTTAACCACAAGCTCAGCGCGCTTTCTACCCGCAACTGAAAGATGGTCCATTTGTAGCGCATGGTGTGTAATCTAAATGTCGTTAATGTAAGAGGCCAGTTATTCTCTATGGAGCGCAATATCATGGCAATGCGTGAAGTCATGCTAGCTCCATGTAACAATACTTACGTTAGTGATATTTCATGTTAGCGTTATGATAATCCCGTACCTTTTCTATGATGATGATCCACTCCATGCCCTATACATGGGCCAGCTTTCAGTTTGCCGGTAGTAAGCGCACTGAGCTTGTGGTTAAAAAAACACAGCTAAACACGTGCTAAGTCCATGTAAAATCAGGTATATAGGACATATAGAAAAGACTATGAGTAAGAACTCCAAACTTTGATAGATGGTCCTATAGAGTTCAATACGTAACGCATTAAAGTTTGAAGGTAGTTAGAAACTAAAAAGACCCCGCAAGTTGAAAAAGAAACTCGGGATGCATTAATCCAATTAACTGATTCATTCGATTCAGTCATTTCGATTACGACGATAATCCGATGTCGGTCCATACAAAAAGAAGCAAGTGGTAATGAATGAGGCTACGAATCAAGAGAATGGATTACAAGAATCTTGGGGCCGGTCGGAACATTGATGAATGAGCTTTTCAAAAAAAAAAAGTCGAAATCGCAAAAAGATGAATCACTTTTTTGGAGCACTTTAATTAAAAGGTCATACACAGCATCAGTCTCTGGTCGTCACAACGGAGAGTGTATATATATATATATATATGTGTGTGTGTGTGTGTGTGTGTGTGTGTGTGTGTTTGTGTGTGTGTATGTGCTCCCTCTCAATATCGCGAATAAAGACAGTAACTCTCAAGACCTGCTCGTATCGTGGAAGAAAGGTGTTTTATGTCAATAACTATTCTCCAAAGGCTAGAAACTACAATTGCTACCAATGGTCAAAGGGCATAGTGCCTACCTGCGCGTATCGTGGAAGAAAGGTGCTTTTCCAGACACTCGCAGGCAAGCGCGTAAAATAGCGAAATAGACACCAGAAGCTAAGCCACTCCAAATCACCACATTATCGAAATCCTCGGTCGAGCCGCCCCCGACCGACACCAACCATCCTACCTAACATGTGTACTCTATTTTCTCTGTATTTTATTTGCCCTGCCTTTTTCCGGTTCTCTGTTTTCCTGTTTTTTCCAGTTTAGATGTACTGTGCTCCAAAAAATTGATTCATCTTTTTGCGATTTCGACTTTTTTGTTGAAATGCTGGGTTTCATAATACATTAAAGACCTTTAGATCACACACCATGTCCTATGCATGGATCAGAACGACAAAAAGTGCCTTGGAAGGCTGTAAAATGCATCAAACCAGTCCCCACAAAGAATACCTTCACTTTCAAGAAGTGTTATCGGCTCTCAATATTTTTGAGCTGCTGTGTTGCGATCCATCAGCAGGTTAAGTCACTTGCCCGCCGCATCGCAGTAGCGTCAGAGACGCCAGTTCCCATCTAGAGTTTCCAACTTTTCACCGATCTCACCGCCCAAGCAGAGAAAGTGTTTTATCAGGATCGCGCCCCAGGCTACAGAAAGTCTTACAGGCGTCCATAGTCCTCATCCACACTATTCCAACAACTGTGCCGAGATCACCAGCTCCCATCTAAGGGTACCAGCCGATTCAATTTCCCTCATGCGCCAGACTACAGCGTCCATCACCCTTCCTTACCTTTTCTCAAACAAAAGAAAAAGGAATAAGGAGATAATGAGATGACGAAAAAAAATCAGGTGGTTAAGATAAGACGCACTGGTAGATGAACGCAAAGGAACGCTGAGAGCAAAAGAGACGAACAAAAGTTGTGTAAAAAAGACAAAAGGACTGAGAGAGGGATGACAAAGAGTGGAAGTGGCGATGAAAAGGGCATGAGAGTCGTGGCAAAGGAAAGAATGGGAGGCGTGAGAGTGGCAGCAAAAGTGGGAAGGGTGTGGGAATGGCAACAAAGGAAAGGATGATGAAGGATAAACAGAGTAAGGGAAGGATGGCGTTTGTGCGAGAGGGGGGAATCCAAGGACAAAAAGAACAAAGAAAAAAAGAGAAGGGGAGAGTACAGCGGGGGGAAGGAGAATGGGTCGTAGCAATTGGAAGGACGAGGGAGAGACAGTCGCGAGGGGAGGAAGTGCAAGAAAGAGATCGGGCCGCGAGGGAACGCGATGGGTGAAAGACAGTGTTGATATGTGAACAAATAGTTGTTGGTACTGTGGGAAAGGAAGAGTGTGTGTTGTCGATGATAGTAGAGTAGGGGTTAGAAGAGGGGAGAGTGAAGAGAGGGAGCGTGCAGAGAGGCAAGGTGAAAATAAAAAAAAGGAAAGGAAGTGCTGTATACTTCAGTATACTATCACATTCGCCCCCGAACGTATACGTAGGCAAATAGTTTGATCCATCTCAAATAACTTGAATAATAACACCTTGTCCAAGCTCTTAAGAACCATCTCCGACTCCCTGTTCCCTTTGCTCTCTTCCTTCCCTTCTCTCCCCAAGGATTGCAGCAGCTTCACTGAATTCACGACTGCTTTGAGGGCTGACTCAAGACGCTCGCATGCCCCAGCATTAGCACCTTCAAAGCCCTTGGGACAGAGGTCTCATTTCAAGAATTTTTGAAGCTCTTTATATTCTGAAATGACTGCAGGAATAGAATAAACGTAACCGATAGCTGATGAGATCGATGAGTTATTTCTGTGGAGGTGCCGTTGACATCCTGATGCAGGGCCTTAGATGTTGGTGACGTTGAGAAATGTGTCGTTGTTCCAGGCAGCGCCGTTGAAAAAACTGGTAACGTCCTGATTGAATTCGATTTTGACGGTAGCATCGTAGGTGACAATCACACCTTTGGTAAGAGAATCGCCAACCCTTTTAGTGTTACCGCTCTTCTCCTTCAAAAGAGCAACCACGCCAGTATCGGTATAAATCGCCAGCTTGGTCCAAACTCCACCTGGGCAAACGACGAACTTGTCGCCGGCTTTGGCGGTCACCGATGATTTGACTCGGTTGAACTCTCCATTGTATGCACACAGATGCTGCTGGGCTGCATATTTCGCGACATGGAGGACACCTGGAGTGAAGACTTCGATACACACAGCGTAATCAGGGTCGATTGCGCCCGACGTCGTCGGTCCCAGCTCTTCTTGGTAGTAAGCGGATGTAGCACAGTGTGACATGATAAGCTAACAGTGAACTTCTACAGACAGCAAGTCACCAATTATTAATATCTTCTTTAGAAACACGCACGTTTTTTTAGGAATGATGGTCAAGTGGCTAGATAATCTCTGGTTTAGATACTTTACCTTGCTGTTAATGATTGTAGGTGGTGGGTTCTGAGGACTGTAGGTGGTGCGTGCTGAGGTTATGTTAGAAAGACATCATGAATGACCTCTTCGTATTTATATTAATTTTCTTCAGCCTGCGCTGACACTTTACCTCACCAAGGAGCGACGTTTTAACTCATTCGTGCACCATTCTCAGTCGGCGTTATGCATTAGGCTAAAGTACACTGAAAGTAAGAGTCCTCATTTTTATTTCCTACTACAGTTGCTGTTGTGACATTTGATATTGGCTATCTGCATGCAGGATGACAATGTCGCCTCTAGGAATAGATGCATTCATTACCTACATTCATGAAATGATAGTTAATAATGTACTACTCAATTTCCCTTTCTAAGGACCGCACTTTGTTTGTTTTCTGCTTGAAAGTCTCTTCAGAAAAGCACCATCGGCCTTGCAGCATTGAAAACCCCCTTTCGAGTACTTCCATCTTCAACAAAACCACATCTTCTCTATACTAGGTCATTGATTCAAAGGAAAGGCGTCATTGGAAACCACATCACTGCGCATCAGTGCATTCTCAGGAACTAAATTCGCTCATTGTTGTTTCTGCAAAGGCTATTGGGAATTCAGTACAGTACATCGTACTTTCGCGTAAAATGGAGCTGATTGGCGAATAGATATAGTAAAACGCTGGCTCACGTTCCTCGTTCCTCTGTTCCTTCTTCCTTCATCGACTCATCTATCCCCCATTGGTTTGTTCTTGTCGAGTCGCAATAGAATGGCGAATGGTTTAATACAAAGAAAACCGTGATTAAAGAACCGAGGCGCTATTCATAATCGTCCAAATCAGAAACAGCAGTAATTATCACGCTCCAGCCATAGTCCAACGGATGGCCATTGATTACTCAAACAGGCCCAAATACAAAGTATCAGAAAAAGAGATCGTCTCATTGCAATAGGAAGTACAGAGCAAGGCTGAAAAATGGGACCTGAGACGTGCATGGGCGTGGGTAGCGAAGAAAAATAAGCATGCACAGCGCATGAAAAAGACCCAGGGGCAAGGAACGTGCATGAGCCTGGGTGGCGAAGAAAAATGAGCATGCACAGCTCATAAAAAAAGACCAGGGGCATAGGAACGTGTGCGGGTGTGGGTAGCGAAGAAAAATGAGCATGCACAGCGCATGATAAAAGACCAGGGGCATAGGAAAGTGTGCGGGCGTGGGTAGCAAAGAAAATTAAGCATGCACAGTGCATGAAAAAAAAGACCAGGGCATGGGTACGTGCATGGGCGTGTGTAACACAAATAAAAAACATGCAAAGAAGTTTTCCAGCGCATGAACAAAGAAAAGGAGCACGGGAACGCGCAAGAGCGTAGACAATGAAAAATAAAGAACATTCATGATTAAAAAAAATTCAGGATTCATGCATAGCGTTTGAAAATAAGAAAAAGGCCATGAGTTGTAAGAGAGAGAACTGCAGTATAAGGCATGAATAGAAATCAGAGGAATGGAAACGTGCCAAGGTATAGAGAGATGTTGTTCTTTCGAACAAATCTATAGAACAATGGGCTTAATCTCAGCAGATCGTAGTAACAAGATTACTCTACTGCTCACAATACCCCGTTCAATTAAAGTCGTCTGCAATGGATGTATCTCTTCCAATATTTGAAATTAACATTAGCAGGAACCTCACAATGCCTTTCCGCTCTGCAAGATAACCCCACGTTGTATGATGCAGGATCCGGGGATCTATTCGTATTCAACTAAAAATCGGAAAAGGCGTTAATCGTCGCGTTCTAGCACGGGTTCTGACTTAGAGGCGTTCAGCCATAACCCAATGGATGATAGCTTCGGGCCATTGCCTGCTCAGGTAGGCCCAAATACCAATTATCCGAATGAACGGTTCCTCTCGTACTAAGTTCAATTACTATTGCAACAACATTTCATCAGTAGGGTAAAACTAACCTGTCTCACGACGGTCTAGACCCAGCTCACGTTCCCTATTAGTGGGTGAACAATCCAACGCTTACTGAATTCTGCTTCAGTATGATAGGAAGAGCCGACATCGAAGGATCAAAAAGCAACGTCGCTATGAACGCTTGGCTGCCACAAGCCAGTTATCTCTATACAACAATTTGCATGAGTGAAACTTCGTATTCCAAGAAAGGAGGATTTACATTGGGCTTTTGAATCTGCTGTAGCACCATACCCTTGAATTTTACCTCAGTTCCCTTGAATTGTTTTGTGCAACCATGATCGGTATTAATCAACATCAGCATAGCAACGCGGAGGAAATGCATATTGTGTGCTTTGTGAGAAAATATTGAACGTAACGCGCGGTGTGAGAGAAAATTGAAAGCTACGCATTGTGTGAGAAAAAAAACTCGGTAACAGAAAAACAGATGTAAAAAGGTTGGGACCTTGCTCTCGCTCACCAACCTCTGCTCCTTGTCTTATATCCACCATCCGAACATTGTCAGACTTTCCCTTCCTTCCCTGGCTATGGTTACCTTAGCTGTTGTCTCAGCTGAACCCTGCTCAAGAGGTATGTGCGAATGTTCGCATAATGGGCAAAATAAGATTTGACCAGTAGATGAAGCCATAGGCTGGTCCCTTCCATTTTTTCTAGAGGAAGACGTATCTCATAAACTATCACCTAAGCAAATTTGTCCAGATATTTGCTGTAGACTGAGGATTTCTAAAGTTAAAGGGATGAAATCTTTAAACAGCAGCAGTTGAGAAAAGTGAGCATGCTTGCGATCCTCACGCTCGAGCACGGGCACGCATAGACAGATACAAGCTGCAGATTGGCTGGTTTTGACTTCATGCGTCCAGGTTCACTTCGTTTTTTCTTGCTTGTTAAGAACGACGAGTCGCTGTCGATTAACATGGTCAGGATAATCAGAGACGGGTAAACTAGAAGAGTACATGCGCGTCAATAATTTATCCTCGACCCCCAGGCAATTTTTTTTTCTTTTGCATTAACAGCTTAGCAAATCGTACGCAGAGAGAGAGCGTGTAACAAAAACGGCTCTATCCGGTCGATTTTTTAATGAATTCGACTGGCCGGATAATGCAGTTTTGACTATACTTTTGTTTGTGTGAGCGCTTGATCCTTCATGGATTCATCCCTTGTGGATTTTCTAAGCAAAAAGGTAAGCAAAGACAAAAGAATGTTAAAAAGCGTAGAGAGTGGTGGAGGCAGATCGGCTACAAACAATCTTGGAAGATGTGCTCCAAGAACAACCCCTTGAATTTGGGACAGGGGCGCGGGGACCCAGTCTAATGTGGTTTTTCTGTGGAAATACAATGTGGTGCATACATTTTTTGCATGGGGTGCAACAATGCCTGCATGTTGCCATTGATTATTCAACGAGAACAAGATGCATGCGTGATGGCAAACAATAGCCTCGCGTATCAAAGCTCGTTAAAGTAGCGAGGTTTGGTAAATGAATGCTGGGCAAAGTGGGGTTCTGAGCCTAGCTGCTAGACTAAAATGATGTCGACGTGGACGATGGGGAGGAGCATGAATGCAAACCATTGCCTCCTTGCCTCTATCGCCTTGGAAGAGTAGACTAGACTTTGCCCTCTTGAAAGATGGTAGGAAATATCGCAAGTGTTAGTGTTGTAAGTGCTTCCAAATGCAGAGAGTTGCAAGTATAAAAGGATCTCCCTCTCCTTCTTCGAAATGTCTCCTCACCACACTCTCACTCTCCTACTTCCTTACTAACCAAAGTAAGTCCAACCTCTCTTCTTTCATCACTAATCCCGTGCGTTTCCTGCCTTGGCCTTTGCAGCCTTTGTCAATCCTACAAATACTTCATTGACGCGTGTTGCTAAGTCCCATCTTTTTTCTTACTATTTCGTATTTGATAGCTTCCAATCCAACATGTCCTCCACCGGCGCCATCATCACTGCCTTCGGCCAGGGTTCTATCTTGATTACCTTCTACGACAACCTCCAGAACCCTATTGATGCTCAGTCGGTCAACGGTCGCAAGAACGGTTCTTACAAGTGGTCGATCAACCCCCTCAACATTGGAGGTCTCCAAAAGTACTCTTTCTCGATCGAGAACAAGGGATTTTTGATGGTTCAGGTCAACTGGGACGGTCAAACCCAAAACTTAACCAGCGGTGCCAATACCATCGCTTTTGACCTCTGGAACACCAAGTCGTTCACCCCCTCCAAGACTGATGCTCCCCCAGCTCAGCACGTTGGTGGAATCACTCTCCTTGAGCAGCCTTAAAATCAATTTACTGCCTTGCCCCAGTACGGGTTTGCTCGTCCTTGGCAATAACTCTCCTAGAAATGTTTGTCCTCAGCGATCCTTTCCCCCTTCCTCCTCCCACAAATTGATTGTCGTGAATAAACAGGATATGTTTATAATTGCCCATTGTTCCAAAGCTACGATTCATTTCTCTACGTGTGCGAGCGTTATTATTTTTTTGACGCGAAAAATTGAAGGCATTCGTACTCAGTCATAAAGTGCTCCACAAAAGTGCTCCATCTTTTTCTGAATTCATCCTTTTTTTTGAGATGCTCATCATCCATCTTTGATTCCTAGACCTTGTGTTCATGCTTTATCAGAGCTATTGTCAGAGTTTTACTCTGATAACTGGCACATGACCAACGCCACCAACTTCAACTGATCACTGAACGGCTTTCGCTGACTAATCGCCCTCCTGACCAGTCAGCCGATACAGTTCTACAGAAAGACCTAGAAAGAACTATGGGCTCCGCCAGAATCCTTGAACACACATGAATAGGTAGTTCATACGTCGTCTAGTTCCTCAGTTAATAACTCCCTTTTATTAAACAAGACATCACAATGTAACATTTCCCTCGTCTTCCTTGTCCACTCGCCTCGTTCTTCCTTTCGTCCGCCCTCTTCTTACAGCTATACCCATGTAGGTGATGACGTCATTGTGAAATATTTTTTTAAAACCTGATTACGAGATTACGAGATGGATCACTTTTGTCGAGATTCTGCATCCTCTCAATCATCAGATTATGCCGCAACTTTGAGCAGTGCCTTCATGCGTCTGGGCATGCTTTCATACAGGTTATGGAGGAGTTTACTAGGAAGTCTTGTCCAAATTTTCTCTACACGCTTCCAAAGGTGGTTTATATCTTTTGGCGGCTGTTTGTATCGAAAGAGACGAAGTTTGATGTAGGCCCAAACGTGCTCAATGGGGTTGAGGTCAGGAGAGTTGGGTGGCCATTTAAGAACTGTAACATTATGCTCCCGAAACCACTCCTGTACAAGACCCGAAGTATGTACTCGAGCATTGTCCTGCTGAAAAATGGATGTTGCTCGATCCATACCATACCACTCGCAGGAGGCGAGAACATAATCGTTGAGGACCTCTCGGTAGAAGTCCGAATCGAGAGTGCCGTTGAACCGACAAAGGTCTTCTGCGCCAAAAAAAAAAAAAAGTGATGCATCCCCACACCATCATCTTCCCTCCACCAGCTTGTGGCATTGGATGAACTTGGTGAGGTAGCAATCGCCTGTGCCCGCGATCACTATAAAAGTAGTTCCTACCAAAGGACCCCACGCGACTGATGACGCTTTCATCGGAGAACATAACGCGTTTCCAATCGTCCACCGTCCACTTGATGTGCTTCCGTGCGAATGCAAGCCGTTCCTGCATGTGATTCCGTTTCAGATCAGGCCTCTTCTGTTGAACATAGGCCCGGATCTTTTGCTGTTGTAGATTCCGCTGGACTGTCTCCACATCCACATGCATGCCATCTCTCTCCTGAATGAATCGCTGGGCATCCCGAAGTGATGTAAGTTGACCAGTATTAATCTGGCGGCCAAGACCCCTCTGGTCTTCAAGGAGACCTTATTAGGTCTGCCCATTTTTGGAGGCGGTATGTTTTCCTCGTTGTCTTTCCTGATCCTCTCGAGCCGATTGTCCTTGAATGAACAGCTGACTGGCAGTGGCTCTGTCCGAAGGCGAGATCCTCTTTCTTTTTCTGTCGTTTTTGTTTTCTGTTTGTGGCATGATGTTTAGTAGCGCGAGGAGTTGATGTAAGAATAGAAGATGATGAAGTGGTAGCTAAAGAAAGATGGAAGAAAAAAGAGAGGATGCTGAATCTCGACAAAAGTGATCCATCTCGTAATCAGGTTTTAAAAAAATATTTCACAATGACGTCATCACCTACATGGGTATAGCTCTGATAGAAGCATGAACACAAGGTCTAGGAATCATGGAGAGGCATCCCGGGGCTGATTGCAAAGAAGGATGATGAGCATCTCAAAAAGAAGGATGAATTCAAAAAAAGATGGATCACTTTTGTGGAGCACTTTATGTTCTTGTTCTAAGCAAAGGCGTGCTTGAGACAGTATGTTCCTCCCCTTAAATTGAAGTTTTGTTTTCAGTTGAAACAAAAAAAATCATTGAATAGGGTCCATGTATCGTGGCACGAGCTCGATGTCCACTGGAAGCTCGTCCTCCATATGCTAGTCGGCATAGTAATCCAGGGAACCACCTAGATCCTAAGGCCACTGAGGTGGTGCTGTCAATGGTGGCGGCGGTGGTGGTCACACAATGGACTCGGTTAATCTGACTTTCGCCGTCATACAGGCACTGTCAGATTAGGGTTGACCGAGGAAAAGAAGATTTTTTTGGTGTCACTCATTTTTCAGATTTTTGTTGTTTGACGAGTGTGGTCAGAGTAAAGAGTAAGGTGGAAAAGCAAAACGCCTATCAGAATAAGATGCTCACTTTTGGCCAGCTAGAGTGCGCAATAAACCTATTTAACCATTTCCTCGTGGGTATTGCACGCGATTTTTGAAGACTTTTTCATGCCCTCCCAACTCAGCTCCCAATACATAAAGGTCGCCTCTTGTACTAATTGAAAAAAACAGAAAACATCCACGCTGCACAAATCATTCATATATGTGAAATTATATGCTGTGAGTATAATAGCAATAGATCAAGAGGATGCAAGTGTAGAAATAACTAGGGAGGAGGCAGTGAGAAAGACAGGAGGAAGACAAGAGAGACAAAGGTGTTAGGGACAAGAGGGAAGGCAGGAAAAGATGATGTTTATTATGCAGTGGAGTTGGGGTATTTTTATGTAGTTGGGGGACCTAGTTGGCGGTGTGGTTGGGAGCCAGATGGTGGTGTGGTTGGGGGCCAGATGGTGGTATGGCTCTACTATTATACTGTTACAGTGAGTTTCCTTGTTGACGATGACAATGATGGCGACCTTGGTACCGCCCCTTATGATTTTTGCAATTTTGAGTAGAGAGAGATGAAGAAAGCGGTAGTTACTGCATATCTACAACAAGAGCCGACCCGGCCATTGTACTTTCCTTGCAATCCAAGGAAGGACCTGTCTTTATGTTTTGGGAGTGGAGATGGTGTGGGTGTGAAAAAGTCTATGAGGAAATGGTTGAACAGGTTTGCTGCGCACTTGAATTGGTCAAAAAGTGAGTGTCTTATTCTGACAGGCGTTTTACTTTTTCACCTTGCACTTTACTCTGACAGCACCCGTCAAACAACAAATCTGAAGAATGAGTGACACCAAAAAATTCTCTTTTCCCCGGTCAACCCTAATATGACAGTGCCTGTATGTATGACAGATGATCCTTTTCGTGCATATTTCCAGATCTCACGATATAATGGGCCACAAGGGGTATATCGGAGTTAAAAGACGCAAACACTATGCATGCATGGATATCTTGAGTCAAGGGTCATATCAAATTTTGGATGGTTCCAGATCTGAAAACATTATGCATATCCAGATCTAAAGATATCACAAGCCAAGGGCATCTGGGGGATAAAAGGTATCTGCAGATATCAACATTTACATACAAAGAAAATGAATTTTGGGTCAAGGAGGTCATGGGGTTAAGAGCACCACTTTTGGGTCAGAGCAAGGCAGTCAATCGATCATAGGGATGGTGCATTTTGATCCTTCGATGTCGTCCCTTCTTGCCATAGTGAGACGGAATAAGGGCCGATTATTGGCTCCCTAACAGGAAAAAGAACGAAGGGATGAGAAAAGACCAGGAGTTGAGAAAACACCAAGGGATGAATAACGATCAAGGGATGAAAAAAGACAGGGATAAGTGAGAACACCAAGGAATGAGAAAATGAGAAAATGAGAAAAGGCCAAGGGATGGGAAAGGACCAAAGGATGGGATATTACCAAGGGATGTCAAAAGACCAATGGGTGACACAAGACCAAAGGATAAAAAAAAGCAAAGGCATGACAAAAAACTGTAAATGATGAGAAGCAAATGGGTGAGGAAGACCCAGGAATGAGAAAAGACCCAGGGATGACAAGAACACGAAGAGATGAGAAAAGACCAAGACCATAAGACCAAGACCATGAGATGAGATAAGCCCAAAGGGATGAAAAAATACCACTAGAAGAGAAAAGAGCCACGGATGAAAAAAACAATGGGGTATATGGAAAATTTCATGGGGTGAGAAAACCACGAGGTGCATGGAAAATTAATTTCCAAGGGGGGAAAACGCCCCGAGTTCCCATGGAATTCCACGGGTAAAAAAACGACCCGGGTTCCATGGATACTCCTGCATATAAAAACATCCCTCTCTTTGCCAATCGCCACATTATTTTATAACCCCCATCTCTCTATCGCTCACCCTCCATTTCACCAATCCAAAATGCATCTAACGTCGGCTCTTTCCCTTCTCACTGCTATAGCATTTGCTGTTCAGTTCGGAAACGCCTGCACCGCGAAAGAATGCACTAAATTGGTCCGCGAATTGAAGCACAACAAAGTCGCGTTCTGCGGCTCCAAGATTGCAAAATGCCCTAAGGATTTCGGCTATTCAACAGCCGACCCAAACACTATCTACACCTTCTCGCACCGTGAACTTCGAAAGAAGAAAAAATGCGTTGCCCCATTGAAGTGCATCGACTCTCCTACTGGCGCAACCTGTGAATGCGAGCAGGCGACAGGACGGATTTTTATTCCTGGATCTAAACAATGTTGGGACGCGCCCTATCTTGACGTGGTAAGAAACTCACTCATACATTTATTTGTTCATACCTCTTCACCTGCGTTAGATTTAAAAATCGCTAATCCTGCGCTCATACATTGAATCGTTGATAGGGAGAACTTGTCGCTCTTTACGCATGCGACACAGCATTGCACCCTAACTGGGTGATGACTGAGGACCATCAGATCAAGAATGTTGACTCTCACCTTTGTGTGGGACAGCGTCTTTACTCTGGATCCTCTTATCCTCAACTAATTTTAGAGCAGTGCGATGAACCAGCCCTCAAGTGGACCATTGAGAACGGAAGGATCAAGAACAAGGATGGCTCGTGTGTCGACGTGGGTACCAGCCAAGACCACTTTACACGCCTTATTCTTCCTCCTTGTAACTCCGGGGCCAATCAGCAATGGACCCTGCCTGCATGGACTTGCCACAAGTAGCCGAATACCGTTTCGTGGTATCGGCCGATTTCACTACTCTCTTGAACCCACGCGGGACCCTCTTAGTATTTGTTATAGTGTTTTTTGGGACCCTCGTAGTTTTTACTTTATCGACTTTTTGAATGCCATTATACCATATTTAAGTACATATTCAAGTTACGCTCAGTTACCGTACTTCGCCCATGCTGGCCCTGACGATTTTGTGGGAGGAGGCTTCGGCCGAGGGATAGCATTGATCGGAAGGCATCGCCAGGACCTCTATTTCTAGTGAGTCGGGTAGACCTTGAGTAACACGAAGAATAAGAGCAACTGGTTGGGTTCGATCGAAGGAGACGCCTATCCTTTGTTTACATGCGGAGTAGCATTGTTGCAACCATCTGCTGAGATTAAGCCATTCTTTTATCTTCTATTGGCGCGTTACTTAAGGGTGATATATGAGTGAGGGTGGCGTTTGGCTTGACAAGTTGGCGTACTTGCCAGATATGGTGTAGTACTTGCGATCGGAAAGAAGGACGAAATCTTCTTTGCGATCGCATATGCTGTCTCTGTGTTATGTGCTTTTAAGCAATCCTTGTTGCTGGCATCTACTAATCAAAAACAGCCTTTTGGCTTGTAATTATAGGCAGTTTTTGGAGAGATTATCAATAGTCAAGTCTGGACTTCTTCTCAGCCAACTGAGCGCAAACTTGGGTAATGACCAAATCCACTGCGGCAAGGACCGTGCGAAGTTTAAAGGCTTGATTCTCACGGACAAAGGCGTAATGGTACCTCTACACGGAGGCCAAGATGGTACCGATCAAGATGAAGATGGGGATATCATGAAGTGGTTTGACTGGGTCCGGGTCAGGAAAAAAGAGGCTGCAGATATAGTCCGCAGTCCAGGCTCGTTCCTCCACATATCTTGACAGTGCGGCTTGCCATACTTCCAGTTTCTTGGGGCAGCTGAAAAGGAGGCGCTGACTTGCCTCCAGACCCGTTCCACAGACAAGGCAGAGGAGCTCAACCATATCGGGAATAATGGAGTGAAGGTGGAGGCCAGAGGGGAGTTCGTTGATCAGGAGCCGCCGCCAGACATTGTGCGCATTGTGCGGGATCTTGTTCCTCCAGAAGGATGTCCAGAAGGTGGCAGTGAGTGGTGGGGGCGGTGCGACCATGGGTAGGTGATGTGGTGCTGGGGTTGGAAGGCGGTAGGACTTGGAGAAAATCATCTGTCGGAACGCGCGGGTACTGGCTAGTTCGAAAGTGCCATTCTCAGACTTGTTGATAGCGATCCCGTTTATGCGTTCCGCCAGGTCGTCAACCAGGTCGAAAGTCCCGTCATTATCTAACGCTCGTCTCAGGGTTGGGTGCACCTTAAAGTGACCATTCCTAGTGTTCTCCTCCAACCTTGAGTGGGTGCGGTGGCCGACGGATCGCTCATTCGTTGGAATAAATTCCAGCCTGCCTTCTGTCTTGGCCTCGTCCGTCCATACAGGTCTGAAGACACAATCCATGCGCCAGTTGAGAGAGTGAGGCTCTGGAACATTATCCGGCTAGAGCCATTGTGGCAGAAGTGTTGCCATCATGGTCCCGACTTTCAACGAATCCGCTGTTTCCTGACCCCAAGACAGTCCGGAGATACGCTCGACCGCCTGCGCCAAACCCTTGAGAATACGAAAGTATCTCCTCCTCGCCGTGAGAAAGAAAGTGGGGCTCGCGAACGGGGCCCACGGAAACTCTGATTCGGTTGCTGATCGGAGAAGATCCTTGAAGAAGGATATCATGAAGGAGGCGGCCCCTCCATGTGCAGAGGATATAAAAAAGCATATAAAAAATATCCAAAGTCCAAGGAACGGAGTGTTGACTTCCATAACTGACATATCTCTTCATAGTGGGCAACAGAACACAGAATAAAATAGCAATAGACAACACAAGAATTTTTAAAATGTAATCTCTCCCCTGTATTTCGCCCCAAAGATACAGTTGAGAGTACAAGTGCTTTAGATGATCACATACAAGAACTACTCTGCTGAATCTTGCAGTGAGGGTTACAGGTTAATATTAGATGGACACATTCAAGAGTTTGGTGTGCGAAAAATAAGAAGACTTTGTTGTTTGGAGAATAGATTGGTGTTTAGTAGGATAGTTAAACAAAAAATGTTACAATGGTTGTCTTATATGCTTGGTATCATATATACATTCTCATCTCATAGTCGCTATGGATATCGTCGAGATCTACAGAGATGTAACAAACACCATATGATAATTTGGACGTGAAAGGCCCCCGAGGTGGTGTCGGAGCAAATTCTCTGAACCGCTCGCAGTTGGGATGCGACAGTCTGGGATCCAATGTCGACAAGACCAAGCCCACCCTAGGACCGACGGAGGCAGAGGTGGTTCCAGGATGGAGAGGGGAAGAAAGGAACAGTGAACTTGCGGATCGATCCTTGGAATTTTTTCGTCCACTGGCGCGTTGGCGGGTGGACGGCAATGACATGCCAGAGACGGGAAAGCAAAAGGGAGTTGGCAATGATGTTGCGTCCCAGGACCGATAGTTGGCGACCGTGCTGTAGGTTGATATGGTGTTTGATTTTTTTGTGTATATTGTCGAAGAAGGCGTCCCGCTATGTCCGTGTGAGGGCGATGGGGTAGGCCAAATAGGCCAGAGCATCCCCCGCCCGTTTTGAGTGGATGTGGACATGATCTTGCTGAAGAGCCTGCGAGAGTGTCCCGATGATCCTAAACAGAGGAAAGGCCACCGCCTTCTTCAAGTTAAGTCGCGCATTCGAGGCTCGTCCAAAGGTGTCCATAATTTCCTTCAGACATATCCATTCCTCTACCGACTTGATAAAGGTGGTGAGATCATCCGCATATGCCATCAGCTTCAAGGGGCTCGACATCGGGTGGTCGATGAGTCTGAATCCAGTGATACCGGGGCTTTTGTGGATGATGTGGAGGAGAGGTTCAAATGCGATGTTGTAGAGGTGAGGTGATAGGGGATCTCCCTGCCCTAGGCCGTATTTTTGAGGAGACGGGGCGGCGAGGTATCCGTTAATGTTGAGATTGATTTGAGTGCCGAAAAAGAGGGTGAAGGTCGAGTCGATGAAGGGAGCGGGGAAATTCATGTTCTCCATGACGGCCCGCAGAAAGTCTGGGTGGACTCTGTCGTACGCCTTTTTCTGGTCGAATAAGATTCCAACTCCCTCGATCCTGTTCCTCTCGCAGTGTTCTCGAAAGGCTGCCATGACGAGTCCATTGTCCGAGATATGTCGGCCAGCGACGAAACCCATCTGGAGAGGGGTGATCAGACGGTCCAGTGGAGTGCGTAGACGTAGTGTGATGATTTTGGTGAATAGTTTGGCGTCAGTGTTGATGAGTGACAGGGGGCGCCAGTTCCCGAGGTCCGTCGCGTCCCCTTTCTTATACAGTAGGAGCATGCACGTTTGTTGCCAAGACCGGGGCATCCTGGCTTCCAAGAGGGCTTGCGACATCACACGGGATAGGAGAGAGTCGATTCCATCGACTGAGAGCAGCAAAGTGTAAAGCTCAAATGGGAATCCGTCCATGCCTGGCGCTTTCCCTCGCGCGCTGCTATCTAAGCCTTCTTTAATCTCCTCGGCGTCAATAGGGCGTGTGAGGCTATCCTGATCCTCCTGGGTGAGGGTTGCAAGAGCGGGAAAGTTGGAGAGTAGTTCCTGGACGGCTGCGTTGTCGATGGGGTCAGGTGTGTATAACTTTTGATAGAAGGATTTGCCGACGCGGCACAGATCGTCGGGAGAAGAGACTGTGTCGTCTGAGTCGGGTATTTTGAGGTGGGTGATGGTGCGTTTGGTTGCTCTGGATTTAAGGACGCGGAAGAAATATTTAGTACATCGTTCGCCGAGTTCTCGCCATTTGAGTTGAGTCCTGACTGCCCATGCGTTCATCGAGGCCTCCTGCAGTTTGTCGAGTCTCCGCTCAGTGCCGTGCCATTCTTCCTCCAGCTTGTGGATCTTCTCCGGGTCCGGGGTGGGTGCACCGTGTTGCCAATTGAGGCGCCGTAGGGCCTGTTCCCGGTCCCGTTGAAGTTTGATCGAGATATCCTGCTTCTCCTTGGACTTCTCTCTCGTCGCTTGCTTGAGTTTCTCCACCAAGGATGCCTTAAGGTGGTCCCACGCATCCTGCGGTTGAAGGTCCAGCATTCTGAGTATGTCCTCCTTGATCTCGGCGGCCAGTTGCTTGGTGTAGTCCTTATCATGTAAAATCGAGGTGTTCAGTCGCCAGACTCCTGGTCCAGTATCAAGTGCCCCCAGACTCAGCTCGCATGAAAGCATCGTATGGTCTGTCCAGTCGTTGTGCAGATATGTGTGTGAGGGGGCCGTCACACATTCGGCAAGGTCGGGTGACATGAATATATAGTCGATTGTTGATTGATAACGGTGATTGTTGAAAGTGTGAATGGGGAGTGAGTTGAAGGGGTTGAGTGCGTTGATGGTGGTGTTGTTGATCCAGTCTTTCCATGCGATCGGGGCCGTGTTGCGTAAATGGTGGTGATAGTTGAAATCCCCCAGAACAATGACATCGTTGCCGGGAGCTTGGAAAAAAGGGAGTTGGAGGAGTTTGGTGTAGAAGATGTTGCGTGATGCCTGGTCTCCAGATGGTGCATAGATGGTACATACTTCAAACAAAACTTTATCCCCGGTATCGACTGAACCGATTGATGCGAAGATTGCACTGTGCAACATATTAGGTTTACTATTGCTCTCTAGTTAGTCATTCCTTGTCATCCTCTTTCACCTCTGACTCTGTATGACACTATACCTAGAAACCTAGTTGGCGACTTTGTATATATATTTAGTTGTATCATAGTTATAACATCAATCATCACTGCTTCAACCCTCGTCCCCGTTCTACACTTTTCTGTCCCAGTCTTCGCCTGTTGCACACGGCCGTCTACATAGACGTAGGATGAAAGAAAAGTAAGTTTGGAGTGCATAAGCAACAGTGCGCAATGAGGAGTCCAGATGTGTGGTGAGAGTGTAGGGATTTGTCGAGGTGTTGGATGGTGTCGGGGTCGTTTGGCTGGATACATGTATCTTGCAACGCCAAGATGCCGATCCTTTGAGTGCTGGGGTATTTGTGAAAATTCCTTGACGCCGTCCGGTTCGTGATCTTGTTAATCATCCGTGCGTTGAGAGTGGCAATTTTGATTGTCTTTAACATAATTAATTAGTTAGGACGAGTCGCCGATTGCCTGCTCAGCTCACTAGTGTTGTAGGTGTCTCCAAAATTAGCTGCCCGTGGGTTACGGCCAGTAAATTCGGCGGTTGGGGTTGGGGGGGCATCTGAAAAAATGTCGTCGTCGCTGTCGGAGTTGTCGTCATCCAGAGACACTGTTTGTACCAATCCTGGTGTGGAGTGGTCTAGCTTCCTGAGTAGACTCCTGCGGGGTCGGTGTGGCGGGTGTGGCGGGGTCGACAGGCGCAGCGATTGCGGCAGGTGGTGGATTCTATACCTTCCATGGAAGATGAAATCTGCGTATTCTTGCGGCGTTTCTTGCTGTTGCGTTTGCGTTGCTGTCTGAACCCTGCTGCATCCTGTCCTTTGGCGTCCTTGGCCGAGGATGCGTTGTTGGATTCCTTATTGGTGTTGGATCTGGTGGCGGTAGATGTGGGTGCCGGCTTGGGTGCTTCGACAATGTTGGTGATAATTGGGTGTCCTGGTCCAGCAACAATTTCCTTTGGCAATTCTGGGTGGCTTGGCTTTTCGTCCTTTTCGAACAAAACATATCCATCCTGCGTGTAGACCTTGCGCTTAGGGTGCGCATGGTAGTACATGCCGATTTCCTTAGGCTTGCCGTATTTGCTGAAAAGCTGGATAATGTCGGTCGGTTTATAGTGCTGGGGGATGCGCCGGAAGTTGACCTTGTATGTTTGGAGTTTGGGAGGTGTTGGGGTGATGGAGTTGTAGGTCGTGTCGTGGACACTCAGTCCGTGCTGTAGAATAGCGGCATAGACCATGGGTCTGCGGGGAGGACCTCGAAGGTTGTGTGGTGTTGGTATTGCTCAGTGGCGCAACTGAGCAGGTCGTAGGTGTCCATGAGGATCCTGCTGATCGAAAACTCGGCAGTCACCTTGCGGGGAATGTTGAACATGAGCGTGCTTTCCGAGTTTGTTCGGACATGCAGGTTCATTCCTGGCGGCAAAGACTCATCTTGAAAAATATCCTCGCATTTTTTGGGATAGTCGGGTAGAGAAGAGTTGGGAGAAGGTGTTGAGGGTGATGATCTGACGGCATCCGCAAAGGATGCCGCTCTAATGCTGTTTTGGTGGGTCTCGCCCCCCACGTTAGTATCGCCGTGGGACATGGGAAAGAGTTTTTATAGTAAACGAAAACGATGACATCGTCTTTTATTTCAACATCATGTGACACTAATTGTCAGTTGAGATTTTACCTGCAGTGAGGATTTGTCTCTGCTCAAGCATCGCAATCGATGCGAGGTCGTGCTTTTGATACCCGTGAGTATAAGCAGTAGTGGTGCCAGTGTTTTCAGACTGGAGTGGTGCCAGTGAAGAGACGGTGCTCTGTCAGCTGCATTGCTGCATGGCTAACCTTCCATACGGTGATGGGTGTGCATTCATTCAATCGTCCGTGTTTTTTTTTTTTTTTAAGTGTGTGAGTGAATGAAGGTCTTTAGAGTCTTTAGAAAGTGAATATGTGAATCCCTGTTGTGAATTCGTTAAAATAATAACCAGGGGTTGTTATCAAGGGTAATAGGGAAGATGGAAAACGAAACAAAGAGGGATCTGTTTAATTCAGGGACGAAGAGTCCTTGTGAACTCTTCGTCCCCTACGTACACGTGACTATAGCTCAAGCAAGATTGAAAGGTGTATTTTTATTTTGGATGGTCTCTAAGTCGGTAGGTTGCTTGGTGATTGGAACCTGAAGGCTTGTGATTTTGGTGACGGCGAAGCAGGACAGGTTTATCGCGGGTGGTGACAGAATGGATAGGTGCATTAAGCATTGACGTTAAATTTAATGACTTGAAGAAGTGGGCAAGACCTGTTCCATGCCTTGTTTGAAAAATAGAAGTAGCAAACTCCATCAATCACATCAAAGCAGAATTGGTCGTCCTTTGTGCACTTCTTTGGGAGTCTATCCACCACTTGTGCAGATTGTGCGATGGGATAAGTAACAGCTCTGGACGTGTCCCAAGCAGAGTTGACGTAGCCACCAAAATGGAACTGCTGAACGTTGGCAATGACGCCAAGATTTAAGCCCATGCTGATATCGAAGCCTGCGCCGTTTGAATAGACAAACAAGTTGGTTCCGAGTTCGTGTTTGCTGGATCCGTTTCTTCTTCCCTTCTCCTTGGTGCACGAATACTCGGTGGCGCCGCCTTCCAATGGAGTAATCTTGGTAGTTCCTGGGACACAACCCTTGAAGTAGAAGGCGGCAAGATCGGCTTCGCTTGCGAGAGGCACGAGTTTAGTATCGGTGCCGTTGACGGGCGCAGCGTCCATTGACAGCAGGCCTACGAGGAGCAAGGAGAGTTTCAAGAAGGTCCTCATGGTGTGATTCCTGATCAAAGTGAGAAGAAATAAATAACGTTAGTTCTAAGGGAGCCAGAATGAACATCGTCAAGCATGGCACAACAACTGCTGTATTGTGGAAGAGAGGAGAGGAAAGCGTTTATTACCTTGGGGTGAGACGAGAGTAAAGTGTGGTGTTGAGAAGGGAAGACTGATGGACTAAGGCGCATATTTATACTTGAATGAGAGCGAGATGGTTCATGACCTGGACTTCTTTGAATAAAAAACCATCATCGTGGCCAACCATCATCGTGGCCAACGGTCAGACACTTGCATTGCCGGGTAACAACGGTCGCGGATCAACGTTCCGAAACTCGGTTGGTTCATAATAGGCAGAGCGAACGAAGTGCATGCAGAGGAATGGCAGTGAATAGGGAGCATTGCAGATCGAAAAGTAAATAGTAGATCAAGAAGAGTGACAGAGTGTGCTTAAGAAAACATGATAAGATGCATGAGACAAATAGAGTGGGCCGATTGGAAACACCAAAGTCATATCACTTTTCCCATCCACAGCATGCATGGAGACAGCCCACAGCTGCACACGAATGCACACAGTCTGATGGGGTAAGGAAGAAGAATCATGCAAACAGCGACAAAACGGAAGCTTGAATTACCAGATAACCATTGCTGTAGTTACTGTCACTGGAATTATGTGAATCAATCAAACAACCAAACAAACAACCAAGCAAAAAGAAAGGCCAGAAGTGGACACAGTGAGCCCGGATATGGAGTGCCTCGAAAACAAGCATACATGTGCTAAATTTTTGTTCCACAGCCATGCAAAGCGACAGCCCAAAGTTGCATAGGAACACGGCGGCACAAATTACAGTGGGATGGGATAGACACATCACGCAACACAACTGCAAAACAAAAAGGTCTGTTGCCTCCAGACGACCGACATACATGTGCAGTGCTGTGATTGGTAAAAATGGATTCCTAGCCATAAAGGGTACTACCCATCAGAGTTTTACCAAGAGTCCTCAATTTGAGCCTGCTTCTGTCTAGTTTGTGAGATGAAAATAATCGATTCGTGCTTGGGTGCAACTTGCACCACAAAAAGTAGCGTTCGAGTTCACTATCCTTCCACAGCCCACAGATGTATCCCGCGCTCTGTATTCGCAAGGTGGGGCGCATCGATAGAAGTGCAACGCAGGATTCGCGCATGTAAACCATCAATCTGGGCCATGGTTGCTAGTATTAAATCACTTTTCCAAGTGATAACTGCCTTACTATATGTTCATTTTTAGATTGCGCGATGTGAGTGATGCTGGTGGATTTGTGATCGAGGAATAGGCTGGACCATCTTCATTTGCTTTTCCGGGCAAGACACTTAGAGAACGAACGTGAGTCGTGCGTGTGTGGAGAGCCAACGCGGAAATGCTTACAACCCTTGTAAACTGAATGCTACAAGGGTGTATGAGTGAAAGTGTACAATGAGTAAAGATTTGATGAAATAATGCTTTTACATTAGTGTAGGGCGCACACTAATGGATAGCGTTGCCGAATGTAATGACGGCTAAAGCCTACTATTCGACAACGGCAGAGACTCTAGATGTCACACCCGACCCGCCCTTTTCTAGCGAGTAGATAGAGATCAACAGATCACCAAGAGTCCCCCTTTTATTTTGTTTTTCATTTTCATTTTCATTTTCATTTTCATTTTCATTTTCAATTTTCATTTTCGGAAGTCACGGTTAATTAATAATAAAAGAATGATACACACACATCTAGAGTCCCTGGCGTTGTCGAATAATAGGCTTTAACCGTCATTACATTCGGCAACGCTATCCATTAGTGTGCGCCCTACACTAATGTAAAAGCATTATTTCATCAAATCTTTACTCATTGTACACTTTCACTCATACACCCTTGTAGCATTCAGTTTACAAGGGTTGTAAGCATTTCCGCGTTGGCTCTCCACACACGCACGACTCACGTTCGTTCTCTAAGTGTCTTGCCCGGAAAAGCAAATGAAGATGGTCCAGCCTATTCCTCGATCACAAATCCACCAGCATCACTCACATCGCGCAATCTAAAAATGAACATATAGTAAGGCAGTTATCACTTGGAAAAGTGATTTAATACTAGCAACCATGGCCCAGATTGATGGTTTACATGCGCGAATCCTGCGTTGCACTTCTATCGATGCGCCCCACCTTGCGAATACAGAGCGCGGGATACATCTGTGGGCTGTGGAAGGATAGTGAACTCGAACGCTACTTTTTGTGGTGCAAGTTGCACCCAAGCACGAATCGATTATTTTCATCTCACAAACTAGACAGAAGCAGGCTCAAATTGAGGACTCTTGGTAAAACTCTGATGGGTAGTACCCTTTATGGCTAGGAATCCATTTTTACCAATCACAGCACTGCACATGTATGTCGGTCGTCTGGAGGCAACAGACCTTTTTGTTTTGCAGTTGTGTTGCGTGATGTGTCTATCCCATCCCACTGTAATTTGTGCCGCCGTGTTCCTATGCAACTTTGGGCTGTCGCTTTGCATGGCTGTGGAACAAAAATTTAGCACATGTATGCTTGTTTTCGAGGCACTCCATATCCGGGCTCACTGTGTCCACTTCTGGCCTTTCTTTTTGCTTGGTTGTTTGTTTGGTTGTTTGATTGATTCACATAATTCCAGTGACAGTAACTACAGCAATGGTTATCTGGTAATTCAAGCTTCCGTTTTGTCGCTGTTTGCATGATTCTTCTTCCTTACCCCATCAGACTGTGTGCATTCGTGTGCAGCTGTGGGCTGTCTCCATGCATGCTGTGGATGGGAAAAGTGATATGACTTTGGTGTTTCCAATCGGCCCACTCTATTTGTCTCATGCATCTTATCATGTTTTCTTAAGCACACTCTGTCACTCTTCTTGATCTACTATTTACTTTTCGATCTGCAATGCTCCCTATTCACTGCCATTCCTCTGCATGCACTTCGTTCGCTCTGCCTATTATGAACCAACCGAGTTTCGGAACGTTGATCCGCGACCGTTGTTACCCGGCAATGCAAGTGTCTGACCGTTGGCCACGATGATGGTTGGCCACGATGATGGTTTTTTATTCAAAGAAGTCCAGGTCATGAACCATCTCGCTCTCATTCAAGTATAAATATGCGCCTTAGTCCATCAGTCTTCCCTTCTCAACACCACACTTTACTCTCGTCTCACCCCAAGGTAATAAACGCTTTCCTCTCCTCTCTTCCACAATACAGCAGTTGTTGTGCCATGCTTGACGATGTTCATTCTGGCTCCCTTAGAACTAACGTTATTTATTTCTTCTCACTTTGATCAGGAATCACACCATGAGGACCTTCTTGAAACTCTCCTTGCTCCTCGTAGGCCTGCTGTCAATGGACGCTGCGCCCGTCAACGGCACCGATACTAAACTCGTGCCTCTCGCAAGCGAAGCCGATCTTGCCGCCTTCTACTTCAAGGGTTGTGTCCCAGGAACTACCAAGATTACTCCATTGGAAGGCGGCGCCACCGAGTATTCGTGCACCAAGGAGAAGGGAAGAAGAAACGGATCCGGCAAGCACAAATTCGGGACCAACTTGATTGTGTACACACGCAACGGAGGCATCAACGTCAGTCTTGGCGGAAATGGCGGTGGTATTAGCGGTACCATTCAAGGATTTCAGTTTGCTGGCTCTGTCGACTCTGCTTGGGGCACGTCCAGAACTGTGGTTTATCCAAGCAAGATGTCTGTATATTGGGTGGAGGACCTTGGTCAGACATGCAGCGGCGATGGTCATTTCTGCTTTGACGTAATTGAAGGAGTTTGTCACTTCTATTTTTCAAACAAACACTGGGAAAAGGCTTGCCCACTCCTTCAGGTCATTGAGTTTTCTGTTAACCCTTAATGCACCTTTTCGGTCGCAACTACCCATTACCGAGCCTTCCTAGCACTCGTTACTAAGATTGCAAGCCTTCAGGTTCCAATTATCAACCGGCCACCAGCTCATAACCTACCAAAATAAATTTACATCATCTAATTTTGTTCTATACCAATGTCTCTCGATTGCTCAAATGGTTTTCTGTTTCTCTATTTGAAAGAGTATAATATATTTGTTGCTATCCTCAATTTCGTCATTATGTCTTTGTTCGTGCATTCTTCTGAGGTGTTTTTTTGCTCTTTGCATCCAACGCCAAATATTCAACTTGCGGTCAATCCGGATTCTGAGTGGAGAGATCATCTCTGTGTCCTGCTCAGAAAATAAATAAGACAACGAGGTCACGTCCTGTCCTCCATCCGAGGCCTAGGAAAAGCGAACATTATTTGATTGTAGTGTCAAGGCCAAAACCTTGGAGTATAGTTCTCTTTCTTTTCCCCTTCGCTTTTAGGGGAAGAGAGTCCGAAACAGTGGGGTACAGCCTTACAGGAGTACAGGCACACAAAACAGTCGTGCCGTGGACGTATGAAGGAAGATATATAGCTCACGGGTATGTGAAAGGATTGATGAGCCTGAAAATCTTTCAATGGAGAGATTTATTTTCCTTTGTCCTCGGAGACCTGCTCTCCCACACAAAAAAGAAATGCTTACAAGGGTGTGTGAGTGAAAGTGTACAATGAGTAAAGATTTGATGAAATGATATCTAGCGGAGCCGAAGATATGAAGGCTCAAGCCTATTATCCGAGGGCCAGGACCATATATATATGTGTTACCTTCTTTTATTATAGTAAATGCGAAAATTCAGAAAACTAAACGAAAGTGGAAAGAGAATTAAGTTCTGCTCAGGCACCAAATCTCTTCTAGAAGGAGCTAGGGCAGAGAAAACGAAAAAGGGTGAGAAGAAAAACTAAGGGCGGGACATATATGGTCCTGGCCCTCGGATAATAGGCTTGAGCCTTCATATCTTCGGCTCCGCTAGATATTATCCGCCGGGCCAGGACCATATTTGTGAATCCAGAGCAGAAGTTATGACAGAACCAACGACGTGAAATTGGTCGCAGTTGCTCGCGTCAGGCGGTAGTAGTTGTTGACAATCACGTCGGAGGACCAATTGCCATGCATAACCACATCGTCGACAAGGGCGCCCTTCTTGATGGCCTCTGTAGGGCCGATCGCGCGGGCTTTGGGTCGGGTCTTGTTCGGCGGGAGGCCGAGTAGGTCGGTAATCGCAGCGATGTGTTTGCTAATCGTCTGACTGGTGACCAGTGTCTTGGGGAAGCGGACGTCGCGAATGATAGGTCGATGAAGGACTGACTCATCCTTGTGATGTGGGACCATTATCTCGTGGCCCTCTAGGCGGCGTAAGTACTCGGTGATGGTGCAGACCGGGCAAAGGAGGGGGTCCTCATGGCGCTTGATGATGGCGTACTTGATGATTGGCTGGCCATTGCGTGTCTCCTTTGGGAATACAATGGGGAGCTTGCATAGATCCTTGGATAGGGCGAAGTTGTCATTGGACAGGTCGATGCACCAGATGTCGCTCGGGCGAAGAAAACCGCACGTGCCTATGAGCCAGCATAGCTTTCTCGTAAGGGCAGAGATGTCGAGAGTCTCGTTTGGTCCCTATTGTCGAAAGTGAGCGAGGATCGGTTGTAGGTCGATATCGATCTTCATGTCCTTGACTGATCGTTCCTTGATGGCCTTGAAGTAGGAAAGAAAATCCGGATCCGAGAAAGGTAACTTGTCCTCGTACATGTAGATGATCGCCGACTTATAGTTCTGGACCGTGCCTGCGTGCCACTCCTGGATAAAAACGCCTGCAGTAAGCCAGTTGAAAAGTTGAGCTGGATTTGGTTTCTCTGGATCGACTCCCCGATTCCTTGCCCAGCTGATGTACCGTTGCTGAACGTTGTTGTATCCTTTCTGCTTGCGTTTTTCCCTGGGGCTGTCGAGCACTAGAGCTGTCGTGGCTGGATCCCATCCTTTGTCCTCGAGGCGGCGCCGCTTATGCGCCATGCTGTTAAAGACCAGTGAGGATTCTTGGCCAGAATGTCGAGGGTGATTCCTGGAGCTGGAAGCACATGGTGTCGCGGTATCGCAAGGGGGGCTGCGACTGACATCACCTTGACCGTTGGGTACCATACTGCTGAGGGCCAGTGGGATGTTACGATTGTTGCTGAGATCTGCTCCTGGCGAATCTTCTCCAGGACGAGGGGAGGAGATTCCAAGGCGGGCAAAGGTAAACGTTGCCTAGGGGCTGCCATCGATGTTGAAGAGCGTCGTGACCGATTGCGCCTGATGATGGTTTCCAAGTCATGCACTGTTGTAAGTGGTGGTTTTCGGGAGATGCGAAGAGATCGACGGTATGGGGGCCCTATTTTTGGTCCATGTGGTCGAAAAAGGAAGGACTGATTGGCCACTCGAGTTGGCCCGTCAGTTGACGGGAGGGGGCACCTACTGGGTTGAAAGCAGATGGGACGTACGTTGTTCGAATTCTGGTTCCGGTCTTGACGCACCAGTTCCATATTGATGTCGCCAGCTTCATCAGCTCCGGCGACCTCGTTCCGCTAAAGTGGTTGAAGTAGGCGATGGTCGTGATGTTGTCCGATATGATGTTGACTGTGCGACCCTTGACATCTGGTCTCTGAAGGGCGTAGAAGACCGTCGACAATTCCTTGTAGTTGATGTGTCGGGAGTAGTGAGTTGCCGGCCAGGTGCCACTGTATGACCGGTTGTTAATTACTACTCCCCACCCGGACGTGGAAGCGTCCGTGTAGATGTCGATCTGTGGATTGGCTACTATCCATGAGAGCCCGTTCCACTGTTGAAGGTGTGTGCGCCACCAAAGCAGTTCCTCGGTCGCTGTCGTCGGCAGAGAGATGGAGGCCTCCCATGATATTCCCGATTTCAGTGCATTGATCTTGACCGCTTGTAGGTGTTGCACCTTGAGTCGAGCCGGAAAAACTGCCGCTGTCATGGCGATTGCCATGCCGATGAATGACGACAGCTGTCGTACTGTGCATGTCGTCTTGTTGATTAACTTGGATGCCTTGCGTCTCAAGTCCCCGATCTTGGTTCCTGGGATCTGTAATGTCATCGCCGTTGTGTTAATCTCGTAACCCAGATGTTGCAGTGTCTGGGGTGGCGTCAGGCTCGACTTGGATTCCTTTGTCAGAAAACCGAGGCTGGCTAGCTTGTCCATCACCATATTGGTGTGTTTCTGGGAGAGCTCCTTGGTCGCTGCTGCAATAATCAAATCGTCCAAGTAGGCCGATATCCTGATCCCGTGTGATCGCGCCCACCGTAGGAGCGGCTTTATAATCTTGGTAAAGATGAGCGGAGCCAGAGATAGACCGAACTGAAGCACTTTGAACTGGTACAGTTTGCCTCGCCATTGAAATTGTAGGTAACGCCGAGAAGAAGAGTGAATTGGCACGTGGAGAAACGCATCTCTTAAATCGATACTGGTAAGAAAATCGTTCCTTTTTATTAGGTGAACTACCTGAGAGATAGTCTCCATTTGAAAGGTCGAATCGGCAGGTACTGATTCAAGCGACGCAGGTTCAACACCGGGCGTAGTTCTCCTGTCTTCTTCGGAATCACGAACAACTGACTTGAAAAACCGGGTCCAGTGCTGGGTTCGATCGCATTCTTGCTCAACAAATCGGACACTTCTTTGTCGATGCCCGCCCTTGCTTCCTCCGACATCAGGTGTGGCGGGGGATGTGTTGTCGATGTTGGTGGTGGTGACTCGAAGGGGATCCTGTAGCCGTCCTTGATAATGTCGTGGATGAGGGGCTCTTGGGTAACGCTCTTCCAGGCTCCTAAGAATCCTTTGAGCCGCCCTCCGACCTTGGGGATCTGTCGTTCCTGCGGGAGGTGCTTCGTCCGCGCTGTTGGCTGTTCTGCCTTTGGTTTCCGGAGTTCCTCTGAAAATTATTCTTCCTTGCCAGGGACTCTATCTGTGTGTATCTTTCTTTTATTATTAACCATGACTTCCGAAAAAAATAAATTGAAAATGAAAAATGAAAACAAAATAAAGGGGACTCTTGGTGATCTGTTGATCTCTATCTTTCTTTTTTCACGGCCGGAACACTCTCCCTGAATCTCGGAACGATCCTCCCCATGTCCCATGCACCCAATCCAACGGCCCCCGATGTCGATATCGACATTTACACGACCCTTCGCCTTATGCAGGAGCAAATGCAGCAACAGCAACTCCTTTTACAACAGCAACAAGCCAGGATTCAACAACTGGAAGCCGAATCAGTCGAACAGGACGGCAAAGTGGTCTGCAAGCCCAGAGCAACCACTCTCAAGCTCTACGAAGAACTACTCAACATCTATCCAGCCATCGGGGAACCCAAGTTCTTCGATTCCGAGCTTCCCAAGAACCATGAGGTTTTCGATTGGAACGACTACCATTACACCGAGGGTATGGAATACAAGCCTCCCCCATTTTTTCAACACTCCGAAGTGTCCCTCACGGATGCAGCCAAGCGACACAAACGTGATTTGGCAACAATCCAAGGATATTTGGCACACACAACCCGGTTCTACGACACTCTCGCCCATGAGATCATCAAAAATAAGGAATCCAACTCGGCTCACGGCAAACGTACGCTCGGTTTCCTCAACACCGTACGTATCTCAGCATCCCACGAAGCTTCCAGGATCAGTCGGATGCGAGGGAACCTTTACCTCGACGAACTCGGCATCAAGCATGGCAATGACAAGGAGGAATCTCTTTTCACTTTGGAATCGCTGGCTGCCAAAAAAGCAGCCGCGGATCTGGTTCGAAAGACATACAAGAAGTATGAACCTCCAAAGGACAAGACCAAAAAGCCCAACAAGGACAGGTCAGGATCAGGTGACAAACCCAGGGACCAACAGTCGGGCAAGTCACAATCCAAGGACAAGTCAGGATACAAATCCGACAGCGGCAAGTCGGGTTATAAGTCGGACGGAGGCAAGTCTGGTGGCAAGTCTTGGAACAAGTCTGGTGGCGGACAAGGCAAGAAGCGGTCAGACCAGGGAAACGACGGAGAGAAGTCGGATTAGTAGGAGGTCGGCTTCTCCAGTTTCAGGAGGCATGGAGGGAGATGGCAGATTCAAGCTGGGTCAACAACATTATCAAGTCGGGATACAGAATCATCTTCGACAAACCTCCACCACTACGCCTACCACCATTGCACGATCCGTTCGTTTCACCGGAGGAACGGAAGGCTATCGACACAGAAGTTCGTTCTTTGTTACAGAAAAGGGCTATCGAAGGCTGCAGCGGGAAGGGATTTTACAGTCGTATCTTCACGATCCCCAAGAAGACAGGAGACCTGCGCCCAGTGTTGAACCTGCGCCCACTCAACCAGTTCTTGACAGCACCAAGGTTCAAGATGGAGACCCTTACAAACATTTGCAGGATACTCAAACCCGGCGACTGGCTTACGAGATCAGGATCTCGGCATATCTCGACGACATCCTCATCGCAGCCAGGACCAAGGAGGAGGCCAAGGAGCATACTCATCTGGTTCGGGAACAACTGGAACGACTGGGGTTTCTCATCAAGGACGCCAAGTCAACACTAGACCCTACCCAATGTATCGACCATCTTGGGTTCAGGATCAACACCGCCGACATGACACTTTCGGTGCCAAGACCAAAGGTCCGCGACCTGCGCAGGGAGGCGGAGAAGTTGATCAGGGCAGGAACCATCCAACTTCGACGGCTGGCGGCGTTTATTGGGAAGGCGATCGCTATGACGGTGGCAGTCTTTCCGGCTCGACTGAAGACGAGGAATCTGATTCGGGTTCAGAATGCAGCTCTAGCCAAGAAATGCAAGTGGACGGACCCAGTTACATTGGACACGGCGGCACTGGAGAATCTCAACTGGTGGCGAGCTCATCTCTCGGAATGGAACGGCCAAGGATTTTTGCCTCAGAGGACGGAGGTCGACGCGTACACCGATGCCTCGGAGGATGCAAGGGGGATTGTGATCGAGGGCAAGGAGATGTCCAGGACGTGGAGTGCATCGGAACAACCGCACCACATCAATTGGAAGGAACTACGGGTTATTTGGCACTTGGTCCACCTTCCAGAAACGATCGGGAAGACAATTCATGTTATTTGCGACAACATGACGACCATCGTCCAGATCAACAAATTCGGCGGAACGAGGTCTCAACCACTACTCGACTTGACGACCAGGATATGGAACCACTGCATGGCGAAGGGCACACGACTCAAGACGACATACGTTCCCTCACAGTTCAATCCAGCAGATGCACCGTCCAGGAGGATGACGACGCAACTGGAATGGTCGATCGACAAGTCATTCTTTCAACACCTCGAGTCGACATGGGGTCACCACCACATCGACCTATTCGCAATAGCAACGAACGCCAAAGTTCCTCGATACATCTCATGGAAGCAAGAGGAAACCGCCTGGGGGCAGGACGCGTTCAATAGCAGCTGGTCCAACATGAACAGAGTCTATGCGTGTCCACTGTGGTCTCTAATCACCAAGGTCCTCCAGAAGATCAAGCAGGACAAGGTCAAGGCAACGGTCATCACTCCATTCTGGACGAGCGCGCTCTGGTATCCTATGATCACAGCCATGTCGGTCGACAAGCCTCTACGGATCCCGAGGAACCAAGTCTTACCAACTCCAGGGAACAGTCCACACATCCTCGAGAGGAATCCAATGTGGTCGCTCTCAGCTTGGAACGTCGACGGCAACAAGCAGTAGAGAGGGGAGCACCCGGGTGTTTGAGCACTACCGCCGCGCTAAAGAAGGAGATCCCATCGGACGACGTTGACACACACGGCCGTCGGTCATCCCCAGTCATTGTTGAAGCGTGCTACAGGATCTCGCGATCTCTAACAAGCAACTTCACTACAGCCATTTTCCTCAACTCTGGATCCACAGATAGAGTCCCTGGCAAGGAAGAATAATGGATAGCGTTGCCGAATGTAACGACGGCTAAAGCCTATTATTCGACAACGGCAGAGACTCTAGATGTCACACCCGACCCGCCCTTTTCTAGCGAGTAGATAGAGATCAACAGATCACCTAGAGTCCCCCTTTTATTTTGTTTTTCATTTTCATTTTCAATTTTTTTTTTCGGAAGCCACGGTTAATTAATAATAAAAGAATGATACACACACATCTAGAGTCCCTGGCGTTGTCGAATAATAGGCTTTAACCGTCATTACATTCGGCAACGCTATCCATTAGTGTGCGCCCTACACTAATGTAAAAGCATTATTTCATCAAATCTTTACTCATTGTACACTTTCACTCATACACCCTTGTAGCATTCAGTTTACAAGGGTTGTAAGCATTTCCGCGTTGGCTCTCCACACACGCACGACTCACGTTCGTTCTCTAAGTGTCTTGCCCGGAAAAGCAAATGAAGATGGTCCAGCCTATTCCTCGATCACAAATCCACCAGCATCACTCACATCGCGCAATCTAAAAATGAACATATAGTAAGGCAGTTATCACTTGGAAAAGTGATTTAATACTAGCAACCATGGCCCAGATTGATGGTTTACATGCGCGAATCCTGCGTTGCACTTCTATCGATGCGCCCCACCTTGCGAATACAGAGCGCGGGATACATCTGTGGGCTGTGGAAGGATAGTGAACTCGAACGCTACTTTTTGTGGTGCAAGTTGCACCCAAGCACGAATCGATTATTTTCATCTCACAAACTAGACAGAAGCAGGCTCAAATTGAGGACTCTTGGTAAAACTCTGATGGGTAGTACCCTTTATGGCTAGGAATCCATTTTTACCAATCACAGCACTGCACATGTATGTCGGTCGTCTGGAGGCAACAGACCTTTTTGTTTTGCAGTTGTGTTGCGTGATGTGTCTATCCCATCCCACTGTAATTTGTGCCGCCGTGTTCCTATGCAACTTTGGGCTGTCGCTTTGCATGGCTGTGGAACAAAAATTTAGCACATGTATGCTTGTTTTCGAGGCACTCCATATCCGGGCTCACTGTGTCCACTTCTGGCCTTTCTTTTTGCTTGGTTGTTTGTTTGGTTGTTTGATTGATTCACATAATTCCAGTGACAGTAACTACAGCAATGGTTATCTGGTAATTCAAGCTTCCGTTTTGTCGCTGTTTGCATGATTCTTCTTCCTTACCCCATCAGACTGTGTGCATTCGTGTGCAGCTGTGGGCTGTCTCCATGCATGCTGTGGATGGGAAAAGTGATATGACTTTGGTGTTTCCAATCGGCCCACTCTATTTGTCTCATGCATCTTATCATGTTTTCTTAAGCACACTCTGTCACTCTTCTTGATCTACTATTTACTTTTCGATCTGCAATGCTCCCTATTCACTGCCATTCCTCTGCATGCACTTCGTTCGCTCTGCCTATTATGAACCAACCGAGTTTCGGAACGTTGATCCGCGACCGTTGTTACCCGGCAATGCAAGTGTCTGACCGTTGGCCACGATGATGGTTGGCCACGATGATGGTTTTTTATTCAAAGAAGTCCAGGTCATGAACCATCTCGCTCTCATTCAAGTATAAATATGCGCCTTAGTCCATCAGTCTTCCCTTCTCAACACCACACTTTACTCTCGTCTCACCCCAAGGTAATAAACGCTTTCCTCTCCTCTCTTCCACAATACAGCAGTTGTTGTGCCATGCTTGACGATGTTCATTCTGGCTCCCTTAGAACTAACGTTATTTATTTCTTCTCACTTTGATCAGGAATCACACCATGAGGACCTTCTTGAAACTCTCCTTGCTCCTCGTAGGCCTGCTGTCAATGGACGCTGCGCCCGTCAACGGCACCGATACTAAACTCGTGCCTCTCGCAAGCGAAGCCGATCTTGCCGCCTTCTACTTCAAGGGTTGTGTCCCAGGAACTACCAAGATTACTCCATTGGAAGGCGGCGCCACCGAGTATTCGTGCACCAAGGAGAAGGGAAGAAGAAACGGATCCAGCAAACATCAATTCGGCACCAACCTGATTGTCCACACAAACAGCGGAAAAGTCAGCGTCAGTCTTGGCGGCTATGGCGGTGGTATTAGCGGTACCATTCAAGGATTCGAGTTTGCTGGCTCTGTCGACTCTGCTTGGGGCACGTCCAGAACTGTTGCTTATCCATACAAACGGTCTATTGACGCTGTGCAGAACCTTGGTCAGACATGCAGCGGCGATGGCCATTTCTGCTTTGACGTAATTGATGGAGTTTGCTACTTCTATTTTTCGAACAAGGTCTGGGTACAGGCTTGCCCCCTTCTGAAGGTCATTCGGTTTTCTGTTGATCCTTAAATGCACCCTGTCCTCCACAGCCACCTGTGACAAACTTGTCCTACTTTATGTCACTAAGACTGCAAGCCCTTCAAGCTCCAATCGCCCCAACCAATTCACCAACTCAGAACCCTCTCCCGAAAATAAAGTAGACCCTCCTTCTGTGCTCAGCATAAATGATCGGTTTTTATTTTTTTTTACATTCATTTCCCTTTATCTTTCTCATTGCGACCAAAAACCTCCAGCTCAGAAATACACTGTCTTAACCTTGTCATTGTCCCTGTACAACTAAAAAATAAATCGCTACTATACATGGAATTTCGATTACCACATCAGTAATTTAATTACCTCAAAAAAAATCACTTTTGCAAAGATAAAACAAACTGCAAACACAATATGTATTGTTATTTAGTGCTTTGTGTTGCTACCTTTGGCTTTAAGAGCAGCAGCAACACAATCAAGCATGCTCCTGTAAAGGTTTTGAAGCAGCTCAAGAGGGACCTTTTCCAAAAAAAATCAATACGTTTCCAGAACTCTTTCATATTTTGAGGTGAAATGGAGTATTGAGAGAGAGCATGCAGCTCCAAACGTGCTCAATAGGTTTAAGGTCAGGCGAGTTGGGGGCCACCAAAGAACTGTGATCTCCTGCTGTTCAAACCACTCTTGGACAATTCTTGATGTATGGACAAAGGCGTTGTCTTGTTGGAAGATGAAAGTTTCTGGAGCCATGTCAAATCGATCCCGAGCTTCAACAACATGGTCTTGAAGTATTTTGTTCTTTTCGCTGAGGGCTTGTCCGATGGTTCATATACATTGAACGAGATGGGGAAACACTCTTCATGTCTAACGTGACGATATTTATTTTCTCGGCGAATCCAAAGATATCCCTTGGGTAATTTGAAATCGTCATATTCTTCTCAAAAAATGCGCTGAGGTTTTTTAATCGCTGAACACGTTTGAATTCTACTCTACGCTAAAACATATTCACTCATACTTTGATTTGAATATCGCTGTCCTCAACCCCTCAATTTCGCGCTTTCCCCGATCGGGTGCGAAGGGGTGAGTACTTACGAGGATGCGAGTGAACTTCCCCCTCTTCCTCCTCCCCCTCCCCCTCCTCCTCTTCTTCCTCTTCCTCTTCTTCCTCGTCCACGTCCACATCATCCCCTCCTCCCTGTCTTCATACTCTAGTTCATCATCCCAACCCTCAATATACGGGTCTTGATAACCCTCAGAAAAGGCTGGGCTGACATCAAAAAGACGCCCAAGTAGAGCTCCAGCAAGTGAAAGCTGGAAATTTCGCCCAACCTCGTGGATCCACCCTCTTGCCATTGCAGCATCAATTCGTACTAGACCATGTGCTACACGACCCGCAAGGGTCTCGGCTTGAACAATCTCCTGGCGGACATGGGTCTCAATGCTGCTGAAGACGGACTCAGCAGCATAGAGATGTGGGCTGTAAGGAGGGAGGAAGAGAAGGGTGTGACCACTTGCAATGACGGCATTTTTGACCCTCTGGGTCTTGTGGAACTTGGCGTTGTCCATGAGAAGTATACAGTGCCTGTCCCCGAGAGGGGGAAAAGTTGATCCTCCAAAAATTCGGTAAAGGTCTCTTGGTTGTAGGCACCGCGCTTGAAGTGGTGCGCTAGGATGTCCATCAGATTCCATCTTATCAACCGCAATGACCAAGGACATGTTCGGGCCACGGTTGTAGGGGACCCTCTGAATGGCACGCCTGCCTCGGGGAGCGCGACCATACTTGCGGGTGATGTGCAAATTGAAGCCAGCCTCGTCAATGTAGACAAAGTGATTTATATTACCAGGACCAGGAAGGACATTCTCGGCCTATTGTCGTCGACTCTCAATGTGCTCGGGCTCGTTGTATCTTTCTGCGTCGGCCCTCATCAGCTTAAGTGTATAGGCAGTAAGCTTGTCGATGGCCCTATCCACAGTACGTTGGGAAAGGGGAGGCTGGATCTGAAAGTGCTCATTCAGCTGGTTGGTGAGCAACTCAAAAAGGCGACCGGCAAACTCGTCCATATTCTCAATGAGCCAGTCAAGATGCGATTGCTGGACCCTGCTGATACGGCTGCCACCCCTAGGCAGCTGGGATATGCGGTTGGCCTGAATGAAGGTGTTGGCAATGCTTCTGACAGTAGATGCGGGGATGTTGAAGTTGCGAGCCACCATTGCCATGGTCTTGGCCTGGTCAACGACCAGTTCAATGATCCTTTCCCTAGTAGTATTGTCAATTTTTTTATTCTTCCTCCTTCTGATGGGTGGAATAGAGCTGTAAAGAGTGTGTGGAGGTCTTGTTGAGATGAAGTGTATGATGAGGAGGGGCAAGGTGACAACAGCGTACTTTATATGATAATACCGGGCAGTGCCCAAAAAAAGCGAAGTTGTTTCAAATGGAGTGATGAAAAGGAAATCTAATGCCAATCATTCTAAAATTTTAGTGCGCATTGTATTAGCATACCATGACGATATTACTACGCACCTGCGCATTTTGGTCAGGCTGTACAGCAGTTTTAAATGTCAAAAGGGATAATTGGGGGTTTTTTTGGACTTCAATAAGAGGGGAAAACCGCAGTGATTTTCTGGAGGGAGAGGGGAGGAGGATGGAGGGGAGAAGGGAGGGGAGATATCGATTGCGGAAAAGGTGACAGGAAATTTAACATAGCGATATTAACTGGCTTGTGGCAGCCAAGCGTTCATAGCGACGTTGCTTTTTGATTCTGGTCAAGAATCCTCACTGGTCTTTAACAGCATGGCGCATAAGCGGCGCCGCCACGAGGACGAAGGATACGACGACCAGCCGACCATCAAGTACGCCACCATCGAGGACCACGAGATAATGGTCCCACATCACAAGGACGAATCGGTCCCCCATCGACCTCTCATTCGCGACGTCCGCTTCCCCAAGACAACTGTCACCAGTCAAACGATCAGCATCCACATCGCCGCGATCACCAACCTACTCGGCCTCCCGCCGAACAAGACTCGACCCAAAGCCCGCGCTATCGGCCCTACAGGGCCATCAAGAAGGGCGCCCATGTCAACGACGTGATTGTCAACAATTACTACCGCCTGACGCGAGCAACTGCGACCAATTTGACGTCGTTGGTTTCTCTCATAACTTCTGCTCTGGATTCACATATATGGTCCTGGCCCGGCGGATAATATCTAGCGGAGCCGAAGATATGAAGGCTCAAGCCTATTATCCGAGGACCAGGGCCATATATGTCCCGCCCTTGGATTTTTTGTTTTCCAACCCTTTCTGTCTCCTGGCACCTGGCTCACACCACGAAGATAAGGGACAGATCTGGTGCCTGAGCAGAACTTATTTAATTTTTTTTTTTCTCTTTTCACTTTCGTTTAGTTTTCCGGATTTTCGCATTTTATACAATAAAAGAAGATAACACATATATGGTCCTGGCCCTCGGATAATAGGCTTGAGCCTTCATATCTTCGGCTCCGCTAGATATTCTTTTACTTTTCGCTCCTTCCTGCCATTCATAACAGTCACACAGACACAGACCCACGCTCTCGCATTCTGGCATTGAATCATCACGCCCTTCCCCAACTTGCCCCTCGCTCCGACCTAAGAAAAAAGAGTGAAGGAGGAGGTGTGCACCTCGGTCTCATAGCACACTACCCACTAAGAAAAGTGAAGTGAAGCGCCTTTGTTGGCCACAGAGCAAATAGATAACCTTTTTTCAGCGCAGAGTTTAGCAAATCGGCTCGCTTTTTTCGAAAGGAATAGTAAGGGTTGATCATGGCTTTAGTTTGAATGTCGAATGTCTATCCCCTTGAGTATGGAGACGTTTTCTCACCAAAACAGGGGAAATGTCAATCACAATAACTGCAGTGACTCCATCAGGATAATCGACAATAATGGTAAGTCAGTTTGGTATTTCAGACACAACGTCCTCAGAACTAGCACTTTTGATTCTGGGAGACGGCACGATGTGGTGGGAAGGAGAAGTAAGTGGACGAGGTTCTGGTAGAACCAGAATAGCCTGGGATATACATGGGGTCAAAAAGGCGTAGGGTAATCAAAGAGGCTGTTTATAAAAAGCGGCATTGGTTTTGAAGCAACGCAAGCATCCTCAGCAGCACAACAACCATCCTCAGCGGCATGGCAGGCGTCCTCAATGGCGCGTGGAGTAGGGACAGTAATCGAAGGCGTAATACCTAGACAAGCACAAGCAAGTGCACCATCGAGCATTTGGACCTTCATTCCAGTAATGTTTTCATGATCGCAAATTATGATTGCTATGTACTGGTCAAGACTTGTCTGTCTAGTTAACGAGGCCAATATGTGTAGAATGCGCGCCCTACCTGATGGACTTTTGGACTTGGGCCTTTAGTTTTATCAAAGAGTGTTGTTGACGTGGCAAGGAACGTAGACTTTTGTTGATATCCTAGTGATTGCGGTTGTGATGAAGGGCTGTCAAAAGTTTTGTTGTTGGTTTTTGGCACGAGCCGTACATTGAGTCTCTTTTATATGGATAATGAAATGCTATTGATTCTTTTTTTTTCCAGTCAGGCAAAGCGAAGGGCATACGAAACAAAGGGTAGGTGAAACAAATAGGTAGGATAATTCAAGGACAGGTGGAACCAATGGCACATCAAGAAAGAAAGTATAGGGCCTGCAAAAACGGAGGGTATGAAAGGTAAAGGTATGAAAGACAAAGGTATGCAAAGACAAAGGTATGTCAAGTCGAGGGTTAAGGGAGGGGGAAAAAAAGTCAAGAGATAGCAAGGCAAGTGTTGAAAAGTTCGAGGGGATAAAGGAGACTCTTGCGCAAAGGTCAACGACTGGCACCGGGCATGATATGGTCCTAACACCGGCCGCCTTACTGTTGCAAACTGTCCTTTTGTTCTTTATGTGAAGTGGGAGGTGATATAACAAAGGAAGCGTGAAAGAAATCAAAGGCATAGGGAGAAGGAGCCGAAGACTAAAGATATATCTGAGCTGAGGGAAAAAAAATTCACAATGCTGTAAACGATACCATCGATTATTATTTTTTTAGCTAGCAAAGAGAAGCGAACTTGTGCGTAGAGGTAAAGCAGACAAAGTCTTCTCGTTTGACTCTTTAATCAATTCTAGTAGTACGTTCTGGGAGGCGCAAAAAGGACGTGCGACGTGTGTGTGTTTCTTTTTTTGTCGGAGACACTTGATGCCAAAGGTATGGAAAAGCCCATATCTACAGTAAAAATATTAGGCGCCATCCAGCAATAACTGATATCCTTTAATCAGCAGGGTATCAAAATTCCAAAAAAAAAAAAAAAAAAAAAGGGGTAGACAACGATGAAGGAAGGCGAAGGGACCTATGCACGCGAATGCATCCCTCTTAGTTGTATTATCACGCAAAGAGGACTCGCAGGTAGCAATAGTTAATTCTTTGTTAGTGGTGTCACCTGCATGACTAAAATGACTTCCTACGAAGGACCAAAGTAAAGAAGAAAGAAGGTAAGCAGAGAGAAGGATGGGGCATATTTCCATGTCGCGTCGCACGGAAGTGGGTTACCCCCTTACCTTGTTTGTCCATGGAAAGAATATAGGTAATGCCTTATTCTTGTTTTGCTCCTTCTATCGAGGTAAACATTTCAAGGGGAATGAGGTTAGAGGCAGGAACATTGTGAGTGCGTGATTGTTTGTACGTGTTCCCCAATCGGTCACATCAAGAAAGAGAGAATTATAACGCGTCGTTTTGGTCGATAGGGTTGCGATACAAGGGAAGTGTGTGTGGGTGAGTGTCTTGGAGAAGAAAGAGAAAATGGAAGAGGGTTCCGGGAATCTGGGGAGAAACAAAATTCAGGGACAAGGTTTTGCTCATTCCTCAAATCTGGTCGTTTGATCGTCGTGGGTGAAACAACGAACAAAGTCGGCAGCTATAAAACTCAGAGAGGAAGTTGCAAATACACAATTGCAAAAGGGAACAGGCCCATACGGGATCGGCTTTATATAACTAAATACAAGTTGCAGGCATTCGTTAAGGCCGAGAAGAACTCTCAGGGACAAAGGCTGGGTCACTGTCATTGTCGCCAGGGGAGAACAACGTGTTGGACTTCAACGTGGACCCAGGGTTCGACTGGTTGGAAGATCCCCACTTGAAATGACCCAGTCCTTGCTCAAAGATCTGTTTCAGTCGACTGGCTGTCTGGGAACTGCTCGAGTAGATCGACACTGTCCTGGGCATCATGTTGGGACGCTGTCCAGGCATTGACAGCGCACGGGATCGAGTGATGGATCGCCCCGTCTCCGGTGTCAACAAGGCAGGCCCAGTGGTCGGGCCGTTCGGAGACTGGCTGTGTTGCTGAGACGAAGCATGGGTAGGAGAGGGACCACCTGCGCTCTGGTAGTGATTGGGATCCGGACTCGACATGGTGCTGGGAATCGTCCCTTGCGTCCCGCGAGCAGCATCAATAATTGCTGCTTGGATCGCCATCGGTCCAATGGGAATCTCGGCATTGTTGGTGGGTTGGGATCGGCGAGCGTCATTGATGACATTCTCGCTGACCGTCCTTTGAAAGTCGGGAACATGGAGTCGAGGTCTGCTCGGTCCCTTCATACTCCTGTTGCTGCTCTGGCTGGTTCTGGTCGAGTCCAGAACATACTCGTCCTTGATGTGGTCCATGTGGTCGTTCATACTGGGACTACAACGATGGCTCAACTGATGTCGTTGATCTGATGGCATGGACGGATGCTGTCGCAATGTTTTGGTATAGTCGAGACCATCCGGATCTTGCCCAAGGCCATCAGTCCCAGACCGAAGTGTGCCCGAGTCCACCGTGGTATGACTATAGTCCGTCGTTCCTGAAAGACTTTCGTTCCCGTATACACTGACGCCCAGTCCATGGCAGGAAAGCCTGCTTGATCCAAGTTCTGGACGCTCGGCGGAGATGACTGCCAAGTCACGCTCGAGGATAGTGCGGTAGCAATCCAATTTAGTCCGCTCCAACATCAACTGTCGCAAACGCTTGCCGACAACAGTCGCACTCTGGACAATCTTTTGGCGGGTCGTGCTTTGGAGAGGAATCATCACTTCAAGCCCACGGGCCAGACGGAGCTCAGCGGCCAAGGAAGCCGAGCAGGCATTGATTTGGCGATCGATATCCTTCATCTTTGCCTGCAACAATTGAGAACGCCCATCCAGTGGTTCAGCTCGGGTCGGTGATTCCGCCTTTTGTCGTCTCCGCAGTTGGTGTCGACCCTGCTCATCCTTGATCCAGAACACGTCGTCCGCCCATGCGACCCGATAGTTGCGGAGTCGGACACCAGCAGTCTTGAAGGCTGAGGCATAGTTGATCTTGGCCATCCAGTCGTTCATCTCGTGCTCCGAGTCCGCTCTGAAGAGGTACTGCTTGCCGTTCGGACAGACAAGACGGAACACGTGGGGGTATTTTTGGTAGCTGCTATCGATCACTGCAATGGAATCCAGAGTCGAGATCAAGGCTTGGGGCATCGAAGGTGAACCGCCACGCATTTCCGATGCAAAGTATCCATCTTCCTCTGGTGGGTCTTGTGGGTTGAATCCGACATTGGAGGCGCGTTGTTGCTGAAACCAGGTGGTGTCGGTAAAGAACAAGAGTTGTGAACCGCTCAAAATAATGCCCAAATCCCTCCATCCTCTGACAGCGCTCTTCTTGCCGTTTTCGACGTCAATCTTGCGGGAAAGAACGCCAAACTTGACAATCTTGAGCTCAGCGCTGCCATCCTGAGAGACGACCACATTGTCGTTGTATCGTCGTACCGCGTCTGATGTTGGATCCCGGTCGCCATCAAGGTGAATCATGGTCTCTGGTCGGATAGAGTGCGCTCCTTGTCCGAGATTAGATGGTTCGTGGGATATATAGTGCCCATGTCCTCTGGTTCGTAATCCTGGGACATATGTGAGGGGTGCCCTTGTGAACTGGTTGTTGATCTGCACGTTATCGACCATTTCGATCGTGCCCTTCCAGTAATACGGCCAGCGAAAAGGGATCAGATCCGTAAGATCTGGTGCCAAATGTGCAATGCTTCCCTATTTTTCAGAATCCAAAAAAAAATATTAATGAGCGAGTCATTTGATCCGCATGAACGTATACCACCAAAGAGTGTTGTCATCCAGAATCGAAAAGGAGACGTACATGTCGGATCATGTTGTAAGAGTCGGCCCGCTGATTGCTGGCGGTCCGTCGACGAGGGAACCATGATCCACTGGTAGGCTGAACTTCTGCAATCCTCTGTCCGTCCACGTCCATCTCATCCTCTGCATAGACAAACTTCAAATATGTGATATTGTCGTAAAGGACCTAGATGGCGGAGTGAAATTCAAGGAGTCAGTAATGCACGTATGAACAATATTTGTAGTAGATGTGATAAATTAATGTCAATCAACTGTACCTCCAGAATGTCAGCAGGGATGGTATTGACGCCGTCGATGCTTTTCGCCTGACGGACATATTGATCCTTGGACATCTTGTAACGGACGTTCTTGTTATGGGCATCGGTATGGAGGAGCATAAGTGAAAACGCAATTGTATAGACAACGTCTAAAGGTGAGAACACATTGTGCCAATTGCAAGAAAAAAAGAGAGCAAGGGGGCCGGTTGGTTGGGTTGGTTAGATAGGAACGGTCAAATTTCATCTGCAATGTGGCACACCTTGCAGTTGACCATCGTCAAAATATTTCAGTTCATGCTGTCGGTTTAACAAAGACACCTGCCTGATGAACGAAAGAGATGGGGATTGCATGCGTGGTACTGGCCGGCGAATGCTTCGAGAACTCGATCGATTTGTTGTGCCTCTTTGGGGAAATGAAAGTCTAAAAGAAACTTTCTACAAATAGTTGCACAGAGTTAGAAAGGAACCGTTGCTAAAGTTGGACGTGCTCAGAAAGATGTAATTGATACGAAAATAACCAACTGGCTCCCACTCCTGTGCATGAGCGAGATCGTATTCCCCTTTTTACGACATGGACGCATATAAAAAAAAGATAATACGTACCGAAGGGCAAGGTCGATGGGATCTCGCCTAAAGTCAAACGATTCCATATGGATCCTGAGCACGGCTTGGTGGAATGGATCGGGCTCTTTGGACAGGAGGGTTCCGAGCTCAGCCTTGGACACTGTTTCCTTGACTCGCTCCAGGAACTGGCGAGGGTGCTCTGGCCATGTTGACAAGTCGTCAGTCTCTCCTGAATTGGCCTCGGTCCCCGTATTTGTGTGTGTGTTTTTGCCGTTGCCATTGTCCTGGGTATTTTTGGCACTGTAGTCCTCTGGAGGAGTGATGACTGTGGATGGAGTTGTCGGTTCTTGTCCTGAGGCTGGTGTTAGTCCGGAAGTTGCAGTTGGCTCGGTGTTGGGTTCCCCTGTTGGTACCTTTCCTGTCTCAGTTGAATTGGGGTCTGCGGGCCAACCGGATGGAACCATCCTTGATTCGGTAGCAGGTGCCTTCCTCGAATCATGGGCGGGGATTGACGAGAGGGAGTGGCCTTTCATTCTTCCAGCGACGGACGCTGATACTGGTGTTGCTGTTGTTGCTGAGGTGGGCATGGATCCAGAGGGGGAGGTGGGCGAGGTAATCCTTGATACGGGTATCAATGGGGGGAGAGCAGGGAGGATAGTGGGCGGAGAGAAAGGAAGGGACGACTCGCGCTTGGGCGCTCTGGAGAGACGGTTGGAACTGGCGACATGGCGGATGCTGTGATTGTGGATGTTGCCGTTGTTGTCTGATGGCGAAGGTGGTATGGAGGAGGCGTCAAAAGAGGAGGAAGATGAAGAAGGTCCAGCGCCCATTTGAGAGTGGTGAAAGTTCCTGTTGCTGTTGAAGTGATGGTTGGGATGGAGTGGAGGAGGTGTTGCAGCAGATGCAGGCAATGAGCGCTGTTGTTTTTGTTGATGATGGGTAGGTATTGTGATCTTGTTAGGGATCTGCTGATGCATGCGTTGTCTTGGGGAAGACGAGGGTGAGGAGGGTGAACGTGGTGACGGGGAAGCAGGAGTGGTTGTCAAAGAAGAAGGATAAGGAGAGGAGGATGAGGTGTCGTTGATATGGAGGGCCGGCAATAGTTGTTGTTGTTGGTGGTGAGAAGGGGATGGAGGTGATGATAATGATAATGAGGATGACGAAGAAGTGACGATGGACAAGGGAAGAGCGTCAGGGGACGGGTGTTGCTCCTCCTCTTGGGTGTTGCTGTTGTCCTCCTCCTTGTCAGTGCCCTCCTCCTGAAGGCGCACCTCCTGATAGATCAATTGTTGTGGATCGGCCATCTGGGACAATGGTGGCGTCCTTATTCCTGGTGGTACCTCACACTCAAAAGTCTCCACCTGCACATCATGCGCATCGCGCTCATCTTGGTCATCTTGGTATCGCTGGACAATATGATAATCCTGTCCTCCCCCTTCTCCCGTTGTTACATCCTCCTGAGTACCATTATCGTCCTGGTCTTGGTCGTAAAGAAACTCTTGCGTTGTAACATCGGTCGTAGGGTCGTCAGCAGGAACAGCGAGAGCCTTGTCGAGTTGGTCCTCGGGGAAAGGAAAGGAAACATTGACGAGTGACTCCTGCGAGACAGAAACAAAGGACAGAGCTTGTTCGCGGTCATCATCAGGTGGTGGCGCCTGTGCTTGATGACGATTATGGAGACATTGTTCCTGTTCCGGTTGTTGCTGTAGTTGTTGTTGTTGAGGCATAGAGAGGGAGAGGTCAAGGTCGGTATCGGCCATGGTGAGGAAGACAAAGGAAGAGGCAGAGTCGAGCAGGGAGAACGAAGAGGTCGAGGACGTTGATTCAGTTGAAGTGTGAGCAGTCGTCCTTGCTGTTGCCTTGGATGTTGATATTGACTTTTGTGGTATTGATGAAGGAAGAGTTGCTGTTGAAGAAGAGGAAGAAGGAGGAGAAGGGGAGGGAAAAGTAAGGACAGAGGGAGAGGAGGAGAGGAGAGTGGGGAGTGGAGTGGGGAGGGGTATGTGATGATGAGGTGCAGCCATGGAATGCAAATAGAAGGTGATGGAGAGGGGCCGTTGTTATGTGTGTGAGAGGGGAAAGAGGAAGATGATGATCACACGGGTTGTGTGAGGAGATATGGGAATGAGAAAAGAGTGGAGAGAAAGAGAAAGAGAAAGAGAAGAGAAAGAGAGAGAGATGGACAACAAACACAACAAACAGCAGCAGGAAGGAAGGAAGAAGGGTCTTTTAATAGTATGGGACTGGAAAATAGGGTGAGTGAGCCTCTTTTAGCCGAGGAGGAGTGAAATGCAATTTGCATTCAGAGTTCACACTCACTCGCAGACAGGGACAGAGAAGGACACGGACAGGGACAGGCAACAAAAGCTGAGGCCCAGTCCCAGGCAGGCTCAAAAACAAGAGGTCATCACCATCATCCAGGCGTCATTCCAGGATACTCCTGACACATACCACTCGACTTTTTTACGTACCGATATGGACGTATACGAACTGAGAGAGCTTGTTCTCTCGATATGTCTGTTGTTATCTATTGTTGGCTTTTGTTCATTTGTTCAAGAGACGACAAGTATCCTGTCCCCTTTTCATTTCTTTCTTTCTTACTTTCCAATTGTGACTTGGAATTGAATTTCGAATGGCTTTGCCACCACCACTCCATTCTATGTGCTTCGTCTCGTCAGGTGAAGGAAGGACAGACTAGGGCCGCGTCTTCTTTTTTTCTTTCTTTGCGCCCCCACTCTGCTTGTCCTTCTTCTTTCCTCTGCTTTCTCACCCAACCTCCACTCTCCAACAACCACCAAGAATCCAAGGAACACACTCATCTAAGGACACCAATCGCACGCGTAGACACCCAACACCCATACTCACATCGCACTTACACATCAACGATAAACACCACCAAAAAAGAACAAGAAACAAAAGACCGTGGCCATGGACGCCATTAATGCGCGCAAGAACTTTGAGTTCATCAATAACATCAGGTCCGTCAACCCAGAGACGGACCAGATCTACCACTTCAACGAGGCAGAGCAAAAGCGCATCCTCAACGAGTCTCCCTGGAAGAAGGAGTAAGTCTCATCGCCGGTTGTATTATCGATGCGGTTTTAGAAGAAAAAGGCTTGCTTTTTTGTGTGTCATTCCATGACACGGAAACATACGAATACACCCATCACCTGGCGCAGCACTCCATCACAGTCTCGTGTTTTCTCGCCGTTTCCTTTTTTTTCACCTGTCAGTCTACGTTCTTACTCACTGTTGTTCGATTTTCTTACAGCTCGTATTATACACTCCATCACGCTCTTTATTGTTTTTCTTTTTTATCCTAACCGTTGTTGATGTCCCAGTTACTTGTATTTACAATTTATCACTCTTTTTTTCTTTTTTTCTTGCTAACTGAAAGCTAACTTTTCTTGTTCTGCCTCTGTAGTCCTCATTACTTTACCCATATCAAGATCTCTGCCGTCGCCTTGATCAAGATGGTAAGCGATCGCTTTTTTAAGCATTCCCGGTGACCAAGACGCGATATAGGCACGACAAGAGTGGATAAGTCAGAGGACAACAACAGAAGAAAGAATGCTGGAAGGACAACAAGAAAGGATGAATACCGTGTTCAGAAGACATCTTCAAGAAGAAAAGCACGACAAGACATGGATATGTAACAACAGGAACAAGCAGGACAGAATCATGAACAACAAAAAGATTAATCGGGAGCTAAACTATCGAGACCGGGCAAGAGAAAAACAACGATAGGATAAAGTCGAGAATACGAAGAGCAACGACCACAAGCACCGAATACGAAATATCTGAGGATGTGTCTCCCAATATAGTAAACACTTTGGAACGTCAACTAAATAACTTACGTTCCTGCCACCACAAAAACAACAATAGGTGATGCACGCTCGCTCGGGAGGCAACATTGAGGTCATGGGCATGATGCAGGGCAAGGTCCAGGGCAACACCATCATTATCATGGACGCCTTTGCTCTTCCCGTTGAGGGAACTGAGACCCGTGTCAATGCTCAGGTCGAAGGATATGAATACATGGTCCAATACATGACCAAAATCAAGGAGGTACGCTTCTTCTATACCATCTAATCTCGTCCATACGCGTGTGTTCCTTTTGTCAAAGGAATGGGACGAAGCAATATCGCTTAAAGCATTCCCGACTAACATGTCCGTTTGTCGATATATTTATCATTAGGTCGGTCGCTTAGAGAACGCCATTGGATGGTACCACTCGCATCCTGGTTATGGATGCTGGCTGTCGGGAATTGACGTCAACACTCAAATGCAGAACCAGCAGTTCCAGGATCCCTTCGTTGCCGTCGTTGTAAGTATTGCTGGCTTGTTTTATGTTGCATCTAAATACGCTTGAGCATCTTCTTTATGATTTGCTAACAATAACAAAAATCATCAATAGATTGACCCTAACAGAACCATCTCGGCTGGAAAAGTTGAAATCGGAGCCTTCCGCACCTATCCAGAGGTATAACCGCTCTTCGTCAATGAAAGATGCCGCGAGCTATGAAATATAGCCCTGGGCCATTGCTAACGACCAATCGAATATTAATGACAATAGGGATACAAAGCACCGGATGAGGGACCTTCGGAGTACCAGACTATTCCTCTGAGCAAGATTGAGGATTTTGGTGTCCACTGCAAGCAGTACTACCCCTTGGAGATCTCCCACTTCAAGTCCACCCTCGACACACATCTCTTGGACCAACTCTGGAACAAGTACTGGGTCAACACTCTCTCCCAGTCCCCTCTCCTCTCTGTAAGCTTTGGTGCTTTACAACGACATACCCTAGCTCGTACCTACAACTAGAGGACGAATGCCTATGAAGCGACTAATTTCTCAACTTTTCCCATATGAAATAGAACCGTGAATATGCAGCGAGACAGATGTCAGATTTGGCAGAAAAGCTGCAGATGACGGCGAATATGGCGTCGCGTGCAGGACCTGGAGGATTTGGAGGTATGGGTGGATCTGCGGGCCACTTTGGCAAGGACAAGAAGAAGAAGCAGGAGGAGAGTCAGTTGAGCAAGATCACCCGGGACAGCAACAAAATCTCGGTTGAGGCGACCCATGGATTGATCTCCCAGGTCTTGAAGAACGTCCTCTTTACTGCCAACCCCCACCAGAACGACGACACTAGTGCCTTGGGCAACAACCCCATCGACACCGACACTGTCCTCTCTCCCGCCCAGTAAACGGTTGCATGAAGGTTGGGAATGATATTTGCGGACCAAACTGCGAGTGAAAACAGACATTGAAATAAAAAGAATTGAGATCACTGCAAATATTATTTTTCTTTCTCTACTCTTTTCGACTCTCGCTCTGACATTTTTCTTTTTTTTTTGCCACCGACCTGACCTTATCCCATTTTTCTTGTTTTCGCACATGGAGATCTCATCAACTTCGACGCTCGACAATGCAACACTGCAAGGATTACAAGTGATTCAGGATTTCGTCTCTGTCGACGAAGAAGCGCAAATGATTCAACAACTCGATGAACGGAATTGGGCTGGACGAGGGATCGAGCCTAATCCAGAGATGAAACGAAGGCACCAACACTACGGCGGCACCTTTAGCTACCGACTGCGGTAACAATGATCACTCGTATTACGCCTCCAGTTAGTCGTGATTGTTAGGGGTAAACAGAACACTGATATAATGCTCTTCTTCCTCTTGGTCAAGGACAGAAGGGTAGTAGGAAAGATGGAGAGACTGCCGAGCATGTTTGACTTTGTGACGGATCGACTGCTGGACCGCCGGATCTACAAGACCACTCCCAACAGTATTATTGTCAACGAGTACGAAGCAGGACAGGGGATCATGCCCCATGTCGATGCACCTAAACTCTTTGGACCCACTATCACTGCCTTGTCACTCCTCTCCGACTGTGTCATGACATTTCAGCATGTCAAAGAACCTAGTCTCATCTTTCGTGTTCACCTTCGTACGTTCTTTCTTCAAACGTGTCAATTCCACCGCTTGACGCTTTGGAATGTGTTGACAATGGTTGGCATGTGGCATTGCGTGGACTAATTACACTCCTTTTATTCTACTTGCCGCGCAGCACGCCGGTCGCTGGTGGTGATGAATGAATCTTGTCGATACGACTACAAGCATAGCATCTCGAAGGATCTGGTCGAGACGGTGGATGGGATTGAGATAATTCGAGCTCGTCGAGTCAGCATTACATACCGCAACATGCTTGTTGACGAACAAGTCCAGGGTGGACAGGAGCAAAGTCAGACGCCAAGCCGTTGTGGGGCTCAAGCATCTGTATCGCCATCATCTTGTTCCTCGGTATCCACGTGTAACAACAACAACAACAACAACACGAGGTCTTCCAATGGCACTTGCACATAAGAGAAGAGGAGGGTAACCTTCAGGTCTTAATAGAAATAAATTGGTGGCGCCCTTCTCCCTCTGAAGAGCTGAATCGGCTCCCCTTTCTTCTCGGAGAAATAAAAATCACACGACGACCCATTCTCAGCGCATAAAAAGGGATTTCGCCTGTCTTCTTTTTCTTTGCTTTCTTTTTATTAAACAACCACACCGCAGACTCATCTGTTCCAACTCATTCCACCATGGCAGCCCCACTCGCAGTCCCTACGATCGACATCACAGCCCTGCTCAACAACTCCTCAGCAACTACTGAAAAGCAGCACGTCGCTGTCGAGCTCCTCAACGCGTTCACAACCTACGGCGTCTTCTATATCACCTCCCCTTCCCACCCACTCTTTACAACACAAAGCACAAACCAAGTTCTCGATGCCACCAAGCGACTCTTTGACCTCGACGCTGCCGAAAAGGCGCAGATCCCCAAGATCCAACCTGGCGGATTCACTCGTGGATACGTCCCCATCGGTGGAGAGTCTGGCTCGGCGACCAAGGAGCTCAAGGAAGGATTCTCGTACGGGTATGAATGGCCTGCAGAGGAACTCAGGGCCAAACAGGCCGGCGACAGTCTGAACGGACTGCAGGGACCCAATGCCTGGCCTGCTCAGGCTTCGCTCGATCAGCTCGATCAGGGCCACAAGGATGCTTTCAAGGGCACTCTCCAAGAGTTTTACCTCCACGTCTGCGATATTGCTAAGGGTCTCCTCAAGGGCATCTCTCTGGCATTGGCATTGCCCGAGGACGAGCTGTCAAAGTACTGCACCACCAGCGAGACCATCTCCTTCATGCGGCTATTCCATTACCTCCCTTATGCCGACCAAGGCCATACTGCCCAGATTGGCTCCAGGTATGTTGTAAAAAAAAACGAACGTCATGGTCTTTGTGAATCTACGTGGGAAAAAATATGTACGGTACATTTTGTAAAATACCGACGATGAATCATACATACCCAGCTCCAGCAACAGCTACTGACCGGGTATTCCTCCATCCATCTTCGGACTTTTTATTTCATACCCACTCCCATTCCCCCGCGTTTTGATCAAACTCTCTTCTTCTTCTCTCTTTCTTCCTTCTATCCCGTTTACTCTTGCTGGTACTTTAGCGCACATACGGATTGGGGTTTCTTGACACTGATTCTGTCGCCTTCCAAGACCGTGGGTCTGCAACTGTTCCATGACAACAAATGGCAAGACGTCCCCTCCCGCGACAACAGTCTGGTCATCAACGGAGGCGACTATCTCTCGCTCCTCACCGGAGGTAAACTGATCAGCCCATTGCACAGGGTCGTCAGCAACGGACAGGAGGAACGCTACTCGATGTGCTGCTTCTACTACCCAGACTATGATGCCAAGATCCCCTTGCTGGTTCAGGAGGAAGTCAGGGGCCAGGCAGCTTCCGGGAACTACAGTCTTTTGAGAGACCAGCGTGACGAGGATGCCAAGCACGATGCTACATCTGCTGCCGCCAAGGATGGTCAGGATGCTCGGTCGGTGGCCACCAAGCTGCTCAACGGCGACATCAACTTTGGAGACTACATCATCAGCAAATGGACTCAAGTCTACCGCAAAGGTGGCGCCTACTAACTGGCAAAGCATGAAATAAATCAATCTTTTATCGCGTTTTTTTTTCAGTAAAATACTTAATGGTACAAAGTGTAAAACTAATCTACTTGTTCTTCTTGGTCTCCTTCAAGTCAACGCCCTCAGTGACAGCCTTCTTGGCATCCGAGCTGGAAGAAGCAGTAATAGCTGGATTCTTCTCATCCTCCTCAGCTCCAACCTGACCAAACTCGTTAGCACGAGAATGATCGGTACGGTAGATCCAGCGCTGGTAGAGGTAAATAAAGAAAACAACGTCGTCGCGGAGACAGGCCAAGCGATGCAGCATGGGCATCTTGATAATGAACGAGAACAAGTCGTCGATAAAAGTGTTCAACGACTTGTACATCATCGTGCGGAAGGGCATATGAGCCACACTCTTGAGCTTGTAGTTGATAAACAATTGGGGGGTCATCTTGATGAATCCAAAAGTGTACACAAACCCGACCAAGGTGCCGACAACGAACGAGTACCACGACTTGTGCTCCTCGTACATGAGAGAGTAGATGGCGTAGCCGCCCAAGAGGGGGAAGGCAGCGTAGGTGAGGTACTTGAAAGCTTCTTCGTCGTACTCCTTGGTTCTTTCCTCCAAATCGCTCAGGGGTTCGGAGGTGTTGAAGTGCAGACGCCAAGGGAAAACGCCGGTCGTGGCGGGGACAATGTCGACCTTGAGGGCCTTCTTGACCTTCCAGAGCTCAATGGCCAGTCCTACTCCCTGTCCGATCAGAATCATGTAACTGGTCTCTGAGTTGTTGTCCATCAAGTACAAGAAGACAATGATCTGCTGAGCAATATCCAAGAAGATCGAGCGAACCGACAATCCGGCCGTTCCCTTCTTATCCTTCCAGAACGCAATATCTACATTACATTGGCAAAGAATAAACAAATTAGCTGATAGGCTCATGTCCTCGAAGACTACATTACCCCATGCCAAAGTGCCCAGAAACGCAGCAACTTACCGTTCTTGAAAGCCAACATCTCAAAGGCACTGTGGAGACAGCTGACAATGACGGTAAGAGCCAAGAGGAAGGGGTTGGTCTCAACCAACATGCGCTTGACCTCATCGAGCTCTCCCCCAGTACCACCCATCATTCCTGACTGCTTCGACATGCCGATATCCAAAGACGAGTACATCTGTAACTTCATGTAGCTGATAGGGTGGAAGTTGATCCTAAGAGGCAGCTCCCTAATGAAATGAAAATGGTTATGCATCCAACACATAGGTCAGTCACCGTCGAACAAGCCATTGACTTCATTTGACTAACAATAGGTAATCCAGAAACACTTAAGGCTATGAAAATAGCTTACTTGACAGTCTCGTTGATGGCGGTCATGTGCTCCTTGAGCTGCCAGAAGTCGTTGATGTAGATTACTGGGAGGACAAATCCGTTACCGTGCTGATCGTGCTTTCCTGTGCTCTCCAGTTGGTACACTACATCATAACGCATAGGAAAAGAGTCGGTGTGAGTGTTACTGTGATGAAGATATAGCAAGTCCAGAAAGAACTGTGATTTTAAGCAAAATGTAACTTACTGGGCTTCAACTCTGGGGGAAGGGCAGCGTAAGGGATGACGGTGCGGTCAGCAAGAACGGCGATGGTCAAGTTCTGGTGCCAGTACGACACAATGGTAGAGCCACCCTCAGGGACAGTGGGCTAACATTAGCAATGAAGTATTAGCAAGTAAGGTTGTTAGTATACAAGACCTTTGCCGATCATGAAATGAACAAAACCATGCGATGCCCAAGTTCCCGATATGCATATCCATTCGTACCTCCTCGACGGGGTTCTCAGGCTCTGCCTCAGCCTCCTGCTTGCCACCGACCAACTTCTTGACCTTGAACTCTCTCTTCTTCTTGAAGTAACGAGTCAATGCTATGATTCGGAGATATGAGCAACGTAGGTTAATGCGCTTTCTTCAACATGACACACAACTTCTGAAAGAGAGTTGTCAGACAGAACTTACGCTTGCGGGTGTAGACGCGGTTGTCGAGGCTAAAGTCCTTGGAGGTAGGGCTGAGGGGAGTGTCCCTCTTGGCAAAGTAAATATGGGCATACAGGGTTCCGTTGTTCTGAACATGCTGAGTGGACGAACCCGTATTTTGTGATAGGACGTAAAAAAAAGAAAAACGAAGGTACGTGGGGGTTAGTCTTTCGATCGCATTTCATTCTTCCTGCACAAGAAAGTTCGCTCTCGTTGAAATCTTCCTTTTCATTCCGTTGTCTTCCACAACTGCGTGGGTGTTGTGTGACACCATGGTTCTTATCGCGCAACTCTAATACAAGTAATCGATTTGGGGATTTTACCTTGGATGGCTTGATCGAAAGGTCGACGACGCGGTCTTCGGTCCAATCGCCGAGTTCAATATCATCTGATCGCCACACAAGGCTGTTCTTGTCCTCAAAGTTACTGAACTCGTAATCCTCAGACACATACACGAACAGGTCCTATATCCATTGTGAAAGTAGTAAGTTAGCATCCCCTGTGGAGGCAAAAGATTTTAAGAAGAGAAAATGAGAAAGAAAGGACGAAGGGACTCACGGCCTTGGTCTTGTCTTCCCAGAGAGGGAAGGCCTTAGGAGGGTTGAATCCAAAGGGTTGGGCGAGTCCATCGGGGCTGTTGGTTTTAACGGCCGAGTCTGGGTGAGGAGCGACAGGTTCCTTCTTTCCGCCGAATCCTATTGTTCAGAAGACACGGTTGCGAGTGTGAGGTGTGAGTGATCATCCGTGAGGATCCAGTATATCAGAGCCCTGGGAAGAGAGTAAAGAAAGACATACCTCCGCTGAAGAAGGACATGACGGCATAGGCCATCATAGCGCGGGTGAGGATTTGCATGACAGTCTGGGAGAGGGTCTGCTCCTGGCGCTGCTGTCCCTGAGCAGCCTGGCCCGCTGCTGCGTTCTGTTGAGGCATCCTTTATGTACTCTTGGTCCTGGGTGTCAGTGTGTGTGACCTGTAGGTTCCGTGTGTGCAGAGTGGTCCTGTGTCGAAGTCCTCTTTTTCTTATTGACGGAAAAAGGAAGGATGATGATGGTGATGATGGTGGTGGTGATGAGGGGTGAGGACAAAGAAGAAATAGAAAGAAAAAAAAAAAAAAAAAAAAAGGAAAAAAGAGATGACTTTGAGGGGAAAAGAAGGTTGATCAGCTACTGTTACATACGCTCCTTTCCCCTTCAACGTTCTAGTCTCTCTCTCTTCTCCCCTTCCAGCCAACCAGCCCGCTCCAAGTCTCCGACAAGCCACCCTCCCAGAAGGACCTTCCTTGGTACTGTAGACCCATGCACGGTTCAAACTGGACCAACCTCTTCCCTTCTTAACATCACACCACACCTAATCCTTCATCGCTCCCTTTTCTTGTCACTCTTGACACATCCTTCCTTACCCATCAACAACCTCCTCTCTCTCTCTCTCTCTCTCTCTCTCTCTCTCTCTCTCTCTCTCTCTCTCTCTCTCTCTCTCTCTCTCTCTCTCTCTCTCTCTCTCTCTCTCTCTCTCTCTCTCTCTCTCTCTCTCTCTCTCTCTCTCTCTCTCTCTCTCTCTCTCTCTCTCTCTCTCTCTCTCTCTCTCTCTCTCTCTCTCTCTCTCTCTCTCTCTCTCTCTCTCTCTCTCTCTCTCTCTCTCTCTCTCTCTCTCTCTCTCTCTCTCTCTCTCTCTCTCTCTCTCACACACCCACACTTGGACTACAACCCTCCCTTTCGTCCATTTTTATATTTACCCATCAACGACTTGCCTTGTCCTTCAACCCAACAGCCCTGTTTTCATATCAACACATACCCTTCACAACAACGAGAGATACTACCGACATAACGCTGGATCCAACACCATGGCATCCAACAACAACTCCTCCTTCCGTGCCACACAATGGGACCCCGTCCTTATCCTGGTAAACAACCCGCTCTTCTCAGACACACCTCGACACTTCATTCCAACGATATTATGAACCTGACACAAATGCCATCACGCGCATGCATACACTTTATATTTATCCAAGCCGACGCTCTACATATTCTAACCTCCAACCTCGCTCCACCCCTCCGATATTAGTCGCAAATCGTATGTCTGCAGGCTATATGGTACATCTCCATCTCGACCATTGTCTATACCCTCTTCCGCTTCTCAGGGATAGACATCACCCTTGACGCCATCCTCAACTACCGCGAGATCCGCGCCGATACAGCCGAGGGCATGCTCCTCGGTCTAGCATGGCTCCTCAACTCTCTCGTCGGGTAAGTCTCAGGGCATTCACAGTTGCCATTCATGGATGATATTCTCTATAATCCCCTTTCTAACACCCTTTTTCTTCATCTTGAAATAATTAGGGTGTACTTATTGCTAAAGATAGTTTCGCGTGCTCGCCTGGTACTCGACTACTCGATCACACTGCTGCTCTACCATGTTCTGATGGTCACTATGTACTCGGATCATGTCCCTTCAACCTTCCTCTGGTGGGCACTCAACGGCACAACCTGTGGCATCATGATCTTTGGAGGAGAGTACATATGTATGCAACAGGAAATGGAACCCATCATTCTCGGTGGCTCCGGAGGCAGTCAGTCCAACAATACCAACAACACCTCGTCAGGAAACAACAATAATACCAACAGCAGTAACAACTCTGGGGGAGGAGCTGGAGGGGTCGTCAGCTCAGGAGCATTGGCACCTCAGGGAGCGTCACTATCAGGAATGCACGACGGATACGGCAACTATGAAGAATCTGCGGGGCTCTTGATGGAAACACTCGATCACAGCAGTAACGGCGACCTGTCAAATCACATGTCTTTATCGGGATCTTCCAGGACTATGCCCACAAAAGCACGTTCAAGCGAGGATACAGGCGGGTTCAGAGGAGGTAACAGTGGCTTCTCGCCCGCCATTCGCTCAAGTATCCTTGGCAACCAAGGCCATGGTCGTCAACGGACTTCTGATCGCTATGAGTCTGTTCCTACTGCAGACTCGGATAACCGCTAAAGAAAACGACAAGAATATATACTTCTTCGACCTTTTTATTTCACCTCACTTGTATTTTTAACATTCCTGCACCCAAAATAAACCTTTCGACAATTTCCGCCCTCTCAAGACTCAAAGACCACTGAAGGTATCTAGGAACACAAGTCGAAAGAAAAGGTTGCTCATAATATTGGTCATCTAGTACGAATGATTACAAAAACTGGCTGCATTTCATGTCTGTCAACAACCGTGAACTACAAGAAGTGCTGGCTAATGGCAAGAACACGATAATCTACATGTAAGGAAGGGTGAACAACGAATAAAACAAAAAACAAAAAAGGTGCCTGAAACTACCGCACGATGGGCTTTCCTTCAATGGCACGACGGATCTCTTCCTGCGTCAAAGTCTCATACTCCACCAGGGCCTTGGCCAAACGATGAAGCTCTTCCTTGTGCGTCTTGAGCAATAGTGTCGCACGCGCCTGAGCTGCCTCAAGCAACGACTTTGTCTCCGACTCAATCATCTGCTTCGTCGAAGCCGACAGAACCATCATGTCCTCTTCGCTATGCGCCACAGGCCCGACCTTCTCGCTCATGCCGAACTGTGTCACCATGGCTTTGGCTACCCTAGTCGCATGAACAATATCGCTCGAACACCCACTGGTAACATTGTCGCCACCAAAGATCATTTCCTCCGCAACACGTCCTCCCATCGCAACATCCAGCTGAGCCAAGTACTCTTTCCTCGTGAAACTATCCTTGTCCATGTCGGGCAGCTGAACCGTCACTCCGAGCGCATTTCCTCGTGGCATGATCGTGGCCTTGTGCAGTGGCATCGCTCCCGGGGTAAAAAGAGCCACCAGCGCGTGGCCACCTTCGTGGTAGGCTGTCAGCTTCTTGGACTCCATGGTGACAACCTGACTGCGACGCTCGACTCCCATCAAGATCTTGTCCTTAGCGTGCTCAAACTGCTTGATACCGACCTCTGAGACTCCTTCGCGAGACGCCTGGATAGCCGCCTGGTTGATCAAGTTGGCAAGATCGGCTCCAGAGAATCCTGGGGTTCCTCTTGCAATCACAGAGATATCCACTGTAGAACTGGCGTTGATGTTCTTGAGATGGTGCTTCAAGATCTGCATGCGTCCGCGGACATCGGGCAAAGGGACATTCACATGGCGGTCGAAACGTCCTGGGCGAACCAACGCTTTGTCCAGCAGTTCAGGAAAGTTGGTCGCCGCAATAATAATAACACCTTCCGTTTGTGAGAACCTAGTATTTCCGATGAAAAATAGCCATGTCAGTGTCGGCGGCACTCTAGTATGCATCTCGACAATCCAAGCGTCCAATGACATGAACGTACCCATCGAGCTCGACGAGCAATTGGTTGAGCGTCTGCTTCATGTATGTCTGATCCTTGGGGTTACGCCTGGCTCCAATGGCATCCAACTCGTCAATAAACACAATACTCGGTGCTCTTGCCCTTGCAGCAGCTATAAGTATTGTACATTCGCAGAACGGTGTCAGTTTTTACACAAATAGACGACAAAATATATACGCGTTCGCTGATAACGAAGTCGAGGTCGAACTTACCAAAGAGCTCGCGGACACGTCTGGCACCGACACCGACGTACATCTCGTCAAACTCGGATCCACTCATAAAGAAGAAGGGAACGCCAGCCTCACCAGCAACAGCTCTAGCCAGCATGGTCTTTCCTGTTCCTGGTGGTCCTGTCAAGAGCACACCCTTTGGCAGCTTGCCTCCCAACTGGTTATACTTGTTGGGGTCCTTCAAGAACTCGACTACTTCCTCCAGCTCCTGCTTGGACTCGTCGACGCCCTGAACATCTGTGAACTTGACATTGTTGTCGGCGGATGGCTCGTACTCTGTCTGGCTGGGAGCGGGTTTCAACAATCCCGAGTTTTCAAACACCAACGACAAGAAAGTGAGGATGCAAAAAGCATAGGTCACCGTGATTCCTAGCCAGCGAAGGCCTCTCCACAGCATGAAGCCCTTGGACGCTAATATCATTCAAGAATAGGGTAAAAGTGGCACTGGTTAATTGGCAGATATTAATTGACTCGCGTCGAGATTCCTGAGAAAGGGTCAAAACAAAAAGTCGACCTGTTTTCTATGGGCTTACTCTTGCTATCATCCATAACAACATAAATAGGATTTCCTTTGTTTCCTGCACCGGCAAGGGACTCTGCGACAAAGGCGCTTCCGTTGGTAGCTGCGTTTTCCGACAATGCCATTGGGTTTGTCCGACGCACGCCCTGACCAACGGTATTGACCAATGCCTCGGATTCGGTTGCCAAGGGCTGGCGCTGAAGTCGCTGCATGATCTTTGGGACAATTTGCTCTGCTTGATTCGTCCGTGCCAGAGCGACTGCATAGTATTGGAGAGATGCCTCTGAGCTGGCAAACTTTCCAGACTCGAAGCGAGAGATGATTCCTGAATAGTCGTCAACTCGCAACAGTTCCTGAAAGTGTATAGGTTATACAGCGAGAAAGAACAAATGTTAGTTTGATAGCTCCTGCATAACGCGATATCAAACCCTAAAATACCCGTCATTGATGCAGTCCTCATTGTACCTTGTAGAACTCTGTCTGAGCAGCTGCATTGTTGGGATTTGTCATGGCTTCCGTTTCGAGCTTCTGCAGCTTCCGGTGATTGATGTATCGAAACGAGGAATATTGACGAGATCCGGTTCCTGTGGTTTGACGGACGAAACTCTGGCTGTTAACAGTCGACACTCCAGAAGCACTTTGAAGACGTCGACCTAGAGATAGCATAAGATAATAAACCATCGCGTGAGTTTCTTTATCCCGTTGAAAAAGGGATCAAAATGCGCCTCTATGTAAAGAATGATTACCTCGAAACCATGCAGCTGTGGGATTATTTATTGACATGGTTGATCTGGGAGCCACTGTTGGGGGTATCGATGGTGCAAGATGGCGATTACGTGCCTGCCCGAGCTGACCTATCCGTGGCAACAGCGAATTGGTTTGGTTTGGTTAGTTGCAGTTGTTCAGTTCCATTAACATATCCATTCAAAACGCGAAATAGGCTGAGGCAGTTGTGGAATGACAGCCCGATGCTATCTCATGTTTCGACTGTCCATAAAAAAAACAAAATAGAAGAAACAAAAGGAAGGCGCACCTTTGACTTTATGCAAGAGAGACTCGACATGGGCAGAAGTAACAGCAGCGCCAGGTTGTTTTTCCAGCGCAGCAACGGCTTGGTGCAACGTAGACAATGACAGGACATTGCCTTCGGAGGCGGCCACTTTTAGACATTCCGGAACATGTACCCATCTGTGGGCTCCATTGGTCGCTGCTGCAGCTGCAGCCGAGTTGGCTGATGTCCTCGCTGTTGAGGCTTGGACCATGGAGGATGCCTTGCGGACATGCTGGGCAGGGAAGGGGAGCGAGCTGAGAAATGCGCTCGATTCAACCACCACAGCGGCGATCTAATTCATTGGAACGCGTGTTAGACGACTTTTTCGTGGTGTTGCTTGGTGTTGGTGCGTGTGTGGTTGTCGATCGTCAGTGCGTGTTTTTGTTCTGAAGTACCTGCTGGGAGAGTGAGAGTGCCTGCATTCGGAGCGAGTGAGGTCAGGTCAGGATGGGAGAAGTGTGAAGTCTCTTTCTTTTTGGTTAAGAGTCAAGGACGAATGAAGGTTAGTGAAAGGAAGGGAGAAGAAGAGACGAGGATGTGTGTGCCGATGGTGCGGGAAAAGGAGGGGGAGGAAGAAAGGGTTTGTGAAGGAGAAGAAGAAACGGAGGAGAATAAAAAGAGTGGAGAGGAGCGAGCAAGGCTAGTGGGTGACTCCCATTTCACTGAGCTCATGGCACGGACTCCTCTCTTTCTCAGACAGACACATCCATAGGACAAGACACCCGGGTTGATACGAGCATGTGAGGGACGGACGGGCAAGAGCAAGCAGCACCCGTACAACTCGCTACAGTTGTAGATCTCGATGCCGTCATGTCATGGATACTCATGCTATCTAAAGTCCATGATCCACACCCTGTCTCCTTTCCTTTTCTTCCCTTTGTGCTCCCTCTCCCATTCTGCTCTCCGGGTCTTCCGCCCAGCCAGGGGACGTACGCGCGTCACATTTCATGTGGTGGCGCACATTAATTCCACGCCAATCATGTCGTTACTTCCATACATAATTCAGATCACAAAGAACAATGTATTCACCAAAGAACAAGGACAGATATATTCACAAAAGAACAAGGACGGATGCATTCACAAAAAGAACAGGAAAGAAACACTCTAATGCCTAGAAGCAGCATGACCATGTCCACCCTCAAGATCACCCTCTCCTTCTCAAACACCACCGCGACCAAACTGGTCAACTCCCATACCATCATATCCAAGGCCTTGCTGCTGCGTCGGGACCCCCATACCATCATACCAGTCCTGCCTCTGACCGGGCAATGGGTTAGTGTACAAGTTGTTCTGGTTACTCATGTATCCATTGTTCATACTGTTCATATTAATACCGCTGTTTGCATTGTTGATCGAATCGTTGTACACGGCTCCTCCACTGCCCATAGCTCCAGTTACAACTCCTGCACCCGTCATCATTTTGGTAGTATCATTGTTGTTGTTGTGGCTTTCGTGGAGGTGATCGCCGCTGTTGCTATTGTTGTTCATGACATCCATCGACCTCTTCTCTTTGAAGACCCCATTCGAAGTGCCCAAAGTAGTCGTCGACAAGCTTCTCTCTCTACTCGGAAAGGAAGATGACTTGGAATCAACGTACTCGCTCTCGACTTTACGGCGGATGTCGTTCTCGAGCCAGCAGGTGCAGAATGGGCAACGAGCTGCTGAGCCGTTGACGTCCTTGCAGCAGTAAGGGCATGCCTTGTCTTTGATCAGTTCCTTGCGCCTTGCACTGTAGTAAACTATTTGCCATGTGTTCAAGTGTGTGGTGGTTTAGTTGTTTTGGTGTTGGTTAGCTTATTAGAATTAATTGACTTTTGGCTTTCACTGACGATGTGCGAAACTGTAGTTTGAGATATCCAAGTAACTTACGTTTGACGATGATAAAGAGGAACAATCCGATCAAAATCAGGTAGATGATCGTGTTAATAAACCGACCCCAGTTCCACGTAACTATTTCAGTCCAAGCATATGAATATCAACCAACTTGACGTCAGACACGAGATGCTTTGGATAACCCTTTGTTTACAACGATAGAAAAAAAGGCAGCTGAAAAGACAAAGCAGGATACTTACCAGCTCCATCCTGTTGTGCTTGAGCGCGGGTGGGGTACGAGCATGTTTGTCCACACCGGAGGACAACAAACGTCTCGTCCAAGTTTCGGTTGTTTGCCAGACCAAACAACGGCGTAATAATATCCTCGACCCTGTTCACGACATAGAAGTATACATCCACACAGGGCGGACAGAAGTAACAGTTAAAGAATGTAGCGAGTGAAGGGTCTCTTTCAAAGTGAAAATAAACAATGGGATTACAATTCACACTAACAACGTGTTTTCTCTCCAGCGAAAATGGCCCTCGTGGCATGGAGCAGTAAGCACTTACAGAGACTTGACGACCGCTGCAATGGCAGCAGACAGAATGAAGGCGACAGCCAGGTCAAAGGCATTACCTTTGTTGATAAAGTCCCTAAAGTCTTGCAAAAAGCCTGTGCCCTTCTTGTACACCCCTTGTCCGAGATGTGCAGCACCTATTTCATATGTTGTCGAACAATCGAATTGGCACTTGTCTAGTGAATGCAGGGTGACAAAAGGCTGAACTGAATTGAAGGAGGAGGAGCGTTGGACTTACTATGCACGCCGCTGTTCACGGTTTGTTGAACTGGCATTGTGGGTGGAAGTGTGTTTTGCGATTGATCAGTTTGAATGTTGTTTGCAGTGAGGGATTTGCTCGGTGTAAATGTAGCGAAAGAGATATAGTTGGGAGGCGAGTAAAAAAATGAATGGTAGATAGGATAGAATAAAATTAAGATTGAGATCGGGAGTAACCAGGCATTAATAGGTACCAGGAGGTATGGGAACACTGGGCTCTTATATGCTACTTCTATCTGTCGGCCTCTCTGCATGACCCGCATCCTCGGATACCGGGGATAACCCACTTGCGTCTCTATGTCCGTTTATGCGACCACCCGATGAGGATCGCCAACACAGACGCCTGAGTGGTTTTAGATGAAGGTAATGACACATTTTGTATGCGAAACAACTTTCACGTAAAAGAACGACGAGGCGCGGTAGGTTTTGATGCATGAGCGCGTCAAGGGTGTAGAAAAGAGATAGGGTGGACCTTTATGACACAGAGAGTACAACACAAGGGGTGAAGAGGGGAGAGGTAGATAGTTTTTCCACTCCAAGACATCGACAGTACCCCACTGACACTCTTTATTGTGGTCGCCAATGCCGTGTGTTGCTGCGTGTCGCACAGGTCCAAACAAACAATGCGGAATAAAAGCTATAGAGCGAATAAGATGACTTCTAGAAAGGTTTGATTGTGTATGACGGACGACAAGGCTGACCGAAGACCTAGGTTAAGAAGCACTTATTAGACGAAGGCGCTATCCAGATGTACTACATGCCGGTATTTTGCATAGACCGGTAACAAACAGGGGGGAGTCGTACCCACAGTACGAGCATAGGGTTTGGAAATGGATGGGATGGATGACGGAGAAATGAAAAGGGCAAGGTCCATTCTTCAGACCATGTTTTGGACCATAGAAAAATATCCGCCAATAGACCATTGGGTCCATCATATGTCAACTCCCAATAGTCTTCAGGAGCGAGGAAACGAGGGACAGAGTAAGAGGGAGAGAATAGGGAGGGAGAGGGGGGGGGGGGGTATGTTCATTTGGAGATGAGATAGAAGTATGTACAAAGAATGATCCAGATCCATGATAAATCCAGGAGATCGGAGACGTGGTTGCACCAACGGAATAAAGAGGGCATCATGGGAGCAGAGGGAACTAGCAAGACGAGTTGTCGTTTTCCGCGGAGCGTTAAGAATAGTAAGCTCTTTGTCTCCATTGGACGAGCCTTCTTTTGTTGCTCCCTTTGTCGATCTGCATTAGTCCAAGAAGGTTCCCAGCAAGACGGCGACCATAGAACAGACAGCAGTGCTCTCCGCGGCCAAAAAGGAAAAAGGGGGTCCTTTCTTTCTTTTGTTCCTGTGCCAAAGCATCATGCTTTTCAAAGTCAGAGCAAAAAGGACGAATAGGCAAAGGTAGGCGATGAAGACGACAATGTGAACGGACCATCGTTTTGTTTTTAGTCCTGTCAGAAGATGGGGAGGCATCGATCTTGTGTCGCAATCGGACATCATTCTGGAGGGAGCGGTAGATGAAAATCATTTTCTGTGTGTGTCATTCCTGTTTTTTATTCTTATGGGATGTCCCGCTTCCAGTAGGGGGAGTCAAGTGTCAAGTGGAGCGGAGACGAGGTGATGAGCGTCATGTCGTTCTCCCTGTTTGTTTGTTTTTTTGTGTTTATGTTCTATTGTGCTACAAGAAATAATAAGAGAGAGGGGGGAAAAGAAGATTGCATGCATGCATGAGCCGATTTCTCGACGGCATCTTCCCTCAGTGTTTTCTGTCTGGAGTTCCTCCAGCGAGGAGAAATCTCTTTATGTACACGGGCGGACTAATGGGGGGGTTTTTTTTGGTATTCAATGCCCGCTGGTATTAGCCGCATGGCCTTTTGGTGCATTTCAATGTATTTAATAATCGGCGAAAGGGACTTCTTACATGCATGGGGGTCATTGGACGTTGTCTTGCCTTGTTACGATTTGCAGAAGGGTAAGCAAAGAAAAGAAGGGCCAAAGGGAATAAGGTGGAGGTACATTTGTACATTTGGAAGAGGAAGAAAGAAGATCGTGCTAAGCAAACAAGAGAGAGAGAGAGAGAGGGAGAGAGAGAGAGGGAGTAAGCAGCGGAGAATGTTTCCGATCAACCGAAGGAGAGGGAGAGGGAGAGAGAGAGAGAGAGAGAGAGAGAAAGAGAGATCAGCGGGAAAGAATCAGAGATTACCTACTTGAATCAGATATGGAGTGATGGAGTGAAATCAATGATCATCATTTACTGCTAGTTCATTCCCCCTATGCTGCTTATGAAGAAAGAGTGTTTGTTCTATCTTGATGGGAAACATAGGTTATGTACCATCCTCCCTCTTATTTGGCCCTTTGGTCATAGGCCTCTTTACATATAATTGGCTTTCTACTTTTCCTTTGTTCGTTACTCTCCTTTGATCTTAGGTTATCTTCTTGACTTTTCTATCATTTCAATGTCGACGTCCTCCAACAGTCGTGTCGCGTTCTTATTCCTTATTCAGGCGTGTCTGTTACATGTCCCTTACCTGTTGTTGTTGTTGTTGTTGTTGTCGTGTTGTTGTCGCGGTTTGTTGATGTGGTTGTAAACAAGCTCTTCTCTCTTAATCCATCATTCTCCCTCTCTCCCTCTCTTTGCTTCCTGCAGGGACTAACTATCCCGGCTACAGCAATCCATTCTCTTGGCATACAAATAAAAAAAAATGATTTCAAACAGGCAATACCAACAGCCTGATTGATAATTCACAGTCAGGCACATTCAGGCCTGACAGACACATGTGCAAGGTGACGACAACAGGCAACCCACAGACACAGCTCATGAAGAAAGTAACACCTTGGCAACAGCACCAGTCTTATCAGCCATCGTTCTTCATTCGCTATACAAACTCCCGATACCCAATTCCAACCTACGAGCTCTCTATGGGTTCTACGACCCGCGTAAATAGGAACTTGATACCCATATGGAGTCAGAGAAACCCAACCCCACCACGCCACGCCACTCCCCGCCCCGCCTCGCCTCGTCTCTTCGTTTCATTAACACTTTTGTGCCACCTGGCTCTCTCTTCGCCACCTCTCCCCCTCACCCTTTGCGCTAAAACTAAACGAAAAAAAGAGGCAGAGCCTCTCGACGTCCCCTGAGTCGACTGTGTAAAAGAAGGTTCATGTAAATGGTGTAGAGAAGTAGGGAGGAGGCGAAGAAAGGAAAATAGAAAAGCTATATGAGAAAAAAAAGAAATGCCGAGCACTGCCAAGGAACGCAGCCCAAAATTTTCTCTTTTTCTATTTTCTCCCTACTGCAAGCTCAGTCAGGGTCGAACATTTTTTGAGTGTTCTCGCCCTGCCATTGCATAAAAAAAAAGCCCATAGCCTATTAGGCATGTTAATGCTCTTTTTTACACTGCCAAGAATGGCATTCAGGGGATATGTGTCCGTGAAGGTATGTATGGATCATGGATGTGCATGTTGTGGAAGAAAACTGTAAGAAGGATGCCCTCTTTCTTTCTTGTATTTTGTTGTTGTTGTTTGTTGTTTGTTGCACGAGCAGTGAAGTGAAAGACGTTTTCTCTGGATTCCATGCATCTTGACAATGATGGACGCGTAAACAGGTGTGCGTGGGTGTTGACATGTCCTTTTGTGTCGTCTCAACGTTGACGTCGAAGATGACAACAAAAGGAAAAGAGAACGACGAGAAGGTGAGGAGGTGGTTGTGCGACGACACTATATCCGTTTGCCATTTTTGCCATTTTGTGTCGCATCCTTCTACTATTTCTCAACACGCCACCTCTTTTTTTTTGTTGTTCACACTCCTTGCTTACATTCTAGTCTGCCAGTTTACTCAGCCTCATCTGGAAACAGGAAAGTGCACACATGCAATGTACACCCCTCAGCCTGGCTCGTTAGGGGTGTCGGGTGTCGTTTGGAGCGTGTGTGTACTCCGTGTCGGTTGTGACGCACGAGTGTTTGCTTTGCTTGTTTGATTGCTGTGGCCTGTGGGTGTCCAGTCAGTCTTTTCTACTAAGGTGGCCTAGATATGGGTTTTGAGGTACGGGCTATGTAGAACTGCAAATAGTGAAAATGCTATGGTGTTTGTCTCCAAGGAGAGAGTCTATTCTTGATGTCGCTTCAGTTGAGCGTGTGTGTGCCCTCTCCCCCTCACTCCGCTGAAGAGTCGCTCCAGATACGTACTTCCTTATTCTCTTGTTCCTCAGTTCTCCATGGATTGAAGACGGATGTGTGGTATAGTCATAGCACAGCATTGGCCCCACAATCCCATGGATACACGACTCGGATGGCACCCATGGACATGGGTTGATGCAAATTGTCTAGTTTCTTTGCCAAGGGGGCCAAAGAAAAAAAAATAAAAAAAAATAAAAAAAAATAAATGACAGCTGAGGGAAGGAACATCAAAACATAATAATTTTAGCCCGCAGCGCTCTCACTCATATTCCTCTTCATTCAATTCATTACATTCGATTCAATGACCCATTGAGAAGAAAAGGAGAGTATTCAATATACAATAATAATAATGATATGCTATTCTAATCCAAAAGGAAATATAAAATGCTACCACGCTGTCTGTCCCAACCAGCCCAATGGTCCACAACTCCACCCCAGCCTCGCTCCTCTCTTCTCTCTCGACTTCCTTTAAATTCTCCGTCCTTTCCTCTTCTTTCTCTCCTCTTTTTCCTTCTTCTCTTCTCGCTCTTCTCTTGTTCTTTGCCTTTGCCATACTTCTCTTGCTTTGCTTGCTTGCCTTGCCCCCCTCTTCTCACTTGTACCTTCCCCACTGTACCTTCTTCCATCGCAACATCCTTGGACCACACCATTGCCGATTTTACCGTTATCGTTACCTCGTAGATCCTCTTCTCTCTCTCTCTCCCCCTTTTAATATCCAAATACATTCAAACAAAAATGACCGATACAAGAATGCCAATGGCTCCTCTGCCGCTTCGTCTCCCCTCTCCTACTCCAATGCCCTCGGGACCTCGCTCATGGTCTCCATGCCACTCCTCCGTCGACACCCTCCTCTCCCCTGCTCCTTCGCATTCTCATTGTTCTCCAACAGATCCTTCCCTCTACAAACTCCATAACTACTCCAACTCCAACAACAGGAACATGCAGGCTCTCCAACAACCCCTGTCCTACAACAACAACCTTCCTTCTCCCAATGCTCACCAAGAACATCACCACCACCAGCAGCAGCAGCAGGAGTGGTCTCAATGCAAACTCAGCCCAGTTTCGGCTCATCCTCATCCTCAGCAACAGATACAGATGCCCTTGACTTCGCAGCTGGACTACTACCGCCAACTCCAGATCATGCACTGTCAACGTGAACGCGATATCGAACAACTCTACCGCCAGCACCAGGTCTTTCAACAACACCCTCAAGTCCAACAACAGCAACAGCAACAGCAGGATCGCCCTCCAAGCCATGCTATCCAACGTGGCCTCCTAGCCCAGAGAATGCTCCAGCTCCAGCGGTTATTCCAGGCCCAGCAGATTCAAAAGATGCAGGCCATGCACAAGAGGGGCCGTGCAGCAGTACCAACATCATCAGCACCAGCCCTTTCTCCTTCCCTCACGCCTTCCTCTTCCCCTTCGCCTTCGCCTTCCTCCTCCTTTCCTTCTAATGGTCTCCTGGGCATCGCCGCTCCCGAGTCTGGATTTGTACAAATGTCATCCGAGTCCGAGCAGTCAAGAGCCGAGACCGGCCTAGTCCAGCAACAGCCCGAGGAGAACAAAATGACCAAGAACCACGATCCCAACACGATCCATCTCCCCTCAACAACATCACGACCATCTCCTACAGTCAAGAAGACCACTAGTGTTCCTGAACTCGCCCAGATTGTTCTCCCGAGTCTAGATCAGATTCGCAAGCAGCGCCAGCAACGCCTCAAGTTCCAAGCTCGTCTCCGCCAAACTGCCTCTGCTGCTGCTGCCAAGACCATGGCTGTCTCTTCACCCAAAGCGACACCAAAGGGAACAACAGCAGGACAGTCGACCATGCTCACGCCAGCGTCCCCTCCAGCTTCCCCCTCGCCCTATTCAACTTTAACACCCTATTTTTCTACTCCAGCCCCACAGCAACAACACTCGCCTTCCCTTGCCATTACAACAACAAACACGATGACAGAAACAACAGCGGCACCCTTGTCGCCTGTGACTACTCCAAAGGAATCCACCTTTTCCTCCTCTCACTCGCCGTCCATGCCACAGCAATCTCCAGCCAATGGAGGAGTTTCAAAAGTCCAACACGCGGCATGGACTAGCTCGACCACATCGCTGGTGGCCAGGTCCAAAGCCGATCTGGCATACCGTCGCCAGCTGCGTCTCCAGCACGCGATTCAACAGCACCTAATCCAGGACCATACCCATCGCTACCGTCTCTTCCAGGCCTTCTGTCTCCTCCAGCGTGCCCAAGCTGCGCAGGCCATGGACGAGGTCCAAACCCAGCGACAGCGTCAACTCCAAACCGTCGCTTGGGTCCAAGCCCTCCGCCAGTCCCAGTCGCTCTCTCAGCTCGAGATTCCTCAATAGAGAGCTATGATGTATGCGGTCTCTGTGTGTCTGTATGCACGCAAGGTCAATTGGGATTGAGAGTGGGCACAAGCACAAAGAGTCAATGTGTTTCTTGCAGGTCCAATTCAATCCACTCCAATCCAATCCTTCGTACCCACCAAACTGGATGAGGATGGATGGATCCAAAGAAAACAATGCCTTCTCTTCCCTCCTCTTCCTCCTTTCCCCCATCTCGACAAACTACATCCAATCCCCCACCCCCCCTTTTTTTCACTCTTTGTTTCTCTTCTTTTTTCCATTTTGTCTGTTGAGTTTTGATTTTTTTTTTCTTTCGCCTCATTTCTTTTGTAGTTTTGTAGTCTTGTACCCCGTCTGTCCGTCATGTCTCGTCTTTTGTACTTCTAAGTTTTCTTTTTTCCCTCCTCCTCCCTTTTTGTACCATAACATCTGCTCCCATTATTATTTTTTCTATGGAGCAACTGAGTCGTGGTGCACCTACAAAGTTATCGCTCCTTTTACGAGTCCGCATCCCATGCTTTCACACACATTTCCCATCCACTCCAAGCAACGCTGCATTGTCTTTTCATATCCCCCTCTTTTCCATTGTTTTTTGCTCTCTCTTTTTTTTTGCTACTTCCCCTATTTCCCTATTCCTCATACCCTAATCCAAGTTTCCATGAACTGCAAACCCTTGCTCATTCCCCCTTGCCTTATATTCGTAGACAAAGAAACCAAAAATAAAATGAAAAATGACTCCTAAAAGAAAACATGACACTGGCATATACACCACGTTAGTTGCCTTGTGGTTTTAATAAGATCGATGTCATAATGTTCCAGAATCGACAACAGAAACGCAGAGCCTTCAAGGAGAAGAAAGAAGTCCACTGTGACGCAGGAGGGCATCGACTTCTACACCGTCACGACCACGGAACTCCTTCCACACTTCTTTGGGGTCCGTCGCTCCTCCGTAAGCCAATACCGTATCGCGGTACTTACGCCCGATGCGCTTGCGCCCCTCCACAGATGCACCTTGCTCCTCAAACGCCGCATACGCGTCTGCAGAGTAGAGCTCACTAAACTTGTACGAGTAATAGCCCGCTGCATAGCCTCCACCAAAGATGTGCCCAAACCCGCACAGGAACCGGTCCTCGGGGATAGGTGTGACCAATGTAGTCTTCTTGGCCTGCCGCCGGTTCACATCAAAGATCGTCTCTCCACTGTTGGGCTTGTACTGCGTGTGCAACTCCAAATCCAACATCGCAAAGTGCAACTGACGCAACATGGCCATGCCCGCCAAACACTGCTTGCTCTTCTTGACTGTCTCTTTCATCTCCTGGGGCATCGGCTCACCCGTCTTGTGGTGCTTGGCCATCCTACTCAACCACTTGTCCTCGTACGCAAAGTTCTCCATAAACTGAGACGCAACCTCGACAAAGTCCCACTCAACTCCCTTGATACCAGACGCCTGGGGGTAATCGACCGTCGTCAACATGTGCTGCAAACCATGACCAAACTCGTGGAACATGGTTGTCACATCTTGGAACTTCATCAACGATTCGGCACCAGACAGGGGAGGAGGCTGGTTGCAGACCAGGTACGCAATGGGAACACGCACAGCACCCGAGACGGGGTCCTTCATGCGCGTGACACAGACATCCATCCAGGCTCCCGACAACTTCTCCTCGCTCCTACTGTAAAAGTCACCATAAAAGTAGGCAAGCACCTTCTTGCTGGCGTCGTCCTTGACCTGATAGATCTTGACATCCTTGTTCCAGGTCGTCAATCCCGCCTTGCTCTGGTCCCCAGCACTCATCTCCGTCACATCAATTCCAAAGCTATCGCGCGCGACCTCAAACAGCGTATCCATGACTCGAGAGTAAGGGAGGTACTCTGAGATTTGATCCGCCGAATACTTGAACCGATCCTTACTGTACTCTTCCTCGACAAAGGGGGTATCCCAGGGACAAAGAGGGGTAGGGTGACCCAGATGGTCCTTGGCGAATTCCGTCAATTCTGCGAGATCCTTCTTGGCTGCTGGGAGAGTGGCCTCATAGAGACGATCCAGAATATCCTTTGCGGTGCCGACATCCGATGCCATCTTCTTGGATAGAGACAAGGCTCCGTAGGACGAGAAACCGAGAAGACCAGCCTCCTCCTGGCGCAAGCTCAGAATCTCGTCAATCACTGGCTCGTTGTTCTTCTCTCCCTTTGACGCCCTCGACACCATCGCCCTGTATGCCTGTTTATAATAGTGTTTGCAATAGTACATAACGTATTAGCGGCCAGAGCAGAAATACGCATAGCAAGGTAACACTGAAGACGTAGAATGCACTTACATGTTCACGAAGGTCTCTGTTCTTGCAGTTCATCATGAAGGGAATATAGGTTGGGTAATCCAAAGTAACAGCCCAAGGTCCAGTCTCTACACAGGTTAGAAAGTAAGAAGCAGTCAGTGGCAGTAAGAATAAACAATACAATCAGTCAGTGACATTAGGACATCATACTGGAACCACTCAGCAAACATTTGGATATCATGATCCAGAGAATCATTCAACTTCTTCAAGATGCCATGATCCAGAGAACAAGGACTCACCTGAGTTGCCATCACCGTGTCCTCTTGACTGGGCATTCTTAGCCATAGCCTTCATCAAACTCTCGGGACAACCCTCCAGCTCCTTGCGATCTGTAATGACTTTGGCAAACGCCTTGGTCTCATCCTGAAGATTGTTGCTGAAAGTAAGACTGAGCTGAGCCAACTTGCCCTGAATCTCATTGAACCGCTTCTGTTTCTCAGCATTACCATCGCCAGGCAGACCGAAGGCAACTCCAGAGAGTCTCATCCCCTGGATAGCCTTTTGAACGATCCTCTTTTGTTCCTTGTCGAGTGTGCTCCAGGTCTCCTTGTTGTCGGCCAACTTGACCAGGGCATCGTAGAGTTCGAGTGATTGGCCCATTTTGAGAGAAATGGTGACGATCATGGGTTGGATGGCTTCGACTGCCTTGCGGAACTCTGGCGAATCCTTGACTCTTGAAAAGTGCGAAATCACGCCCGAAGCCCTCTCCAAGTCGTCCTCCAAATCCTGAGCTATTTGCGTTTTAATATGCATATTGCATATGGTTAGCAATAATTAGATGCGTTTGTCGACACTTAAACGACAACAAGAGTAATCGAAAATACATAGATACGTACTGAGACCCATGGTTCCCTCCCATGTAGGAGTCATGCGCTTGGATCGCTCCTGGAAGGTGGCCTCGATCTGCTTGGTAAGGATCTCAACGGCAGGGACAACATGTTCGGCCTTGATGGCTGCAAAGTCAGGGAAAGTATGCCAGTTCAAGATAGGGTTGGTTGTGAACTCTGGGTTGGTCTTGGGGTAGGTGGCGGTAGCACCCTTAATGTCGGTAATGGTGGCGAGTGCACGACGGATGGTCAGGGGTCTGGTAGCGAGTGACCTGGAGGCAAGACTGAGGGTTGTTGTTGAAGTGGCGCTCGTGGTCCTGGAACGGGCATGCGAAGCGACGTTCGACCTCGAGAAGGCTCTTGTTGCTGTTGTTGAAGAGGAGACTCCTGTGGTGAGACGGGTTGCCCTGAGCCTTGAGGCAGCCGAGGAGGTGAATGAGCGAAGCATTGTTCAAGGGTGGGCTGGGGGGAATGTTAACGAAAGAAAGAAGGGGAATCTCTTTCGCCTCTTTTGTGGGGCGTTCCGGTCTCACAGAGTCGGATCCAGGGAAGGAAAGTGACTGTCAGCCACGGTCATGTGCATCCCCGAGCGTGGGCGTTCCCTTACGACCTCAAAGTGCGTACAGTTCTGTGGTCTTGATACCTTGTCCTTCCTTCGCTTTAACCCTCCTCCCTTCACAACTGCTCTCACGCCGTCAAACTCTTTTCTTTAACCTTCGGGATACAACGACAAACAGAACCACCACTGTACAACAACACATAACCAACAACGACTACGCAACGCACAGTTCAAAACTACAAATATGGACACACCCACACCCACCACCAACTCGGAAACAGGCAGCAACAAGCGCCACAACCGCGCATCCTCATCCACATCCTCCTACAACATCATCAAGGGTCTATCAAGTCTCCAAACAGTGACCCCTTCACGACAAGCATCCATCAAGAATCACCTCTTGGCATCCGAAAGCTTCGTCAAGAGACTCGAACAACAACCGCAACTCAAGGGACACCGTGGCTGCGTCAACACCATCGCCTGGGACGAGACTGGCGAGTTTCTCGTTTCTGGCTCAGGTAACAACACCCTTTCGTATCCACTTTGTGTTTTTTGTACATCTTTTGAACCCCAGGATACTAACCCCTTTCTATGTTCTTTCTGCACCCTACAGATGACCGCAAACTGAATGTATATAAGCCTTTGGATGCTCAACCGTTGGTACACAGCATCCCAAGTGGGCACACGCAAAACATCTTTTCGGCAAAGTTCCTCACCGGAAGCTCAGCCCAGACCATCATCTCTTGCTCAGCAGACGGGATCACTCGACTCACAAGCGTCCCTCGGTTCGTCGCTACCTCGCGCACGGGCGATTGGTCTCCCAGTCCTGGATTCAACTGTCACACTTCGATGACCTATGAAGTCATGCCCGATCTTGTCGACGGCCACATATTTTACGACTGGTATTATGCTTGCTTTTTCTCACGCCCTTGTTTTTTACTCACGCCCATGTCATCATGATATCGTCACCTAACAACCCATTTCTGTGCAATTTAATGTATGATAGCGCGGATGACGGAAGGTTTAATCGATATGATACTCGGATCAGGACAAGCTGCGACTGTGACGAAGACGAGGCATGCGAGCGGCACACATTCGTCAACATCAACTCACACCTCTACCGCCCCCCCCTCAGAGACATGTCCATGGAAGACCGCCTCTTCCACACCTTCCGACGTCGGAGAAACGAAATCGGCATCTCGGCCATCGCTCAGCAGCCCGAAAACCCAGTATACTTTGCAGCAGCTTGTTCAGACGACACTGTCAGGATCTATGACAGTCGCAAGGTCGACCCATCGAATCACAGAGGCGCACAAGTTTACAGCTTTTCGGCCTATGTCCCAGTGCAGTATGTTGTTGGACCCAATGGGGAACTTGAGCGTGGCGTCAATCACGACAGGTCGTCGCTCGAGACTAGGATCACATCACTCAAGTACGACCCGTGTGGAACTGGACAACTCTTGGTGAGTTACAGCCGAGGCAACTGCTACTTGGTTGACCCTTCGCGACTGGAGACCAAGAGCGATGAGGCGGCGCGTATTTCTGCATCTGATCGTCGTCGGTCTTCCTCTCAGAGTCACGAGTCGCCCAAGGGTAAGCGGAGACGGAGTGTGAGTGACGAACCTGCTAAGAAGAGCAGTCCTGATGGAGTTTCTTCCTTGAAGTCAGAGACTGTGACGGCCAATGAGGTGGCAACGACAGGAGGTCATGACGACAGCGGCACAGCGGATCTGACGCCACCAGTTTCTCAGGATGTCAAAGGCAAGGCGACCTTGAGATCGAGCTCCAATCATTCGAAGGACAAGGGGGAGAGCGTGTCAGCACGGAAGCAGAAAACTAGAGCCAAGGTCGAACGCTCTGCCAGAACAGGGTATTTTGGCAGTGTTATGGATGTTAAAGGGAAGGGCGGCGATGAAGATGACGACAAGGACGACGACGACAACGATGACGATGACGAAGTTGGGGAAGATGAGGATGAGGATGAAGAGATGAGCTTTGAGGATACCGACGACGAGGGTGATATCATTTCGCAAAAGTACAAGGAAGCACGACGCACGTTGCCGCAGGAGCAACTTGCAGATGATCGTGATTACTGGCGGCAGCGAGCCTATCTCACTGCCAAGTCGGACCTTGCGCAGACCTACTGGGGTCATGCCAATGTCAAAACCATGGTACGCGCTCTTTCTAATCGATGTACCGGTGCCCTGTTCATATGTGTCTCGGAAAGCTAACTTAAATTTTGGAGGCTAATTATTTCTCAATGCAATATCATTTTGTAGATCAAGGAGGCCAACTTTTACGGACCGAACAGCGAATTTGTGATGTCTGGCTCGGACGATGGACGGATCTATGTCTGGAACAAGAAGACTGGCAAGCTGCTGAATGTCGTCAGAGGCGACAAGGTATTTTAGAGAAGACAGCACAGAAACACTGCAGAGTTGCTCTTATACGGACACAGCATACGATACTAACGATGAACGTTGATTAATGATGATAGAGGGTGGTGAATTGCTTGCACCCACATCCGTTTTCCAAGTTTTTGTTGGCGGCCTCAGGGATCGACAACACGATCAAAATCTTCATGCCGACAGCCGAAGAACGCGTGAACATGTCCAAGGTTCGAGGCATCAAGCGGCGGATTGTCGAGCCCTTTGAAGTCAAACCTGACTCGGCTACTGGGCAGGAAGGATGGCCCAAGGGCCCACCTGAGGACGAACTGGATCCTGAGTATGCGTTTGAGAGGGTGTTTCATATCCCTGTGGGGCTTGGTAGTTCCATTGACCCGTCGGACGACAGCGAAATCCATACCAGCACGGACGACGATGACGGTGTAGATGATGACGACGATGACGATGGATCCGATATAGGTGTGGGAGACTTTTTGAGCCATTTGCCTCCGCATATGGTTTTCCAGATCCTTCGGCAGGTTATTCATCAGGAGGGGCATGTCCACGATGACGACGACCCGAGTGGCGACGAGGACGAGGAGGACGATGAGTAAGAAGGATGAGCGATCTTTGGCTGCAGCAAGAAGTGTGTATCCGACGCGACGCTTTCGCTCTCTTTTTCCTTTCTGGCGCCGGGTTTTATCATGCAACTTGACTTGACTGGACCGTTGTCCCCGGACCTTTAACTCTGGATCCTGGACGGCTGGATTCCATATCGTGGCACCCCGACTGCCATTGATGTTGACGAATAAATATGTAAATAAAATGCAATGACAGCATAGGTGCATGCTTCGCTCTGTATCGAGTGGGTCTATTAGGATGAGTCGACTTTCTTGTACACCATTTGAAGATTATGTGTTGCATCCTCGCCAGGGTATTTTGGTTCTTCTTGCTTGGCTGTGCCATAGACATCCTTACACTCACACCCCTTTTTTCACCCTTGTGTCATACCCTTGCCTCTCTACTCGCCACCACTCACTCCTCTCCCATTCTCTTCGCCAAGTCAACATTCACTCGCTTACTTACATTTTCACTCGCATTCACCTTCGCCTTCATTCTCTCCCCAATCCCATTCGCACTAATCACCTCCAACTTTCAACTCCCAACCACACCACCTTCAAAAGATGTTGAAATCACACACACTACACTCCAAAAACAAAACCAACTCAGACACAAACTTACCCCAACTTCAACAGCGTATCGCGCACAAAGTCGACGGCGAAATCCTGACCTTCCAAGCACCCGTAGAAGTCCTCTCCAACGGTCAAAAAGTCGTCATACTCCAACCCATCCTCGACCTCTTCCCCGATACTGCCGCACTCTGTCGTAAGGATAAGCGGCCCATCCCCTTCCTGACCAACGAGGATGACGTTCTGTAAGTTGTGTTCTTTATTATTGGGTTGAGTGTTTAATGGGGATGTCAAAGAGACACGTAGAATAACATATTGTTGGTTGCGACATGGGTATTCCATTTGTCGAATGGCGATGTTGAATCGATAGATTGGTCCCTGTACGCGTCGAATACGGAGAAGGGGAGACCTACTTTGTCGTTCCTTGCTCAGGTCCTCCACCTCCACCGCCACCACGCTCACAACCAAGTCCTTCACCGCAACAGCAGCAACAGGGACATGCTCAGCCCGCATCTCAACTGCCTCCTCACTCAACAGAAGCGGCCTTGTTGGCAATCACTCAGGAAACGCCTGTCCATGACCTTCCTGTACCTCGACTGTTCGTTGTCCTGCCTGCCCCAAGACCACGCGACTGGAACAATACCGCCTCCAACCCATCTTCGTCACAGTCTCGTCCTCCACCTCGACCCTATCGGCTCTACTTCCTGTGCGACTGTGGGCCCGGGTTCACATTCCCTCGCCCTCGCTCACGCCCTGTCTCCTACCACTCATCCTTGTCACCATTCGCAGATACTGGATCGACACGCGACCAAAACAACCCGAACGTGAGCCACAACAACGACACCGTCGACCAGGACAACTGTATCCATATCGCCGATCAACAGGGATACGATATCCCTAACCTCCGACAGTTTTCAGACCAGTTCGGGGAATACACGCTTATGCTCCTACGTGCTTTTCAGCAGGGGATTAACACAACGACGGCAAGGGGAACTGTCCAACAGTCGAAAATACTTCTTCCGCCAGTCTCGCAACGACACTATTCGGATGTGCTCCAGCCGTTTACTTGGGACATTGAGGAGCGCGTCTCGACAGCCATTGCAACCTTTGAAGCACTGTCACCAGCCATGCAGCCTCACAACAACAGCGGCATCAACAATGATGCCCTGTCAGTCCCGACGATAGATCTTCACCGACTCTGGGAATGTGTCGAGGGGCTCAAACGGGACCAAGAGAACAGAGTCCAAGCGATGCGGCGCATGTTTGTCAACGATGGCACAGTCCGATGGTTATGTGAAGCCCATTACCAGTCAACCTTCGGATACGTCGGCGACGATAGAGACATGTTCCTGTGGAGGTGCCAAGAGATTGTCGGAGACGAAGGTGATCTGCTGTCAGAGCTGTCCCTGTCAGACCCTGCCGGAGATACCTCTTCTACTTTTGCTGCTGGTGCCAAGAGCAGCAACACTGGCGGTGGTGAGAGCTCGGATTCTGAAAGGGCTCTGTTGTTGCAGCCTGTGGCGTTTGACTATCAAGGGATGCACCTCCGGTTGACTGGCTCGCTCGATCTCGGCCAGATTGGTCAACTCAAAGTCGCGCTCAAGAGGGGGTACATGGTTCATGAGGTTACGTTGACGATGGGGTTCCCCAACAGTCTTATCCTCATGGCGATTGCCGACCTGGTCTCGGATTCTACGATCGGCGCGTGGAACGTGTCGTTTGTTGGCAAGAAGGATGATGAATCGCCTCTGGTTCAGGGAACAGCTGACGCCAAGGATCCCTTCACCCCTCCACCTTATTCTTCGCATGAATCCAGCACATTGTCCAAGGCGAATACATCTCTGCTCGATTCTTCCAGTGACAACAACAATGACAACAACAGTAACAACAATAACCACAACACGACCCTCCACGCGCTTCATAGCCTACTCGTCCTCGGAAACCTCAAACGCCTCCGAATCCCAGATCTGGACGCCCATCTTTACCACTCCTTAGCCCCCGCTCCTGGAGAGTTCCCCCAGCTCCGCCAGCTACACGTATGGGGCTCTAACCCGCTGGGGCAACCCAGCCGTGCAGGCGTCGGAGCATGGGCTCCTATCCGTCCAGCGGCGCTCCTGAAAGCCTTTGGTCTCTTGACTGAGCTACGGATAACGGGGATCTACCTTGGCAGTCGTACAAGGAAGCATCATCAAGGAAGAGACGACTGGCCAGATGTCGCATTCCTGAACGCCCCGCTTTATGAGCTTGTCGAATCCCTGGTCTACCTTCCCAACCTATCTGTCCTCGAACTGTCAGCATGTGGACTCCTACAGGAGAACTGTGGCATCCTCTCACGATCGCTCACAGTCCTCGAGACCCGGTTAACTCATTTAGACATCCACGACAACTGGCTCGAAGACGAAGGGCTTGCAGAACTCCTATGGACCCTGGGTCCCCGGGGGCTGTTCAGTCTCGACGCCAGGAACTGTGGGTTCGGAAACAAGACTGCCTTTGCACTCGCCAGTATCCTCCAAGCCCACACCCACGAAGCCGACCAAGAACTCCAACACGGTCTCCCAAGCCAGATGCCAACTTTCCGAATCCTGAAACTCCAAGAGACCTACCAACCCCATCTCAGCCTCTACCACGACACCCAATTCAACCCCAAGGACAATGCACCACCGAGCATGTCCCGCGTCCCAAATCAACTCTCCCTCGAGGGCCGACAACACCTCATCCAAGCCCTGGAACTCCTGAATCCCCTAGAACTCTGTCTCTCCTTCAAGCTAGGCTTCACAGATACGGATTTCGCAAGTGCGTTTGCGGGAATGAAGAGCCTGGAGAGTTTGGAGAAATTGACCGTGGCAGATTCGAAATTTGGGGTGGAGGCGGTGGAGGCGATGAAGCGGAGGTTGCAGGCTACTAGCTGTCAGTTGAGAGAGGTCGATTTGCGGGCCACAGGGTTGACTCCTCCACAGCAGCAGGAAGCCTTCCATCAGTTCCTTAACATCTGAAATATGTAGCACCACACAACTACCCATTCGTCTTGTTTTTTTTTTTGAATGAAATAGAAATGAGATTTATTATTCTATCTGTGATAATACAATGCAAATGCGAAAAAAAAGAGAACGAAGAGAAAGAGGAGCATATGGATGGAAAGAGAAAGTAAAAGTCGAGTGTGAGGGGAAACAAGTAATACAAGCTGGGGATGAGAGAAAAAGAAGGAAAAAGAACGGAGGTATGGGGATTGGGGAAGGTAAGTATCTTTTTTTTTCAGTTCAAAATCTGAACTTCTTTTTACATGTCAACGTCCATGCCCTGGGCGGGGGCAGCGACCTCAGAGGCACCGATACCAGCGAGGGCCTTGCCAGACTTGACAGTCTTGACACCAGCATCGGTGGCCAACAACTGGGCGACGGCAGAGTCCGAGGGGACGGTGTAGGCAGAGTGGACATAGGGCAAGGGGAGGGCGGGTGTGATACGGGTGGTGCCGTTGGCGGCGACCAAGACCGTCATCTTGAACTGGGCAACTTTGTCCGAAGCACGGGTGTAGTAGACGGGGTAAGGGGTCACGAGCTGGTGGGAGGCGAGCTCAGTGACTCCCAGGCGGTGGCGCTTGTTCTCCAAAGCACTATTATTTATAAAGACGAGTAGGAAGGTTAGTTAAAGTTCAGGTACCACAACGAACATGAATCCCCTGAATTCCGAAAGAAATTAACAGAAGGCGTACCGGATGGAGAAGGGGAAGACACCAAAGTTGTTGTTGATCTCGTTAAAGGCCTCACGGGCAGACTTGAGCTTCAAGTTGTAGTTTTGGTGAACGTTGCGAGAAAAGACAGTGGGCTTCAGGGCACCCTCGCGGCAGCTACCGTCTCCAGAGCTGACCAAGATGTTGAGGGTGTAGGCCTCGTTGGCGACAAAGACAAAGTCCTGGACGGGGCGGTTCTCCTCATCGGGAACGTTCAAGATCATCTTCTCTGTGGCAATAACGTAACGCTTGATCTCGTTCGAGGCAGTTCCCTCGACGGGGCTGCAGTTGAAGAGGGCAGCGGCCTCGGCGATCGCCTCCTGGACCTGAATGTTGTTGTTGCCAATCTTCATCAAACGGAGAGCGGCCTCAGCAGCGAAGTGGGCAGCGCAGATGACATCGGCAGCAGGTCCCTCAATGGGGGCAGCAGGGTTGGAGTTGACAACGGTGGTGTGGCCGTTGGTGGCCATGTAACCATCAATGTGAGCTCCCAATTCACTATTTGATTGAAGAAAGCATGGAAAAGGTGAGAACTCGGATTCTAAGAGGTTGGTTAAAGCGCCCGATCTACTATCCAAGAAAGAAGTCCAAGGTAATCCTGATATACGTACATCTTGACGACATCTCCGGTGCGGAGGACATATTCATCGCCAGCATCGCCAGTAGGGGAGTAGTACTCGACGCAGTCGTTGACAGAGACCATAGTGGGGAAAGCAATACCCTTCTCAACACTGTTCTTGTTGTAAACCTTGGAGGTCTAGTAGTGGTAATTTCAAGGTGTTGTAGGTTAGAATTGAGCTGTCTCCTGGATCTGATCTCGTAGTCCTTGCCATGCATAGGATTCAGAGAACAAAAAGCCACAGTAGTAGTGAACGTACGTAGGAGAGGATGATCTCATCACCGAAGGCGCACAACTCGCTGACACGGACACCGTCAGCAACACGAGCAACAACCTTGGTCAAAGCATCTATTGTATAGTCAATTGAAGATTACTGTTAAGGAATTATTCATATCTTCTTGCTATAGTAAATCGGGCATGACTCTTTGACTGCCGAGAAGCTAGGAGATAGCTCACCTTGGGCAATGTCGGCGGCAAGACGGTACTTGGCAATGACGGTGGGGTCAGACAAGTTGTTGTCAACATCTGACTTTTGAGCGTAGAGTTCCTGTTAGTGTTTAAAGGTAGAGGGTGAAAGAGGCAGTTGGTCAGTCTCTCTGACTCTTTGTTACATCGCTGTTCCTTGCATGTGTGTGAAGGCGAGTTGAGTTTATTTGTTTGTTTGCTTGCAGGCAAGCAAGTCAACAGGTCCAAGAAAAAAGAAGTAAAGAAAGAAGAGTCTGGAGCGACTTCTTGCTGGGTTTTGTTCCGCTGTGCTGTGTTTTTGTTGTATTCCAAGGGTTCTGGGTTCTTACAACTTGATCCATGTCCATTGTGGGTATGTTGTGTGTGTGGTGTGAAGAAGGGGAGGGAGTGATGAGGATGTGGGAGGAATGAACAAAGAGAGAGGACAAAAGTAAAGCAGCAAAGGACCACGTCTCAAACCAACGAAACTCAGCAACAACAAAAAAAAAAAAAAGTAATTGAGAGGCCACCTTTTTTTTTTTTTTGTGTGGCTTCAAGCCAAAACGCAGGCGGAAAACATCACAAAGGGAAAGTTGCAATTCACGTGACCTACCTATCACGTGCAGACATCAAGACCGGACACTGTGTCTTGTGAACTTAAGGCAAGAAGCGAAGCAAGGAAGAACAGGGTCGAGTACGACAACCTGCCCTGCTTTCTGCTCTCCTTGAACACTTTAGCATCGACTCTCACTTTCCCTTGCACTTTCCTTCACACTCTTACACTTACATCCCTAATTCACTCTTCTCACGACTCTCATCATCAATCAGGACACAACAGTCAACAACACCCATATTCACACCGACACTCAACTCCTACTCACACAAATACATACACAACTCAAAGAATGTACTGCATCCGCGCCTTCTTGCCGCTGTTGCTGCTCCCATTCCCAAGCACAGCTCCCTACTTTGTCATCCTCTACTACATCTCCCTCTACCGCCACCACAGGCCATGGTAAGATATAAACACACATATTTCTCACAAACCAAACCCTTATAACAGCACACAACCAAAACTGACAAAACAAGCGTGTATTAAACCCCAAATACTGACCATACTTTACGTGCCGTCTACTTGTTGTTAGCGTGTATTGCGTGTTCACAGTGATCCTGCTCTTTTCAACAACATGCTACTGGGGCGCAGACCGGTGCTGGCTCGACCTTAACAACTTCCACATCTTTGACCCCATACGACACATGGACGGATCCCCCACCTCAACCTTCGGACTCCAGCTACCCACGATCCTCACATCGGTCGAGGATTACCTCGAATCCTTCCTTCGTATCTTGGGTGGAGGAGAGCCATTGGCGACGGTCATCAAGGCAGGAACGAATTACTCGGTACTCGCTCCCAAAGCTGCTGCCACTGCTATCTCTGTTGCCACGTCGGCATCAACGACTGCTACTGCTATCGCCGGAGGAGGGATAGATTCTGCAACTGATGCAGTCGCCGCTGTCCTCTTGGCCGCTGCAGCTCCTTAAACGCGCTCTTACTCACGCTTCTTTTCTTGTTCTCCCATGGAAAAAATGAGGAACATTACAAGGAAAGAATAAAGCAAAATTACAAACGTCTGCTTTCATGTAACGGCTGGTAGGCCTCCAGCGCAACTCAGTGGGTGAGATCTGACATATCGATATGTAATTGACCAAATTTTCTCTAATTGACAGCGGCCTTAACGACCCATGGTAACCTTGGTCATCCTTCTCTCATTAAGCGCTTATTCGCCCTATTCTCTCTTTTTGCGCTTTTGCCCTGAACTTGCTGTGTCTGCATCTGTGTCTGTGTCTATTGTATTGCTCGCCTTGTCCCTCCATCATTGCCTCTCCCAGATACAGACAGCAACACAAATACCCTTCTTTACACATTCATATTGGACGCTAATCTTTCTTCTAATTATTAGTCGCTCTCCTTCTTTTCACACCTAGTCTCGCTCGCCGTGTTGTCTGCTCCCGCCGTGTCTGTGTCTGTGTCTGTGTCTGTGTCAAGTGTGTCCGTCTCTGTTCGTCTTGCCAGGTACATCAACACTGATGCTCCTGTTCAATACATCCATAATCGGCGCGTGTACTTCATGTCCAATTATTAACCGCCCTCTTCCTTTTCACACCTAGTATCGCTCGCTATGTCGTCTGCTCCTGTAGTTTCTGTGTCGATTATATTGTGCGCCTTGTCCGCCTTGTCCATCCCTGCTCGTCTATTTAAACGCCTCGTTGTCTCTCCTCTAGGTACAGCAACACAAGCACTCTTGATCCTATGACCTGTGATCTATCGTTCTTTGTTATACATTACAGCTCTCGTGCTCCAATCACCCGTCCTTCTGTTGCCGACAGTTTCTTGCCAATCGCCTGCATCACCTCGTCCCCTGTCATCGCAACACATCAACCATGGATCCTCAAACACCATGTTACTCTACCCACCCAGGCGATCTCAGGTCTCGGAATCCTTCGACATACGCAGAAGTCTAAGTGAGCTATCCGTTACGGGACGCGCAACCTGGAATCCCCTTAGCAATCATCCGTCATCACCAACGCGATATCCACTTGGAGCACCGTGGAATGAGGATAAGGATGAGGAAGATGAAGAGTTTACGACTGAAAATACAACAGAGTTGGATCCTAATGGAGTGCATACCATCACGCTCGAGAAAATAGCGGACTACCGCGGAACCTTGCCCTTGGATGAAGAGGATGATAGTCTGGAAGCTGGTCCTTCAGGATATCTTCAAGGATGGACGGGCAACGGAGTCCAGAGTGAAATGGTGTCAGCCCTCATTGAGGTTGCTGCTCAGTCCTCCAGTACACGTCCACAATTAAGTCCTGAACCCGCGCCTGCAGTGGAGATGGGTGTTGTCTCGTTCACGAAGGGCCATTCTGACTATGACGTTGGCGTCGGTCCCCATCCTGAGTTGTTGATAAGTGACACAGCCGTTACTAGCACACAGAAATACACGATCATTTCCCATGATAATTCTTTTCTCGACGACGACAACTCGGATAATGACGTGGTGGATATGAAGGAGTTCAAAGAGGACGAACTTGAGCACTATGGTTTTCAGAGTGACGACGACACTGACGCTGATTGGCAGGACGCTTATAACCACGACGGTCAGCCAGCTATTATCGAGTCATCCCCTGTCATCGATGCAACCGCTACTACCGCTGCCGTTTTCGGATGTCCTAGTTATCGTGCGTTTTCCAGGGATGAGATGATACAGAGATGCAAGAATGTTTTTAGAGTTGAGCCCAAGGACGAGCAGCTGCAGGTCACAGAGCATTTTGGCCAAGGATAGGACTGTATTCTCATAGCAGGATGTGGGTGGGGGAAAACCGTCGCCTTCTTTCTTCCATTGGCTCTTTGGGAGGATCGGACGATTCTAGTCATACCAACCTTGAAGGCGCTGATGTAAGATCAATGCGAGAAGCTGGAGACTATCAACATTGCGTGTACTACTCTCAGCAGCAATCAGAACGTGCCCAGTGTGGTGATGTAGATGGGGATCTGCCTTTTGAGTAATACTTTGGTGGCGTTCTTGTGACCACCATTTCGTTAGTGTAGAAAATGATAATAAAATAATTCGGAACCGAGCTGTTGGCTCGGGGCGCTTTCTTTTATACACCTTTTCCATACTTTTGATGATGACTTCTGATAATCGTCATTGAAAGCGAGGGTCCACTACTACATCGACACACTCTCGACCTCCTTTGTACCCCAATCGACTATACGGCTAGATCCATTGCTCGCCTCGAGTCGTAGTTCCGCTGGTCCACCCATCTCGTCTAGAAACGATTCCGTGCCCAGCCAACCTATCGACAACGGCGTGAAGCAAGGTGCATGGGCGACCGAGCAGTCGAGATAACAAAGCGCGCATCCAGGGGTCTACTTTATTGTTAGTACTCCTTCCTTTTATTCTCCCCGGCTTGTCTGTCCTATCCTTGACACTTTGCGCCCTCCTGATGCCATAGAGATCTACTTTTCGCCCTGCCGGCGTTTCCGCCAGACCTCCGCTGTTGCAGCCCAACACCCGACCACAGGCCGATATATCGTCTAACGGCGGACTGCGGTGCAACTGTCAACATACATTATGGATTAGCCGGTGCCCAGGGGTCTACTTTACTGTTAGCGCTCCTTCCCTTCATTCTCCCCCCCTCTCTTTATTTTAGTTTGTTTATTCTATCGATCTCACATATGCGAACTCCTTGGTCCTCTCCCGGTTCATCCTTACGGATATAGTCCTAGCTCCACTGCCCATTTGTTTAGACTATTTTGTTTTCTTGGGATCGTCCTGTTCCTGCTTGTCGACGGCGGGTCGCTTCACCGGAGTTTTAATCCCATCCAAGAAGTCGACATGGCTCTTTGGAAAAATCTTGGCAAAGTTGCGTTGGTCAATCCTGATCGTCACCTGCTGCAGATCGTTGTCGTGGAAGTTCTTCGTTGATCTTGGACGTAGGGAAGCACGTCTGGCAGCGATGGCTTCGAAGTCGATATCAGGCCGTGGACGCATTGAATCTATCACATTGGCAGGGTACGCAATAATCATGCTGACGTAGACATTGGCGGGACAGTACTCATCGAGGTCCTTCACGTGCTTCTTGACTTTTTGTTTTGAGACGGACTCCACAGCACGGTTCGAATCTGCTTTCGTAAGCACTTGGCGGAGTTTTAGCTGCACAAAGACGGGGATAATCGCAGCTTGGACCCGAATGTAAAAGACAATGTCAGGTCCAGAGGGCTTGGCTTTGGGGAAGAAGAAGGGAGGAACGGTTTGGTCGCTTCGCATTGAGTTGTTGTTGACATGTGCCTCCATGAATTCCTCCATCGAGATGTGCTCATGTGTGATTCCTCTTTGAAACCCCTGATCGTCCAGACCGACAATCTCCGCATTCCCCTCCAGCGTAGCACACAGAGAGGATATCTTGGGTTCATGCGACCAGTCGGAAAGTGCGCTTGCCTTGAAAGTCTCGGTTAAAACGTTCATCATCATGAGCTCCCATGCGAACCCTTGAGCTGAGGCGCTGTTCATTTCTTGCATCCAGAAATCCGTGGTCTCCATGAAGTTGGAATCCAGCATCCTGAAATAGTTTTCGGCAGCCTTAAGCGCGAATGGTTCATCGAGGACCGTCCTCGCATCTCCGTCGACGATCTTGATACGGCCGAAAGCACGCTCAACCAATTCTGGTACTGCGTTCTTTAGGACTAGCTTGTCGGCCCCAAACATATACCGCTGAAAAAGGAGTAGCCCTAAAACTCTCTCAACGGTAGGAAGCCTTTTGATAACCTGCAGGTTCTTGTGGTGTTTGCTCTCTATGGAACATGTATGAGAGTAAAGTGAGAAATGGCATGAGAACATGGAAATGAGGATGGCAGAAAAATAAGACCAACGAAGCAGACAATCCATACCTATTCGCTTGAGCTCATATATCAAATTACCCGGTACCCTTTGGAAGTCATAAGATACCAATTTCTTTTCTGTCTCATCGATCGCGTCTCGCCAGGCACCAGGTTTGCCATTCCCGATGGTCCTCTCTATGAATAGAAAACAAACAGTCAGCTGAGAAATCCTTTTTAATTTTGTCCGTTGTATGTCGTTGTGATGCGAATGGAAACATAACATACCAATCACGGTCACAATTGGACGAAAACGACCGACAAGCCTTTCCATCATCATGTCGATGGCCTCTGATGGCAGGAGCATGTCCAATGCTTGCTTCGCATCCTCGTCCTGCAAAAGGCTCCTCAGGCCAGCAATGTAGGTTTCAACTGATTGCCGATTGGTCCATCCGGGGAACTCCATGTAGGCGAAATCATCCGGCTCATGCTTTAGGATGGATCCCGCGCTCCGCGCCCAAGTGAGAGTATAGATGCTGAGTCCTGTGCCGGATGTCAAAAGCGTAAGTTCGTTAGCGCCCTCGATGTTGCGAAAACCATGCAGGATTGGGGACAGAAGTGGACGGTCCGCCTTGGCACCATTCATCGACTCAAAACGTCCAAAGGATTCCTCTCCGAGAATTTGCGCCTCATCGTGAGCGACAAGGAGTTTGGTACCATCCAGAAATTGGGGTGCACCTCCATGCTCAATAAGACAGGTCCGCGTAACCTGAAACTCCTTTCGGACAATATCCATCAGGACTCTTTCTTCAGTGGTGGATCTCTGGTGCAGTGGGAGAAATTTCTGGAATAGATGCTCGAAGATGTCTGTGAACATGTGAGGGCAAGTCTGCAGAAGGGTCCATCTCGCGCTCGTGAAAGACCGGCTGCTGTTCTGGACTTTCAAGCAGAACTGGAGGATCAAAAGCCGAGAGAGGAATAGCAGGTATGTCATCGTCCTTGCATAACGGTTGTTCGCATTGCGGTCCTTTTCCAGACGAGATCCAACCTGCGCCAGAAGAGTGGTCATGTCGTCCGACCCCAGATCCTCCCCAGAAGCATTGAAGTAGAATCCCCATTGCCGACATAGCAGCTCCATCATGCTGCGGGTTTTTCCACATCCTGAGACCCCAAAGATCGGTACGTTCCCTGGGCTACATTTTCCGATCAGATCCAAGATGGCGTCCGACGAGAGTCCTTTCGACGGCTCACTGCTTGAAGAGGGGTCAGGTAACTGAAGAAAGAGCAGACTAGGTCGTGTTTCATCTCGCCGTGGATTTTTCCGAAGCCACACTCTTGGCAAACCAGGCACGATTCCAGTAGTAAGCGGAAGCTGTTCATGACCTTGCACAAATCGCTCAAGAAAGGTGGCGGCAGGTGATCCAGAAGCGAAAAACTTCCCTGCGATCCTTTTGATATCAGCATCGAGGTCACCTGATTAGAATAAAAAAGAGAACGGGCATTAGACACAAAATGATCATTGCGATGCATGCTTAGGCGATTCAATTGTACTCACCAGACAGCGGACTACCAGGATCCGAGAGAGGAATGGAGCCGGGAGCTAGGATAGGTGCAAGGATTATGTTAGTGCAATAGGACGCGTGAATTGAGGTTAGCAAGAGGAACAAGCTCATGCGCAAGGTATGAATAAGAGCAAAGCACGTTTGCAATACCTGGCAGGGGTTGCTGGACGATTATGTAGGTGTTGTCGTCGGGACTCTTGGTAAACAACTCGAGGAGGCGTTTTCTAGGGTTGTTCAGCTCCGTCTTGTCGTGAAAGGTACCGTCGTCATGAATGGAGACACGGTAGAGGGTGAGCTCGTTTGCATCAACATCGCGGAATTCGTTGGGTTTCTTGAGCTTGATTGCGTCTTTGAGGTGAGCAACGGTACGTCTCTCAGAGACCTCGATCTCGAATGCCCTGGACGAGGGCAGTCCTTCAACAAGACAGAACAGGATCAGGTTCTGAGAGTTGTCGGCCATGGTTCTGTGAAGTATTTGTGAAAATGAGGTGAAGAAGGCTGGATAGTAAAGGATATGGCGAAGTCGAGGAGTGAAAGAAAGGAAAGGGGGTGTGGGTTTAAAAGGGAAAGATGGTGTGGGAACAGTGGCAAATGCGATAGGTGTGGAAATAGCAATAAGGGAGCGGTGAGAAACAAACGGAAAGTAAAGTCGAACAGAGGAAAAAGGTGGGGAAGAGACAATAAAAACGATGCCTAGTGTGGGAGTGACAGAGAAAGGAATCGAGTGAAGGTAAAGGTGATGAAGTAAGCGCGGAAAGATGGAACGGTGTGGGCGTTGAAAGTGTGGGAGCGGCGCCTAACGACCTCGTCACTGTGACGTAAGGGATCAGGGCGCGAGAATTATGTCACCGAAGTTACTGAATCGCTCGCCCTTTGGAATCCGCAATTCGGCCCAAGTGTCTTAGAACGCGTCAGGGCACCATTGCATTTTTTCACGCCACCAAATTTTTGCGTTTGCACCCAGGCGACAAAGCATCCGGGGCTTCGGGTTTATTCTTTTTTGTTTTAACTTTCAGCTCCTAATATGGTACATTACTTTTGTCATCCCATTTGCTTAGGCATGACAAAACCCAAGTACCTTGAAGTCAGTACCACTACCATCTCGACACCCTTTATCCCGGTCATGCCACGTTTTGCCCCAAGACAGCCAGGCCCCAGGTTGCCCGGGTAACGTGAGAATAGGTTTTCTCCTAGTTCCATTGAACGCGTCTTGCATTTATCCCGTCACGTGACTCCGCCACCAGGTCACTCCAGTTCTAGGGGTACCTTTTGGAATATGTATATATCCTCTACGATGTAGCTACATTGGATCTCATATACCTTTTCTACGAGCTATATTGAATCCTAGGTAGTTATCCGTAAAGAGTATATTTGCCTAGGATTATTCTGTCACCAACCTTGTCCTTCCTCCGTTTTGTCTCTTTGCCCATTTGCCTCCAGCTCCCAGACCAGTCCCCAGTTCCCGTCTCAACCCTTTTCCGTTCCTCCGGCTTCTAGCATAAATAGACCCCGTTCCCCCCTGTTTTGTTCCTCAGTCTGCAACAACTCACTTCCATCTGTCCCCTGCCTCTATTCTGCACACCTTCTTATTCCTTTCCTTTCCTTCATAATAAAATATAACAAAAGCAATACACATTCCTCCGAGTCCTGTCTGATCATTGCAGGTCAACTCAGTTATTTCGTTCTACCTTATCACAAACGAACAGACTTTTTGCTCAGGGTTAGATACAACAAGGGTTGCAAAGGAACGAGTAAAAACGTTGGGGTTGGGAGGACTAGCAGAGAGCTGGAATGGCGCTTGTTGAATGCTAGCTAGAAATACCATAGACTGTCGTTCAGAGGTAACAAGGACAACGATGTAGGGATGGAAGGTTAATAAAACGAGTGGATGTCATCCATGATACCTGCGATATATTAAGGTTTTATCATACGTACACTACACTCCTTTTCGCAAAAAGGAGTGTAGTAACTGATGAGACAAAGAGAGGCGTTGTATTAGGCACACCAGGTACATTGGTACAATCTATTATGCTGTCCCTGTATGTAGCTTAAGGGTAGTCTAGTCTATTGTCTCCATCTATCTTAGGGTGCCATTAGGCGAATATGCGACAGACCACTCTAGTTGGGTGATCATCTTTCTGGATGGCGCGTCTGCTGGGTTGAAGGCTGATGGAACGTAAGTCATCTTCAATCGAGTGTTCGTCTGCAAACAATGTGTCCAGATGTCGGAGGTGAGGTCCAAGAGGATTGGCGATCGAGTTCCGCCGAATCTGTTGATATGCGGTATTGTTGTCAGATTGTCGCACACAATGTTGATGGATCGTCCCTGCATCTCCGGGAGGTGAACCAGGGAGGCCTTTCACGTCCAAAGTATCATATGGTGTTTGTTACATCTCTGTAGATCTTGACGATATCCATAGCGACTATTAGATGAGAATGTATATATGATACCAAGTATGTAAGACAACCATTGTGACATTTTTTGTTTAACTATCCTACTAAACACCACGATATTCTTCAAACAACAAAGTCTTATTTTTCGCACACCAATCTCTTGAATGTCTCCATCTACTATCAAACTGTACCCCTCACAGCGAGATTAAGGGGAGTAGTTCTTGTATGTGATCATCTAATGCACCTCTACTCTCAACTGTATCTTTGTCGTGAAATACAGGGGAGAGATTACATTTTATAAAATCTTGTGCTGTCTATTGCTATTTTATTCTGTGTTCTGTTGCCCACTATAAAGAGATATGTCAGCTATGGAAGTCAACACTCCGTTTCTTGGGCTTTGGATATTTTTTATATGCTTTTTTATATCCTCTGCACATGAAGGAGCCGCCAGGTGCCATATGACCCTCAACTCCTTCCAGTTGATATGGTGGTCCTGCTCCTCCTCCGTCCATGGTCGAGATATTGTGGTCTCGTCCATTACTATCCCCCAATGGTTGTCGGAAGCGTCGGTGTAAACGTCGCTGTCGGTCTTGTGAGGGAGAAAGCTCTGTCCATTCCAGTGTGCCAGATGCCTCCTCCACCACTCCAGTTCCTCCAGAGCTGGATCGGTGAGGTGAATCTGTGCTGTCCACTTCCATTGGTTCGCCAAGGCCTGGTTCTGAACCTGAATCAGCCTCCGAGTCATCAGCCTGGCTGGAAACACGGCTGCTGTCATCGCCATCGCCTTGCCGATAAACGATGCCAGGTTGCGGAGTGGTGTTGTCTTGTTCCTCAACAGTTTCTCTGCCTCTCTTCTCAGATCGCGGACCTTGTTCCTTGGGACTGAAAGGGTCATGGTCCTGGTATCGATTCTGAATCCGAGGTGGTCGATGCACTGGGTCGGCACCATTGTCGATTTGCTCTCCTTGATCAGAAAGCCCAATCTCTCGAGTTGCTGTCGTACTGCTCTCGTGTGCTCCTCTGCCTCCTGCCGGCTCAACGCTGCGATCAGTAAATCGTCCAGGTAGGCAGAGATGCGTATCCCCTTGGTCCTTGCACTTGAGAACTGGTCGAAGGATTTTGGTGAAAACGAGAGGGGATAATGAAAGGCCAAACGGTAGTGTACGGAATTGGTAGAGTTTGTTGCCCCAGCGGAAGCGAAGGTGTTTCCTGTGTGCTGGGTTGACCGGGACGTGTAGGAAGGCGTCGGCCAAGTCGATGCTGGTTAGCCAGTCGTTGGGTTTCAGCATGCGACAGATGGTGGTTAATGTTTCCATCTTGAAATGTGGAGCTGTGATGAATTGATTGAGCGGGCGAAGGTTCAGTACAGGTCGTAGATCGCCTGTCTTCTTGGGTATAGTGAATATCCGAGAGTAAAAGCCTTTGTCGCTCTTGCATTCTTCGATCGCCTTTTTCTCCAGTAAAGATCGGACCTCTGAAGATATGGCGTACAGCTCCTCGATTGAATTGAAGGGGGCGTGAAGGGGAAGCAGGCGTAAAGGGGGTGGCTTGTTGAAAATTATTCCGAAGCCCTCCTGAATCACTTGGTTGACCCATGACGAGCTCGTGATCCCCTTCCATGCCTCCTGAAAGTGGTGAAGACGGCCTCCTACTGGCTTGTCTTCTCCCTCCCCCTTTTCCCTGTCCGTCTCCTTTTTTAATACCGGAATTGTTGCTGCTGTCAGGCTTGCGCCCATTGGTGACAGAACCGCCCTTCTTAGTGCTGTTGTTATTGTTGCCGTTGTTGTTACCGCTGCCCTTGTCCTTCTGTTGCTTGGGCTTGTCCTTGGATGTGTCGCTGGACTTGGTCTTGTCCTGCTGCTTGTCGCCGTCCTTGTTAGAAGGCTTGTGTTGCTGCTTTTTCTTAACAGGGAAGGCGCTGTTGATAATATCCAGGGCTGCCTTTCTCTCGACGATATCATGGAGAGTGACGGCAGCAGGCTTAGGCGTGGGGTCGCCCAGGCCCATTTGTCGGTATAGAATGTTTTGTCGCGACTCGTTGGCTTGAGCTGCAATGTCGCCTGCAAGATACCGGATCGTGTTGGCAAGAGCAACTGCTCGATCCTTCCATATGTTCTCTGTGTCGTCCTGTGACGCAAGGTGAGCGAGCGTGTCGAGAGGTCGAGTGAGGTGGGCCAGTCGAGTCTGAATCCTGGCCAGTTCCTTCTCTGCAAAGCTGTTGTCGTTGGAGAGTTGGACGCCCTTCTGCTGAACGTCAATGAGCTGGTAGGCTTCGTAATCCATTCCTTCCAGGTAGTGATAGTCGGACATGTCGAGGGTTTTGTCGTCAGGGTCGAGTTTGGCTTTGAAAAAGTTGTTCTGGACTTCGATGGCTGGATAGATGTTGAGGAGATGCTGTGTGGGGACGATGTATGTGGGACGGGGTTTCTTGTAGACGAGTGGTTTGGCGTCACTTGGCGCTTGAGTTTTGAGCTGAGTGACCATGGTGGTAAGTGTGTGGATCTGTGCCGCCATGGCGGAAAGTTGAGCTTCAAGTTGTTCATTGGACATGGGACGGATCGATCAATTGGTATCCGGGGAAGTGTTCCAACTGTGATAAAAAGAAAGACAGAGAGCATGTATCTGGAGATCCCCCCCTTTATAGTCGTAGCGAGCACTTCTTTTCTTTTTATTTTTTTTCTGAACAATCATGTGACAATAAAGAAAGATACACACACAGATGGAGTCCCTGGAAAGGAAGAATAAACATGTCTTTCTAACAATGGAAGCTGCGGACGTGATGGTGTTTTTGTTTTTGTTCACTTTGTACAGATGAATATTAAAATAAAGGTAGGGTGAGAAAAGAAAAAAAAAACTATTATAAAAAAAGGCCTATAAATCCAACAGAGACGCGATCATGGTGAAAGGGAATAACCTTCCGCTCATCCCGGTGAGTTTCTTACATCTGTGCGCGGTTTGCGAATACCAATAGCAACAGTAGCTGAGTACGAAATACAGTATTCAGGGTTTAGGATGCTGTTGATCGGGATGAAAACGGATCTGAAATGGCAAATCTGTATTGTTTCAAGAAAAATGCTTTCTATCGCCCTGAAGAGCATCTATTTTATTTTCCTTATGCGGCCACTTTGCCCAAGAATCCTTGAAGAATGCCTCCCACGTTCAGTCCCAACTTCTCAACGCAATACCCTCCTTCTTGGACAAACAACGTTGGCAGCCCAATCTTTCTAATCGCATTTCCGATTCTGGGGTATGCCTCCGACGTGACCAAAAATCCGGCGATGGGATCATCCTTAAACGTGTCCACGCCAAGCGAGATGATGATATAGTCGGCATCATAAGGAATGATGTGCTCTTGGATCAGCTTCTCCAGTGCCTCGACATACTCGTCGTCGCTTGTCGAACGAGGCAGAGGAACGTTGATGCTGAAGCCCAGACCTTCGCCCTCGCCTCTTTCAGTTGCTGCGCCTGTGAAATGAGGGTAGGCGTCACGGCCATGGAGGGACGCATAGAGAGGGTTGGATGTCTTGTAAAACAATTCTTGCGTTCCATTGCCACTAAAATGCAAAAAAAGAAAGATCCAAACGACCCGCGTTAGTTTTCGATAGATAAATTCTGAGCCAGGGAATGAAAAAAAAAAAAAAAAAGATTGCCTGCCTCACGTACTGATGAAAATCAATGTCAATGATGGCAACCTTCTTGGGTCGGCCATCTTTGTGTCTCAGTTCAGGTCGATCAATCAACCACTGGGCCGCGATCCCCACGTTATTCAGGAAACAGTACCCTCCACAGAGGTCCGACTGGGCATGATGACCAGGCGGACGCACGAGTGCGTAAAGACCAGGAGGCGCCTCGCGCGACACGATCGTCCCAGCTGCGAGTCCTTTCTCATATTGGTCAGCAACTCGCACCAGATCCTTGGTCGCCGTCAAAGTCACCTGTGCCGCATTCCAGGCAGCCTTAAAAGTATCTATCGGAGAAGAAAACGAGGAAGAGGGAGGGGGACCAGCGTGAGGAACTGGGGTCAGAGTCGAACAAATAAGGAATGATATCAAACATCTTTGCTGTTCAAAGTATTACCCTTGGTGATCACGGCCGACATGTCGAAGCAATATTCTCCAGCATTCGTTAAACTATTCGTAGGCGTCTGTCCTCCCAATCGTGCGAGCCTATAATGGGGTATCGTTGAAGGCATGACACCATTCGGGTGACCACCCTCGAGAATCCACTCGTCATACGCCGTCTCCAGATAGTTCAGAAAGCCCTGCTTATGGACGCGCTTGATGGGCTCGTAGCCAAAATCCTCCACGTGCTCGGTAACCTCAAACGAGTCAGAATGAGATTCAAGGTACTTGAGGATTGCTTCGCGTCTCTCGGGACACTCTGATAGGGTTATATATCCATTGAGCAAAGAGAGTGGTTAGCTAGTCATTATTTCAATAAACATCATACGAGATTATAGGCAAAAAAAAGAAAAAAAATATGGTATACCATAGTGTTGGGACTGTGCGCCCCCGTGGAACTCAAATTCAGGGGTGTGCAGAGTGGTGCACAGCTTTGAGGTGAAGACTTTCATGGCAAATGCGGACAAGGCAGAAGTGAAAAGTGGAGTAAGTGGGAACGGAGAAATGAAGAGGACGAGGATGAGGCTGAGAGTGTCGAGTAGGAGTACGAAGGAGCAAGAAAGTGGGTGGATACGAGCACAGTTTCCCTTTTATAACATATTTTGCTTCCTCTGGGGTTGGCCAAAAAAAGAAAGTTAGCTGTGAACGTGATGGTAGAGGTGAGCTCAACAGCCTGCGAGCGTGAGAAAAACTGGCATATCGCCAAGTACAAGACGTGCACATGACTGTGAATCATTTTTGCTCAAAATAAAGTTCGGCTAGTTATCTATGACTGATTCCACTTTTGTAACGTATGCGTCCATGGCAACAATCATGTCTATACACATCTCTTAAGTATTTACCCACGCTTGCACATTGGACACCGCCAGCCAACGACTTAACAAACATTGGGAAGCAATGAAGAGAGCACGAAAAAATCCCAACTTGAACCACCGAGAGGACAACATCCGGACATATTTGAGTCGATAGTACGGAGAATATCCGGAATTCTTAGACATTGGTGGTCATTATACTCCAAACAGCAGTGGTTTCCCTCCATCCGTATTACTGACATTTGCCTTTTTTCCTTCGTATTTATATTGACGTACCATCTCCCACACTCTTATGTAATCTACTTGACACCAATTCTCCCTCTCTCTCTCTCTTTCTCTCTCTCTCTCACTCTCTCCATCACTCTTGCTCACTCCATCTACCCTCCATAACATCCCATCCAAACATGTCCCACTCGCAGGCCCCAGAGAACAGCCTCGTGTTGTATCGGCATCGATGACGCCAGTTCCTACAACGACACAGCTGTTGCTCTGCCCTGTCTGCAGTCGAGCCTTTAAGCCAAGTAAGAACCAGAACTCTAACTTGCGCCGTCATCTCAAGAACGTCCACAACATGTCGCCAACGATGCACCCCCGCAAGTGCAAATGGGACTCGGTACCTGACGGCCGCATCAAGGACGACAAGGACCGCAAGGAGCGCACTCGCAAGAGCAAACGTCTTTCGGCTCGCAAGACCCGTCTCCGTCGCAAGGCCGAGGAGGCAGCCTTAGGGTTGTGCATGCTCAGTCAGGCGGTCTAAGACAAAAGAAATTTACACTGACAAAAGGCTGCCCCCCCCCCTCCACCGCCACTAATATTTACCCCCCCCCCCCACCGCCACCCCGGAAGTTGGTGTCAGAAAAGTTACACTAATAATAAGACTTTAATAGGAGGTCCGGTTCTCACAGAGTGTGTGACAGCAGCGAGAGTGCAGAGAGGTAGAGTTCTCGCAAAATGTGAGAACAGCGAGAGGTCCAGTTCTAACAAACGCAAGACCTCGATGTAAAAAAAAAAAGTCGGTCAGTTTTCGCAAAAGCAAGAACGGCCAAACCAAAAAATGTGCAAAAAAGTGCAAGGCTGGCCGTCGCCAAAAAAAAAAAAAAAAAAAGTGCAAAACTCGCCGTCAACAAAAAACACCAAAACCACGCTCGGCTCTTAAGGTTACGCCAGAAGCAGCCACAATGAGCCACCAAGTAGCCACTCTTTCAGTTAAGTACCATGAGAGATCTTTCTTGTCTCGGTTAAATACCATGCTTTTCTCTGGTCTCCCGATATCACCGTTCTCCAACAAGTCCAAAATGCCCGAATTGGAGAGACCCTTCTACCCCATGCTAACTGAGGAGTCCGTGGCTGATCGCCGTTCAAGGTTTAGTTGCCTTAAAAGATGTCTTCGTATCAGCGTAGCAGTACTACTGCCTTTGACAGTGTTATGTCTCGCCAGTACCGTCTCCGTCGTCGTAAGGTCGAGGAGGTAGCCTTGGTGTTGATCATGCTCAGTCAGGCGGCCTAAGACAAAAAGGCTGCCCCCACCTCTACCGCCACCTCTTTAGTTATTAGTCCCCCCCCCACCGCTAGGCTGCCCCCCCCCCCCTCCTTATTTTATTATTATTACGCTTTTTTTGTATGTATCATTTCTTGCCATATTTCCACAGCTGATGACGCCAGTTCCTTTGCTCTGCCCTGTCTGCAGTCGAGCCTTTAAGCCTAGTAAGAACCAGAACTGCATCTAGCGACGGGAATACTACGATAGGGAGATGTGGCTAATGCCAGGAAACAGGCAGGAATGATAGGTAAGTGGAATGGAAGTATGTACTTAGGCTAGATGATTTATTGTAAGACAAGGTTAATAAAGAATGAAGAATAAAGGTCTACTTATACTAGAGCGAGGGACAGGTTTAGACTAAATAATGGAAAGGGAATAATAGACGTGCTAAAGCCGTGTGACAGAACCCCATGCTAAACCCATGTAACGGATTACGTGCTAAACCCGTGTACTGAATCAGCGTACTAAACCCATGTTAAATAGAAACGCGTGACGTCACCGAACTGTACTGAATCGTATGGGCTGAACGTAGCAGCTTAGCGCAGTTCGAGCGTCCAAGCTCAACAGTGATGGGTCACGTGAGCAAGTGATGCACTTTAGGGGGCCATTGAATTTTCCGCTCATCTTTTTCAACTTTACACATCCATTCACGTCTTCCCCAATGTTAAACAAGCAAATCACCATCTTAGTTTCACTAGCCTTGCTAGCCGTTTTTACTCTGGCGGAGGACTGGTCGCCCGGACTTCGTGCTGCATGGGAGGGAGATGGTTCTGTGAACATGTTCGGTGTGCCCATTGATATCGCAACTGAATGTGATGGCCAGCCTTGTAACTATCCTCCACTCGTCAAGCAGGACCCATCTCAGCCCTCAGAATTCGTTGGATATTGCGAAGATAATGAACCCTGCCCTGGATCAGGAATCTTCTCCATGTCTGATGAGGAATGGGAGGAAAATTTTGGTGATGAAGAAAAGGATGCTGCTTTTGAGAAAAAAACAGGAGGAGGTTGGTGCGCTACTGCTGCGCAATACAGGAGAGAAATCCGTGAAGAGAAACGTAGAGCTAAGCAGATTGACCAGAACAACAACTAAGGTCGTTTCCTTTTCATGTCCCGCCCATTTCACCCTTCTAGTGTAGTTTTCCCTTTCCTCGCAAACTTCCTACGCGGATGGTGAGGTTCTCGCTGCTACATTTTTTCTATTCATCTTTGGATTTGCTGAGAAATAAAGATCGTCACGTTAGACGTACAACTATTATTCCTAATCGCATATGCTATGCGTACTGGGTTAAGCAACATGGCCTGTGCCCGTTTATATGCTACAGAGACCATTAGCAATTTAGAAATGCTTAAGAAAAAAATAAATTTGGACTCAGGGTTATGAGTTGATTGTGTAGTTGAGAAAGTGTATGAAAAAACAACCCAAAATTTCTTTAATAACATTATCCATCAAAAGCAGATGAGCCATGTCTGTGTAATCAATCTTCTATTGGTTGCACTCGAGAAACTAAACTAAAAAGGAAAATAAAAAGAAACATGCATCGATCTCTGCGCACTATCTCTCAGATCGAGCACGAAGGAAAAGAAAAGAAAAGAAAGAAAACTAAACTAAACTAAACTAAGGGAGGGTTGGGAGGGCACAGACATGGCTCGTCTGCTCGGATAATGGACGTAAGACTTCCTTCGTCGTCTTCGTGACCCAAATGGAGGGAGCATGCAATCTAAACTGGAAGTAATGAGCTTATTGCACAGCTTCATTATGGAATTCCACCAATCCACCACTTCTCCGACCATGCATTGATACAGTCCCAGCCTTGAATCTTATTGCCAACCACCAGTTGCTGTCCCATATTGTCCAGGCACTTTCCTGCCGAGGGATTTCTGATAGTTCCGTCGAAATGGAGTTCCCATTTCTGGTTGTCGCCTCGATGGCATTTAAATACTGTAATTGTGCCGCCATTGGTACTGCCGGAAGCGGAATTCGTTAAACATAAGCCTGTGCGCGTGTTTTGGATAATGCCATCAGTATAGATGTTCCATTGCTGATTGTCGCTACCATTGCATATGTTGAGAATGGTTCCGGCGCCAGAACCGTTCATTCCGGCATCCAAACAATAGCCTGACGCCCCACCATCACGGTCCTTTTGCTGGATAGGCACTTTGGAATGGGCAATATAAATAAAAGAACCCCAGACGGCGCGGGCAGACCCATCGGTTATAGACATATGACCGTCCCTGAATTGCCAATCTACGGCCTTGAGCCTCAAGTTACGGGGAGACCCATCGTGCGTCACAGACGACCAAATGGGCTTGCCTAGTGTGTGTGAATGGATATTCATTAACATATGTAAGTCAACAATCCATTCAATTTACATATGCTAATGAATATTCATTCACACACACTAGACTTGCCTTTGATATCGTAGATAACAAGATTGCCATCTTCCTGAAAGTACATGTTGTAGTCGCCTTTGGTGCCGAGACCTTGAGAACTTGTCGACCAAACGGCTTGACGGGTCTTGGAATTGTACGACACAAAGTTTCCATCGCTCTGCATGGCATAAAAGAAGTCAGGATCGGATGGCACACGTACCGCCAAACACTGGCTAAGAACGAGTCCACGGTCGAAATAACCAAAACCACTAACGTCGTACGGAGCGTTCACGAAGTACTTTGAGATATCGCCGCCTAAGCATGTTCGGCTATCCACGTCCTCCAAGAGCTCGTCTCGGCCGGTCTGTGTGTATTTTAGGCCATCATTTCTTGATAACTCAACCTTCTTTAGGTTTACAACATCCCTCATAAAAGGCTTGCACTTCTGTGGTTCCCCATCCACGAGTCCACACTTCACCAATTTGAATTGGCTGGTATAGTATTCATGGTACGACAGTCCGTTTTGGTGAGCGACAGGGTAGGATCGTAATAACTATGCATGAGAGATTTTGCATCGTAGGGCGAAGCTGTCCAGTAGTAAGACACGTCATTGACTTCTTCATGTGCAAGTCCAAATAGATGTCCAAGCTCATGAGCCAAAGTCAAAATCATCCCTTTGGTCTGCTTTTTGGTAAGCCGCTTGTTGTTGACCATAACAGTCGTTCTTTCGCCGTAATGGATTGGGAAAAAGGCGCAGGCAATTGCTACCTCATTGTTGCACACAGTTCCATCTACAAAATAGAACCAAACATTCGCCACCGGCAGTTTGGGTTCGTTATATGGCACCCAATTGTTAATAAAAGTCGAGCCATCGGCTCCACACGAATCTTTCCAGAGATTAAAAGACTCCTTGACCAGGTGCCTCATGTTATCGAGATCAGGTATGAGCTTGTCCTCTGCCCAGACGCCATAGGTAATCCTTGTGTTGCTTGGCCAGACTACTAGCATTTTCGCACCGTCGAGCGCCCACCGAGATCTTTTCTGGAGTTTGCCAGGGGTTTTGGCGCGCTTGTGTACAGAACCTTTTGAAGCCGAGGTTAGATTAGGATTTTCGATGGGTTTGGGAAAATATCGCTTGGAGGCCGAGGATAGATGAGGGGTTTGGATGGGCAGATATCCTTTGGAAGCCGAGGATAGATAGGAGGTTTGGGTGGGCACGGATCCATTTGTAGCCAAAAGGCGTCGAGCTGGTCTGGCCGGCTTATGAACGGATCTATTTGAAGCCTGGGATGTACGGCTCAACCCGGACTCTGATACCAGGGTGGCATTTTCGGGCAAATAGTTGCAGATGACTTGATCACTCCCGGCGGGTATACAAGACTGTCCACCTAAGTCAGCTTGATCATATCTGACGAGTGGAGGATAGTTACAAGGCTGGCCATCACATTCAGTTGCGATATCAACGGGCGTACCGAAAATGTTCACAGAACCTTCTTCCTCCCATATAGCACGAAGTCCGGGCGACCAGTCCTCCGCCAGAGTAAAAACGGCTAACAAGGCCAGTGATACTAAGATGACAATTTGCTTGTGTATCATCTACTCTGCAACAATTAGGGCATTCACACAGTTAAAAACTTGAAAAAGCAAATCAAATCGTAAACTTGTCTGAGAATAAAGACTTACCTAGCGTAAAGGTTTCGACCGGATAAAAATTGATGATGGCTTTATCGGAGATAGTATCCAGAAGGTACAGGCGTGAGGAAGAGAAGGAAAGAGTAGTAAACGACAGCAAATGGAGAAAGAATAGTAGAGAAGAGATAGGAAAGTGAAGAAGTGAAAGGAAATAGGATAGCGATGAAAAGGCAGCATTATGTCTTCAGATTCTGGTTTAAATAGCATTTCCAAGATTGAGGAATCAACACACGTTTCAAGTCCCGGTCAATGGACAGACTCTCAAATGTTCAGTAAAAGGTTTTCTGGAGTTCTATCAACATGTGATATGCTGTTTCGTTTTTTAGTACAATATTATTTCTTTTCCATATGAGCCTTACTGGAAAGGTAGGGAAACAAAAGCCTCAACCTAAATTCGAGAGTGCACAAAAACGACAAAAAGTGAACACAAACGCCAAAGTTTGTACGATAATTAAAAATGGTAAAGCCCACAATGGAGCTCAAAGTCTCGACTCCTATCTGGACCCAAGATGTTCTATCAAAAAGGTCGCTGCTCTGTCGCAAGGTCGAGGAGGAGGCAGCCTTGGCGTTGAGCATGCTCAGTCAGGCGGTCTAAGATGCTTGTCGATCAACAGTCCCTTGAAATGTAGAGCTCGCTCGGAACGTTTTGTCGATTTCTGGCTTTGATAGCGGGTAGTAATCTAGAGTCCTGTTTAAATGTGAGCAATTTCGATAGAGGGTCCCACTTCTTCAGCACGCAGTAGCGAAGAGGGCCTGTATATTGAACATCCAATGTCGACACAAAAGATTTCAAGAACAACAGGCCTGTCAGTCGCTTTTGTTCCAAGCGAGGCTCACAGCCCTCACGAGCACCGCGAATGAAAGAAAAAATGGGGTATAATACCTCAAACATATCGTCAGCCTTTCCGCATTCCGGATCATCGTGTCGCCTTGATTCCGTCTCCGTTCCCTCAACAAATGTCTTTTAGTGAAATGATGATTCAGATTAAACAATGGAATGTAAGTGCAGATTTATACATTCCATTGTTTGAAAACAATCAAGCGCGTTCTAGGCTGCACAGCAGATCACGGTTAGGTACGTACGTTTGTTGTTCCTGGACTATTAGATGCCATAATCTTCTCTGTATGTGTGGCGGGTGTATCACAACGAGAAGGGATGGTGTAAAAAGGAGAAAGAGGTCAAGAGAGCGAGATGTGGAAGAAAAATAAAAAAAGAGGAGAAAGAATATCAAAGGGGACAGGTGACAATGATTTGACTGATGGATACGTACCGCGACTTGACCAATTACAACACAGCGACGATACTGACAAAAGGGCAGAGTAACCGCACGCGCGCATTCATGGGAGCGTACAATCATATAATACATTTTAGAGGCATGTAAGCAACATCAGGAGAATAGCCAAGGACGAGGCACTCTTGACAGCATTCGAGGAGATCAATGGTTTGGTAAAGTTCAGATCTAGAGACGGGAACTATTCCTGCAACCAGGTCACAGAGCTGTGTACAGAGCAAATGAAAGATCGTGGGGAGCTGAAGACCAGAAAGTAGAACATATAATAACAACATGCATATTTATTTACAGTTGGAGTTCGATTGTAGTTTGAAGAGAATGATGCATGTACCTCGGAGCGAATGTTCTCTAATCATTGAAAAGATACAGAAATGAAGATAACATCTCATAGAATGAGCAGAGCAAGAGTAGAGGAACGTGAACTTGGATGAGGTATGCTATGAGTGGAGGAAAGTTAAGTAAGCGGTATAGCGAGATGACTGTGCCTATTGGGTATTCGCAAATACGTGAGGAAAGTCAAGAAAAAGATAAACAAAGGGGTGTTGTGCTGTACTGGTTTCGAATTTAAAATGTGCATGTAAAGTAAGTGCCAAATAGAAGGTGTCAGTTTCGAAGGTTGTCATGCCTAAACAGTTTTGCGTGCTAGACTCGTGTAACCAGCTTTTTTTTTCGACGCGCTACGCGCATGTAAAAATTGATTGTTAAGAATTCCACACTCGCGTCATCGAAAGTGATCGGCAACCTACGGTGGGGCCATGTAATATTTTATCTAAATCTTATACTTGCTTTATGTGAAACTATGTTCTAAAGCTGAAGTTATCTTTGTTATCGATTTTTGGTCCTGAGGGCCTTGCTCTTTTTTGTTTGTTGATGTTGTGTACGGTATCTGCTTGTCCATTTCCAATGAATGCGAGGGGTCAGCATTTTTCTTTTCCTAACAGTAACCGCCTTCAATAAAAGAAGAAGAGTGCTGAAAAGAAACAGGGAGCGAAAACATACCAAATCGACGACTGCAACTGCCACATCAAGCCCCAATTTGGTTAAATGCAAAATAATACAGCAAGAGTAGCTTCAGGCTGTGTAAAGAAAAGAAAGGCAAAAAAAACCAGCAGCTTCCCCAACAGAAAAAGAAACGCCAAAAACCGCCCTCCCCCTACCTTTGTTCATAAAGAAACTTTGACATTTGAAAGTACGTTTACTTTGCCACAATGCCACTTCGTATTACGAGATAACTTCGCCCAGGTTGTATTAAATGATATTCATGAATGATACTCTTTCTTGGTTGTTGTGGCCTTGTAGACGTACAGTATCAAGGTGAATGTGTGGATCATTGTGAGTATCCATAGAAAAGTAAAAGAACCAAATGAAATGCACAATTGACACTAAACCATTGCTTCTCATCGTGCAATTAAAGCGAGGCTCGCTCATGCTAACATGATATTACATAAACTGACCTCTTTAGGCCTACGATGATGTGGCCTTATGAATCGCCGAGGTGGAAGGGGGTTTTGCGATAATAGATCGCAGGTCTGTCGGTCAAGGAGACTCGAGAGGGAAGCCTGTCGCGGCAAAATTGATGCATCAGGCAACGAGAACATAGTGTGTCTGCGTGACAAGAAGGCGTAACAGGTCCAATGTCATGCTGTTGTTTTCTTCTTCTCATGGATCAGGCGGCAGTACAACTTACACCGATATCCCGATACCCCTACAAAATAGTTCTCAACAAATCGTCGACTTCGTAGCGCAGTCGACAGGAACAGCGCCGAAATGCATCCCCCAAACAAATTACAACAGTCAATCATCATCTGAAAAGCCCAATGTTGTATCGTGATATACCTCGAGAATTGCGTGAGTAAGCGCCAGTTGGCAGAAAAGAGTTTAACGGGCTAATCATGTCCGTTAAAGACGTTTTGGTAAGAGAGGCTATAAAACTATATCACAAGAACCATGCGAATGATCATGAAGTCGAACAAAAAAAAATTCCTGAAGGTATGTTAGATGACTTCAGTATCGGACCTGCTGCTATTGGTGTTGGAATGACTATTACATATGAGAGTTACTTGCTTAGTTAAAACGAAGACAATGCCGCGAAAATGCAACCCGCCAGCATCATTTTTTTCTAATCCAGTTTTGTGCTCAACATGTTCAAACGTCCCTAGATCCCTCACGATTCCGTATCCCCCGGCAGGAAAAAAAAAACAGTCTAACGCGTACCGCCCGCGTACACACGATGGCGCAGTACCCTATTTTATTTTCACGAATGACAAATCCTCCTGCACAACAACTGAACCAAGGCAATCATGAAAGGATAAGTGGTATAGCTGAAAAAGAAGGATCTCCAATGCTTCAATTGTTCAGTTCTCGCGTCTAAAATTTTATGTAACAGCACTGCGAACTCATTGGCATGAATTTTTTTTTGTTTTGTTTTGTTCCACGATCTAGTTCGAGCACGAAGCAAGTGCTCTATCGCCAACAAGTCTCAATGAGCCGCATTGTCGACACTAAATGCCGTTTTTTTCAAACGCACCGGCCAGGCCCCTTATTCAATTGAACGTGGACGCCCTGAAAACTGTAAGCCCGATTTATGTAATATGAAAAACAGCAACCCATGAGCTGAACCCTTCTCTGTGTTCTTACTCCTGTCCATTTTTTCTGATTCACCTTGAGCTCTAGGTGTTCGATGCCTAGACCCTGAATGATTACATCATCCACAGAAACATTGATAGGGGTCAAGGGTACATTCCTCGGGTACATAGTAATGATCACCGCCTGTTCCGGACATTTGCACGGAAAGCATATCCTCCAAGGCGATTTGAAGCCCTCGAACATTTTGATCGCATATCATCGGCATCGAAGTGTTTTCAAACGGGGCAGATCTAGAGGAAATGCGTATCCGAGTAAGTGCAAGAGATGTGAGCGCAATCTAGCGATGCAGCAGCAGGATTGGAGCCTGTTCGTCCAACTAACGTGTAAGTCGTTTGCATATCCTAGGAAGATCATCGGCGAAAAGAACGTTGGATCCGATAGTTATCGCGCATTGGAGGTGTCTCTCGATGAAGTCCATTCGTTTCTCGAATTGGCGGAAGGTAAATTACGTGCCAATTCCATCGTTCTAAGTGACATAAATATCGCGAACGATTGTTCTGGTATAACCATGCGAGCATTGGTCCAAAAGTATCTGGTGTATTTTTTTTTCAGGATTGATCATGACCCGTCAAAGAGATGTGGGAATTGCGGTGGCAGAACGATGTCAAGGCAGGAAAAGAGTACACCATCAAGAGAATACGAGACCCCTCGTCAAGAAAAAAAAATGTGTCAAAGCTAGACCACGACCGTTTGATACGCACTGTTGTGCTGTTTGCCTTCTTTATGCCTAGTGAAAATCGCAAATCTTCAGTGCGAGAAAAAAAAAAGAATGGAGAAAACGCGGCTAATCAAACCTAGCTTTGTTGTCCCAACGCATTTTCGTAGTCGAGTACTCAAAAGAAAAGGCTTCTGATGAGATTGAAGATAAAGTTCACGCCATGATATTGCCCCGGCCCCATGTCGTCTCGGTCTTATGAGCAACCTTGGTTCCATCACAAACGTTGTGAGTCAAGGAAGGCACACACAGCTGCTATCGATTATGTGGTGGAATCGATACTACAGATGGCGCATAGGACCATCACTATCTCCACCTCCACGGCCAGCAAACTGACATTGAGAAACGAGTAAAAACATGGACGCTTACACTGAGTTCATCAGCACACTTGTCATTTTTCAATTTGGACCGATATCGACCTGTGAGGACCGAGCAAAGGACCCATCCCCGCCATCGCCACGGCCTGTACCATAATCGCCGCCACAACTACGACATAATCGACAGTAACAGTAGGACGACGCCCAAAAAGGACGATTCTTGACGCCTTTCACTGTTGCGGAGCTAATTTTTTTTTTTTCACCTAGCAAGAAAGCGCCTCGAAATCAGTGCGACGGCATTCTATCCATATGACGCCTCCTCCCAAACCATCCAGCTGGACGGACAAGTCGACATCTGACGCCTCTTTCCAAGTGAAAATGAATCCGCCATCAGGGTCTGAACTCTGCAAGTCGACAATACCTGATGACTCGCAATTCATCATGGAGCGTAAAAGAAAACCGATTCGATACTCTCATCGATATAACGAAAGTTCCAATCGGTCGCATAACAATAAAAACCATTATTTAACAGACTATAGAAGAGGTGATCAATGTATTTCTATGCAAATTGCGATTCCGTTCGTGTTTTGTTCGTATTCCCTGAACATCCCCATTCCCTTCTGCCATCATGCTTCACAATGAAAAGGGATCAGTCGCGCAGGGGCACGTCGTCGAACGGAATCATGTTGACTCTATCCTGCTCTCCTTCGCTATCCGCGTCGTTGCCCATATCAGGTGTCGCCGACATCGATCCTGGGGTAGGGATGCCAGCTCCCAAACCCAATTGCGCGTACTCGTCATACCCATCGTTCTCATGATCGCTCCTATCGATCCGCCCGCCGGTATGGCTAATACCAGACAATCCACGCGTGCCATACGACCCCAATCCGGAGCCAGAGAACGTATCAAGAGTGACTGGGGAATGTGCCCGCGATCCATTGGCTGTACCGGGGTTCGATCCATTGCTTGCACAGTCAGACATTCCAGGAGATCGGACTCCTCGTCCCGCACTCATGTCAGGATACTCAGAGATATGGCCCGACATCAACGTGGCTTCGTCGTCATCATCATCATCATCGTCGTCATGCACCGACGACCGACGTCCCTTTCCATACCTGGCTCCCATCATGAACGCCGGCTGCCCTGAATACGATCCTCGAGGGCTGGCCAAGCCAGAAGGTCCAATCGCAGAGCTGTACGACGGAAGTTCATCGTCACTGTCGCCCGGCCCACTCATCATGTTGTCAGTGTCGTCCTGGAAGGTTCCCATTGGAGGTCTGCCCCATGGACCATACTCGCCATCATCATCATCTCGCTCCTGGGTCCTGAAGTTGCGCACGGGGGCCGCGCTGAGGTAGCTGCCGTAGTGCATTGCAGAAGAGCTTGAGCTAGGCTGAGGCTCGGGCTCGGGGTCAGCGACGCGTGCTCTCTGTTCGTACTCGCGGACAGTAGCGTTCCTGCGGCGGTAGAAGAGAAGGTACGCACTGGACGACTTGATGGACTCGACATTGCCGACGGCGCTGACGTGCGAATCGTCAAAGTTGTACCAATTTCCAGTTTTCTCATTCTTGGCGTAAGCAGTGTCTATTCAACATTGATATAAGAGCACAGTTGTTAATAAAAATTTACGTCTCCAACAGCACACGATATCCAGTATATACGAAAGAAACTTACAGTGACCGCCGCCGAGACCGCCCATGTGGTTCGAGACCCCAAAGAGATCATAGACGTTCTCGTCGCGATCCTCTTCCTTGAGGATCTTGCCGCTCAAGTCCAGTCCGTGGATGGGAAAGTCGACCATGGCATCAATCTTGTCGCGCCACGTACGAGTATGGCTGAAGCGCTTCAAGTGCACCACTAAAATGTCGGGCAGGCGCCAGATATCAAGCTTCTTGGTTGCCTGTTGGTGCTTCTTGCAGTTGGGACAGTACCACAGATCCTCCTCGCCGAGCTGTTCCTCCTTGGTGTACTCTGCGAGACAGTCTTCCAGCGTAATATCCTTCTTGCCCCGCTTATTCTCTGCTTTCTCTTCCTGTAAGACGGGATCGACAATGGGAGTTCCGCGCTGTTCCCAAAGAGCCTTCTCGCTCACTTCCTTCTCCTCCTCGTCAAATTTACTGCGGTAAGACACCATCTTTGTCGGAGGTGGGGAGATCGACGACTCCAAAGATTTGGCCCAGAAAATATAGACCATCTCCTTGGGTTCAACTGCAGGCTCGGTGACAAGCACAGGTTCAGGCACGACTAGCGATGGCAATTCAGCAATGTCGGCCGTCGATGACTCTTCTTCGGGTTCATCCTCATCCAAGACCTCGTCCTCTCCAGCATGAGGTCCCTGTGGTTTGCTGGAAGTGGTAGACGACTCTGACATGCCAGAGGGGGACGTGGGTGGGCGGTAGAGGGGACTAAATCGGTCCTCGTTGAACCTTCCCGGGAATGGTCGCTGGCGACCGTAGCTTGGATAGAAGTCCATCTCCTGTTCCTTCTTGGGGAGATGCGGTATGGTCCGTTCGTGCATTGGGGTCATCTCCTTGGGGGTCGGCATGAGGGCGGGAGCGAAAAGTGTTGACCGGCCCCCACCGCGAAGCATGTACCCCTTGGTGATGATAGGAGGAGGAGTGAAGACTGACATTTTGAAGAGGTCGCGTTGAGGCCCCCGTTCGACTCCTGCTGCGATCGCTGGTGAGGGTGAGACACCGGTATCCATGGTTTCATCCTCATCCTCGATCTCTGACGACGGGTTCTCGGTCTCGTCCGACATATCATTCTCTGACGGGGCGTACAAATCTGCCGTCGTGTATCGGTTGGCTTGCTCAACAATGGCATCGTAGATCTTATCCAGGTCCTTGGTATCCTCCTTGGCCACACAGACCATCATAGGGTGTCCAAATGCGCTGACTCGACTGTTGGTGGCATAGTGAGAGGCAGGCTCCATCAGGTTGTGTACGGGAAAGACGACGTGGTCGGGCGAGTTCAAAAAGTCTTGGATCGGGAGTTCGTAAACATAGATTTTGTCGTTGGCGCCAATCTCTTCCACAGCATCCGAGGATTCAAAAGTCTTGTAGAAACGAGAGTTGAATACCTCCGCCACAAACAGCTGACCGCCCTGTGTGCCCACTAAATCGGCGACCTTATCCCGCAGCTGCTTGATTGTTGATCCCTTGGGCAATTGCAATTTAACTTGAACGAGGGGCTGGGTGGGGTCATAGGGCACATATGTGACACTACCTTCCCACTTTTTGGTGATGGGCAGGGGCAAGCTCAGGTACATGAATGGGTCAAACGTGACAGACACCTAGGGCAACAGGAGTACGACAACCATATGGGTTAGTTCATGTCAACCTGATGTCACGTTTGACAAGGCATAGTGACGTACCAGCATTTACAAGAGCATGTATATTTTGCTTGCCTTTTCACACTCTGGGCAGACCAACGTAGACTTGTATTGTCCCTGGAAGAGATCGACAATGATAGAGTCATTGCGAGCCTTGTGGATATTCCAACAGTCACTCGCGACTTCCTCGTCCGGCCGGCCATTAGAATCAGGAACCTCTGTGTAGGGCTTTTTGATGATACGGTTCAAGTCCTCGTGCAGACCATCCAGCAAAAACGCCAGCAACTCTTGCGAATCGTGTTGATGGTATCCAGTGAACGAGGGCGCAAAACGTCCAATCGTTTGCTACAATATCACCATTGGCAAACAACATTGTATGTTAGCCTTGGCCTCCAGGCATGCATACATCGGATACTGGCAGCACAGTACCACGCGCAGGAAGACCATCAAGACAATATGTTACCTTGAGCACTCTGGGCGAAAAGACTTTGCTGGTTCCGTTCCAGAGGTTGTCAATGACCTTGGCGTACTCAGTAGCGACTTGGCCTCCCATACCAAGGGGGTTGTCGAGGTTGAGTTCATCTCTCCAGGCTTGGGCCAAAATGTAGCGTGTCAAGTCGGGGGTGTTGCTCAGACATTGGAGCGCCGAGTTCATGAAGCAAGTGTTGCCGAGGTTGGAGAGACCGCAAAGTCCTCCAGCGGGCTTTCCTGGAGAGGCAGGCGAGTGGGGACTACCGTAGCCACGAGTAAATGTCGAAGAGAGTCCTGCTGATCCAAAAAAGCGGGATGTTTGGCTAGATGGACGTTGGACTGGAAACTCGCCATCGACTGCAACTTCGACAATGACCTCCTTAGCACCACGAAGATCGTTGACCTCTGAGATAGTATAGTCGTTTTCAACGGTGTCCAAGCAAGTCGCTCCTGATCCGAGAAGAGTATCGGCGTCGACACCATTGCCTTGGGCATTCAAGTGACGGTAAGAGGGGACAGCCCAGAGGCGAACTTGGTCGTCTTGAGCGACACCCAGACGCGAAACAAGGGCTGCCTTGAGGTCGCCAAACTTTGTCGATCGAGGCACTTCGATGGTTTCAGGTTCATTGAGGGCAAGCAGTTCGACGAGGTCTGCGTCGCCGACTCTGTAGATGGTGTAGACGGGAGGGTAATAGTCGACCGAGAGGTTGGGGTGTTCTTCTGTTCCTGTATTAACAACCTTGCGGTAGATTGGTGCTGAGCGAGACCCGTACCTTTGAAGGACATGGAAATAGACCCAAAATAAGAAAAATAATTAACATTTTGGCTTTTATCGCCTCCTTTTGGAGGTAAAACAAACAAAGATATCACAGCGACGCCGCTGCAGTGCTGCTTGCGTGTGCCGCAGGCAGAGAAACCTTGGTGAAAAGAAAACAAAAAAGCAATACCGACAAGTGATGACGCGCATTGAGTATACGCAAGACTTGCGCAACTCCTTTCTCTCTTTTGTTTCCTGTTCCCACTGACAAATGGACTTACCAGGACACCAGCAGCGGCCAGGCTGCCTCTGGGAGAGGCTGGACCCTGTCTGCAATTCCGAGCTTCAGAGTATCGTCCTCAAGAAGATCCGAGTTATCGAGCTCACCAGGACTATCCTCATCGGCGCCACGAGACATCCTGATGCAGTACTTACGGAATTGTGTATACCACGTTGTGGGGATCAAGCAGTAAACATCGCCAAGTTCAAGTCGCCTGCGTTTAAGGTCATTAATGAGGGCCATTTGTTCGTCGGGCGGTGGGGCATTGGCGGCGGCGTGTGTCAGCTCAGGTACGTCATCATCCTGGTCCTGGCTAAACGAAGACAGAACGATGGGGGGATATTCAAACGACATCAGATCGGACGTGGCTTCGGTGTCGATATTGTTGCTGAGACTGGCAGAGTCGTGGTCTGCTTGGATCGTCGACTTCGAGGGGCTGTGGAGCGAGAGCTGCTCGCCGAGGTTGTCGAGGTCAGACTCTGCCGGGGATCCGTTCGGCAGTGCTGTTCCTGCGCAAGGTGCTCCAGTGGTGATTGTAGCTGAAGTTGCCGTTATGGGTGCTGTGGTTGCGTCTGGTGATGGTTGGTGTGGATTTGTGGGTGGTGTGGCGGCATTGGTGGTCAAGGTGACATTGTTAATGGCATGATTGACGACTCCGGTGTTGTTTTCGGATGATGTAGTGATGGAGATGTCTTCTGCGTCTTGGATGGAGGCTTGTTGTTTGAACATCTCTCTAGGAGGAGTGTACCTTGCGGCTTCACTTGGGTCGGTCATGGCACTTTGTTCTCGTCCTCGCTTGTGGGAAGGGATCGACTGGTTTGGGGGCAGCAGTTGTTGTTGTTGTTGTTGGAGGGAAGAAGAAGAAGAGGACAGGGTAGTAGAAGAGGAAGAAGAAGAAGAAGTTGATGTGGCGTCAAGGGTGGCGGTGGCGGCAGCGGTGGTGGAGGAAGGGGTGTCGCCTGGGTGGGGGAGGAGCATAGCTAAGAATGGTGAGAAAGGGAAAGGAAAAGGAAAGGAAAGAAAGAAAAGTGGAGGAAGGGAAGAGAAGAGAAGAGAAAAGAAGAGAAGAGAAGAGAAGGGAAAAGAAAGAAAAAGAAGAGGGGGAGAGCAGGAGACACAGGAGAGAGAGAGAGAGAGAGAGAGAGAGAGAGAGAGAGATAGAGAGAGGGAGGCGGGAAGACAATAATAACAAGTGAGGTTGCGGTGTGTGGTGTTGTGTGTTCATCACACACTCCAAATTAGCTTTTCTTTTTGTTGTTGTTGTCGCTGCTGTGGAAGAAGGGCTGAGGACTGAGGAGACGCGTCAGTCACTTTGTCTGGCTGACAATCATCCATCCATCCAACCCACACCTCCTTACAACTCTTGATTCATCATCAACAACTCACACAGCACATAGCACACAGCACACACCCAGCCATATAAACACAATCAAAAGTACTCATATTTAGAAAGGTCCCTTCACACAACCATTTAATAGCATATCATACTACATACCTGATAGCAAAAAATGCTCTTTCGCCCCCGCGTTCTTTCCTTCTTCTGTGCGCCACCGGACTGATGCCTTGCTGTACCATTCTCGTTGAATCCATACAAGATCAAAGGTGTTTATTTCCATGCAAAATTTCAATCAAAAAAGAGACTCCAGCCCAGTCTTGCGTCTCTTGCTGCGGTGCTTAGCGTCCTTCTTGCTCTTCTTGCTCTTCTTGCTCTTGTCCTTCTTGTTGGTCTTGGCCTCCTCCTCCTCCTCACTCTCTGATGACGAAGACGATGACGAAGATGAAGAAGAAGACGATGGCGAGGACACCCTTGCTCCAGCGAGTTTGATAGCCCGCTTAGTTGTCGTCGCAGCTGCAGCTGCAGCAGGTACAACGGTTGGCGGAGTTGTCTCTTCATCCTTGTTGCTACTACTGTCACTGCTGCTGCTGCTGCTGCTGCGTCTCTTCCCGTCTGAGCTACTGCCCTCGCTTGACGCCTCCTCCTTCTTCTCATCTGCCTCGTCGTCGTCGTCCGACGATGACGAAGATGGTGAATCGCTGTCAATCACCATGCGCTTCTTGCCGGCTCTAACGGTGGTCTCAACCTTAGCCTTGTCCTTGCCGTTGGTGCTGGACAGTACAACAATCTCCTCATCGCTACTCGAGTCGCTGTTGCTACTACTCGATTTGTCGCTGTGCTTGTCCTGTATTTCCTCTTCATCGTCCTCATCATCATCGTCATCCTCATCAGCCTTGAACTTGCCCTGGTACTCGCCATCCTCGTCTTCATCGTCGTCGTCAGAGATCATGATGGACCGCCTTGGTTTGTTTCGCTTGGATCGAATCTTGGTTTCCTCCTCCTCATCGTCCTCGTCACCATCCGATACAGTCTCCTCGACGTCGCTGTGGTCAGATTGCTCCAAGTCATCCCCGTCCTCAGAGTCGTCGTCGTCTGAGAGAGCAATGACTTCTGGAAACTCTCGAGCAGATCGCTTGCTAGCTTTGGATTTTGATCCGCGCGCCTGCAGCCTCTTTGAGCTTCCCCGTCTGATGCCGCTATCGGAAGATTGGTCAGAGAGATAGAGATCGTCTACATCTGGGTCCTCCTGTCCAGAATCGATCTCGTCTTCGTCATGAGAGTCGTCGATAAAAGAGTCATGAGAGTCGTAGTTATCCGGCACATCCGACTCTGCATCACTCTCATCCTGACTCTGATCAGAGTCCTCTTCCAGATCACTGAATTGGTTGTTGCAACGGACGCATGCGCCTCCTCTGACTTCCCAGCCACACGAGCCACAGCGCCTATAATAGGTCAAATGAGAATAATTAGCACTTTGATAATCTTCCGATGACCATTTGAATGTCCGTTTCGGCAATGTATGTGAAAGAGACAACCGCTGTACCTGACTCCGTCCTCCCTATCGACGATGATGTTACCGAGACCTTCGAGACTCAAGGGTTTGAAGAATTTTCCCCAGAGGTCACCCTTGCCCTCTGATCGCTTGATCCTGTCCATTTCCTCCTTGACTCTTTGCTTCATCTTTGTCCGCTCAGGCTCGGGGAGCCTTTCGATCGACTGGTCAACTTGAGCGCTGAGACTGTATGAAAAGGTGGGCCTACGGAGGAGCTTTGTTCGACAGGATGGGCACGACTTGTTGATCTCGACCCAGTCGCTGATACAGGCGTAGCAGAAAGAGTGCCCACATTCGACAGTGAATGGACCAGTGAAGCACTCGAGACAAACGCTGCACTGAAGGGCCTTGTCGAGTGGACGCGTCACGACAACAGTGTCTCCGGGTAGGGGTTTGGAAAAGCTCGAGGCTGTAGATATCGCAACCACTGCTGCGGCTTGAAGACGGGCAATGACGGCGTCCTTGAACTCGATCTCCTTCTTGAGCCGCTCCACCTCCTTCTTCAGCTGACCCACTTCTGATAAGGCCTCGTTAGCCATCATAAGGTCCAAGGCCATGTCATCAGCGTTTGGCGCCGGAGTAGTTTTTGCTGGTGGTGAAAGAGCGGGTTTTGAGGGTGTAGGGGTAGAGAGTGCCGGCGGTGGTGACGACGGAGCAACCGTGCCAGGCGGACATGTTGCAGGCGACCCAGACGACTTGAATGTGCTGCTAGAGTTGATGTCCTGAGTGGCGTTGTTGTTGGTACTGTTGGCAAGAAGGGCTGCCTCCTCCTTGGCGCGCTACAAGTGTTCCAAAACAACATCGTGTCAAACGACAAGGACGTGTCAGTTCCTGACCATGTAGCAGTCATTTGTAGGGAGTCAACAAACCTTTCAACCTATCTGCTGGATAGTTGGTGTACAATGGCAGAATGAATGAGCTAATGAGAACATAATGACATCCTGACTGACTGTACCTTCTTGGCAGCTTTTGACTTTTTCCCCATGGCGAGCTGTGTTGTTGATGTTGATGGAGTGAATCGAGTGAAAGTGAAGGTGAAGGTGAAGGTGAAGGTGGAGTGTGAGAGAAGAGGAAAGGTGAGCGGCACATTTTTTTTTGATTATTTATTGCCTAGTGACTGCTTGTCGCGTCGGTGGGTTGGGAATTTGGTGGCAACCTCCACCGATCATCCTCATTGAACATGGGTATCGCCTGGGACCCTGGAGGCTGAGCTGATGATGACGACACGTGTGATATTGGCGACCTAAGGTCATTCAACAACGCGTGATATAACTATCCAAGTGTCGCTGTTCAGCGCCCTCACTATCTCTAATGGAGTATCTCTACTGTGGCATCGATTTCGCCCACATTTCGCTAGTCTCTACAAAGCAAATACAATCTGCACCACATCATCATCATTTGTTTACTAAGGTTGTGCCTGGACCAGGTCATGGGGAGGCATCAATCGTCCAATACAAGGATCAAGTGGCCGTTTTTTCGCGTTCTTTTTAATATTTCATTTCTGCTCATTTGAAAGAGCAGCAGCATACAAAGAGATCCATAAAGGCAACAACCTCCAATTGGATCGATGCCAGTTCTTTATTATTCCTGCTAAAAGTGGCACTCTTGAATGAAAGAGAGAGTGAGAAATGGGATTGCTTTCAAAGATTTACCCTCCTCCTTTGACAACCTATCCTGGGAAGAGGAGAAGAGAAGGAGACTGTAAGAACGAGATGACAAAAAACAATGGCCTGAGCACGGCAAGGATCAAGGGGGTAAGGGTAAAACGAGCAAACAAGCAAACAAGCAAAGGCAGATCATTTTGAAGGTGTGTTGCCAAAGAATGAAGCGGACAGACAGCAGCAGCAGCACACTTGTGTTTGTTTACGAAGAAGAGTAGAGGAGTGGCCATGTTAGCATTTGCGGTTCTTTGAAAAAGTAATGAAAGGGTTCTCTTTTTTACTTTTGTTCTCAGGAGGTCCATTTCTTATCCCCCCTCCTCCTGCAGGACTTTTCTCTCTCTGCCCAGTGGTCATCATAGCAAGGGGTCTAGATGCAGGCACCAGGCGGGGCGCCGAAGTACAATTGAGATAAAGAAGGGCAATCGGTGTGTACTTGTACTTTATTGGGATGGCCTTTCTTTTCTAATATTCATTTTTGTCTCCTTGGGTCGACACCCTTGTGCCCCTTGGCAACCGTATTTTATTCCCTTCCTCCTCCACTCTTTCTCTCCTTTCTTCATTTTCTCCCTCTCTTTCACTCACTCCCCCCATCGCCACCCTCACCACCACACCTCATCACCGCCTTTGCTTCCTTCCTTCCTTCTTTCCTTCTTCCCTTCTTTCTCTCCTCCTTCTCACTCCTCTCCCTCCCTATACCAAGCACCCTCTTTCTTTTTACTTTTTTGACACTCAGACCTGACCCTCATTCGTTCTTTTGTTCCTGACAAACACCTACTACCGCGCCGCCATTCAAAAAAACAAGCATCTTCATCAATAATAATCATAACCCACGGACAGCAATGGTACTGCCTTCTGTCTTTCTCCCTCACCCTCTCTTTCTCTCTCTCACTCTCTCCACCCATTACACATTCATGCACCGCCATGTTCACCTCGACACTGACACCGCCTCAATACGAGTAGACTGTTGAACTGACCAAGCGTTTCTTTTCTTTCCTTTTCTACTTGCCCTGCTACTCTCTTTTTACGCCCTTCGCTCCAAAACCTGTCCTGCGTGGCGGTTACCTCGGGTTGCTTGTTTGTGTCCTGGTGGATGAACCTTTTCCAACTCGGTACCACATATCCATGACATCGTTCCCGACATACGTCTGCTTGTCCGACTGAACATTCTATCTTACTTCCTCCATCGTCCCTCTCTTTGTCCTTGTCCCATCTGACACTATTCTCCGACCTTATTTTTACCACACTCCTCTCACAACCACAACAAACAAACAACAATCTCCAACGGGCTGTGTGTCCATGGTCTTGTCCCTCATCCTTGCGGGATCTATTGTCTAATCAACAACACCAATTCAACCACCAGAGCGTCTCCAGTCAGTTGGATCCAGAGGAGTACTACGTAAAGCTCGAGCGCATTGGTAAAAGCAATCGCGATCTGGATTTCCCACCTCTCAGATCAATTGAAGCGCACTGTTTTGTTTTGTTGTTCTATATGCTGCTCGTTGTTAACATCCGACTCTTGTTGCTTCTTTCTCCACATGCAATGTGCTTAGGCAAAGGCTCGTTCGGAGAAGTCTTCAAAGGGTAAAAAGATGACAACAGAAACGAGAAAAGTTTTTTGGTTGACGGACATGTTTATTTTTTTATTTTGCTTGTGCCTTTCTGCTCACAAAAAAATGCATGCAAGAGACAATCAAGCACCCTCGGAGAGGAGAAGGACGGAGTGAGAGAGAAGAGGGGGGCAAGATGGGATTGGACCTGCAGGAAGGAAAACAGATGAAGACTTTTTTTTTTGTTTTGTTATATCTCTTTCTTTCGCTAACAGCCATTTTTGAACCCTTTCCTGTATGGTTGTCCTCTCTTTCCTCCATCGTGCATGTCGCAGTTGGGGGGGTACGTGTAGTGTGTGGGCGTTAGTGTGTGGGTACAATATCGATCCCTGAAGGAAGGAGGAAAGGAGGCAAGGAAAAGGGATGACAAAGGAAAGACCAAAGAAAAGTAGATGAGGATATTTGTTCTCATCCCTCCCATCCACCCCCTTCCCTCTTTTTGTCATCCCTTACATGCGAACGAATACAACGACCGAAGGAAAAAAAACCCCTACTTCTCATCATGACACAGTCGTGCCATGCAGGGAGATAGGATGAGGACAGGCCGAGGGAAGGAAAGAAAGAGAGGATCTGTCAGACCAAGTTGACGTTTCAACTCCCTGTTTTGTTTTCTTGGCCAGCTGCCTTGCAACCTGCCGACATTGACCATTGCACGAAATCTCTTGACAATGACAATGCGACAGGTATGGGGCGACGGGTATGGACATCATAGCCGTTTTGTTTTGGCCCTTGTAACCCGCTCTCTAGTCAGCTTTGTTGTTTTTCCTGTCGTCTTTTTTTCCATTTCATTCTCTCTCTCTCCACTTATTCTCTCTTCAACCACCCCTGAGTTCATTTTACACACTCTAATATGGGCAACAACTGCTTTTTTGACCCTATTTCCGTCAGACTTTTTTTTTTTTCTTTTGTTTGAGCGAGACATGTCGGGGAGAAAAAAAAGGGCATGGACCAAGAAGGGGTCTCGCTCGTGCAGTTGGCTTACCTATTTTCTAACCTGTCTTTTTTTCCAATTGCTTCCAATTGTGCATAGTTATGACCGAAGGACAAGAAAGCCAGTGGCTATCAAGATCATCGATCTCGAGAGCGCCGAGGATGAGATTGACGACATCCAGCAGGAAATCAACATCCTTTCTCAATTGGACTCGCCCTATGTAACCAGGCAAGTACTCTTTGGACGTTTGTTTTTTTTTCCTTTCTTTCTTTCTTTCTTTCCTTCTTTCTCCGAAGAAATGTGCGCAAGGTGGAGAAGGAGAGGGGAAGGGAGGGAGCCCAACGCGCCTTTGGCCACGAGACCTAATGCAGCACTCCTATACCATGTGGCAAGATCGTTGGATGCCAAGATATCCCGTCCGCAGAGGCAAGAGGAGAACGAGAGAAAACAAACAAAAGGAAAAACGAACTTAACCTGCCTCTTCCCTTCTCATCACACTCTCCTCCCTTTCGAACTGCGCCAAACTACGATGTCATAGATACTTCGCCTCGTTCCTCAAAGGGGCGAATCTCTGGATCATTATGGAATACTGCTCCGGCGGTTCCTGTTCTGACTTGGTAAGTGACAGGAACAACAAACAACATACAGCAAAAGAGCAGCAGCCAACCACGTCGTCGATGACAAAGAGTTTCGGAAAATGCTATCCCGATGCAACTGCGACAGCCAGACCAAGCATTGCAACAGCGCATGCTCATGCACGAAACAACAAACCTTAACCGCAACAACAAAAGGAGGATATTAGGAGTAGGGGAGCAGGGGAAGATGACGAAAAAAAAAGCACAAGCTCGATTTAGTGCTAGTTGAAGGGATCATCCTGTCCTTTGCGGATGTGAAAAGCAGCACACTGACGCACTACGGGTCTCTCCTTCGCTTACGATCTAGATGAAGGCATCCGTGTTCAAGGAGGATTATATCGCAATCATTCTTCGGGAGCTGTTGAAAGGACTGGACTATCTGCATGGCGAGGGCAAGCTCCATCGAGGTACATTACGCAATTCCCTGGAAGTCATCTTGCCACAGGAAGGACGCTAACCCTCATAGAGTTGCGATCGTGACAATAGAGGTGGTTTTGGCGCTTTTGTTATGTTGAGCGTGATTGGACTTCAACGGACTAACTTATCTTTCTCTGTTTTTTTTCTTTCCTTCTTTGATGCATGATTTGTGGAAACCTCGCTTACAGATATCAAAGGTATTTGTGCTTGCTTGTATGCCTCCGTGTGTTTATGCAACGCTGCCACGGGGCTAAAAAAGACCGAGGAGGGGTGGTTGTGCAACCATGCCCTTGGACTCGATCGACTCTGTTCTTTTTCCTCACGCCTACCCATTTGACTCACTCTGCCCTTGTCTTTCTTTGTTGTCTTGTCCAATCTCAGCTGCAAACGTCTTGTTGACGACAGATGGAGATGTCAAGCTTGCAGATTTCGGCGTTTCTGGACAGGTAACGTTTCCTCTTGCCTATGCCCTGGAGTGCAAGCACGATTTATTTTTGCACTTGTGGCATTCTGGCACGTTCTGTTGCGCGTTATTTTTATTCATCATTCTTCTACTACTTTTTCCTCAATAGCTTACCGCAACGATGACAAAGAAGAACACGTTCGTTGGCACACCTGTGAGTACCCCTTCAATTTGCTTCAACCTTTGCTCGCTACTCTTTTTGAATAGACCTGTCAGCTAACCACTTCCTCTTGTACCTTTTACATATAGTTTTGGATGGCACCAGAGGTTATTATTCAGTCAGGATACGACAACAAGGCAGATATTTGGTCATTGGGAATCACAGCAATTGAACTGGCCAAGGGCGAACCACCGCACTCGGATATCCACCCCATGAAGGTCCTTTTCATGATCCCTAAGAACCAACCACCCATTCTCGAGGGTAATTACACAAGACCATTCAAGGACTTTGTGGCGGCTTGTCTTCAAACCGATCCTGCACTGGTGAGTTACCGCTTTGTTTTGAAGGAAAGGATATGTCGAGTATATTTGCACCGACTGAGCTGACCATATTGTCATATTTGATGTTGAACCTTGATCTAGCGTCCATCTGCCAAGGAACTAATGAGGCACAGGTTTATTCGGTCGGCCAAAAAGTCGTCTTACTTGACAGAACTACTTGACCTCCATGAGCGATGGTTGACAGAGGGAGGACATCGCGACGACGAATCCTCTGATGACGAGCCAAGGTACTTTCTCATCATCTAGGATGTGCGCGTCTAATTGTACTATATTTTATTGATACCATCGCGCTCACACGCATTTTTTCCTTGACTACTAGCAATCGAACTGACGACGATCAGGACAGCGGAGGATGGGATTTCGGCACAGTGCGTGAACCGAACCGCGCAGGACCTTCGGACTCTGTCGACGATGTAAGTTCTACTTACACCCAGCGATTCGACACAGGATGACTAGTCATCATTTTGTATGTATACTGACCACCTCATACTTATCAATTGCAACCTAGAAGTTGAGGCCAAATGACTCGGGATACGACACGGTCAGGACACAGTACTATGGAGAAGCAGGACGAGTAGGAGGTGGACCTGCGATCGAGAACCTATCACTTCATGATTCATATGAACCACGCGGTGGCGACCGACCCCTCTCGACCGATCTCACCCGCGATAAAGTCTACCAGACCTTTGTCCGCCCCGTCCTCACCAACGTAACGTTCTTTTCTTTCGATGCACTACAGTTTTACTTCTATTATATGTCATTTCTTTATTCAGCGGCTAATACCTTTTGTTTATATGACAACGCCTTTGTAGTTGCATGGATTGTGTCTGAGGGAGAGTGAGAGGAATGCAGTGGACGATCTGCGGTTGGCATTTGAGGGTGCAGAACGTGAGATACCCGGGATCACGCGGTTGTTCGTCAAGGGCTTGAGCGAGCAACTGAACGGTTAACTTATTCATACCCCCTTCTTACCGTCACGACCGCCGCAACCACCATCAGCATAAGTCGGGGACACCACTGCAATGGCGCGCGCGCACGATCGAAGCTTGAAGCAATGAAACGAAACAACAACAACAACCAAAAAAAAAAACTACTCGGCAGCTCTTTGTCGCTGTACCTTTTTTTTTTCACGACACACACACGCTCTTCCTACCTAAAAAGTAAACCAATATCTTTTGTTTTTTCCTCTCTTTTTCTTTCTTTTTCTAATGTAATTGAACAAATAAAATTAACCCCAGTTTTTCGTGTACACATTTCACTTCAATAACCACAATATATCAACAACAATGAAAAACAACAAAGAATGGACATGTTTTTTTTTTTTTTATTCGTTGTCAGAATCAGGAAAAGTATGTCGAGACCCACGGTGCTGAAGCGTTAGGCTCTTAGAACTAGAAGTCGACATATGTGACCCACCACCTCCTCTGCTCAGTGACAAAGAAGTCGATCCCAGTAAACTCCCTCCGTTGCTGCTGAGGTTGTTACTATCGTTCCGTTTGAGACCAGCAGTGATCATCGAATTCGTGTTCCTGGCTCCCGCGGTGATAGAGGCAGAATTGGGAGGAGCATATCCGGGGTGGGCGATTGGATCTTGGTGGTGGATAAGGTGGTTGTGTCGGTACGACGAGATTGCGTGGTTCGAAAAATACATCCCTCCAAACACAATCACCACCAAGAACCCCTTTTTTTAGCACGAAAAGATTGTGAATGCCTGGTTAGCGATTTTGCAATGAAACGTATCCTGATCTTGACGCCAGCAGTGGCATTACGTGAGGATGATGAAGACTCCTGGCCGCACAAAGCGTGAAAAAACTGCTTACCATAGTTTTGTAGGAGATAGCATGGACGAACGTATTGAAAATGAGCGCAAACGTTTGTGCCGCTACCGCCGACCTATTTCCCAAGAATTAAAAAGACATGTATTAGCGAAGTGTCCACCTGAAAATTGCCTCCTTCTCAATCAACAAAAGAAAATATGGTGTACAACTCTACAACATACCGTTCAATCCTGGGGGGTGGCTTACTGAGGCAGTCCAAGAGTTCCTGACATGGCACTTTGAGCAACTCTACATGGGGTTGATCACACTTGTTGAGGTGGTATATCCTATTGCAGTCGTCGATGATCTTCTGTTCCCGACTTAAGGCGTCCTCGGCCCGGATGCTGACATCGTTCTGGATCGTGGTAATAAAGTTATAAATAATGTAGATCGCCATCCCTACGAAGGCTGAGTTCATCGCAACTTGTACATATCTAGAAAGATAAGATGATGGATTGAGAATGTGTGTCAGAAACGCGTGTCTGCAAGATAGTTGCTCTTATGCAATATATATTTGACATCCAAGATCTCAGTTGTGAGAACGAGAAAGATGGAGTGTACCCAGAGAGGATATAGGGCAGATCGACATTCTCGGACCAAACTCGACCCTGTGGTGCTGGTGACCGGACGTGATCAGACCTGCGGCGCTCCGAGCCATCCTGATCCCGCCCTCGTCTCCTTCCGTCCATATTCCTAGTCTGTAAATCGATGCGAAAACGGAATAATTAGAATTGGCCACTTGAACAAGTCTGAAAGCAATCCCTTGCATAAGTGAATCAAGCGTAAAAAAAAAAAGTGAGTGGATGCATACCATGTGGCGATTCGTCTGACGACCGGATCCACGGCGACCATAATTGTCCTCCTCAGAATCATCCTCAGGCTCATTCATATCCTCATCGTTATCCTCGTCATCACCATCGCTCCAAAACTTGGAGCCCCTGCCTGCACCTCCTGATCCACGATACTGCATACTGGAAGTCCGGGAACCGACGATCGCCGAGGACGACGAGGATTGAGTTTTGCCTGGCATCCGACGAGGCGACAGCCCTTGCTGCTCCGCAACAACACCGTTCCTAAGAGACCTCATGTCAAATAACTCATTACCGCCGGTCTTGGCATTGTGGGTGGAAGGGTATTCGTCCACGTCCATGACTTCGGTTGTTCCACTTCCGTCACGGTGCAGCGTTGTGCTACCAGCGCCGGTGAAGCTTTGGGGTGCGGTATTGTTGGGAGATTGTGGGCGAGAGAACGATCCTCCTCCTGAACCGAACGAGAACGAGTCCTGTCGAGAAAATGTCCCTACTCCTGCTGAGAGTTGAGAATCCTGACGGAAGGGCTTTGGTGTTGTTGTTTCACATCCGTCACTGTTGAACGATCCTTCTATTAGTATTGTATCACAAAAGATGAAAAAAAAGAGAAAGGTGGGTCAGGGCAAATGCGGCATCACTAGTTTTTTTTTGTGGTAAAACAACACCTTGCCGTCATGAGTGGTTCCTTTCAGCATCCTTTCGCAAACGGTCGTCCAGCTCATGGGAGTGGTGGTGATCCCGTGTAAAGAATGCTCAGTAGTCATTCAACAAGAAACCTACGATTAGACACAAAGCTGGATCCTCGCTGCACACTCGCACCAAACCCAAAAGGTTTCTGCTGTTGACCATTAGATGTGGCAGGCGTAGTAGTATGGTCGGCTGGCGGCTGCGGGTTCGAAAAAATGTTTGGCAGATTCCTGTCCTGCTCCCGCTCCCATTCCATAGGGGCCTCTCGTGTACGCATCTCCATCCGGGCCATAGTTTTTTTTCTTCTTGATGTATCCTTGTTTGAGAGGGTGTGGCTGTGGTTTTATATCGGGCCAAGAGTCGGCGAGTGTTGATGGAGGATGGGGGTGACGAGGAGGAGCGTAAGGAGAGGAATATGCGGCTCAGGAACAAGAAACGTGAAAAAATGGTCTGACAGCCACACGAGTGTGATATAATTTTTATTTTTTTTTATTTTTTTCATTTTTCCGCTCCGCCACTCTCTGAAATTAGTAGCAACTGTTGAAATAACACAAAGGAAGCAGGACAGCCATGCTCTACATGGTAAAGAGGAGACTGAGGTCGCAGGGATGACTCGAGCTCAGCTGAGGCTTCTGCTCGTACTTGGCGCGCAGGATATCGCGGATGCTGTTCAGCAACTCCAAGTAGCTCTGTTGTGGGTTCGCCGTCAAGCTATCATTTGCATAGAAACGTGTTAGATGCGATGACGATATGATACACATCCTGTTGATCTCCGCTGAGGACTTTTTCACGCCGACACTTGTCAAGGGATACTTACGCTGTGATGAACGCAAAAGTCATGGCTCCGGTCATTCCAAAGCTCTATTAGAAAGGAATAGCAATTGAAAATAAGAGATTGTTGTTAGAGAATGGGTCACCGCAAGCTGGCTGATATATCTAATGACACGATCGACAATATCCAACACGTACCTGCTCGTGTGCATCGGCAGAGGTCTGAGTATCCTTGCATCTATATGCCATTCACGTCAGAAAACAAAGTGGTAAGAAATATGAGAGCAAATACCAGGTATGTGAAACCAACACGACGAGAACATTCGACACGAGCAAATCGTGCAACGTACCCACTGAGCATAATACAGTCGGCCGGGCTAGACTTGTTGTCCAAAGACTTATCACGGTGGTTTCTCGACGTCAACAGCTTCTTGCCCAAATCACCCAATCCACGAAGCATACCGCCCGTATCACCCTTCAAATACGCCATACCAGCAACCAAGACTCCTTGACCAACATCTGCCATCATATTGGGTTCCTTCAAGTTACCCGTAGTGCTGTAAATGTAAGGAAGATCGAGAGCTGATCCAGAGTGACAGCAGTCCATGATAGCGGTCAAACGGCATCCTGCTGGCAAGGGGTTGACGAGGATCGCATGCATCTCGTCGTCCACAATCACGCCTGCTGCCTCGTGGTCCACAGGGTAGATTGTCTCGTCAAAGCCATCGTCTTCGTCGCCGTCCTCGTCCTTGGCCTGCCCTCCGTGTCCACTGTAATGGAAGAAGAATCTACGAGAAGCAAATGGCTGTGTCAGTCATATGTACTCGCCTGACTGTCTTTACCCTTGATGAGCTGGAGATGATTCAATGCTTTCTTTGAGACTTTTTGTGGTTTGGGGCAAATGGAGTGTCCCTTCCAAGAGATACGTGCGTGTGAGTCAAAGACGAACAACATATCGCAACAAAAAACGTACGAATCATCAGGACGGGCGTCACGGACCAACCACCGCATAGCCTCAAGGATATTTGCATGGGTGGGAATACGACTCGAGTCCTGCTGATCATCGGTCAACGAGATAGTATCCTCCTCCTTGAACCCATAGTTCTTCATAATGAACGTCTTGATGTTCTTGACATCGTTGATACATCCTCGGAGCTCGCTACCCTGTCCGAAATAGTTGATTCCGATGAAGAGGGCGCGCTTGCGACCCTGACAGTTAGAGAGCTTGAAATCCGTGGGTGGTGCACGAACGGTACTCTGGCGGACTGCCCAGCCCTCGGGAGGAGGAGGTACATGTGCGGGTGCAATCTATTGTACGGGACATGGTGTTAGGGAGAGAGATAAGTGGTTGTGAAATGCAGCGAGTCACTGTGATCGGCCATTCGCTCCCACTTTGTTCCTTGAACCCAAACTAAGATGGTGCGATATTTTTCTTTGGACCTTTGGCATGGTTCTTAAGCTATCCATTTCCTGGGAAATCATACGCTCACAACCATGCTGGAAAGGAAAAGGGCAAGCACATACCGGGTGATGGGTCATTGGGGCAACAGGCGGAGCATATTGCTGCTGCTGCTGCTGAGGAGGAGCATAGTTCCCACCGGGTGGAGGATAACCGTAAGGCGAGGCAGGAGGAGGGTAGAACTGCTGTTGCTGTTGAGGGTAGGCAGGGTAGCCTGGGTTTTGCTGTTGTGGTGGGTAAGGGTTGGAGTAATAGCCCTGGGGAGGGGGAGCGTTGCCGCCTGGGGGAGCGTATCCGTACTGAGGGTTCCCTTGCGGTGGCGCATAACCGTGTTGCTGTTGTTGCTGTTGTTGCTGGTGGTATTGTTGTCCTGGATACATCTTGCTTTGTCCTTTTGCCTGTGTTCTTGAGTCCTTGTGTTCTTGTGTGGGTGAGAGTGAGTGGGTGAAGAAAGAAGGGGTGGGAATGGAACAGGGAAAAGAAGAGGAGAAGAAGAGAAGAAAGGAAGAGAAGAGAAGAAAAGGTAGAAAGAAGTAGAGAAGTAAAGGGGTCGGCTGGACCACGACATCACCCAAATAAGGCCCGCGAATAGCCAGCCAATTAGACGGCCGTGGCTGAAACACCTGCAATCATCGTCCTTATTTCTTGCAACAGGCGAAGACTGGGACAGTGAAGTATAGAACGGGGACGAGAGTTGAAGCAGTGATGATTGATGTTATTACCATGGTACAACTAAATATATATATACAAAGTCGCCAACTAGGCGGCTTCTAGGTGTAGTGTCATAGAGAGTCAGAGATGATAGAGTGACAAGGAATGACTAACTAGTCTGCAATGATAAACATAATATGTTGCATTTCAGCTGCACGTGCATTAAGGGCAGAGCAAGCGCTTATTTCTCTTTCTTTCTTTCATTCATTCTTTCTTTCATTCATTCATTCTTTCCTTCCTTCCTTCATTCAACAAACCAACCAAAGACAACAACACACAATGGCAACACACGCAACCGCTGACAAGCCCGTCCTCTACGCCTACTTCCGCTCCTCGTGCTCGTGGCGCGTCAGGATCGCACTCAACCTCAAGAAAATTGACTATGAAGTCCATCCCATCAATCTCCTCAAGGGCGAGCAGGTACGCCTTTGACCTTCCTTCTCAAGTTCATACCTGGACAACCCATCGTAGACTGAGTTTTCAAAAAGGCCAATTGATCCAGTGACAAAGACAATGAAAGTAGAGTACTAACCACAACAACGGATCTCAACTTGTAGAAATCGGAAGAGTATCTCAAGATCCAGCCTTTCGGATTCGTCCCCGCCTACATCGATAACAAGACCGGCCAGACCCTGATCCAGTCCGTCAGCATCCTCGAGTACATCGACGAGACCCAGCCTGGTACGCTCTCTCATCTCCTCCTCGCAACACTCCAATTGCCTTGCTGCGTGTTGTGTTGAATGTGTGCGCGTTGTTTGTGTTTTGTGGGGGTGGATGCCATCATTTTCCCACGGGCGACTAATTTTTTCTTCCCCATGTTTCTCTCACTGACAATACCTTTTAGGACACGCTTTGCTTCCCAAGGATCCTCTTGAGCGCGCAACGGTAACAGGATCAAGATGACTTTGCTTGGATTCTCTACTCTTGTTTTTTCCCTGCACGACTGCATCATCCTTGACTTTTCAACCGGTTACTACCACATCACAATGCAGGAGGATTCTTCAACAGCAACACTTTTTTTTTTTCTTCTCCAACTCAACCATTCTCTTTCCTTCCCACGCACTCAAAACCCAACAACTAAATAGGTCCGCGCATTGGTGCAGGCAGTGGCATCAGACATTCAGCCCCTCACCAACCTCCGCATCCTCAACTACGTCGGCGACGAAAAGAAGGTCGAGTGGGCCAAACACTTTTTTGCCGAGGGCTTCAAAGGTACGTTGTTCTCCCATCAGTCAACAATCCATCACTCCTAATCAACCAACCAAACCCCTTATGCAAAAATTCAAAAATATCGAGAGCAAAGGGAGTGAGCGCAGTTTGGTTTTTGGAGTGCTTGGGTGCGTGGATGCAGCGTGGGTGCGTGGGTGCGTGGGTGCATGGGTGTAAGAGAAGAGAGCCTTGCTCAAACCATGACATGACTTTAACTTGACCCTGAACGTTCATTTCTTATTTTGTGACAAATTAGCGTTGGAGATCATGCTTCAGAAGACGGCTGGCGTTTACTCTTTTGGTGATTCGATCACCATGGCCGATTTGGCCCTCGTCCCCCAGGTCTACAACGGTGTCCGGTAGGTTCTTGCGCGCACTCTTTTTTGCCTGTCATTCTTTCACCAATGGCTAAAATTGCCGTAATCAAGTGTCCTTTGTCACTGACTTCTTTATTCTCCTTGTTTTTTTATTGTTATTGCTGGAACTGGACTGGACAAAACACGATAGCTTTGGCGTTGACATGTCAGCCTTCCCAATCATCTCGCGCATCAATGCCACTTTGAGCGACCTGCCCGAGTTCAAGGCCGCCCATCCCTCCCAGCAGATTGACTGCCCTGCTGACCTTCGTTAAACATATCCCCACTTCAGCAGGTGCTTCCTTCTTTCCTCTTGCATTAAAAAGCCATTTTGCTTATCTCATAAACAACACAACTAATCGCATGACGCTGTGCATATGGCATGTTTTGTTTAGGAATCTTTGCTTTATTCTCCCTTTGCTTTGCTTTGCTGTCGTCAACATGCATATCGTTCAAGAGATAGAGAGAGCGGTTTCAAAGGAACGAATACTGGCTGACGAAGATAAGATGGGAGGGGCTGGAGGGATGAGTGTCGGTGGAGAAGCGGAGCTGATGGCAATGGACGACGATACATCTGTGAACGAGGCCGTGGAGGATCGAACAATGGTCGGGAACTGAATTGCAGCTGCCTGGTGATGTTCACGGTAGCTACTCGACTGATCAGACCATACCGACGGGTACTCCTCGTCAGAGGGGAGGTCATGGTAGATCGACGATGCTGCAGAGACGAGGTATTCATTGCCTTGTTCTTCCTCGTCCTCCTCCTGGGGTTCAGTTGTCATAATTGTGTCCTGTTGCTCCCAGTGAGAAGGTACTTTATCCTGTCGTGGGGTCTGTAAAGACACAAGAGTCCTGTTCGAGTTGGCCGACGGTGCAGGCGAAACCATCGAAGACGGTGGGGTCACATAGTTGGATGCTGTAGATTGAGAATTGATCGATGCCCTTGATGAAGGGCGGTCAAGGGTGACCCCCGTGGAGCGGTTGAATATTGAGTCAGTCGAAAAGGATGGTACTGGGAGGGCATCACTCCGTGGAGAAGATTCGCTCTCAAACTGACAAGGGTCCATGGCTGGACCGAGCGACGAGGTCGTAAAATCTGGAATCTGTCCTCGGAATGCATGGGAGAACGTTGGCGACGTCAACCGGACAGAGTTGGTCTTTGTGACGCCATCCACTGAAGACTCCTCACCCATTCCGAGCCAGCCCTCGTCGTCCTCTTGTGGGTCAAAGTCGTTGGTAGTAGGTGCAAACGGGTTGGCGTAAGATTCGATCCGCCGCTTGGGTTTCCGAGGCAAGGCCGAGTCTTCCGTAAAATCATCTCCGAGCAATGACGATGACGCCAATTCCATTGGATCCTGAGAAGACGGAGGTAATGCTTCGTCAGCCATGGAGGCTACACTGCGAGTGTTCATCATGCTGACAGGCACCATTTCAGTTACTGCCCCAAAGCGCATATCGGGGTCGTCCTCCATCCTGTCCTGCTCCTCTGTGATTTGCTGAATACTCTTGCGCTGTTTCTTGTGGTGGACCTGGTCGTTTTGGCCCTGGATGTGCTGGAGGAGTATGCTGGGTGTGGTCAGGATGTGGTAGAGCCGGGTGGCGGTCTTTTGGGTATGGGTCCAGCTGTAGATCATCATGAAGAGCCAGGATGGCTGCGGACGGGGTTTGGGTGGGGCGGGGGTGACCAGGGTCCGGGAGAGGTGGAGGACGGCCTCGGTCAGGGCGACGTTGCTCGGAGAAGCGAGTCGACTTTCCTGCAGTGACTCTTCTCCTGTTGTCCTTGATGATGCTGGCGATGATGTGGTGATAGAATCGTACGACGGGGGATGGTCTCCGTTGTTGCTGTTGTTATGGTTTTGGGTGCGATCATGGTCCTGGTCGAGATCCTGCTCGACCGCGGACTGGTTGTTGTCATGAGAAGAAACGAGTCGTGTCTGTCGGAGATGACCCCGTGCGAGGGAAATGGTGACGAGGGGGATAGCCCTGGCCTGGCTCCTTGCCTCGAGGCGCGACGAGGGCGACATTCGAAGTCTCTTATGGAGGAGGGGGGTACTGGGTATTAGGTACTGGCTGGAAGGGGCAAGCCTTGGTTTTCGTTCTGAGGGTTTCGGTTGGATAGTCGTGCCCCCTTTGTTTTGTAATCCTGATGAGTCCGGAAAGGTGGAGGTGCTGTGCGAGTTGATCGATGGTTGTACTGTTGGGTGGGAGTAGGAGAATGTAGGGGTGTGAGTAAAAAAGAGGAAGGAGGTTGTTTACTTTTGCTTATTTATTTTTTTGGAGTGGAGAATGGGGGAGTGGAATGAAGGAGAAGGGAAGAAGAAGAAAGAAGAGGGAAGGAAGGAAGGGCAAAGAGAAAGCTTATCAACAGACTGACTGACAGACAGACAGAGTACAGTTAGTGTGGAAATAAACATACACTTGAGCTAAGCCAAGGCGAATTTGTCGACTTGCGGAGTCGCTTGGGTTGCTTGGCATTTGTTGTTGCTAACTTTACTATGACTTTTATGACTTTTATGACTTGGCAAATTGAGTGTAGAAGGTATGCATGCAATATATATGTCAGTCAAGCAGGGGATCCATATAAAGAAAGGAACAGGACAGATAGGCCCATGCACCTTGCTCATTTCAATTGCTGTCCTTCTTCGTCTTCGTCTTCTTCGTCTCATTTATTACTTGCCCCTATCCTATATTCACAATTATGCTCATTTCTCACGTTCTTGCTTCTTCGGTGCCAATCGAGGCAATATGAACTGGGGGCATTATCATATTATCATATTACAAGGAACTTTCATCATCATCATCACCAGGCACTCTCCCTTCCTTGATCAATTGAGACAAACCCTGCCCATAAAGCTAAGCAAAAGCAAAGAGACGCAACGAAAAGGGAAAGCAAAATAAGCACAAGCCCCATTTCAGTGCTAGCGTCAAGACAATGCAATGAATAATGACCCGTGGCGCACGTTAGTTAGTAGCAGGAGGGTTGCTACTCCACCGCAGCAGGAGTAGAGAGGTAGTCGAGTGAGCAAGTGGACAAGTGCGCAAGTGAACAAGCGAGTGACGAGTACACTGGCTAAATATCTAATGAAAAAAAGAAGGTCATCTGCTCAATTCCAACAGGCCAGTTCTGTGTCGCCCCTCCTAATCTTTTTCTTCTTTACCCGTCTTCATCCTCTGCACGGTATTACACATATATATTTTGCTGGGGTTGTTTCTTCTTTTGTTTCTCGTCTTCATGACTTGACTTTTTCCTCTTTTCTCTCATTCCATCCATCCATCATCACCACCACCACCATCCATCCTCTTTGTCTTGCTATCCATCTTCCATCTACACCTTACAGACACCCTACATACAACACAGTTACACATACATTGACACAACGTGCTCTCTCTCTCTTCACTTCGCCCACTTGACTCCCCGCAGAACGCAGTCACCACCTCGTCTTAACCTTTTTAACCTCTCTGCCCCATTTCTTTTGTCTCCCTTTGTTCTTCGCTTCACCTCTCTCCTCTCTCCTCTTTCCTCTCTCTCTCTCCAACAGTAACCAGCATAACATCTTCATCCAGAAACCTCTTAATTTCTTCAACTACAATAATACAGCAACAAACACACAACTGCGACATGTCGACCTCAGCAGCAATAGCAGCCCACGGAAAGAACGTCCACAGGTCACGAACTGCCTCAGCATTCCTCTTCCCAGACACCGCAGACTACCTCGAGCCATCCAACCACCCTTCTGCCGCCCCCTCCCCAAGGCCACAAGTCCTCTCTGGCACAGACTCGCCCTGCGGTGAAGGCAAGTTCACTTCTCTATAACCAATAACTGCACTCTCATGACACTTACTCTATAACATGTTAGTGTGGTCGCGACTCGACTCATTTTTTTTTGTTCTTTCACGGTTTCTGCAGTTCGACAAACCACCATCAAAGTACTTTGGTGAAAGAGTTATGCAACCGGTATCTAACCATGTGCTCCATCTCATGAAAAATATAAATGTACACCGACAGGCTCGTGGATTTCTCTCTCGGCGAGAGAACTCCTGGAGGACGATTACTCTGAAATCGACTACTCTGACATGGACGGAGAAGATGACATGATCTATGACTCGCCCCCTTACTACTATGACGAAGAAGAGCTTCTCCAGCACCAGTACCAACAGCAACAGCTCCTCCATCAGCAACAAATTCAATATCACAATCAACATTCATACCAGCAGCAACATCATCAACATCCTCCTGGAAGACCCCTTGCCTTTGCTGGCAAAGGAGACTACGCCGGCTTCCCCGCCTCATCGTCTTCGTCCTCCCACCATTCCTCGCAGGAACAGGAGCAAGCAGAGGAAGCCCTTCGTGCCAGGTAAGGAAATAAAAGTAACCCCCTACTAAGCTACATATCCCTCTTGTTATCATCCCATCTTCCCCCCCTTTCCTCGCGTCTTATCTTTCCTGGGCTTTGACCTTCTGTCATTTTTGACATGGGACAGGAGGCCGAAAAGGAAGAAAAAAAAAAAGGACAAAAGAGACGAGTGTAACCACTTGTGGAGGATAGTGCCACAGAAGTTGACAGAATGCGGCGACATTGCGACATGTCGTCTTGGCTTTTTTTTTTTACCACCCCCTTTACTTTTTTTGCGTTTGCGTCCCTGGCCTGGTTTGACTGGGCGGGATGAAAAAAGTAACAGCCGTTTCTCATTTTCTGGACGCTGATTGGTTACCCGCATCAGCATATCACATTCATATGGATGATGAACCATGAATGGCCAATGGTCGGCTGTCTTCTTTCTTTCTTTCTTGTGCCACGCAAGCTGCAGCATGTCACTTGTAGCACCTGCATATATTAACTGTACTTTAACAACCTCATGATTCCTATTATTAGTCTGTCAACACTGCTGTCTTCGGGACCACGGCCAAGGTTCAGACAGAGGCGCAACCGTCCAAGAAAGATCTACACTGTCGACACCCGATCCCAGCGATCTTCTCCTCTCGTACCTGCCTCACCAACCCACCTCTACTACTCCTCCTCAAGCTCACCCCACCTTCGCCCCTCAAACCCTGAATCGATCCTCGGTGACCTTTCGCCTCACTACTTTCACGGTGCCATCACTCCCATCTCGAGAGACTACGACAGTGCATCTTCAGATTCTGAGGTAGGACGACAAAAGAAGGTCTGCCACAGAGGAATTCTTTCCACAGGCCAGCCCATGCGTGAACATTACTATGATATCGAATCGACAACGCTCAACAGCAGCGACCCGACATTCTCTGGATCGACCACTCCTCTCAATTCACCACATTATTCCAAGTCACACACCCCGCCAGACTCTGCCGCAAACAAAGTGCTACAAGGCCCCTCGTCACTCCTGGCAACAAGATATGTCTCCTGGAGTGTCAAAGCACAATCAATTCTGGACCATGCAGCAAAGGAGCCACCCCTCAAGTCAGGCGATGGGCACTCTTCGACGTTCTCGTCTCGTTCGTCCTCGCCCCACTCATCACCTTCCAGCTCAGGAGCATCTACACCATCTCGGACAAGGAGGAGACGGTGCCCTATTCCTGAACCGCATCAAGGATTCTTTTCGAGGGCTCTAGACCAACGCTCGTTGGCATCACATGTTTCGGTATCAAGAGTCGGCATGGCAGGAACAATGTGCCCACCACTCCATGTCGGCCTTCGTACCGGTATCCTCATCCGAGGCTCATCCCCCTTGCGACCCATTGGCACCAACCAACCGTCTTGCTCCAGTCAAAACAATTCTTCCGCAAGGTCCTACTCGTTCAAAAACATGTCTGGAGGAGCCTTGGCTAACAAGGGAGATAACAACTGCGATCTTGACATTGATGCGGGCGATGACAAAGAGAATAAGCGGTGGTATAGTCAGGAACTTGGACTCAACCTCTGGCAGACGACTCTTGGCGCAGCAGCCCTTTTGGGCACAGGATTTGGTTCAGGGTATGTCTCTTATCCTTTTTCATCGCGTTCTTAACATTCTCGCGACCATAAACGTTATGCTAACATACGTTTCTATTACTTGTGTGCTCGTATAGAATGGTCAAGAAAGTGCATAGTAACAGTGTACAGTTGCACGCAAAGGAGCTTGTTCACGACGACAAAGAGAACCGGTCTTAGGACTGTAGCGGCCGCAGTTTGGTGGCAAAATAAAATAAAAAAATCTTATATCGCACTTTTTTGTTTCGTTCTTTCTTTTACTCTTTCGCCATCCCACCAAGATACGGCGACATGCACCGCCTGACAGTACGCAAAATATGACTGCTCTGCCTCACGATCATCCTTTCACCACTCCGGCCAGTAGCCAGAGCCAGAACCAAGATGTCCATGAAATGGACTCATCGATAGCTGACTCGGGGTACAGTAGCACCCATCTCAACTCACGAGTCCCATCACTCGCCTCCTCATCAGACTTTTCTTTCCCCCCCATCCAAATCACCGCCAAGTCTCTTCGAGAGCAGTTCATGTGTCCTCACCCTTCGGCTGCCAGTGCTCGCAGGCGCCATGAACAGGTTTGGTGGCGTCATGTATCTTTCGCCTCGTACCTTTTTCACTTGTGAACGACGGAGGGAGGGGTTTGTCTGATTGGCTTTTCTAAAATATGCTTTTATTTTGTTGATGCTGTGGCGGTTGTGAGTAGAGGAGGAAGCATCCTGATAGGATCCACCCGGTGGACAAGCATGTCCTGCCTCCAGACCCTGAACAACTGCCCCTGCAGGAACAAATTAAGCTCTGTAAGAAAGCACCTTCGGTTTCCATTTACAGTGAGAGTATGTCTGAGTTTTGGTGGCGTACACTAACTTTTTCATTCTGGCTGCTCAATGGTGTAGATATCACTCAGGACCATATGATGGATATCCGACAAGCCATCTCAGAGTCCAACGCCACTAAAGTCGAGGTAACTAAAACGCACCACCAGTCCGGAACAATAGTGCACTCTCACCTCTCCCCTTATTCTTACGACATGTCTTCTTACTCCCTGCTAGACTGGAGGAGCTGTTTCCCGATATGTAATCAGGATAACCATAGATCCACTCGAGCTCTTACAGACTTGCGCAAACCTCGGGAATAAGCTCCTGTGCGACATCGAGTCGATCGAACCGGATGTCCACCTGGTCTGCTGTCAGATTTTGCAGCAGTTTATGAGTCTTGATGAGAATTCCTTGTTAGCTGAACAGGTTCGGGTGTGTTTGCGGATCAAGTACCTCCCGCCTAGTTTTCGAGAGTAGGTTGAGATGGGATGAATCTAGATGAGCGCAAAAGATGATAACGGTGGACAAGGAGCACCCTTGAAATGATGTCTGACTGCAATTTTCGTTTCGTACTTGTAGATGCAATTTGCCGTCTATTGCTTCTACGGTGTCGTTTTCGAGGGAGGACATTACTCAGGACAAGGACAGCTATTCAAGATTCGTGACACTCTCTGGACGAGTCACTTCCGTATCCATGACGGAACACATCATGTAAGTCCAGCCTAAAAATAAACATCCTCAACAAATTATCCAAGACAGCGGTAGAAATGAAACGCGTCCAATGAACTTCGCAAATTGACGATACCAAAAAAAAAAATAGATACTCGCAGACGTTTTTGTGCGTTAACCCTCGCTGCAATAACAGGAACTACCTCCATTTTACACCCTCTGCACCTCGCCATCGGGTCATAAAGCGTGCTGAAGATAATGGGTTTATGGAGACTAGCACCGAGTAAGACTCTCTCTTGTCACTGTTGACTAAAGTGGGTTTGGAGATCGCAGAATGCTTTGGTATTGACACTTTGTCACCTTTACATTTGGTGTCCCATAGTGCCACGCTGTTGAATATTGATCTGGCCTGCAGCCATTGTGATTTGGAGATGCCCGAGTCAGTTCTTGACCGAGTGTGCATGAGTAAGTCGATCTCTTGCAATAAAAAGGCTCACTGAAAGTAGTTTTGACATCACAGGCATCAACGGCCGAGTCTGACATTGACCAACTCATTTTCATCCATTAGAGCAGCAAAAGATCACCGTAGAGTGTCTCGGTGCGCACCGAGCTGAGGGTTGCTTCGTCAACCAAATGGAGCTTTTCTTGCTAGGTATACATCAGCTACTTGTCCTTCGCTCTCACTTTGTGGTGTCGAGTCAACTCTCTTTATCTAACACCTCTTCATTACATGTTCCTCCATAGACGACCTAGCGGACAGTGCTAAATTAGGAGAGCACATCCAACTGATTGGGAGAGTCTACCGCTCCTACCCGGAGAAGAACCAAGAGACTTACTTGCATGGAATACAGATGGATGTCAATAATCTGATTCATCTTCCCAGCCGCCGTGACGAAGAGACTCTCTCGGAGGCCATTGCGGCGATCGCTACTTCCGACATGTCGCCGTGGAACACTAGCCAGACTATTGTTGATCTCTTTGGTAAGTTTTTTTTTGTTGATTTGAATGAAAATGTTTGCAGTGAGAAAGAACTGATCCTTTTGCTATGTGTGACTGTAGATGGCATTGTTCCCACGAGCATCTATCGAAAGCTCAAGCTGGCCCTCTTGCTGAGGTAAGAAATACGACGCTCTGGCCACAAGATGCTGCACTCTAAATTCTTGATCTTTGGACTCATGCGCTCTCTTTTATTCTCTTATCCGAGTAGTGCCGTGTCTGTAGCTCCAAGTGGTTCCAAGAACCTGGTTGCAGAGAAAGAAGTGGCGGATTCCGTCCGGCGATCCATTCACGTTTTGGTGGTGATGAACGGACGTGACACGATTGTTCCCGCCCTCATGGCAAGCATGGCGGGTTTGAAGAAGTGAGGCTATCGCATGTTTTTGCTACCCGTCAACGCTCGTACAAACTACATACAAAACTATGCAACTGAACCCAATTTTTTTTTGTGTATGTGCCGACAGCTGCATCTTTTGGGATCATGGAGATGAGACAACTCGCAAAACACTCCACAGCCTCCACCAGCCCAAAAAGCCAAGCATAGGCGAGATTCGAGGTAAACCACTTCCTTCTGTGTTGATATGTTGAGAGGACTGAAAGTTCTGGAAAGCGGGCTGATCTTGTCATTCGCTTTCCTACTGCAATAGCCTCTGAGATGGGCGCCGCCAGGGATGGGGTCGTTTTGTTTGAACTGGACCAGTTGGACAAGAAGGCTCAAGCACACATCACCTCAGGTACCAATCGTTGATGCATTTGCAGTCCAGGCGTTTACGAACGGATCGATGTTCTGTTTGTTATTTATATACGTCGCGAATCTTCTTTCTTCTAGTTCTGACGACGGCGAACGGGAATGATATTGGAATCCAGAGGGACAATCTGTCACTGCAGTTGGAATTGACCTGTTGTTGCTGGGCGACACATACATCCATCCCCCTGCCTTCGAAAAAGCCCAAGCCTGGCGATCCAGTCTTTGAAGAGGATATCACTGGTTCTGCCCATAAAGTTCCACTTAACGAGTAAGCGAGCGTGTACTATGACATTGTCAATTGGCTGAAATTGAGAGTGAATGTCTACTTAGTATTCACTCGCTTTTGTGATACTTTTAAATTACAACTAGGAAATTTGATATCATAGTTGGACAGCATGAACTGGATGCTGTTTCAGATGTTGCGTTGGCGGTTGCCGCACACACCCTTCGACGATATATGCAGGATGACGAAGGTGGAGATGGACCGAGTAAGCAGTTGAGTCGCGAGGATCTTTCTCAGGTACTAGTACGCTCCTTACTTGCTGTTGCCAGTGTGTTCGAAGCGATCAATGTACACGTTTATTTGACTTAACAAGCCTGATTTCCCCCCTCCCCACTTTAGTACCTGCATGTCGCGTCCACCATTGAAGTGAGGTTAGAACTGTATTGTTTTGCTTTCATTGTGTCCAGAGCGTGTTTGTTCCTGAACAATGAATTCGAATTTTTCACCGTTCACCTATTTTTTGTGTTTTACTGCAGATTGTCGACGGAATGTGAGCAGTTACTGAGGGCATACTTCCAAGTGATGCGCAAGAAGGCTTCAGGATCCCATATCAATAGACTTTCCAGCCTCTCCACCATGTCCACTCTCCTTAACGTCGCCTGTTGTCACGCCAAGGTAAACGGCAATAACGGTTGGGTCACTTGACTGGTACGCCTCAGTGCTGATAGCGCTGTGCTCTGACCTTTCCTTTTCTGTGTCTCTATTGTAGGTTTGCTTGCGATCGGGTGCAAACAGATACGACGCGCTTGTAAGGTATGCACCTCCTCATACACTGCCGATCTGGATGGACCCGATCGTGTCAGATCTCTCACACCCTCCCTCCCTACACCTTTGTCCCTTCGCCTTGAATAGCATTATGATGATGGAGGAGACCATCGCCGCTCGCTGGGGTAAGCACACACCCCAAATCACGTCTTCCTCTTTTACTTGCAAAATTGATGCATGCAAAAACAAACCACTGGTCAGAAACATTTCGTGTATTGTAGGAACGTCGTGTCTGGGGTTCGTTCCACTGTTGGACGGGAAGGAGAACGTTACTCGACTCTACGCCCAGTCGGAGCCCATCGATATTCTGTCGATCCAAGGCCAAGCCCACGATCTTGCTGCTACTCGTGTCCCCGTCTTTTTGTCCAGCGTATGTGTGTCCATTTCTTGGTCCTTACACGGTCCTGCCTTTTTGCCTTTCAGTTTGTTAACACTTCCTGTTGTTCGTGGTGTGGAACCATAGTTCGAAATGGACGTAGATATGACTGATCCTTCATCAGTAATGGCGACAGACGCGGATGTCCCTGTGAGTCTTCAAGAGACTCGGGACCAAGTCATGGACGCCATGTAAGAACCCTTTCACTTATCATTATTTTCTCACCACCCCCTTTTTTTTTTTTTTGGCGTAAAGATCACTTTTCTCACAAGTTTAATACTCTTCCCCAATGGCAGGTATGCACATTTGACCCGTGTCATCTCCGAGTACGCCGACAGTGTCGATATTTGAGGGTAGTGGTGCTTCTGTTTAATGTCAACACCATACTCACTTGTCTCTTTTCAAGTAAACACTTTCTTTGCCCATTCCACCTCATCACTCCGATGTTCTTGGTCTCTCGTTGCGCTCGTTTACAGTACAAATTGATCAGCGGAAGATAGTATTGGGGTCAGGAGCTTCTGATGCAAAAATAAAATAATAAACGATGTACAGAGATGGGAATGTGCAACTTTACTCTTTTCAAATGTAGCCAAGTTCCAATTCTTTTCCTTGTAAAGTTCAACTTGCTCAGTAATCCAAAGTGCGAAGATCGACTTTCTGCTGTTATGGTTATTTTTGGGTGGTGTATGTTGAGTTCGCTCACGCTCGCGTATTTGCCCCTTTTGCTTTTCTTCATGTTTTGCATACAGAAAGTGTACACGAGGATGGTGAGCAACGGTTGATCTGTCTCTTTTCATCTGGAGGGACAGAACAAGGATCTCATTGATATGTGTCCATAGGGCAATCCCTTTTTTTGGGCAGTAAGCATAGGAACTCCCAGTTCTTTTTGTTGTCAAAACAACAACACTCACTGCATCGATGCTGTCAGCGCTGTTGTGGTCCTTTTTAAACAGCTCTCCAACTCGAAACAAAGAAATCGCATGAGGACTTGTCGCACCCAATTCTCTCTTTCATTGACCTTCTGTTTGCATGCATACATTCACACGTTCGTTCTTCTACGATCGCTTTGCCGCATAGTATTGTCTTTATTCCGTACTCTAAAAAATGCTCCTTGGTTGTTGAGTCTTTCTTGTTTACTTCAAAGGCGATTGTCAGTGGCAGAGGTTTCGATTGAAAGGGTAGAGCAAGGCGGTGTAAGGTGGTGGCGAAAAGGGGAATAGTAGAGGGAATTAAACTAGGACACCTTGTCAGAGAACAAACAAACAAACAAAACAACAAAGCATGCTTACATGCATACCATGAGGACGTCTCTCTATTTACTTTAATTCTTCTGCTCCCTCTCTCCCTCTCTCTCTTCTTCTTCCTTGCAACACTCACCTTGCTCCGTCCGCCGGAACACCCACCTCATTCATTCGTCTTCATCATCAGTCTCTGTTTCCTTCATTGCACCTGGCCCACATTAGCACCTGTTCGTCATTCTAGCATCTTTCTATCATCCAACATTCTCATTCTCAGTTCTCTGCACCTTCTCCGCGCTCAGTCAATCGCCCTCCCGCGTTCTTGTCCGTTTTGTATCTAACAAGTACCGAGCACCCCAAGCTTGCAGAGGTACAACCTTCGCGTCCAATATGACAGCCCACATACCAACGCCATTACGATCCTGGTCAGAGCCGGTGTTGCCTTCCACGGTGCAGATCTTCGCGGCATCAAGATCCCTGGCGCCGATCTTTCCTGCGGCCAGTTCGATTCTGCACAGCTCCAAGGAGCCGACCTGACGGGCGTCGATCTCTCGAGGAGTTGGCTGCGGCAAACGAATTTGAGCCATGCACAACTGGAGGGCGTTCAGTTCGGAGAGTTGCCATACCTCAAGGTGGAGGCTACCGTAGAAGCCTGTGCCTACTCGCCTGACGGAAGGATGCTTGGAATAGCGATATGGGGTGATGGCATTGGCATCGGTATTTACGACACCTCTACATGGCAACGAATTCATTTAATCACAGCCACCGAGTATGTCATGTCTGTTGCGTTCTCGCCTGACAGCCGACAAATCGTGTCTGGAGAAAGGAAGGGAATGGTACGATTGTGGGATTGCACAAGCGGCGAGGAGTTGTTGGTTATGAAGGGTCACACTAAATGGATAGACTCGTTGGCGTAATCGCCTTGCGGCAACCGTATTGCTTCGGCCAGCGGCGACGGAACGGTGCGCTTGTGAGATTCGGAGACGGGAGTGGGCGCCTTTGTTTTGGAAGGCCATACTGGCTGGTTATGAGCGTCAAATTTTCCCCGGATGGACGTCAGCTTGTATCGGGCCGTAACGATGGAATGATTCGGTTTTGGAACTCAGGGACAGGAGAGCCAGGGGTCGTCTTGAGTCCTTCGTTGGGAGAGATTTACAGTCTTGCCATATCTCCAGACGGCCGATGGATAGCTTCCAGTCACGAGGATTGCAATATGTGGCTATGAGATGTAGTGTCCGGTAGCCCAGGTCCTGTCCTTCAAGGCCACGCCGGCGTTGTTAGGGGAATCGCATTCTCTCCGAATGGCCAATCGATCGCTTCTGCCAGTGCAGACCGCAGAGTGATGTTGTGGGACGCATCGACAGGAGCCTTTGTTTCCTCATTTGACGGTCATTCGGACACTGTACACGACGTTACCTTCTCTCTGGATGGTCTTACCATTGCATCGGGATCTGCTGACGGAACGGTGCGATTATGGGAGGCGAGCTCTAGTTCCTCCAGAATTGCGATACAAAATCAGATCGGTGACGCTGATGAGGTGGCATATTCTCCCGATGGCCTATCTATTTTCTCTTTCGTCCACCCAGGTATTATCCGACAAGGGGATGCTACAACTGGATTGCACGGATCAGTATCGTTTAAGTTTCCGGACCCAGAATCTATCAACACCCTGACGTTTTCATCGGACGGCAATCGGATCGCAGCCGGTTGCGGGGATGATGCAGTACGATTGTGGGATCGCAGCACTGGCGCGGCAGGACCGGTCTTGGAGGGGCATTCGAGGGCGGTGGTGATTCTTGCTTATTCAACCTGTGGTCGCTGGATCGCGTCTTCCGACGACGATGGGATTGTACGATTGTGGGACCTCCATAATACGGAGCAGCAATGCGTTCTTTTTGGAGACGGAGACAATAACGATCGGGTCTTTGACTTGAAGTTCTCACCAACAGGACATCAACTTGCGATCTGCTCAGAGGACGGAAAAGTCTTGCTTTTCGATCCACGAACAAGAGTCCTCTTGACGTCCAAGAAGCTGAAGGAGGAGGCGATCCTGGCGTTGGACTACTCGCCAAATGGTCAGCTGCTTGCTATAGGCACTTTGCGCTCGATTGCCTTGTGGGACCTGCGGTCGGATGAGCTTTGTATTGAACTGAAGATGCCTCGCAGTTCGATGGATCGCTATGTTGACAGCATGACTATTGCTTACTCGCCATGCGGCCAGTTTCTGGCATCCTCTAACAAGGACTACATTGTGCATCTCTGGCAGCGACATTCGACCAAAGGGAACGAGATCTGGTCTTGCGCAGTTGCGCTTCGTGTGTTTTCTGCGCAAGTTGTAAGCCTGTCTTGGAACCCAGTTGTCCCGACGGAGTTCATCACAGCCAGCAATGATGGGTCTGTCCGAGTATGGCGAGTGTCGAGCGGCGATGGAACCGCGGTCGTCAGGATGTTCTGGGGAACCAATCTTAGGATTCTTTGCACTGCAGGTGTGGTTCTTGAGGGTGCGACTAGTCTGAGCCCGTCCCAGTATAAGTTGATATCTCAACGCCATGTCTTTGACAAGGGTCCATCTTCAGAGGACGATTGATCCGACATGGGTCTGGCGGCAAGTCTACCGAAGGGTCTGGAGATGAGAAGTAGCGGATGGATCTCGGGCGCGCCGAGCACAGTAAAGAAGGCGACCAATTAACTGATGGTATACAACAAAAACAGTAAACATTTCTTTTTTGTGATGATCCTGCCAAACATATAAAGTGTTTCTGTATGTATTTGTTTCTTGAAAAAGAACGGGGTTCTCGTGTCTGTTTCTTTCTGCATTGTCCTATCTTTTTTGTTTCACAGTTGTGATGTAAAAAGCTGGTATGAAAAATGGCGTATGGTTGTTGGGGTTGTGGGAACTCTTGACGCGTCCAGGTTTCTCCTGTTACATTTTTCTCCTCGTATCTCTTTGTTCTCCTTCCTCCTGCGCTTCAGAATCATGGGCGATGCTCAATAGAAAAAAGAAAGTTAGAAGTGACAAAACTGTCGTCCTTTTTACACATCCGGCTCCTCACCAGACCACACAAAAAAATATCGCTTTCAACCGAAAGCCCAAAAAAAAAAGACGGACGCCGTGTGTACCATAGACAGGGCTATGGTTCAATGCAACCTGCTTTCTTGACTAGATCAAAATGGGCTACTGTACGCTATTGGGAGCGAGGGAATGCTTTGGTTGTCATTGTTGTGGAGTGGGAAGCAAAGAAGGAAGAATAAAGAGATAGAACCTATAAAAAAGAGCTGGTATTCGGTTGTTTAGTCGGTCTGTGATTTTTTTTCATAGAGAGGGGAGCATTGGTCAACTATTTGAGGGTTGTTTTGTTGTCGAGTGCCATACCCCAAAACAACAAAAGATCTTGTCCCTCTTTGTCCAGGCTTGTACAGTACACCGACGGGAAGCAGCCTTCCTCCCCTGGATCAATTGCTATCCTGGAGAAGTAACGATGCACGACAACGACGAGGGATGCGGAAAAAATAAAGCAACATAGCACAACACCCCAGTTCAACAATAGCAACAGCCAGCAGAAGGATCAGAGTATTCAAGTAAAGTCGTTGCTTTTATTGTCGCATTCCATCAATGTAAGAGTATTGGTGTGAGAAGGGTATCGGTGCATGACTGTGTAGAAAGGAGGAGTGATCGATCTACTGATAACGGGACAAAAAAAAGCAAGAATCGTGGGTTAGCAACAAGTCTTTTCAATTGCTTCTTTTTTTTTCTCAAGGACGAGAACGAGGGGGGTGTTTGTTCAAAAGGGAGGTGTTTTGGGTTGAGTGCATCAGAGTTAAAAGGAATAATCCACATCGTGTATTGAGAGTAGCGATTCATAATATTCATCTTTTGCGAGTCTTGTCATCTCCGTGAACAAAAAAAACGAGTTCGAGGTGAGAGGAATGTGTTGATTAGGGGGACTTACGAGTTGTGGTGGAGAGGAATGAAGAAAGAAAAAAGTTTTTTTTCGCGAATCGCGGATCTCTTTTGAAGGAAAACAACACGAATAGAGCTTAAGGGCAACTGGAAGGTAAGGAAAGGGATATTGGGCGTGACTTCATTTGGTGGGAGTTCGGGCTATTCGTGTCCGAGACCACGGTTCTTGGTACGGACGATGGCCTCAATGGGTTGGGTGATACCATCACCCGACGCACCCAGTCCAACACCCGGCATCCATCTACAAGTCAAATACGTTCATGACAAGAAAGGAGAAAAAAAACAAAGTTAGCAATCTTGAATATCAACATGGAAGCCATCGAAGATTAACAATGAAAAGTGTACGTACCCCATCTTGGATAGCATGCGGTGACCAAGGTTCTCGACAGAGATGGCAGAGGCAGAGGCGCCAACAACAGTTCCATGAGGAGCCGCCATCGACCCACCACCACCGCCATTCTTGCTCTTGCCCTTCGAAAAACCACCTCCACCTCCACCATTCCCACCCTTTTTGCCGCCTTTGCCGCCAAAATTGTTGCTGCCAAAGTTGTTGTTGCCGCCCTTGCGGCTCCCCTGGAACTGGGCAGAGAGCAAAGTGAGCTCCTTCTCAGACTGGTTCAACAGCTTGTTGACATTGACGGGGTTAAGGGGCATCTTTGTCCTGTCCGTCTTGATCAAGATTGGGAATCGGCGCTTGCCAGATCCGACGCTCTGAGATTTCAGGCTGTAGTGGTTGCAGAGGAGGTGCACCTTGCGGCGCAAGGGTTTGGGCATCGGGGGCAGCTGCAAACTGTCAATCGTCCTGTCCCTCACAAAGTCCTCGATTTGACTAAGAAAGGATAAAGGTGATAAAAAAACTGTAAGTGTCATGTCCTTGCTACCATATATCCTGCCAAGGAAATAGTATTGAGCCAACATACCGGTTGATGTCAAGAAGGGTGTCGAAGCTGCCGCCATGGGGCTCCTTCTTGTTCTTGTTCTTGTTCTTCTTGCCTCCACCACCACCCATCATGAACTCCTCGTCAGAATCATCATAGACCGCATACCCCTTAGCGCGGGGCTTGAAGGGTCTATACGAACCATCGCCATCCTCCAAGGCACCCGATCTCCACAGGGGCATCAAATCCCTAAGCTCCTCCCTCAACAAGTCGTCCGCCTTTCGGTTCTTGCGTTTGTCATTCACCGACTCCTTGACCTTACTGAAATCCAGCTTCTTGATACCATCATCATAATCCTCCTCGAAGTCAAACTCGTCCTCTTCATAGTCGTCACTGTCGAGTTCGGACAATTGCTGTTCATAGTCGGAATCGTCCGCAAGTTTGCCGCCGACTGACTTGGAGTGGCCCTGACCACCAGTGTGCAGGCCCTTCAATGAGTCGAGCAGTGTGTCAAGCTGGTCCGAGTTGTCAGAGCCCATACAGTTCTGCTCGATAGGATCAACGGAGGAGAGGAAGATGAGGACAAGGAATAAGGAGGCTGTCAGAATTGTGGATCGCATTGCAGATGAACAAAAGTTGGTACTGCAGTCAAAGGCGAAGCTGGATAGACAGTGACAGAACATATCTGTTTTTTTACCTGAAGGTAGTCTTCCATTGCAAGCCTATCCTCATCTTCCTCATCTTCCTCATCGCTGAGGTCTTCCAGGTACATGGGACCGTCGTCGTCATGACCCACAATAAACTGCTGCTTAATCAGCTGCTTTTCCCGCTGATTCCGGCCACCACGTTTGGAGCGATGCGCCTTCTTCTTGGGCTTCTCTAATAAAACATGAGTCGAGTCGTCGACTAAAAGCTCCAAGGCCTGGTCTGTCTGCGTGACGATAATGACATCCGGAGGAGGTGCCGCATCGATGACCCAAAGCATGGCTTCCTCCTTTCCAGTCGCAATTCCAGCTTCCTGAGAGGCCAATCCCATCCCGCCAAACTCGTCCGTATCCGCATTCGCTCCAATGATCGCCGAACTCGTGATTGTAGAAATGCTAGTTGTGGTTGTGGTTGTGGTTATGTTGTGGGCGGATATCGAGCTGAGGACAGAGGATGGTCGGGCAAGGTCGGTTATTTTGTCCGCATCGACCTTGAGGTCGCCCTGAGAGTCCATAGCATGGATAAAGTCTTCGGACTGCGTCATGGCATGATCCGGAGTCGAGTGGGTCATGGAATTGAAGGATGCACTAACAAGGTCGACGATGGTTTGTCGCTGTGCTTGATCGCTGTTGTTGCTGTGCTGCTTCTTGGTCAATGCGGGTCGTTGATGCTCCTGAGGTCGATGTTGTTGTTGTTGCTGCTGCTGAGCGGATTTTCCATCTCGCTGCTGCGGCTGCTGCTGCTGATGTTGTTGTTGCTGCTGATCTTCTTCGATCCAGTCGAATTGATTCATCAGAATTTCATCCTCCGAGTCCTCGTCTAAAGGAGCAGAAAAATAAATAGTATTTAGTCCACATCCACCTCTGTCATTCGTCCAATTTGGCTTTGAGCAGCGAAAAAAAGCGAACCACTTACCAGAGTCGCAACCATGGTCAATGTTGTCGTCGCTGCTATCATCTTCCTCCGAACCCTCATCGCTATCCGGGTCATCATCATGATCGTTGACATTGTTACTCTGGCGCAGCGATCGATCTGAAGTGGCGGTGGCTCGGTTAAACATCATTTGAGGGTTAGCTCCCTTGCCGCTAGCACGGCGATTGGCATTGGACGACTGCGGCTGCTGATTGACTCTAGGATTGTTGTTGTTGTTGTTATTGATGTTGTTGTCTTCAGGGTATGGCCAAAAGAAGTGCTTCGAGTTCTTGCCGTTGCTGTTCTGCTTGGGGGGTGGTGGCGGACGGAATCCACCTCCAGATCCTCCTCGACCTCCTCGACCTCGAGAAGGACTGGCGCTTGATCGGCCTTCCTTGGCCTCCTGGATGCGTCGATAGATATCCTCTTCTGTTGCCCTCTGTCGCTGTTGATGGTTTCCTATAATTTGGAGGTAAAAGGAAGTGTCAACTGATCTGTATATCAAGGGGGAGAGGTGGCTCAATCTCAGGAATGTGATTCAAAGGGAGAGAGAGAGAAGAAACGTACTGCCGACGAGAGTGAGGAGGTCGTCGTCGCTGTCGTATTGGTAGTCAAAGTTCTGCTGCTGGGGTTGGAATCCACCATAACCTCCTCGACCGCCGCCCCTACCGCCTCCTCTGCCTCCTCGCGGCTTGTTGGAGGGCCCGCCTCCACGGCCGCCACCTCGTCCTCCTCCTCCTTGGTTGCCTCCTCGCTTTGGCATTGTTGGTGGATGTGTTAGTGGGTTGAAATGAAAAGGGAGAGGAAGTGTGTGGTATGAGATGCTGTTTGCTTGCTTGCTTGTTTGTTTTTGTTGTTTACAAGAAGCAAATGAGGATGAGTTATGAGAGAGAGTGTAGGGATTAAGAGGTGCAGATGCTAGTTCTCCGCCTTTATGTTATTTTCCCCTTGCTCTCTCTCTCCTATGAAAAAAGGGTTTTTTGCCTTGCTGCGGTCGAATAGTCATGTGATCTGTAAGTGACTGCGTCTCTCACACCTGCGGATACCTACCCGCAGTTAAGATAGGAGAAAGGGAATAGCGCCGTTTCGAAGGTGTGCCAATTATGTTTTTGACGAAGCCCGGAGGCAGAGCAGCAATAGCGATAATAGGCGTGGATATACTACGCTTGATGTGAAGAAATCACACATGTGTCTAGGCATTGCGCCCGTACCTTTTTCGTTCCTGAAAAAAGAAAAGAAAAAAAGAAGACGCGTTTGTGGTGGTGCTACCCACTCCAGTTCGCAGACTCTGATTGGTCAATTGTTGTTCCCCTGGACAAGACAACGCAAACGAGCAAAGTGCTCTCACAGACTCACACACTCACTGTGACCTTACTCTATTTCTTTGTGATCTCATCTGACCATTGCTTCCTTCTCACGCTCCTTCTCTCTTCCTCCCTCTCCCCATCCGCCTTTTTCTTTTTGCTCATCCACCCCGACCAAGCATCAAAAAAGAAAGAAAATGGAAGTCGACGCACTCACCATCCTCCTGACGATCGCAATCGCAGCCGTTCTTGCCTTCGTCAAACTCAGCAAGTCCGAACCCGACATCCACCCCCTCCTCCTCGACCAACAGGCCACAGTTGCTCCCCTCAGAGGTGAGGGTGAATCAGCTATTCACCGTGCCAAATCTGTGCCTGCTGGATCCTCGTTGGTGAAGGTCCCTCTTGAGAGAATCAGGACTCTGCACGATGTCTGGCAGAACGGTCTTGCTGCCAACTCTACCGGTCGTTGCCTTATGTACATGCTCCAGAACCAGTTTTCTTATGTTGGCGTAAGTACTATTTTCCCAGGAGACGTTTCTTCTGCGCACGGTGATATTTATACATTCAGCTTACAAGATACTTACGCCTTTTTTTTCTTTTCACTTTGCAGGAATCATATGGTAAACACATGGACGATTAATAAGGCTTCGCCTCGAAATCAACTTCAACGACAAACGACCAGCATTTTGAACCACTGACCTGACGCACAACCCCACTTCTTGTTCTTGCCTCACAGAGCACGTTGACAAGAGAATTGGCGGATTCGGAACAGGATTTATCGCAGAGACCAAGTTAAAGCCCAGGACAGAGACTCCCGTCGGAATCTACGCCCCATACTCTCAAGGTACAGAGGGTCTTTTCTCATTGCAACACCGCGAATTCATCATCAACAACCTACCGGTACACCGACTCACCATAATCGTGTTTCTAATTGGTATTCAATAGAGTCGTTCATTGCACAGCAGGCGTTTTACAGATACGGGTTTGTGGCTGTTCCCATCCACGACCTGAGAAGCAGCGAACTCTTGATCGAGATTGTCAACCAGACAAAGATGAAGGCTATTGTTGTCGCTCAGAAGGCTCTGCCATTACTTCTTCAGTCCTTGAAGGACTGCTCCAGTATCAAGACCATCTTTGTAGCCGCGATCTATGTCTCGGAGGAGCAAAAGAGGATTGCAGCACAGCATGGCGCCAGGATCCTTAAGTTTGCGGAAGTCGAGTACAGTGGATCCTCGGAAGCATTGGACGCTGTTAAGCCAGGTTCGTTTTAAATTCTCGAGAACCAGAACTCTGACTATGTATGGTTTTTGCGGGTCAAACTCTAACAATGCCCTTTTCGATTGCTGTTTCTAGAACCCTCGGATATTGCAATGATCAACTACAATACCAAGTCAACTTCGGTAATCACCAATTGCTTTGTACACCTGGGCGTCATGGACACGGAGAATTCTTTAACAGACCTGCAATACTAATCAAAACTACCCTCAATTTTGTACAAAACTTAGTTATCAAAGGGCGTGGTATTGACACACGCCAACTTGGTTGCTGCTATGACTGGATTCACAGGATCGTTGCCTGGCGCTAAAAAGTTCACCTCTAAGGACCGTCTGCTCTCTCATTTCACCAACGGCGATGTGATCGGAACCTGGATGACAAGTGCTATGGTGATGGCTGGAGGATCGATCGTCTTCCCCTCTGGGTTGATGAAGAACGTCCTCCACGATTGTCAGGCTACTACCCCCACTATCTTTGCCAGGTACCTCCAGATTTCATTTCTCTCAGAACTTTCTTAGGATAGGAATCGCATTGCTGATACCTAACACTTCTAATAACTGCTTGTGTAATTAGTACGCCAATTATTCTGGAAAAGATTCACGAGGCGCTGGATACGACATATGGCGCTGGATCCTCGTTTAAGAAGGCGTATGCTTCCAAATTGGCGCTGCTGGATGCTGGACGCGTGACGACAACGAGTTTGTGGGATTTCATTGGACTGGGCGAGGTCAGGAGCCGACTCGGAGGAAAAGTTCATCTTGTTGTTACCACCAGTACGTACTCTTGCCCTTGTCTGCGAATTGCAATAGTCAAGGTTGTGATGAATCAGGGAAAGTTATGCTAAAACATACTCCATTTGACCCCACCCCACGATAGACCCCACGAAGCCAGAGACATTGAAGTACATTAGGGCAGCAATGGGCATTCATGTGATGGCGACATATGGCAGGACCGAGACTTCTGGAATTGTCACCAGCCGCAACATGTTTGACTACTCGAACGATGCTCATTTGGGCGCACCTGTCGGATGTAACGAGATCAAGCTTCTTGACGACCCCGAGCAAAGATATACCAGTGGCGACCAGCCCAGCCCCCGCGGCGAGGTAACTATTGTTTGATTTCTATAGGAGCTCGATTGATAAGGATTCGTGGTCTAGGAGCATTTGCAGTTTGCTAATGGGAGATGTTTTTTGTTGTTGGTTTGAGTAGATTCTTGTTCGCGGCCCTAATGTGATGAAAGGATACTACAAGAAGCCCAATGCGACGGCGACGAGCATTGATAGCGATGGCTGGTTCCATACGGGCGAGTGGGGCAGTCTCAATGCCAATGGTACCTTGGAGTTGTTGGGCAAGAAGAAGAAGGTTAAGTCTGAAAAGGCACCATCTTCACCTGTGCACGAGGAGTTCAAGGAGTAACTAGACGCGAGATCTAAGAACGGAGTGGCGATAGTGCTGATAAGTACCAAGAATGTAGATAGAGAAGAGATAGACGAGTACTTTAAAATGTGAGCTGAACGCATTTTGTGCATCTGGTGCACGAGGAAAAGATACAGAACATGAGCAAGAATTCGTTTGATGTTGCTTCTGATCTCCGCTGTGTTGATCAGTAGCTTACTTTGAAGATGAGAATGAAGCATTGAAGCCTGACGAGCTTAACATTTGACTTTGTTGTTTGACTGCCCCACACCACCATCAGAATACCCATAGGTGGTTTCTTGAAATAGACTCTCCAGATTATCCCACCTATAGTTAATTGGCAGAAACAAACATTTGGCCGGATGTGCTCATAGCGTCCTTTATGGCCAGGGCTTTTTTTTTTTTTTGGCCCTCCTTAGGAATATTTTAACGGTATCGCAAAGTATTATCAGAGCAGTGGTTCAGGCTGATGAAGCCGCTGGCAAAGTCCTCGTATGCCGCTTGGTCGTTCTCCAGTTCCTCGAATGTAACCGGGCGGTCCTGGAGGTTGAGGTGCCTATGGTCTGCTTCCATCTCATTGACCGTCAGGGGGGTGAGGAGTACGAGATTATTAATGCCCGCGACCAAGATCTCTTCGAGGAACCTCCTCCTCTTCTTCTTCTTCGACTGTAGGCTCGACCGAGAGATCAAGGTCGCCATCCTGGAAGATGGCTTGAAAACGCCGAGTCGTACGCGTATAATGCTGTCGCACTGGCTTCAATAGCCTTCCCAGTACGATCGAATAGTCGCACATGAAAAACGGAGAAAACAACCCGGAGAAAGAAGATTGATATACTCCATTCAACAGGGACAAAGAAGTAGAAATAGATAATGCAAGGTTAGATAATCTAGTCAATGTTTTCATAATGAAAGAATGGAGCCAGATATGATCCTTTCTTGACTCTGCTCTTTTCTTTATTCTCGTTGTAAGACTTTGTCCATTGATATACATGACCATGGGCAAAGCAACACACGGATGAAAAGCAAAAGCAAAAATGGTGGCAAAAAACATTTTCCCATAAAAAAGGTGGCGTTGGGATGAATATACACGTATGTTGTTCTGGCTGCAGTCCCATAGAGCAAATACGCTTGGTCGATCTCAACACAGTAAAGTCCAGTTGACGGCGGAAGCCAGTGTATATACTCCTCCGGCGAAGCCTGGGTACAGACTGTGAAAGGTTTCGCGCTGGGGCTGAAAGACAAAAAAGAAGACTTTCTAAAATGATCACATGATTCCCCTGGGAATGATTACAGCCTTGTTGCCCTTGCAGTGGTTCCTTTTACTTCCAAATGCCTTCTATGCCTTGTTTGTGCTGTTTTGTCACTGGACAGACGTTTTTTTCATGCATGTGTGCAGTCCAACTTTTTTATTTTTTTTGAACACCGACGTTCTGTCGTGAAATTGTGGAAGCTACACTTCTTTCACTTTTGCACTTGTCTACACAGTAATCCCCAGGAGCAGGACGGTAATGAATAAAGAAAGAGGATGATGTTCAACAGGGCTACTGAGTTGCCAACCTTCCTGGGGTTCTGTAATGTTGAATGATATGATTAAGCAAAGGCGCTGTTCGGAGCTACTTTGTTTACATGACGCTGCGACCACGGTGAGGTTAGGCGTGTGACCCTTTGCTTGAGCTGGGCTGACAGAAAGTCTTGCCGAGCCTCCTACTTTTCTTGCTTCGCAATTCCTCTTCTTCTCAATTTTCTCATTCCTTACGCACACCTTCTCTCTGACTCACACCTCCTCACTTCACTCCTCACAAAGCGCTCATTCGCATTCACACATTCACACATTCACACATTCACCCCCACTTCGACAAACAGCCATGGTTCCATCAATCATCTATGCAAAGGCACCTATTCGAGTCGCCCTCCTCGTCTGCGGAACACCTATCCCTGCTGTTGCTGAGCCCTACGGAGAGTACCCCGCCATCTTCAACAACCTTCTCCAGGACGGTTTGAAGGAACTCAAGGAGAGAAAAACCGTTGGCCCCGACACAGAGTTGGTTCTAGAGGATTTCGATGTCCGCGAGGACAAATACCCTGAGCATCTCTCTGACTATGATGGAATCTTGATCACTGGCAGTGGTATGTGTCACCTCCCTTCAATCGGCCACTATCAACGAGTCGAAAATATATCTGTGTTAGACAACCGTTGCTCACACCTTCTTTGTCTCTTTGTCACTGCACTTTCTAGCGTCGAATGCATATGACGACTTGCCCTGGATCAACAAGCTGGTGGACTATGTCGCAAACTTCCCTAGGGACAAAGGGGCACCCAAGATTGTTGGAGTTTGCTTTGGACACCAGATCATAGGGAGAGCCTTCAAAGCCAATGTCGGCAAGAGCACCCGCGGATGGGAGGTACGGTCTTCTATCAGAACTTGAACCGCTGGTTGTACATGCTTCCAGGCACCGAAACATATGTTTCTAACAGATGGTTCAATTGTTCTTATTTTATAGTTGGGCTGGACTTCGACTGACTTCACTGAGGAGGGCAAGAAGTTCTGGAAGGAAGATTCTATGGTATGTCGTCAATTGACCACATAAAGGAAATGTTCTTGTTCATTCTTGATCCTTGATGCTACCTTCGCCATACTAACTCAGTTCCTATATGCAATATCAATGTAAATAGAGGATTCAAGAGCTTCATCAGGATGTGGTGCATGATGTGCCTGCAGGCTTCACACTGTTGGCGTCGACGGCACATACGACGAACCAGTCGATGATCTCCGAGGACGGCAGGATTGTGACCCTCCAGGGCCACCCCGAATTCACTGGTCCTATTATGAGAGAATTTATCAGGGCCCGGACTGCTAATGGTACGTTTAGCAAGGAGCTATATGAGGCGTCGATGAAGGTTGTCGATAACACCTTGGACCGTGCCACTGTTGCCGCTCGCATCGTTGACTTTTTCCGCAAGGCGTAGATTCTGCATTAAATCGCCCCATAGTTTCTAGATATTTGGTGGCGTCAAAAATAATTGATGACGTATAGAATTATGAATCCATCGTATGTGATGGGATTGTTCGCAAACACAAAATTATTGGCCGCGGCGCAAAATCCATTTTTTTCCTCCTCTTTTTTTACCGCATATTTCCAACATGAGCACTTTCGAAAAAGTAATGAGAATTGCACAACAGACAACAACCATGGAGGGTGTGTCCTTGTGAAGAGAAACCATAAGCATAGCAAAGGAGCAGGAGGATCTTACTCGAGTCAAGCTCACAGTGCTGGGATTCACCAACAACCATCATCCTTCAGGAATCAGGATCAACCTACTACCAGCTACCTTTTTTTTGGCTTCTCGAGTCAACCAGGATCCTATGTTCTCGATGATGACCTTGGGGCCTCTTGCGACACGCAATAAGCTCCTAGTGATCTCGAACGAACGTTTGATCCTATCCACAAGTACACTGGCATCATTACGAGGATCGATCATCCCGCTCGCCAACCTTTTTTTTCTCGACCTCGAATCCCATGGCGAATCTTTGATTCTAGACCTATGGTCGATGTCCTCAACCGACCGCCAGGATGTACGAACTCATTCCATCAACCACATCGACTTCACCGCAAAGTCCCAAGGAATCAGTTCGTTACCATCATCAACCCAAACCGACCTACTTGAAATCTCATCGATCCCCGATTCACCCACAGGACTCCAGTACCATACCATACGCCTTAGAAGTTGAGGCTAACCAACTCGCTTTCACTTTCGACTCGTCTCTATGATAGGTGGTTGTCATCGACGGTAAGGGCCACCTTTTGGGTCGCCTTGCCTCCATTGTTGCCAAGCAGGCCCTCACCGGTCAGCGTGTCGTTGTCGTCCGCTGCGAGGAGTTGAACGTCTCTGGTTCCTTCTTCCGTAACAAGCGTAAGTCTTCTCTTTCTTTTTGGACGCATTTTTTTTTCCGTTTGGTTTTTGTCGCTGCTATTAGTGTGCAGTAGTTCCATTGGTTGCTTTGCAGGAGTCAGAAAGGACAGTCGGCAGGGACATGGACATTGAAGCTTACAACAGAACAGGATTGCCAGCCGGACAGTCTTCGACCGTTCTGTTTGCTTTTTTGCACTGTACATCAAGGGTGCAGTCGACGGAAGGTCTTTGTGGGCCGATTGGGAGTTGCATGCTTGCAAAGCAGCTTCAAATGCTTTCCTCGAGAGCCTCCTCTTTCGCCACCCCTTTTATTTGCGCCCACGCCGTTCAATGCGTTCCATCGGCGCATTCATTTTGCCTAAGACCATACTGCAGCACGCGACAAGAGCAACCAACATAGCTTGCTCTCTCCTTACCTCCATCATGCCCGGAACAACGCCTTACACCCCAGCAGTCATTGAAACAACAATCCAACAACACAGGGCAAACAACTACAGCTATCACCAACTAAAACACAGGCACTGACCCCATCTCCCTGTAATGCAACCTTACGATAAATAGTGAAGTACCACGCTTTCCTCCGCAAGCGTTGCGTTGTCAACCCCTCTCGTGGTGCTTTCCATTTCCGTGCCCCCTCGCGCATCTTCTACCGCGCTATCCGCGGAATGGTCCCCCACAAGACTGCCCGTGGTGCCGCCGCTCTTGACCGCATCAAGTTGTTCGAGGGAGTCCCCCCTCCTTATGACCGCATGAAGCGCATGGTCGTCCCCTCGGCTCTCCGCGTCCTCAAGCTCAAGCCCGGCCGCAAGTACTGCACCATCAAGCGTGTCTCTCACGAGGTCGGCTGGAAGTACAACGATGTTGTTGCCAACCTCGAGGAGAAGCGCAAGGTCAAGTCTAAGGCTTTCTACGAGCGCAAGAAGGCTATTGCCAACGTCCGTGCCAAGGCCGTCTCTGCCAAGTCGTCCGAGTTGACTGCCGTCCAGGAGAAGATCTCTGCTCTCGGATACTAAACACAGCTCGTTTATTTTCTCGCTTGCTCTTTTTTTTCGAGTCAAAGGACCACATGTAGTTGTTGTGCTGGGATAAGAAATTATTTGAAGGAAAGAAAAAAAAACAACAATTAAAAACAATGAACTGATTGCTTTTTTGCTTGGAAAAGAACCCTTTTTTTGTATCTCTCTTTGTCTTCGGTCTTTGACCATGGTTCTTGATGTTTTTGCCATGCACTGACAGATAACGAGCTGGTTATGTCGTCTTGAACCTTTTTCCTTGACAAAGAGCGTACTAATGGACGTCTCCACACGTGATCCAAGCCACCAAAACATGATTACATTTTGTTGCTCTGCGATGCATTTTTTTTTGCGTTGGTCCAAAGAATAAGAACGAGTAGAGAGCAGGAACGGATTTCTTCTTCTCCCATCCCTCTTACTCCATTCCCGACGTAGATCATCATGCCACCAAAGAAGGCCGCCACCGAAGACAAGATCCTTTTGGGTCGTCCCTCCAACAACTTGAAGATTGGTGTCGTCGGTCTCCCCAACGTCGGGTACGCATCTTCATTATTTTTCTTTCATGCTGTTGATGCTGTAGTTGAGAACGTGCAAGGACAAGCAAGGACGAATGAGAGGAGACTTGTTCAAACGTTCAACTATGAGCGACAGGGAGGATAATCAATTGGAAGCGAAGGACAATGCCATTCAAGAGACAGGAACTATTCGATATTATTTGCTACTGGGATAAATAATATGGACCATAGAGCAATTGAACCTGGACGTCTTGCTGGGTTCTATCTCGGGCGGCTGGAGACCCATGAACAACATAACAAAGAACCGTGTTCGCTAACTGCGGCTCGATCTTCTTCCTCTTCCACTCCTTATCTCCTTTCTGCGCCTCACTTCCTTGTCGCCTACAACCAATTCCTGCCTCTCCTGCAACACTCTCCTGCTTCTCATGATATAGCAAGTCGACCTTCTTCAACGCCATCACCAACTCGTCGGCTCCCGCTGAGAACTTCCCTTTCTGTACCATTGGTATGTCCGGGATCATCCTTCTTTCTTGTTATTTCGTTGCGACTAATGTCGTTGTCTGTGCACTGCTCACTTCGCAAGCTATGCTTTTGATTCTTACTGGAAAGAACATTCATTTCTGTTATTTGATAAATAGATCCTGAGGAGTCTCGCGTCGCTGTTCCTGATCCTCGTCTTGATGTACGTTGACAACAACAGAGCCTCAGTTCCCTACCCCTGAAAACTATTAGCGCTTTGTTTCTACGACAACAGATCCAAAAACCAATCCAAGATGATAGAGCAACAAGAAAACTAACGAACTATGTTAAATCATCAACGAACAACAAAAAAATAATAGGGCCTCATGGAGAAGTACAAGTCGACAACCAAGATCCCCGCTTGGTTGACTGTCATTGATATTGCAGGATTGGTCAAGGGAGCTTCTGCCGGAGAGGGACTCGGTAACGCCTTCTTGTCCCACGTCCGTGCCGTCGATGCCATCTTCCACGTCTGCCGTGCTTTTGACGAGGTCGATGTCATCCACGTCGACGGTGAGGTCAACCCCATCAAGGATCTCGAGGTCATCCACCACGAGCTCCGTCTCAAGGACGAGGAGTTCATCAAGAGCGCCATTGCCGATCTCAAGAAGACCATGGGCAAGTTGGGTTCGAACAACACTGCCCCCGAGCGTGCCCGTCAGGCTGAGATGGCCATCCTCGAGAGGTTGTTGAAGATGGTTGCTGAGGACCACAAGGATATCCGTACCGGAGACTGGACCAACAAGGAGGTCGAGGTCATCAACCCCCTCATGTTGTTGACTGCCAAGCCCGTCATCTACCTGTGCAACTTGTCCGAGACCGACTACATCCGCAAGAAGAACAAGTGGTTGGCCAAGATCCACGCCTGGATCCAGACTAACAACCCCGGCGATGTCCTCATCCCCTTCTCTGGTGCGCTCGAGTCGCGCATCTCCGAGATGGAGGAGTCTGAGCGCGAGGAGGAGTTGAAGAAGATCGGAGCCGTCTCGGCCCTCCCCAAGATTGTCGTCTCTGGATACAGTGCTTTGAACTTGATCTACTACTTCACTGCCGGCCCCATGGAGTCGAGATGCTGGACCATCCGCAAGGGTACCAAGGCCCCTCAGGCCGCCGGTGTCATTCACACTGATTTCGAGCGTGGTTTCATTATGGCCGAGACCATGCGCTACGACGACTTGTACGAGCTCGGCTCCGAGGCTGCTGTCAAGGCTGCCGGAAAGTACGCCCAGAAGGGTCGTGAGTACCTTGTCCAGGACGGTGATATCATTCACTTCAAGTTCAACGTTACTGCCCAGCCCAAGAAGAAGTAAATTTCTGGAAGCCTGTTTTTTTTGCATTAGAGAAGAAGGAATTAAAGATTATACATATAACATTCCAGTCAGTGGTTCAATGGTTCAATGGCTCAATTGGTTCAATTGGTCCAGTTGGTCCAATGGTCCAATTGCTTCGATTGCTTCAACTGCTTCAATGGTTCAATAGTTCAATGGCTCAAATGTGAGGTTATTATTATTTTCAGTATAGTTTTCGAATTCATTATATCTTTCCGTCACTCAATTTAGGTCATGTAACGCCAGGCAGGGTGGAGATCACACAACTCCTCCCCCGCAGCCTCCTTCGCAAACTCCTCACTCGTCAGCCGGTCTCTCCTCCTATTCTCCCTATGCAACAGATACTTTGTCGTCAAGATCAAAAACACAGAGACGCCCAGGCACCCAGCACAGATGGCATGTCCTGTGGCAAACCCGTTGGCTTCATCGGGTGCTCGGTAGACTTGCCCCGCGATAGCGCCACCAATGTTCCCAAAGGATATAATTGCCGCTGTTGCGACGCCACGTTTCGTGTGTCCTCCGATATTTGATGTGAACCATGAGACCTATGAGAGTGATTGTATTTCAAGAAACGGGGGGGTTTAGTATGTTGTCGTTTGGGTTTAAGGTGTACTGAACCCGATTCTTCAATTACTCTTTCTCGTTCTCTCTCGATTGTTACCATGGGTGGGACGGCGGCAAAGTTGCCAATCGCTGCAAGGGTAAGACAGCAGTAGCGGACGAGGGTTGAGCCATCCTTTGTGACGATGAGAAGGATATATCCGATGCATGCAACTCCTGTAGGGATTGCAAAATGGAACCCGCGTTCGCGGTGTCTGTCGGACGAGAAGGCGCCGATGAGTGTACATATGCATGCAATTGCGTATGCTGGCGTCGTCATGATTTGTGTGGTCAATGGGCTATTATGATATGTGGATAAGGAGAATGGTTAGGCGCCACTATACTATTTTTGTAGTCAACCAAGAATGGAAGACGAGAGCAAAACTAATCGATCAAGCGGACCAAAACAAAAAACAAAAACACTTACTCGAGTTTGAAGCCAATAACGATACTAGGCAAGAAGAACGCCAATGAGTACAAAGGAATAGTACTCAAGATATAAGTCGTCATATGCATATACGTCTTCCAGTCCCTGAACACCATCCAGCACTGTTTCCATGAGAAGTCTGTCTCTGTTGCTGGTCCTGCGTCGATCCGGAGTCGTTGGATGGTTAGGTCTTTTTCTTCGGGAGTTAGGAAGGTGGCCGTTTCGGGGAAGTCGGGGAGGAAGTAGAGAACGACGACTGCAAGGAGGACTGTGGGGAGACCCTCAAGCAGAAAGATCCATTGCCAGCCTATCCCGGTGCATAGATGTGAAATAAGAAGGGTATTAGGTCGGGGTTTGTTGGTTCTAACTTTCATTTTAAAACCCCAAAGAAAAAAAAAGAAGTTTACCATGAAGCCCCCGAACACCCTCCATCTGCTCCAAACCCCACGCCAGCACGCCTCCAAAAGCACCTGCCATAGTAGCCGAACTAAAGAACACGCCATTCCTCAATGCCTGCTCATCCCGAGTATACCAAAGCGAGAACAAATAAACCACGCCGGGGAAAAGTCCACATTCAGCTACGCCGAGGAAGAACCGCGCGGCGAGGAGGCCGGCGGCGTTTGTGACGGCGGACATGGACATCATAATCCCGCCCCAGACTACCATGACGAAGGAGATCCAGCGGCGGGGGCCGGCTAGTTTTAAGCACATGTTTGAGAATACTTCGAAGATGACGTATCTGTAGTTAAGAAGAATGTAGGGATGGAGCGGAGTGGATGGAGATAGGAAAGGAGATGGACGTGAGGATGGACGGGAAAAAGAAGGGAAAGGGGGGTTGTCGAAAAAGTGTAAGGAGGTTAGAGTTTATTTCGCCTCGTTCTCCAAGAAAAAAACAAATATCCATGTTAGGATCGGCAAACGTGGATAAAGCACAAGAAAAAAAAACTCACCCAATGAAGAAGATCGATAGCGACCAATTATACTCTTCTGGCGTCAACTTCAAGTCCACCGCAATTCCTGCCACCTTTGCATTTCCTGTTCCATGTCCAAGTCGGCGACGAGAGAAGGAAAACGAATAGCATGTGCGTGAGTGCACAGACAATTGATAAATACTAGATCGCGTCCTGGAATGCACCAAACACAAACAACTAAACAGTCGACATGTTAACACATGCGCCCCTCCCCTCTCCTTTCCCCTTGCAACTTACCGATATTAACACGGTCCAAGAAAGCGCACAAATACAGCACAGAAACCAGCGGCACCAGACGCCAGTCAATCTTGGTCCTCAACTTCTTTATCGCTACCGGATCCAACACCGTTGTTGTCGTCGAATCTGTACTGCTCCTGCTAATCTGGATACTCATGTCCTTGTTGTTGTAGTTTCCCTTTTCCGGGTCTGAAGAAAATCCAGTTACTTCTGCCCCTGCTGAAGTGGTGGCGGCCGGGGGTTGGTGGAGGTGTGGAGAGTCGTTGTTGAGGGTATCGCTGTCAGAGACAGGATTGCTCATGATCCTGGTGACAACGGGTTGATCTTGTTGTTGTTGATGCCATGTTGGCGTCGTGTTGTCTTTTGTGTCGTCGTCCCTGTTGCTGTTGTTGCCAAGGACACTCATTTATTGAGATAAGAAAGTTGAGTATGAAAACGAGGGAAAGGGTATATGGGAATGGGAAAGAGAAAGAGAAGAAATAAAGAGAGAAGAAAGGAAAGAAAGAAAGAAAGAGAAAACGGAGTGGGATTGATGTTCCTCGTGCTGCTGTTTTCTGTTGCAATGGGGCCTGGAGAACAAGCGCAAGGTAGAGAAGGAGAGCGAGAGAAAGGGAAGATAATGAGCGCGAAGGGGGAGTAGGACAGGAAAAGGAAGGAAAAGATAACGAGCGGCCAAGAGAAATAAAAAAAAAAGGGAAAGCGTAGGAAGAGAGAGGAGATCTGCTTGGTTCCCTTCCCTTCTGAAAAATAAAGAAACGAACGGAGGGAGCGCATCCCTTTGGGTAACCCCTTTCAACCCAACATCATCAATTGGTGTGTCTACTTGCATGGCCTGGTCGCCATGCTTGTTGCAGGTCGGTGAAGTCATGGCCTCACGGGCACAGATATAAGGCATAAGGCACGAGCAGCACAAATGCTTCAATGCTACTTCTTGCCTGGTACGTAGTCAAGATAACATAAAAAGGCAAAAAAAAAAAAAAAAAAGGAAATAAGAGGCAAATAGGGGGCGAGAGAGGAGCAGTATATAAAGGAGGAGGGAACACCATTGTCGCCCTTGCTAGTTCTTTGTATAGACGCTCCTGGTGACCCGTGTAGATGTGAAGAGTGGCAATTGAAGAGGAGTCTTCTCTTTCTACGCATTACTGTCAAGAAAAGATAAACGAGAAGTGAGAGAGTGAATGGGAGGAAACGAGGGATAAGAGAGAGGGGGGGGGAAGAGCAAGAACGAAACCCTAGTAACAAGTACATACTTGAGAGATGGATACACGTCAATGCACGCCGTCTACCAGGGCAAGAATGAGGATAGGACAAGCAGGGCGCGTCTCTCCTCCTTCTCTCCTTGTAGCATGGACAGCCTCTCTCGTGATATGTACTCTCTCTGTTGCGTGACGTTAGCTCGTTTTTACATTTTTCACAGGTTCACTCTCATCTCTTACTTTGTTACTTTGTTACTTTGTTACATTCTCTGACCCCGCTTGGCCAACTGGCCGTAATGCCTCGTTGTCGCTTTACTTGTCGATGTAGGTTGCTCTGACTGCACACTTGCATTTGAAGGGTTACACCCCTGCAGTGGGTTGACAAGTGTACCTCAATTCCCTTCAGCACATGTTCCCATTATCCAAAGAAAGAACAATCGATCGCTTCGCTCGTAATTTCACCTTCAGAAAAGAGAACAAAGAGGGATTGGCTTAAACCAGTACACAACCGATGCCATGAATGTTCTCTCAACAAAGGGCTCTCTTTTTTCTTCACGTTACCATCCCCATCGCCATATTACCCTAATCACCCTTATTTCAACTCCACACTTCCCCGCACTCTCTTTCTCTCTACTGCCGGCGTGAGAAAACGAACACAGATTCTTCCCTAATGTAAGGCCTTAAGCATTTAAAGTCTACATCTGCCCTTGCGTCTGTAATTGAGAGAAGTAGAACTGAAAACCCGGGAGAGCCGGCATGTGGAAAACGATTACTCCGGGGGAGCAAGGTTAACAATGCCCACCTCGTCGGCGTCGGATGATAATTTATAATGGCATGGACACGCGCAGCTGAGCGTGCTAGCCTCTTTTGACCTAGGTTTGTCTCTAACTCTAACATAACAGAAGTTCGGGAAAAGGGTAGCCAAGACAGGGAGCTCGTAATGCGGGATGATACCTCAGGCGCCTCATTCGTGTTTAGTAGGTCTAAGGCACAACAGGCATCGCCGTTCTTCACCGCCTTGACGTCTTCTTCTCGTCGTCGTTGTCTCTCATCGCCACTTTGTCTCCTGCTACAGAACAAGCAATGCCTCATCTCTCAACCTTTGCCTCAGCCCAATGAAACACCCTTCCTCTACCCCCTCCATACCCCCTATGTTGTAGGTCTGGGTAAATTGCAATGGGCTAAAAAAAAAGGAATAAAGGAGACAGAGGGAAAAGTTGGTTCAATTATGCATTTTGAGCCTACTGTTCGTTTGTTTATGTGTTTGTGCGACGACAACAAAGTGTCCAACGACACCATTTTGCACTAAAAGGGAAAATAATACGCGCATGCAAATACATTCGCTAAGCAGGGGAGTTGATTGTGCCTGCTCGAGGTATCTGAATAGGGGAGCGAAGAGCAAGGAGAAGGAGGAGGGGTGTTTTGGTGTTCGGAAAAAAGCATGGTCCGCACAAAAAGTTTTTTGGCTGTGAGAGGTGTGGTATTGTGTGTCCGTGGGGTAGGATGAACCCTTTCGTTCTTTCTTTACCCCAGTGGAAACAGTTTGTTTGTTGTGGGGAGATAGAAGTGGAGTGTATGACTCGGACTTTTAACACCGAAAAGCTAATGCTTTCTCGTTCGACTGTGGAGAAACAAGAGTGAGCTGTTTCTGATGGTGGGTTCGAAGCAGCTCTCTGGCTGTTTCTTGTCTTTGCTCTTTGACATGGCAAGTTTGAGTTGAAGGTAGCAACTTGTGCCTAGGTTTCTGACGCCACATCAACAGAGTATGAAAGAATGGTTTATCCGCCTTCTCTCTCTGTCCATGAACCTTTTGCTTTGTGTTATCGTTCTGTTTGTTGTTTGTTTTTTGTGGCCAGATAACCCCTCCTTTTCCTTATGTTCAGTAGTACAACCTCAAATGTGCCTGATCGACGTATCTATTTTTAAGTTTCACAGTACTTGTTCCCTGCCTACTAGAGTTTGGCGGTCTCTGTCTGTCTCATGGTGTACAGTGGTTTGCTCACTTACATTTTCCTTCCATCAAAGGGAAAGAAAGGGATTCCTGCTGTACGTCCTAGTCAATTGCAGTTAGGGTGCTTCTCATGCTTGTTATCATGCTGCGGTATACAGACTGTCCTTTTATCCGGGTCGAGTCGAGACGAGTCCACCCCTTGTTGTTATTGACCTGGCGACGAAGCATTCGTTCCACCTCCATGGCCAGAACAGTGGACGGGTAATCACTCCTTCCCTGAGTGTGGTTCATGTGCAACACACTGGAGTTGACTGACAATATCTAAAGACAGAGAAGTACTGATACCTGTCCTACCTCCTCCCCACTCCATTCAACTCACCCCATATTCCTGTCTCTCTGTCTTGAGCTCAATTCTTGACCCACCACCGCCCATTCAACTTGACCCATTGTATATCTTTCTCTTTATTATCGTTCAGCTGTTTTTATTTCGATCTCGAACAATCGCTGAGTGTCTGTCTGTTTTTAAACAACAACACCCTCTTCCCCACTTTCCAGGTTCATACAAAAGAAACCTCTTTTTCTCTTTTTCTTCTTTCTCTTCACTCCTCTTCGACTTGTTTGCATCTCAACCACCTTCGCCTCTTTCGCCTTTCACCACTCCTCTTTATACCCTTACACCTCCTACACACTATGTCGCTCGAAGATTTGAAAGACTCGAACCACCGTGGCAACGCACCCGCCGGTCCTGTCGCTGTCGCCAACCCTGGCCCCTTGGGTCTCTCGGCCTTCGCACTCACCACCTGTACGTCTCTCCCTTCATACTCCTTCGCCTGCAATCATTCCCCACAAGCTTCAAGACAACAACACATCCTAACCTCTCACTTTCCAATCTCTCTCAATAACTCATAGTCGTGTTGTCTCTCTTTAATGTCGGTGCTGGTGTGCCTTCAGGTGGACCCGTCCAGGTCGTGACAGGACTGGCATGCTTCTATGGAGGCATCACCCAAATGCTGGCCGGCATGTGGGAGTTCAAGGTCGGCAACAACTTTGGTGCCACCGCCTTCACGTAAGTTGTCCTCACCTTTTTTCTCCCCTCGTCAATCCACCTATCTTCTCACAGGAGACTGATTCCAACACTTTCTACTACTATCAATGCCAATGATAGATCATACGGCGCATTTTGGCTGTCATACGCAGCAATCCTGATCCCAGGCTTCGGCATCGTCCCCGCCTACGAAGGCGCAACAATCGACCCTCACGCCCTTGACAACGCCCTTGGAATTTTCCTCCTCTCTTGGGGTTTCTTCACCTTCATCATGTGGATCGCCACCCTCCGTTCCACTGTTGCCCTCTCCTCCATGTTCTTTGTCTTGACATTGACATTCTTCTTCTTGGCCGCGGGTCATTTGGCACATTTGGAGGCTGGTAACTATCCTACCCGTGTTGGTGGTGGGTTGGGTATTGTCACTGCGTTGTTGGCGTGGTATAATGCTGCTGCCGGGTTGTATGTTCCTACTGCGACGTTCGTTAGGTTGCCTGTTGGACCCTTGGGTCGTACTCATTCTGAGTAAATTTGCTGTCTAATTTGTTCAGGCCGAGAAACACATATATATATCTCTCTCTTTAATACCTTATCTCATTCTCTGGTGCTTTGACAACCTTCTTGTAACATACTTCCAATAAAGGACCAACCTCTTGGAACTTTTCTTCTGTGACCCATCCTTTTTTTTTCCTGGGGAGCGTTCGAATGACAGAGAAATGACAATCTCGAAATAAGAAGACGTTTTATAGCTCACTGCGCACGTTTCTGAGTTTCTTCTTGATTTGCTTTTATCATTATCGAAGTGTTGCCGTTACCCATATACCTGTTCAATGACATGGGTGTGGAAGCCAGGAAGACCAAAAAGCGGATTTCTTTCCTCTTTTTTTTTTTTTTTTTTTTTTTTTTGAATGCCAGCCCCAAGATATCACAGATCAAAGGAACAAGACAAATCAGAAGCGAAGAGAGGAAGGGATCGGACGTCCAACCTTCGATTACAAAACCTCATGGGAGCAAAGAGAGAAGGAGGGATCAAAGAGAGAAGGAGGGATCAAAGAGAGAAGGAGGGACCAAAGAGAAGGAAGATTAAAATCAAGGTCGCATCAAGTCAGCGCCAATTGTTGCATCTTCTTGATCAAGCTTTTTTGTGTGTACGATTATGTCTAGAGAGAAATGTTCGCTTGTTGAAAAAATTAATCACATCTTGGACCACTGGTTGGGCGAGAGGGAGGGAGGGCTTCCTTTTGGGTTTATCTATCTCTCTAACATGCGGGCTACTTTGAATTGGTAGAAATGAACAAGATAAAGACCGTTGATAATGTAGACGAGCAAAGGCAGCTTTCGGTAACCTATCCCGATCGACTGTTTGCATGGGGGGAAACAAGGGTGGGTGGGTCGTGCATTGAATCCTCATGTTATCTCCCAGGTCTTTTTTCTTTTTTGTTTGTGCAGAGCCCATTGCCACATTCGAGCATTCCGATAATTGTCACCCTTCTTTTTCCTTTGTAATCACACGACAAGAGGGTAGGTTCTTTTCTCGAATAAACCTATGCGAAATGGGGCTGAGTTATATTGCAGGGTTGGCAATAGTATTCCTTGTCTAAGTTCGCTGCATCGTTGTTCACTATCCAGCGCCTGCCTATCGCTCGTCTGGTAAGCCTTTATTTTTTTTCTTTGATCCTATGTCCCATCCATGCCTCTCTCGAAAGCCAAATAAAAAAATAAAAACGAATGCCGTGTGTCGGATGGGCAGGGTTATGGTTCAAGGCAAGTTGCTTACTTTACTAGATCGAAATGGGTTACTGTTACGATAATGAGGAGTGAGGGAATGCTTTTATTGTTATTGTTGTGGAGTGGAACAAGAAAAGACGAATGCAGGGAAAGGACCTTTGTTGGGCTTTTGTTCGCCTTCCTTGCAACGAACAATCAAATATACTAATTATCTAAGTTGTTCTCTACGATAGAATAAAAGGACAGGGATCTGATCTGCATAGGGTGTCGATCGTAACTGAGGCTCACATAGGGTTACTATACGCGACTGGTAGACTGGTAGTCAGGACGAGGACGTGTTTGCTGCTTTTGATCCCATCGTTGCTAATGGACATCCTGAGACGAGTACGATTTTATCAATGATCGACGATATGACGACAACGCGTTGTCGCCCTCTCCTCTTCTTTTTTTCTTCCTTTCTTCTTTCTTTTACAGTTTCTTTTTCTTTTTCGTTTTCTTTTTCTTTTCTTTCCTTCCTCCATTCCCCTCCCTCTTTCCTCGTCTCTTTCTTTCTTTCTTTCTTTCTAACCTTTTCCGCCCTTTACTCCTTACCCTGCCACACACATACTTTTCTTTCTACCTTACTATTCCTGTTATCCTACCCTCCTACGCCTCAAGGCCCTCCACTCCCACCCATACATCCAACACTCGAGTCGTCATAGAAGAAGGCAAAATCGCCACCAGCGCTTGTCCGCCCTCAAATATGACCAACCCACCTACCCGCCACTTGCAACGAGTTCGAAACAAGGGGGTAGAGAAAAGAAATGGACGAAGAGATTGGTAGATGAGGGTATGGGGAACGAAATACTAGTACCCATTTCATGCTCAGTTTACGACTTTTTGTCCTTTGTGAAAAACTTCTCTACAAACAAATTATCATGGTATTTGTAAGCGTCTTGACAACTCACGACTCTCCCATGTTCACTTTCAGCTAGTGTTCACCATTGTTTGCGTTTCTGTCCCACAGGAAGTGTAATCGATCAATCCATCTATGGCAAGAAAAAGAAAGAGAAAAGATGGCAAAGCGCCATACGTTATTGCATTGGGACAAGGAAAGGAAACAAACAAAACAAAACAAAACAAAAAGAACAATGCATGCTTATACGAATACCATGGGGCGTCTCTATATTTACTTTCTTTCTTCTGCTCCCTCCCTCTCTCTCTTTCCACTTTGCAACACTCGCCTTACTCCTCTTGTCACTACTCTCCATCTCCTTCATTCGTCTTCTTCACCGCCAATCTCCTTGTCCCTCATTACACCTTACTTACATTAGCGCCTGTTGGTCATTCCAACATCTTTCCATCATTCAAAATTCTCTTTCTCAGTTCTCTGTACCTTCTCCGTGCTCAGCCAATCGCCCTTCTGCGTGCTTGTCCGTCTTGCACGTAACAAGTGCCGAGCACCCCAAGCTTGGAGAGGTACAACTCTCGCGTCCAATATTCTAGCTCACATACCACGCTTATCATTGCTGAACACATCATAGCCTCAACTCTCCCAATAGCAATTGCCTGCTTCTCTACTTGTCTTTCTCCCATCCAGCCAACACACAAACATACCAAAAAAAATAATACGTTCTAACCAAGCAGACCAAGCAAGAAACAGTATCAGCTCTGTGCTTTTCCAATGTGAGTTGCTTGCAAACTCAGCCCCGCGGATGACACTGCACTGCCCATTTTACATTGGCTCATCGCGCCTTGTTTTCTTTATGCGACAGACTGCCTTCGATCTCTTTTTTTCGACTCTGTCCCGCTGTCCCACATTGCCACAAGCCTGTCCAATCTCCAACACCCAACAAAGAACTTTGATTTCCTCCAGGGTAAGAGAGACAACAGGGACATTGCGCTTTCTGACCTTTGCGTATCAACGCAACACGGACTAATGTTTACTGACGCGACTTCTACTTTGTTTACTATTAGTGCACACGCCATGTCCAAGGAATCGCATTCAACCTCACACCACGACAATAAGTCTGCCTCCTCCCAGCATGTACGCAAATGGAGCAAGATCTTCAACTTTTTTCGGTCGTCCAGCTCAGAGTCCAAGGCCAAGCAGTCCCAGAGCACCAAGGCAACTCTTCATCACCTCTCAATTGTCAGCGCCGAGTACAGTGTCGACATCGACCATTCAATCTCCACCACAGAGATTAAGAGCCTTGCCTCCAATGCCCAACCGCCAACTCTGCCGACCGGGCCGCGCTTGAACATCTTCCCGCAAAATATCAAACCACCTGTCGTCCTCATCACTTTACCCAACTTCGGTGCTAGCATCGACACCACTCCTCAGCTTGCCTTATGCATTGGCTTGCTCCCCAAGGTCGGCGATCCCACCAACCAGCAAGAGGATCCCTCGCAGGTTTTGTCCTCTGGCACTGTTGCCCAACTTGCCTGGATCAATTCTATGAAGCAAGACCCCATTGAGCAGGAACGTCTGCGTTGGCTAGGAGCTCGCATGGTGGATGAGTTTACGAAAGACACATCCAAGGACTCGACCGAAATCGCGGAAATGGTTCTCATTGGGCCAATGCTCGACAACGAACACTATCGCAGGCTGCTGTCGTGCACCATCACGGCATTCGACCACGCTGTTCTAGATGTCGATTTGCTTCAAGGTCTGGTGCAATTGGTCCAGTCTGCTCCCTCAGAGGCTCTACTCCCTGACGACCTGGTCAAGATCCTCCGTATACTCAGAGTTCGCCTGCAGGACATTCACCAGCAGTCGTCTGTTCATCCTTTCCATCTCACTTTGGCTGTCTCCAGGCTGCTTGATGTCATGGCGGAGCACAAGGTCAAGGACTTGGATCGAGTCGAGGAGCACGAACCTCTGTCTGGGGTGTTGTCGGGTTTGAAGGCCAGCTCAGATCCCTACTTGATGTATCAGGCATGCTACGCGTTCCAAGCACTACAGTATGTGCCAAACAATGAATCGCCACTGCAAGCAGTTCTCAGGCATTCTACCGGGGTTGTGGATGGGCTCGTCAAGGTTTCGGCCGTGTTCAAGCTGGATCTGGGAGCAGTTCTCGAGGGACTCGGCAAGCTGCAGGAGACCCTTGGTGGTGTCGTTGAGGTTACTGGTAGTGTCTATGATGGCGCCAGGTCGCTGATGGAGAGTGGCCGAAGTGTGCTTGAGAGCATGAAGGAGGGGCTCGGGTTAGGGCAGAAGCGTCCGTGGTACACTGCTATTCGTGCCGCTTACGCCCTTGCTCAAGCTGGTCAACTCAAAGATCTCAACACGCTCATCTATGAGGCACCCTGTCGCCGCGACCCTTTGTTCCAATGGGGCATTTGCCAACTGCTGGGCGAGATCGCATCCGACACCATCTGGGATACCAGCGTCCGCCTGCAAGCTATTGCTCTTATTGGAGAGCTGTACAGGGACGATTCAGAGTGGGACCAGGATGAGAGCGTCAGGACCTGGATGCAAAACATCATCCGCCAACTAGGAGCCACTGCTGACCAGGTCGTCAGTACCAGTGCATTTGCCCTATCGAAGTACCTCAACCAGGACCAGGACACCGCCGCCTATCTTCCTTACCCACTCAGGAACCGCCTTCATCTGCCTGCATCGTCTCCGACGCTCGCTCGCGTTCAAAATATCCCTCCTCTCGAATATGATCTCCACAAGCACAAAGCCCTGAGGCTGGAGCAGAGCCGCAACTCACTCTACATCCAACCACTCGCCAAAGCCAACCTGAGGGCCAAGGACGAAGACACCTTTCCTCTCCTGGAGAAAGTACTGGAGTTCCTGGCAAGCGAGCGTCAAGTGATGTTGACCTTAGGCGACTCTGGGTCTGGGAAATCGACATTCAATCGCCATCTCGAGCATCGACTCTGGACCGACTATAAGCAGGGCGGACCCATCCCATTATTCATCAGTCTTCCCACCATTGACCGCCCCGACCAGGACCTGATCGCCAAGCAGCTGAGGGCCAACAACTTTAGCGATGACCAGATCCAAGAGATGAAGCAGCACCGCCAACTCATCCTTATTTGCGATGGGTACGACGAGAGTCAACAATTGGTCAATCTGCACCGGACCAACATGCTGAACCAACCAGGACAGTGGAACACCAAGATGGTCATCAGCTGTCGCACCCAGTTCCTCGGAACCCCGTACGAAGATCGCTTCAAGCCGCTGCCGGCAGATCATTACGCTCCTGGTTCCCAGGATCTATTCCAGGAGGTCGTCATTGCTCCATTCTCCGAGGACCAGATAGAGAAGTATGTCGAGCTGTATGCGCAGGATCCACAGCCTGCGCTGGCATTCAGTGATCAGGCTGTGTGGTCGGCGAAGGAGTACATGGACAAACTGACAACGATCCCCAATGTCAAAGACCTCGTCAAGAACCCGTTCCTCCTCACGCTTGCTCTCAAGGCTCTGCCTCGTCTGGTCGCCTCGAATAAAGACCTGTCGAGCATTCGTGTCACCCGAGTTGGACTCTACGACATGTTTATTGAGCAGTGGCTGAAGAAGAATCAACTCCGTTTGTGTATGAGCACACTGGACAAGGAAAAATTGACGGTATTCAACTCGCTGGTGGAAGGCGACTTTATTGACTGCGGGATCAATTACCTGCTACGACTCTCTGTGGCAATCTTTCAGGAGCAGGACGGAAACCCGGTCGTTCAGTATATTCATCGACATGACAAGGAGTCCTGGAAGGGAGCGTTCTTTGGTACTGGCCTCGAAGCCAAGCTGCTCCTTGAAGCCAGCCCATTGGTGCGCACCGGCAACCACTACCGCTTTGTTCATCGTTCCATGCTTGAGTATTTCTTCTCACGCGTCATTTACAACCCGGCCAAGGTTGACGAGCAAGACTTTCACTCCTCAATTGAGACTATATCCTCAGCCTCCCTTTCATCCGACACCAATGGCCCTTTATTCCAGAGAAGCTTGCTTGAGGAGCCCTCGATTATCCAGTTCCTGTGCGACCGCGTGAGGCTCCACTCGGATTTTGAGCAAAATCTCCGCGCTATCATCGACCAGTCCAAGACCAGTTCCAATGCCACCATCGCCGCTACCAACGCTATCACGATCCTGGTCAGAGCCGGTGTGACCTTCAACAGTGCAGATCTTCGCGGCATCAAGATCCCTGGCGCCGATCTTTCCGGCGGGCAGTTCGACTCTGCACAGCTCCAAGGAGCCGATCTGACGGGTGTCGATCTCTCGAGGAGTTGGTTGCGGCAAGCGGATTTAAGCCATGCGCGGCTGGAGGGCGTCCGGTTCGGAGAGTTGCCATACCTCAAGGTGGAGGGTACTGTATGGGCCTGTGCCTACTCGCCTGACGGAAGGATGCTTGGAGTGGCGTTATGGGGTGATGGCCTTGGCATCGGTATTTTCGACACCTCTACATGGCAACGAATTCATTTAATCACAGCCACCGAGTATGTCATGTCTGTTGCGTTCTCGCCTAACAGCCAACGAATTGTATCTGGGGACATGAAGGGAATGGTTCGGTTGTGGGATTGCACAAGCGGCGAGGGGTTACTAGTTATGACGGGGCACACTGACATCATACGCTCAGTGGCATACTCGCCTTGTGGGAGTCGTATTGCCTCTTCCAGCGACGACAAAACGGTGCGATTGTGGGATTCGGAGACGGGAGTGTGCTTCTTTGTTTTGAAAGGCCATATTGGCATGGTTTTGAGCGTCAAGTTTTCCCATGATGGACGTCAGCTTGTATCAGGCAGTAACGATGGAACGATTTGGTTTTGGAACTCAGGGACAGGAGAGCCAGGGATCGTCTTGAGTCCTTCGTTGGGAGTGATTGCCAGTCTTGCCATTTCTCCTGACGGCCGATGGATAGCTTCCGGTCACGAGGATGGCAATGTGCGTCTGTGGGATATGGTCTCTGGTAGCTCAGGTCCTGTCCTACAAGGCCATGCCGAGGCTGTTGAGGGAATCGCATTCTCTCCGAACGGTCAATTGATCGCTTCTGCCAGCTTGGACCGCTGGGTAATATTGTGGGACGCATCGACAGGAGACTTTATTTCCAAGTTAGACGGTCATTCAGGCTTTGTATTGGATGTTACCTTCTCTCCGGATGGCCTTACCATTGCATCGGTATCTAACGACAGGACAGTGCGACTATGGGAGGCGAGCTTTAGTCCCTCCAGCGTTGAGATACAAGATCAAATTGGTGACGCTCGGAAGGTGGCCTACTCTCCCGATGACTCATCCTTGTTCTCTTTCTTCCGCCCATGTGCTTTCCGAGAAGGGGATGATACAACTGGAACGCACATATCAGTGTCGATTGAGCTGTCTGACCCAGAGTCGATCTGCAGCCAGGCGTTTTCATCGGACGGTAGGCGAATCGCAACAAGTTACTTGGATGGTTCAGTGCGATTGCGGGATCCCAGCACTGGTGCAGCAGGACCGGTCTTGGAGGGGCATTCGAGCCCGGTGTGGATTCTTGCTTATTCAACCTGTGGTCGCTGGATCGCCTCTTCCGACGACGATAGTATTGTATTGTTATGGGACCTTCGTGATACGGAGCGGCGGTATGTTCTTGTTGACGCGGGCGCAGGCGATGACAGCGAAATTGAAGGCTTGAAGTTCTCACCAACAGGACATCAAATTGCTGTCTGCTCGAATGGTGGAATGGTCTGGCTTTTCAATCCTGAGACAACGGTACTCTTGGCGTCCAAGAAGCTGATGGAGAAGGCGATCCTGGCATTGGACTACTCGCCAAATGGCCAGCAGCTTGCTTTGGGTACACATATGTCCGTTGCCTTGTGGGATCTGCAGTCGGATGAACTTAATTTGGAGCTGAACGTGACTGTCAGATCGGAGGAAGCCATGTTTAAATGCGTGACCGTTGCCTACTCGCCATGCGGTCAGTTTCTGGCATCCTCCAACGCGGACTATATTGTGAATCTCTGGCATCGTCAGTTGACCGAAGGAGACATTGAGAGCTGGCTTTGCGCAGGTGCGCTTCGTGTGTTTCATACTTTCATCGTGGACATGTCATGGAATCCAGTTGTCCCGACGGAGTTCATCACAGCCAGCATGGATGGATGTGTCCGAGTATGGCGAGTGTCGAGTGACGATGGAGCCGTGACCGTGAGGATGCTCCGGGGCACCAACCTTAGGACACTTTGCAGCACAGGTGTGGTTCTCGAAGGCGCGACTGGTCTGAGCCCGATCCACCAAGCGTTGTTGGTACAGCGTAGTGCCTGTGGCATGGGGATGCTTTCATATGATTATGGATCTGACGATGGATCTGAAGACGACGATGGATATTACTATGGATCTGAAGATGGCGATGGATATTACTATGGATCTGAAGACGGCGGTGGACCTGATAATGGGTCTGACGACGACAATGTGTCTGACGACGACAATGTGTCTGACGATGAGTCTGAAGATGAGGAATAGCGGATGGATCTCGGCGCGCCGAGCACAGTAAAGAAGGCGACCAATAAACTGATGATATACACAAAACCAGCAACGTTTTTTTCGTGATGATCTTGCCAAACATAGCAAAGAGTTCCTGCATGTATGTTCCTTGAAAAGAACGACTCCTGCGTCTGTTTTTTATCTGTATTGTGACATTATACCTGGTATGAAACCTGGTAGGGAAAAAAGGCGTGCGGTTGTTGGGTCGTGAAACTCTTGGTGCATGTTTCCAGGTTCTCCTGCTACATTTTTCTCTTCGTTCTCTTTGTTCTCCTTCCTTCTGCGCTTCAGACTCACGCGTGATGCTCATAAGAAAAAAAATTAGAAGCAACAAACTGTCGACTCTTACAAATAATCCGGCCCCTCATTAACCACGCCAAAATGATCGCTCCCAACCCTCATTCTCCGTTTCATTTTCAGATCTGTCACACAAACAAAAAAAAAGGCAAAAAAGCGAACAAACTCTGAGGACATTGGAACACGTTTCTTTAACCTCTGCGTAAGGGCCTCCTATTTCGCGTCGACCATCCCAATCCCTTGCTAACGGGCTCGCCAACCATGCTCACACCACTATCACTGTCAGCCCTGCTGTATCGTCCATTCATCTCAGGAACATCCTTTCATCATTCTTCTTGGGCGATCCTCTCGGAACTTGTGGAACCTTGTACTGGTCCATAGTAACCGACACCGTCTTTTTGGTCGAATGATTGAATTGAACGCTCTCTGGAGCGCCTCTGTTTTCGCACTTGGCTTGCGATCCTTTCGGAATGTCCTGAACTCTCTGGAGCTGCTTCTGCTGGTCCTTCGCGTTTGTGGGTGCTTGCTTCTTGGTCGAGGGGTAGAATCGTACACCACCATCTTGTCGAGCTTTAACGGGAGATCGAGGATGAGGTTGTAATTTGTATGAAAGCACGGCTGCTTTCATGGGAGGTGGAGTAGCGGGGCCATGGTCCCAGGTCACCTCTGCAAAGAACTCGGAATCACTCTGCTCGACTGTGAAGCGGTAGTTGAGGTTTTGGGAGTTGAGGTGCTGCGCGATGGCTTCTTGTCTGTTAGTGGTTACGCGGTCTTCGGGTTTGCCTAGTGCAAAAGGGTATAGGAGAGCGAGTAGGAGTGATGAGTTCTCGGACAGAGTAAATGAATGGTTATATGTAGTGGGTTGTAATGGAAGGGGATTCGGAAGAGCTAGGGTTGTATACCTTCGAATGTAGGATGTTTCGTAAACGGTCCACCTATTGTGCCACATGTTTGTTTGGTCGTTGTGGAAGAAAGAGACGCGATGAAGAGAAGGAAGAAAGGGTGAAGCATGCACATCAGCGAATATTTAACTAACCACGCAGATTAACAGATAGGCAAATGTGAAAGACGGAAGGAATGAAGAGGGTGGGGTATATCATGAGGCATACTGTGTTGTTCTTTCAGATCGCGCCTTTTTTTATTGTTTGCTACTTTGCAACCAAATGTCCACCTCGTTTCTATTTTATTTTTGGCCTAAGAAGGGCGGATGTACAATTTTCACAAAAAGGCGTTGTTCTTTCTATCGTACAATACTTTATTACAAATATGTTTTCAGACGGATCCCAGTATCGGTCTTTGTGGTGGGCGAAGCATCCGTTTTCTTATTTTTCGTACCTGGGTGCCAAACCAATTCATTTCCAACTTTCTTAGTTCTCGGAGTGAGAGTCCAGTCATGTAGTCAAATGTCTGTAGGCGTCCCGTACCATCTACAACAAGATCCCGGATACATTTTTGCTTTGGTTTCATGTGCAGACTATCGTTGTGCAGAAAAAAAATGAAATCGAAGATACTTGTTGGCCTCCACACTATAACGGTGCGGACCAAATTTCGTAAGAGTCACGGCGGGCCCCCGATGTACCGCCACCATTCATTTCAGATACAAATTTACCACACTCAAGATATTTAGGGGTAGCTGTCTTTTTTTTTTAAAAAAAAAAGTGTGAATTCTGCCTGCTCTCGACATTCTACACTCAGCCTCTGTTTGCGTCAGCTTTCATCTTGCGTGAGCGTGGTGTGGCCACTCCGAGAAAGCAGGGTGGAGATACCGAATCTGACCGCCGGTATGTGGCATCGTTCAGGACGGAGACTGTGCTGTTGAAGGGTTTATCGAGTGTCAGCCATGTTTGGACCTGGTCCTCGAACGACAATGTATCGGAAAGCGTGTAGAGTATTTGAATAGTGCCGATCTTGGTGGCCACGCAGACTGTGCCGACACGACACATGAGATAAAGGTTGCACGTCTGGCCGATCACTTGAACGAATAAGAGGTTCATGTCCTCTGTCTCCTCAAATCTCGTAACAACCTCGTCTGCCGCCCGTTTGCTCCATAGGAGGGTACGTGCTAGGTCGCCTTGGACCTTGCTGATTGATGCGGAGAGGCTCACCTCACCAACGCCAATGTCGATGATTTCATGGTATCGCACGACAAGGTCAGGATGACGTGGCAATTGCCCCAACTTGAAATAAACGCGGAGGAGAACAGATCCTGTCAATGGGGCGCTAGCGGTGCTGAGTATGCAAATTGAAAGACCAACGAAGGTGAGGCTTACCGGTCTCTCAGACAGTCGGTTGGTAGGTTTGTATCAGGTGCAACAAAACTTACTGGGCGAGTCTGGATTCATCTGGTTTGTCGAAAATATGAGACAGAGTTCTCAAGATATAGGGGGTTTCAAACCTTGACATTTGACGGCGTGTAACCAAATGCGCCGTCAAGGAAATCCGCCATGGAAATACGTTTCCTCGAAAGCTGATCAAGTGCTCAAGTAGGAAGTGGGATGATCGAGAGTTGACGAGGGGGCTCTAGAGAGGTGAAGGAGAGAGTCGATGAAGAGAGAAGTGACAAAGAGAGAGGCGATGAAGAGAGGTGAAGGTGATGATGAAGAGGGAGAGATAGAAACGCGTATGCTAGAAAAAGGACTGGAGAATTACGTCAACGAAGTGAGTAAATCTCCGACCCTTGTATTTGCTTATCCTTTCCATTATTAGAGGGTTTTACCGTTTTTGACAACATTATTATTTATGAAGGTTCCGCTCTGATCCTTCTTATCCATACTTGTTTTGCCTCCAATTGGTCGATATTGATAGCATGGAGTGAGAGTGCAACCATGTAGTCAAATGTCTGTAGGCGTCCCGTACCATCTTCAACAAGATCCCGGATACATTGTTGCTTTGGTTTCGTGTGCAGACTATCGTTGTGCAGAAAAAAAATGAAGTTGAAGACACTTGTTGGTCTTCAGACTCTAACGGAGCGGACCAAATTTCAAACATCGATTTTCCGAACTCAGGTTCGTGTAGTGAACCCATCTTCACTTACTTCAGTTGCGTTTTTGTTTCAATTACCCTCGACGCGCCGATAAGCGAAACGTGGTTTCTATTTCATGCGCCCCTTCGTTCTTTGTACGACGATATGTTTTTCTTTGACCAGATGTCGCCGCGATGAATACTTTTCTTGTGTAGGTAGTCGAAGTTCATGTCGCCACCCATGGCCATACTCCAACTCCAGGGACCGGGATAGCGAGTTTCCAACAAGCATGTCCGATATCGTCTGCAAGATAGACACGACGGAGAGAAAAAATAATAAACCCTCACTGTTAGTCCCGAGCACGCGACGCGTAAATATTATTATTTTGCATTAGTTGGGACTGTTCCGCTCCTTTGACACATTCACCTGCAAGACGTACCTTTTTTGGTCCAACTCCAGGACGATAATTGTCTCCTGAGCCTTTTGCAAAAAACGAGGCAATCGAATTGAATCGATATATTGAATTGTCGTCAGGCGACTTTTTCTCGCCCCGCCGTTCCCCCCTCCTGGATGCACCGATTCCTTTTTGCGGATGAAAGTAGTGGGCCAACTGTTGGTTTCAAGGCGCAGTCTCCTGAACTTGCTGCAGGATATATGATTGAATCCCAATGGGTTTCTCGTTTCCGGCCATGAAGGCCACCTTTTTTTCTTGCGAATTGTGCAGGCGGTTGGGGCGTCCTGAGGGGTTGCAGGGTGCCAAGCTCGAGAAATCCTCTTATGTATTCGCATTTCGACTCTTGATCGTTTCAATGGCACTGCCGATAAAAATAAAGGGGGGACGGTCGTTAGGTAAGTTCTTTTGTTTCCAACAAGATAACGCCAGGTTCGCGATGGAAAAGATGGTTGCTCACCTTTTGGAGAGCGGATAGTCATATCCATTTTCCATAAGCCGTCTTGAAGACCATCTTGACAAAACCTGCCACGGGGCACGATCGATAGATTGTCGAAAGACAGTCGAGATTGGCAAGGTGGAGGTCGAGCATTGATGCGGTGTGTATGGCGATGTTGATGCCGATAGGGTCCTTGCCCCTCAGATGACCGGACGCGTGGGAATAAATGTCTTTCAAGCAGTATTGTGGGGGGGGGGTCGAATGCGTATTGTGCCGATATCACTTTTTTTCAGTTCGCCCAGTGTATCCAGTTTTCTTTGGCAGCAATTGTCTTTCTTTCGTCGATCCCTGTCAGGGTTTCCGGTCTTGTATTGGAATGTACCTTGACGCCGTGTTTTGTCGAGTTGAAGCGCTTGGGTGCTTGTAAGCTGGCTGGAGGCGAAGGTATTGGGCGGCATTGAAGATGGCTTGATGTCGAAACCAACAAGAGGCGAAGTTTGGTGAGAGGGCCCCTGAACTGGGAGTAAGAGCTGAAAGTTCCAAGAGGGGAGGGGCGATGTCGAAATGCCGGGGCAAAAGTAGCTGGAGGATGGCGAAGATGTGAAGATACAAAGTAAAAAAGCGTGTGCCATGGGATAGTAGGCGACCACGTAAAAAAAAAGAGAAAGGTGACAAGGTCGGCTGACCAAGGGTGCTGATGGGATCGTTCTTGGTCACGTTCGATCATTGCCCAGTTGCATTTTTATCATCTTGGTTTCCCTAGTTCTGAATGCAGTTGTTGTTTGCTTGACTATCGACATCCATTATTATTTGCTTCTCCTCTGTACACTGCGTCTACAATTGATTTTCATAAAAAAATCGAGAGTCGTGTCCTGTCGCCTTGTTAAGTGCTTGTCCTGCATTGCCTCCTGACCTTATCAATCGGGTTCAAGACTAGCCACAAGAAGGAGGGAGAAAAGAAGCAGGTTTCGAGAACAAAAATTATTGAGAAGGGGGCGTTTCTCCCTCATTGCATGCCTGGCAAAGAAGCAGCGAGTGATGCGGCCAAAAAGAAGATGGGTTGTCGATGAAGGCATTCCCTGCGATGAAGGAGACCTGATTCCTTGTTTCCGTGTCCTGGTGTTCTGGCGTCGGGATAAAGCTGGGGCACGCGGGAGAGGTAGAGGAGAAAGAAAAGAAAAGGGAAAGGGAGAGGGAAGAAACGCACAGGGCGCATACAGGCACTAGCATCAGATCTCAATTGACCGTCTCAGAGTCGTGTAAAAAATCAGGGCCAATAGTCAAGGGCTCCTCGGCGTATCTTCTGTGACATACATACCGGGCCTAATGATGACCACGAACCAGACTCTCCAGACAGCAAGATCCCTGTCAAAAAAATGAAATCGCCGTTGAGGATCTTACCAAGACAAAAGACCATTCTTCAGGACACGTTTTTTTCAAGCCACTTTGGCTTCGGTGCGACTGAACAGGTATCATTGCATGAGGGGAGGTTTGCCATCGAGGAAAGTAAACATCCTGATCAATGTATCAAGAGTTGCGTGGCTACTCTGGCTTCGTGTTTTGTTGATCAGCCCGGCTTAGTACAAACACTTTTCTTTCGAGAAGAGAACGAAGAGAAGAGAACCTGGTCAGAACTGTGTGCGCACAAAGTCAGATGAGATGACAAGTGACCACAGAGACAGAGTTTAACCACTACAGGAAGGAACGCGACTGGCTCCTCAAAGAAGGAGCCTCTTCTTACTCAAGGACAGATTGTTTAATGGTTACAGGATAGCCCTGCCTCTTTTCGATTTTCTTTTCCGTTGTTTACATGAACAGGCCGCAATCATATGGGTGTTTTCAAGGAAGCGCTTGTTTGTTGTTTGTTATTTGTATCCATGTTCATTTTGATGTCCCTGTCCCTGCTTTACTTTGTATGACACAGAGAGACAGAGACACGGATATCGCTTGGTGTGCTTGCTCATGTTCATCCTCTAACCTCAATCGATGTGATGACGGCTCACTTTGTTGTGTCTCTCTCACCCCACACCTCCAATTAACGAGCTAGCCCTGGCCGACCACATAGCAAGCAAAAAAGAGCAACCAACAACGAAAACGTTTGTTTGTTTATTTGTTTGGTGTGGTTCGCCTTAAGATGGAAAGGCTAATGCGGCGAGATGACTGTCTCTCTGAAGGCGTGTTATTGATTTGTTTATTTGTTTTGTTGTCGAGACAAACGGGAGCTACAGAGTGAAGGAAAGAGACAAGGAGGGAGGTACAAGCTGGGAATGCAAGCTGGTATGGCATGCATGTGTGTATGGTTTGAGTTTTTTCTTTTTGAGAGCGACCTCAGAGTGAGAGAACGACGCCCTTTGTCCTCCCCGTGGATGGGCTGGGATCCAATGTTGAATGGAAGGGGATGGATGGAAGTGCCGACAACAAGTGCAAATAGGAAAATGAATGTGTCAGCATCCATCCACCCATATTAGCCTGCTTGCACGCGAATTTGTGTTTTTTTGTCTACGTGGCACCACCAGCATGCAAACAGATAGACAAGGCACGGAGGCAACCAGTCAAAAGGGGACAATGGATCTATATATGCCAGCTAATTGTTTTTAGCATAGAAGTGGCATTGTACGAAGAGAGAGGGTTGAAGGGCTGGTTAATCCTGACGATCGTTTGTTTCAAAAGACAAAGGCGCAGGGATATATTATTAGCAGAGTGGGTGTTCTTTTTTCTTTTGTCGGCGACAAAAACAAAAAGAATGAGAAACGAGTGGGTCAGTTAGTGAAGGTAAACACCCGAGGACAAACCTGGAAAAAGGAACGGACAGTGATGCATATTCAGCGGGGTGAAATATATAGCAACAGCCCACCTCTTAAATGTGAGTAATGTACAATGGTGAACCTTGGTGCTTCTGTTCCCGTCTGTGCAGTGGATGGACTCAGCGGTAACAGGATGGACATATCGAGTCAAATATCTATGAGAACATCATGCCTCCATCCCGGCGCCCATTGAAAAGAGAAAGAACTAACAGAAGAGCGAAGAATGAGAAGAGGATTAGATTGTGCGCCTCTGCTTGACCCTTTCTCTCGTGTGCATCGTTTCCTGTTCATTTTTTATGATTCTGACCAGTCATCGTCCTGCTCTCACTGCCAGATACACAACATGTCCTCATTCTTCGACTTCTGTTCCAGTCCCACAGACGCACTTTCCCATCATTTATCCTTTCTTTCTATCTCCTCTTTACCTCATCCCTTTCTTTCTCCTCCGTACGCCACCATCACCTCACCTCTCCCTTTTTATTGATCCTCTTCCCTCCCTCCCTCCACTTCCATTACTCCATTACTCACTCACTCTTCCTGGATCAGGATCACGCCAACCATACCTTTGATCATCAGCAACAAGAAAAGAAGCGAGTGCGAGTGAACATATTCGTTACTCTCCCCCTTTCTCTCTGGTCCGTTCCCGCACCATGCCCCCTAGTGTCCACTCCCCCCCCCCCACCCCCCTTTTCACCTTATCCTCTTTCCCGTATGCTTCACCGGAGACTTGTTGACCATCACCATCCAGCCCCCTTTCTCTTTCTTGTTTTTGTTTGACTGCAACAACCACATAACGTCGCGAATACCCCTCCTTTCTCCTCGACAATTGTCATCGCGCCGCCCCTTCTTTCCTTCTTTCCTTCTCCCCACCCCGTCTTTTTCTTTGTTGACGAGAGAGAGAGGCGTAGTAACCCCTTGTGTTGTATGGTCAAGAAAGTACTTATATCAACGGGAACAAAAAAAAGCAATTGTTATTCAACCTGGGAGCCCTCCTCATCATATTCATACCTCAGCCAGGACTCGACCATCACTCGACTGCAACGACATGGCCAGGGATAACGACAAGAGAAGATAACAAAGGGATATGCACTTTCATTCTTTTTGATCGCCCTTCCTTCTCCTTTGGATTATCAATGGGGAGTGAGAATGAATGCGTTTATGGATGTGCATACATATACAGACGGGTGGATGGATGAAATGTGCGTGTGATAATAATAATAAAAGGAATGGTCTAGAAAGAATATCCAATTTCATTGTTGCGCCAAGTGGCACTCGCACCTCCAAACAAAGCGAAACACCTCTTCATATCTCCCACTCCATATGATACGATGTGATCGATACGATTGTATGATTATGATGACAGAGACTCAATTTGCACCTTTTTTAGAGTGAGGGAGACACAAAAGAGGGACAAGAGAGAGACAGAGTCAAGGGGACACGGGCACCTCTTTCTTCCTTTTCCTTTTCCTTTTCATTCTTTCCTCTTCTTTTTATATCCTTCCTTTACCTTTTTATCGTCAAGGGGACACGGGCACCTCTTTCTTCCTTTTCCTTTTCCTTTTCATTCTTTCCTCTTCTTTTTATATCCTTCCTTTACCTTTTTATCTTTATCTTTACTCTTCCCTTCTCCCTTCCTACTTACACCCATCCACAATCAAAACTCACACCCGACTCGATCTATACTCTCACCCCAACACCATAGACAACAACAACAACAACCACCACCTTCGAATCAACTCGAATGGCTTCCCACATCGGATCCCCGGCTGAGGAGGACTCGATCCTCTCCTTCCTCACCTCAGACTTTCTCGAATCTCAAGCAACAAGCGCTGTCGACAACATCTCTTTCGACCCTACAAACTTCTTCGCCGACACTGAGGACTCTACAAAGAAATACAACGACCTCCTTCTCCACCCTCCTTCCCCCCCAACCTCCGTCGGCACCTTCTCAGAGTCCTCTGGCTCGCCCCACAACAGCCACATCGACTCCTCCGACGAAGGATCCGACGTCCCCATGGAGTCAAATCCCCTCGATTACTGGCAATACGTTTACACCGACCTCACCCAACCTGCCTCGACTGCCTCTCTCCAGGCTGCTATCCAACAGCAGCAGCAACAGATTGCTCTTCAAATCCAACAGCAGCAGCAACAGCAACAGCAACAACACCAGCCAGGGGCATGGCCTCTGTTCCCTACCACTGTCGATGCGACAGCTCTGTTGCAACCCGCTATGATCCCCCCTTTCCCTGCCTCACCAATCAAACTTGCAACTGGAGCACCATCATCCATCACCTCTCCTTCTCCCGCTCCTTCTCCCTCCAAGCCTGAAAAGAGAGTCAAGAGGGCCAAAAAGACTCTTGCTCCTGCCCCTCCCACTATCGCTCCCTTAGCACCATTGAAACCTTTGGTGTCCCTGGCGCCTCAGCCAACTCCGCCCTCTCCTCCCGTATCAGTTCATGACGCATTCATCAAACAGTCGCCCCCTCTCTCGCCCTGTATCTCTCTCGCCCCAGCGCCTTCGACCAACAACGCAACAGGCGCAGCAGGAGCAGGCGGCCCCGCCCTTCTCCGACGCCCCTCAATCATCCCAGCATTGACACCCAGTCTGGCGCGTTCCAACCCCGTCATCGTCAAATCCACTTTGGTCCCAGATGAAAAGCCCCAGTCAGAGGCGGTGATGACCGCCCAGGCAAAGAGACAGGAGCGCTTGATCAAGAATCGCGCTGCAGCCCTTCTTTCCCGCAAGCGCAAGCGTGAACATATTTCTCTCCTCGAGAGCCATACTGACCTGCTGAAGATGGATAACCAGGATCTCAAGGAGCGTGTATCAGAACTGGAGGAGAACGTCAAGGTCTTGACCGAGGAGCGCGACTCTGCGCGTCAGGAATGCGAGCTCCTCCACCGCAAGATCAACGTTCTCACGCGCCCACACGAGACCCGCATGGACGTGGATCTGGAACGCAACCTTCGCACTACCGACGCCGAGCGTGGACTCAACTCCAAGGCAACCGGCGTTGTCTTTATGGTAAGGACCCTGCATGCGTGGGTGACTCTTTCATCTATTGCGAACAGTCACCCCCTCTCTGCGCATTTGTACTGGGGCATCAGCTACTTTACCCACCCTCTGTTCTTAATCGCAATTGATCGATTGATTCGATGACCTGATACGGAGCGATACTAATACTGAGCCCATTATGCTCTGGATCCACTTCTGATATGTAATACAATAGATCATCCTCTTCTCGTTTGCATTGTTCAACTTGCCCAGCGGAAAGCTTGAGACACTTATGGTTGGCGGGTCATTGGATCGTCCCCGCATCGGATCAAAGTAAGCAGTAGCAACTTGCAAGGAGCGAACATGGCTTGTCGTATTGTTGGCGTACTCGTGCTCTTGCTCTTAGACCTTAGGTTTCTAACACATGGTTTCCTTTCATCATATAGCATTGTTGGCAGGGCTCTCGATTCATATGCCAAGAACCCAACTATTTCCGGACAGGTGCGCGACCCTTCGACAATTAGGCGGGACTTGAACATGACTGACCTGGTCGTCTTCTCCGACAACCGCGCCCTCCAGACCTGGTTGGGACACCAGCAAGTGACCGTCAAGCAGGCCACCACAGCCAACACTGCCACAACCGAGCCCATCGCTGCCGTCGTTGTCGGTGCCTCGATGGACAAGGGCTCTGCTCTCCCCGAGATCGTCGCTGCCTCGTCTGTGTCAGATGAGGACACTAAGAGCGTCGGCTTTGTGGCTCAGACTCGCCCTCAGTCTGCTTGGGCCCACCAGGTTCCACAGGATGAGCCCGACCGTGATGCCTGGCTCTACTGCAGCAACCTGTTGTACTCTCTCCGTACCTCGAGCGTGACCAAGGCTGCTGGTTCAGCCCAGTCAACCAATGGTGAAATTCGTCGTCCTCGTCTGTCTCTTCTCTCTCCTCTTGATGGCGTCGCTGGATCCTCGAACACGGAAAAGAGCGAACTGCCTCCATGGATGCCCAACCCTAACGGACCTTCGGAAAACGCTTCAGAGCAGCTCTACCTTCGTCTTGATGTCGAGATCACCTCTTCGCGAGTTGTCAGTGGCAAGGGCTTGAACGAACACGATCAATTAATCCGCTTCCCCTTGATGCCCGCCGGCGTTTTTGACAACACGACCACCAGCCTCGCCCCCGCTCAACCACCCACCGCCACCCCCGCCGTCGGTGCTGGTACCGGAGGCAAAGCATCTGGAATTCGCCAGGGCAGGACCAGCCGTTTGAACGCTCAGGGTGGTATTACGAAGACTCGCCGCTCTTATGACAGCAGGGAGCAGTTCCTCAAGGCTGCCCAGGCCGCTACTCGAGCTGCCGCTGCCGCCTCTGACGCATCGATGCCCCTGGCACCGATCAAGGAGGAGCCCATGGAAGTCTTCATCAAGGAAGAACCCATGGACTGAGAGGCCCTGCCCTCTCTGCCTGTTTGCCCGGAAGATAAAAACACCCCCTCTCCATGCTTTCCGTCGCTTCCCCTCCACACTTTACTGGTTGGGTAGTGGTGGTTAGCGTGGAACCCAAAACATCATGAAAAAAAGAGTACGGGCGAACGAAACATACCTTGAGCACACACCCCTGGGAGGTCAGGACGGCGGCACTTTGGCAATGCATCCCCTCTTCCCCCACCCTTACAAAAACCACATTTATGATAGCTTGCACTTTTCTTTTGTTCTTTCAAAATATATACATGGTTCGATACCCAAATCCACATCTCTATGCAGTTGTACTAAGGTGTTTATGTTGATGAAAAAATTGGAAAACTGAATACTGCTTGTTGGTCGAGCGAGAGCAGCAACAGAGAGTTTTATTCATACTCTCTTGGTTGTCTCTCCTTCTTTCGTCCTTCGATCCCCTGACAACCACAAACAACAACCCCTTTGCCAACATGCCTCTTGGAACCTCGATCTTGATGTGATACTTTTCGTCTTCTTCCTCTCTAACCTTTCCTCTTTCTGCATCTGTCGTCTTCTCTCTTTCTCTCCCTCCTTCTCGCTTTGGTTTTCTTGTTCTTTTTACGTTCTCCGTTTGAGTGTCGTTCTTTATTCTTTTTGTTTTCTTTACCGAAAATAGACAAGTGCAAGCAGCATACTCCAAAGTTTTGGCGATTGCAGGAAACCTTTGCATTCACTTTTACTCAAACCCCTCCTTCTTTTATCGCGCACTCTTCTTCCTTTTTCTGATCTATCAAGCATATTCTTTCACAGGATGTCTACACCAAAGTATTCGTCTCTCCTTCCACTGCCTTCCGAAATAGTTTGTTGATCCATAAGGATAAAAAAAGAAATGATTGCCAAAGCAGAAAAAAATCTGTACACAAAACAGTCGGGTCCCCCCATTGTTTGCGTGGGAGCCGGCCTTTTTGAGGAATATTTTTGAAGGGTAAGGGTAGCTTGGAATGGATCGACAGAATACAAAAGAGATCGGATCCAATATGAGATAGTCTTCTCGACAACAACAACCCTTTGCCCCTCGCCAAAATCGCTCTTGAAATCTGAAATCCTGAACATACCTGGGACTGCCCCCCGATAATGATATTTTCCTGTGAGTGTTTGACGTTAAATGAAGGGGCGCCATATATATTTTTTATCCCTATACGATAGTGCTGGAGGTCACCTTCTTATTTAACGTGCTGTCGCAGAGACTAGCAACGTCTGGATTGTGTCGTGGAATGTTCAGGCTTTACGACTCCTAGATAGTTGAACCTGGTTTCTTGTGGTACTGATGTTCCTCGATGAAAGATATCGCTGGTGATTTGAAAAAAAATGAAAGAGAGAAGGGAAAGAATGAAGAGAAAATGTGAAAAGGAAGAAAGAAATAAAGAAAGAAAAGTGGCGAAGGGAAGGTATATATACCTGTCCTTCCTGGTGAGTGACAATGCTTTGCCGTCATCTTAAAACGATCATTGCTAAAGTCGTGCATGTCTCGGTGTGTTCATCAACGAAGAAAGAATCAAAAGAAGCCTCCCCTTTGTCTCAACCACGTCCGGTCAATCAAACGCGTCCTCGCCCTGTCTACCAGTCACGTATAGTAACCCTATCTGGTCCTCAGTTATGATCGACACGCTCAGCAGAGTGACAGGGAAACATTCAAATTATATGCGTGTCCTTGTCCTACAAGCTGGAGGAAACTGTGTACCAAAGTTCATCATAGAGAGCAAACTTACACAATTAATATATTTGGTTGTTCATCGCAAGGTAGGCGAACAAAAGCCCAAGAAAGGTCCGACCCCTTTATTCTTCATCAATAACAACCAAAGCATTCCCTCACTCCCGAGTAGCGTAACAGTAACCCATTTCGACCTAGTAAAGTAAGCACTTTGTTTTGAATCATAGCATAACCCTGTCTATTGCACACACAAAGCGTGCGACTTTTTTTTTTTTTTGTTGGCATGGTAGATCTGAATGAAACTGTGAATGAGGAAGGAGGGAGGGAGGGCGATATTTTTTTGTGTGGTCAATGAGGAGAAGGATTATGTGTAAAAAGGATGGCAGTTGGTCGCTTGTATTTTTTTTCTATTGAGCAACATACGTGAATCTGAAACGCAGGCGGAAGGAGAACGAAGAGAACGAGAAAATGTAACAGGAGAACTTGGACGCGTCATGAGTTCCACGACCCAATAACCACACGCCTTTTTTCATATCAGAATTTACATCACAATGTGAACAAAAGATAGAAAGAAACAGATACGGTTCTTTCAATAAACAATACATACAGGAACACTTTCTATGCTCGACAAAATCATTACGAAAAAAGAAAAAAGAAAAAAAAAAAAAGTTGATGTTTTTGTGTTTATCATCAGTTATATTGATTGCCTTCATTACTGTGCTAGGCGCGCCGAGATCCATCCGCTATGACGTGGTTCGTCTAAGTTTTTTCACTTCAACTCTACAGCATTCTTCGTTTCCGCGATGTCAGAATCGCCGTTGGCCTCCTGGTTCCGATCCGGCTGATCCTGAAGCAGGTCAACGTGCTGCATCATCATTGCAGAAATGAAGGCAATGATGGCGAGGCAGCAGGTAATGATCGACATTAGCATCTGGGAATCGGCATAAGCGTCGACTAACTGGCCTTTGGTCACCGGATCCAAGCTTGGGATGTACTTGAGAGGGTCGTTCAAAGCAAGGTGCTTATCGTATGGAGAAGTGATATGCTTTTCAAGGCGCTTGGGCAAGTACTGTGTCCAAACACCTCCAGCCAATGCGCCACCGATGGCATATCCAATCGAGGAGAGAACCTGCTGTGCGCCAATAACTGTAGCCACATCCTTTTTGTCCACAATGCCTGTTGCAGCAACGGTGCTGGCAACGTTGGCAATGCCTGCACCACCGCCGGCAATCGCCTGGGAGATGACAACAAAGGCATCAGAGGAGGTGGGGAGTCGGGCAGGGATCATGAGACCAACACCGAGAACATGAACGGCGATTCCAACCTATGCAATGAAAAATGATGAACACATGGGTGGTTTGAGTATTACGGTTAAGAATAATAATATGCAAGAATACACAGCAATAAAAGTAAAACCCTGGGTGCTTTGTAAACATACCCACACGAACGGACGGCAGGTGTTGTAACGTTTCATCAACAAAGCTGTGATGAGCTGACAGATTGTCCAGACGACAGGATATCCACGCTCAAGAAGATATGCATCACCGAATGACACATTGCGGGAGACAACCAAGTACAGAGCGAGGTACTGGTAGTTCACCGAGGACATGATTGCAAAGACGAGGCCAATAACGAGTGATCCGAATGCAGTACGGTTGCCCCAGATCTTCATCGACATGATGGGTCTGTCCGTGAACTTGGCCTCCCAAATGACCAGTAAGAAAATGGCAACGATGCCCGAACAAATCATGGCAATGATCTTGCCATTTCTCCAGTTACCCTCATACGAGTTGGCAAGAATCATCGGGAGTAGCGTCAAACTCATACCGGCTGTGAGAAGCAGAGCACCAATTGTGTCGAATTCGTGCAACAGCCATCGGACAGAGCGGCGCTCAAATCTCCTAGTCCTGTCACGCAAAGCTTTCCGTTGAAGGCGCCAGAGCGGGACAAGGAGAACTGCTGCACCAATCGCAGAGACGATACCCATGACCAAAAAGGCCCTGCGCCACTTGTCTTCTGGCTCGCCTAGCTTGGGCAGAGTCAGTGGATCTGTGAGGGCCTGGACAATAAAGACACTGGCAATTGAGGGCACGTCCCAGAGGGCGAACATGATGCCACGATCGATCAGATGTGTTGTGTCTAGTAGAGCATGAAGGCTGTTAGAGTACGATCAGCAATATGGGCAACTTACGCTCTGGCGAGGGGAGTGAGGAAGCACATTCTCACCTGCAATCAAGACTTGAGTAAGAACTAGCACACCAGTGCTTCCCATTCCATAAAAGATCTGACCGACAGCAACTTCAACAAATGACTTGGCCGTGCCCTGGATGGTAATACCGGTCAAATAGAACAACATGGCGATCGAAATGGACTCTGCACGACCAATAACATCGGAAAACTTGATAAAAAAGGGAACAAGTGCAGCTCTCAAGATCTGCAGAATGGTCGGCAAGACACTGCCAATCGAAGTGGACACAAGGTAGGCGGTGACATAATTAAGGGCGCTGTAGTACATATTCGACTCGAAAGAGTAGGCGAACGCTTGAAACAGAACTCTACAAAATGATATAATAGAAAAATGAATGTTAAGTTTGTTGATATGGCCAACAAGAAAGGAGGAATAGGGTCTAGTGGAATGTCGCTCGCCAAATGATGTGAAAGCGAGGCAAGCGAGTAAAAATGTCCAGTTACTTACGCAGCACAGATGATCAGGTACTCCTTCTTGGTCCAAAGAGAACGATCCAGGATTTTAGAGTAGGACTCAGCATTGGGGGTGTCGATCCCTCTCTCTGCGAGGGTGAAGTCTTTGTGCTCGTGATCCATTTCTCAAGCAGGTTTGGAAGGCAGGTGGAAGTGGATTAGGATGAGTAAAGAATCTTGTCCGGAATAAAGAAAGGAGGATGGGTGATCCGAGTGCAAAGGGACAGGCAAGACGGAATGTCAAAAGGCGACAATTTTTGCAAGAAAGAAAACCTCTTTTATATGTGAGGTCTAGCCAAGGCAAAGCTCTACTTGCGGGGATCTGATAAGCTAAAAGACCGGCGTGTCGCTATCAGATGAAATACGGTGATCCACAGGGGTCCTCTGGTCCACCAGAAAAGATGGGTCTCTTTGTTTGTTTGAACACAGTACAGTGCTAACAGTGGTCCAGATGGAAGCGTTGGAAGATTCTATGACTGAACGCGGCGTGTCTCCCTTAACCCCGCCACATGATGAGTGTTTGTATTTAGGGTTCATCAGACGCTAGCCAGACTTGGGTAATGAGCATGCATATGCATTGAGCAACTTGAACGACTTATTAGCCAGATTGAGGAAACTGGTTGCCTAGTGAGAAATCAGATAGCTCATTAAGAAGTTGGTCGGTCTCAAATTTCTTCAGAAGACGAGCTACTCTTGGGTTATCCTTGTCATTCTCTTGACTCATATCTTTACTGTGGGGAGTGTGCAGAATGGGTGTGTATGTTTAGTAATGCTTGCTGACTCTACCGCCATCCCGCGTAGGTGGAATTCCCAAACGAGATGCCGTTCACCCCTTGGGCCTTCCTTGTGATTGTTTCAAACCCAAAGGCGAAGTTCCTTGTGCAGCCACTAGCTTGATTTGTCCTGAATATCTGCCATCAATGACAGTTGTCTAGGTGTTAGAAAGATAGTGATAATATCGTGAGCCGATTTGGACTTGGAGGGTCTTGTGCTTGGGGCCATCATTGTTCTTGATTTCAACCCTGTACATTTGTGCAAGTACAATGCTAGACAAGACAGTTGCGAGCTGCAGTACGAGAGATTTGTGCATGAGTGGCGATAGGTCTACAAGGATGATGGAGAAGAAGTGAGGACACTATCAGAATAAAGATATCAACCCCTTCGTTAGGACCACCAACAGAGATGAGTTGCTTTGGAGCGCGAGTTGAGATTTCGATGGTGAAAGGAGCCCATATATAGATACGTTAGAGCTCACGAGTGGTTAATATTTAGGTTATACAAAGCTGGGGATAGTCCGCTACAAAGTCCATGATTGAGTTCACAGCACATGGTAAGATTGAGCGGAATGAAGTTGAGTTCAACGTTTAAATTGACAAGGACGCGTGTAGACTGAGACAAGATGAGACTGCTTTTAATCCCTTTGACACGCACGCAAACGCGTTTTTATCAATGACAAATGATCAATGATATGACAGCAAATCGTGGTCACTCACCAGGAAGGCGAGGTGTAATACCCCCTCCCTCCTCCCCTTACTAGCCGCACACATACTTCTCTTTCTTCTTTCTATCCTACTATGCCAAGTCTCCTACCCTCCACTCCCATTAGCATATCTAGTCGAGTCGTCATGGGGGAGGCATAATCACCACCAACGCCTGCCCACTCTCATACATGACCAACTCCCATGCCTTCCAAGCAACGAGTTCGGAACAACGGAAGACAGAGATGAAACTCACGAAGCGACGAGCAGACGAACACCATCGAGGGCATGAGGAACGAAATACTAAAGAACATGTCTATTAATAAAGAAAAGCTACTATGAACAAGGAAGCTGACTATGGTTTGGTATTTGTAATGTGGTGATGATTGCTTCTAGTCACTACAACGAACCTGGGTTGATTTTCATTGTTGATCCGTCCGTGCTTGCACTGTCCAATTAGTCCGTGCACCTATTTTCTCCATCAAGCGCGACTATCGTCTTTTCTCCAGACACTCATCCTTGCCTTCTGCGCATTGATTAAAAAAAAGTCGCGTCGACTGGAAGCAGAAACATCATGCAGTCAAGATAGGAATAAATGGAAGCAGGATACTATGCAAGATTATCCGAAACGTCGGCTCACCTCCATTTCCTTTATCCTAGTGCACAGGCTGTACGCTTGGTCTGCGCTTGAACAAAAGTAGAGCAAAGTGCCTGACAGAAGAACATATGATCCTGGATATCGACCCAGTAGTGGACTCTTGTCACGGCGGCCGGTTTTCGCTCTCCTGATTATGTATGCACCCGACAGCACACATATATGCGAGGTCTCGGCGGGAAAGGTAACCAACCGGATTTCGGACATACTGAGGAGGTGGCAGCAAAAAAGTGTTAACTCAGCCATGAAACAGTTATCTCCCCCCCCCCCCCCCCATGCAAAGAAAAAGGATGCAAAAGATAACGACATTATGATTCGGCTTGTCTGCATAACGCTAGGAATGTTGTCGTTTAGGAACGTCACTTCTTCGTGGCTTTTCAAGAACCACCCCGGCGGAGCCAGAAAGTCAATCGGGTGATCCCCAGTAACGACGTTCTCATCCCTCGAGAGACGGGCCGGGCAATGAAACAAATGGCAACCGAGGATATGCTTGGCGAGCAAACAAAAGACGAAGAGAAAAAATGGATCGAGAGCTGCTATACGCTCATGCTTGTTTGTCATTTTCAAGTGAGAACGGAAGGAGGGACGAGGGAATTTGCTGCTATTGCGTCAATTAGACTGACCCACTCAAACATACACCAGAGCAGGCATATACTAACATTTATTTCGTATTGCATCGCATAGATTCCCTTGAGCATCGCATAACACTAATGTCATTACATGGCTTGTTGTTACATTTGTTATCATTTCGAAGATCCTTTTTATGAGCTGTGAATCACAAACAACAGGTGTTGAGGAATGTGCTTATTGCTTGGCTGATGAGGTACGAGGGACAAAACGGGGTTGATGTAAAACGGACGCCATGCAAGTCTGCCGTTATTTTCTTGCAGCAAGGAATATCTGTGACTTTCATTGCCGCGCCCAATCCTTATGGGAAGTTGAGAGCTCCTCCCTTCATTCAGCTCATGCGCAATTTGACTTAGAGGATCCCGAAGTGTTGTTAATAGAGAGCGCAATTCTTAAGATTATTAAGGATGTGCACGAAAAAAAGCCAGGATATGATGAATAAATGAAGAAAGCATGAGCACATTGAGTGGAGCGAGCGAGTAACTTTTGAGTATGCTGCGCATGCCTTCAAACTCTGACCCTGGCTCATATTGGTCCTTTTTGGCTCACTCTCTTGCCTTGTCTTGCTCAAAAGGCTGTTCTCCACGTATAACGATCGTGTGCCTATCTCTTTTCACCTTCTCAAAGGCGTGTGCTCGATATCTGAGCATGGACGACGTGCGCATTGTTCAAGTTTCTCCTTGAAATCTTTTTGTGTCCACGTACGTCTAATCCACTCATGGGGAGGCATAAATCCATGAACAAAGGAAAAGGAGCTCACTGGTCCCTCCCAGACAACAAACGACTCCGTACTTGTACACTCATGTCCACACAGCAAGAGAAAAAGAAACGGAGGGGATACTTCAGAATGAGCCAGCCAGCCGACTGGCCGGTCGGTCAGTCCCACCTCGGGGGAGAAATAACGAAGATTTTAGAACAATGTATCAAACGGCTGCCTTGTGAGGTTCAATAAGGGCAACGAAATAAAAGTTTAGAGTAAAAGGGCTCGCGCAATGGTTGTGTGTGAGTGTTGTGGGTGTGATGAACGTTCTCCTCTGACGTAAAAAAAAGACATAAAAAATGCGACGAACAACACCACTACTCTTTGGATCCACTCTGCTCTTCCTCAGGTTCCTTCAATTGAGTGGAAAGAGAAGTATAAACGAAATACACGCTGATTGTTGCACCCTTGCTTCTCGTATGAATAACACAAGTTGATATTCTTGTTTATTTGTTTGTACCTCGCCTTGGCTTCTTTTTGTCAACGGATCGTAAATGGAGACTATTGAATGAGTCGAAGGATCCTTTCCAAGAATTAACCGACGAAAAAGAAATAAGAACAGATTGGCAGTGAATAGAAGAGAGGAAGTATATGGAAACGCGCTTCTTTTCTTAGCGATAGTTTCTTCGGGTCCTATGTTTCGTTCTCTTGTCAATTCTATTTAATCGTTGGCGTTCCCCTTTTTTTTCCTTCTCTCTTCTCTTCCTTTTTTTCTTTCTTTTTTCTTTTCTTTCTTTTCTTTCTTCTCTTTCTGTATCAGGGACATTCACCTCTTGCCCATCCGTTTCTCGCTCTTTTATACCCATTTACATTACTTCACACCTAATACTCACTTAATCCTAATATCCCCATCTTTACTGCACACACACGCACCCTTCCCCTACGTGCTCTCCTTTTTGTGTCCTACCACTACTGACGATCACATTCCACCCTCAACAGTTGCTCACTATTGCGATTGCCATTTTTTTAAACGAACCCTCCCTTGACCCGAAACCACACGGTTCTTTTGCTCAACCTTGCATCGCAACGGGAACACGGGACATTATCTCCAATCCATTCTGTTTCGCAAAACTCGCCAATGTAAGTCCAACAGCAACAGACCTCCTCCCCACTCCCCCCTCTGAAATTTGCTATGCAGTCTCTTTTTCCTTCCATTTCTCTCCCCATCCTGTTCAACCCAAAAAAAGGTATACTCCAGGGATTCATTCGTATACTGTATACTCTGTCTGTTCATGTAGTGCAGAGAGACAGCGCGTTAAAGAGTGGCATGGGTTGAAAACATACACCTGTGTGAGAGTAACCGTTTTTTAAGGTTTTTGTCCTTGTCACAGCTGCTTCTCTCTCGCAAGTGCTTTGATGAGTGCGATTGAGCCAGGCTAGGTGTTGGCAATGATGGAATTCCACGATAGCGTTTGAACTGGTGTTGTGCTTGTACTTCTGGTACTAGCTCTCTATATTTTCCTCTATTCTGTAGCAATACTTCTTTGTCAATACCCCTCTCCCTTCGCCATCAATATCATTATGTTCGTTTGTCGTCTTTTACCCCTACACGGTGCACGGAAACATGACAAAAAAAGCAAAAGAAGGCATTCTCCAGCCACTCTTCTTCTGTATTTATCCTTGTACCTTCATTCTCTTTCCTACTTTACACCACGTTTGTTGATCTCCTTTTCTACCTTTGGTCATTTGTTTTGCTGGAGAAAACAAAAACAGAGAGCCCATTCTCCTTGGGGGCGACGTCAGGTTCGGTGGCTGAGCCTGTAGTGGTGCCATCGTTTTCCAGGACCTCCTCCAATCGTGTGACCAGGTCCTTCTTTCGCGTGTGTGTTTGGTATTTTTCGCGTAATCCGTTCTCTCTTACCCACAAGTGCCAATTTGTGCGCCGAAAGTACGAGATGTGTCTACATCCTTACTCCTCTCTCACTTATTTTGGATTGTCAGAGAGGAAAGTAGGAGGGGCATGGAATGGAGTAGTGGTAGAAAACGGGAAAGAGAACGAAGAAACGAATCAAAAAAATTAAAGGAGAGGGCTAAAGGAGATACATACGAACACAAAAGGGGACATCATCCAATGCTTTGAAGCCTAGATCCTTTTCTGTTTCTTTTCTATCGTTATGAGAGACGGGCATTTCTTCAGGACTTTTCCAGTCTTGAGAATAAAAACATGCATTCCCCGTTTTTACTTGCCTCCCCACTTCGTCCTCTTCTTTCTCTGTCTCTCTTGGTTTGTTATCTCGCTTGCCTAGTCCATCTTTCTCTCTTCCATAATTCGTTGTTCATGTTGTTAAAAGTGGGAGAGCGTGTGTCCTGGTTATTCTTTTCTTTCCCCCGCCTTATAATATATTCTTATATGCTGGAAGTGATGCATGCATACATGTGCGCTTCTGCCCTTTTGACATCCAAGAGGGGCAAAGAAGCTAACTGATGCAATGAGAGGTACATAGCAAGCTTGATCCAAGCACCTTTTCACTCCACCCCTCACACTTTCTTCTCTGCGGCCTCCTTCCCTGTTTCTGTATTATCGCGCCATATTTTTTCGAAGATCGACAGCCTTGAGGGTTATATTCAGTTAATTGGTTGCGTAGAGCATAGCCTTCACCTAGGTAGACTGGAGTGGTTAGATACTTAACTCAAAGAGCAATTGGCATATCCCCACCATCCCCTGCCCTCACACGTACGGTGTCGTTGTTGCTTGTTTTGTAAGGATAGATCATTCATCCGCAAAAAAAACCGGTAAACCAAGATTTGGAAGAGTGTGAACGAATTGAACGATGTAAAAGGGGTGTAAATAGAAAAGGGAAGGGTCCATACATTGCGTAGAGTGACAGTTATGTTTTTCGCGAAGAGGGCTTGACCGCCTGCTTTAACGATTGTTGAGAAGTGGAACGTGTAGTAAGGAAGAAAAGTCCACAGAAAGCGCTGTAACTTTCCTCGGATAAGCAACCCAAGTGTCAGGCTTTGAGGGCTGGAACACGCAACTTTGTGTTTTGTTTTTCTTTGGAGTTAGTAGCGGGTTGGTGAAGATGATATCCAGATCTCCTTTTGATCTTTACTTCTCGTTCTTCTTCTCCTCGAGAGATGAGAGGGAGAGGGAGAGGGAGAGGGAGAGGAATTGTCCTGCCCTTCTCTCTTTCCCTCGTATCTCTTCTCTCGCCTTTTCATCTGCTGTTCTGTTACGTTCAAACTCAAACTATCCCTAGTCTCTACTACGAGCATGAGCTCTTTTTTTGTGCGGTCGTGCTTGTTGATCACACGTGCACGGGTACAAGGTTAAATGCGAGTTCGCGAACTAGAAGAGGAGTGGGAATGGCCTGTGCTGTGGGTGTAGATGGGCACAGCTCATTGCACTGATTGCAGATTCATTCACCTCCTTCGAGTTAGGTCATTACTGTGAACTATCGGCGGTTTGAAGAGCGGATCGAATCTATTTTTTTTTGCGAGAGTGTGTCAATGAGGTCATGTTCTTGCGGGTGAGAAAAAGGGAGAGGGAGGGAAGGCAGGGACAGATGGATAGAAAAGACACGGGTAAAAATGAGAAAAGGCGAGCACAGGACAGGACAGGGATGGAGGACGGAGACAGGGAGAGTGCAAAAAGGGAGGAGGGGCGAGAACGAGAAAGTAGATGAAGTGATGATGTATGTGTGTATTTATTTCGCACTATATCAATTCGGATGAAGTACAAAAGCAACCCTTTTGGCACCCCTCCCCTTGGCCATCTCTTCGCTTTGCCTTTCTCTTTCTTTTCCTTTCATTCTCTATTGCAAATAGATATTTTCCTTATTCTCATCTCTCGCTACACCTACCCATCCTCTCACATCACCACGCGTACTTGAGACAGCCATCGCCCTGATCTAATCAACCTTATTTTTCTGTACGCGGTCTCACCTTTCTTTGTCTCAACCATGTACCAGTTCTGTTCATTTCATTCGTCAAAAGACCAAAACAAAAAAAAAGATGGAGAGAATGGCTACTCCAAATAGACATCTCGTCATTTGCAAAGGATGTACAGAAACGACGACTATTTGTCAGTCTTCTAGTAATAACCCGAACGCCTTTCTCTCCCCTTATTTCTCTTTCCTTTCCTGTCGTCTTTTTTAACATAGCAAATAGCCCGCGAACACAAAGGACGACCACGACCACGACCGCGCCTTTTTTATTTCCTTGTTCTCGTTCCTGTCTCCTGGTTATCCATCTCTCTTAATTTTCTTTCCCTCTCGCACTTTACCACTCCCTTTTTCTCCATCCTCCTCCTCTTTCTCCCTCATTCCTCCTCATATCACACAGAAAACACACAGACTGACATCCATTTCCTCAGTTTAGTCTGCCCTGTTCATCTGTTCAACCAGTCGAATCGCCCAACTCCAACAAACAAAAAGTATCGCCACTTTTTTCAACCGACCACTCATCCGGCCATACTTTTTTCTTTATCTCTCTTCTCTTCCATTACTTTTCATTTCTTCATCATCGCATTGTTCTTGCCCCTCCCTCCTCTCATCCCACAACCCTTTTCGATTTTACAGACAAAAACTCAAGATCACTCTTCTCGCCTCGAAAAACAGTGCTCGACAAACCCGAAACCTACAACAACAACAAGAACTAAAACAAACAAAAGGAACGCAATAACCTTTCTCTCCTCCACCTCCTCCCTTCATCCACTTTCCTCGCTGCACCACAACAAAGTAAAAATGGGCAAGTTAACCAACCTGCTTAAGAAGAAGAAGTCCAAAGGCGATGACCTAAGCGGCCAGCTCACAGTCGGGTCAACCATGACTAGCTCTTCAGCGTCGTTCGAAACCAGTGGCGTCCCAGCAGCACCGTTTGCCTCTGTTCCTGTAGTCACTCCACTATCACTGAGTATACCAACCACGGGGATGACGACCACAACCGAACTACGATCGCCGTTCTCGTTGATGGACGATATCATGGATGAGCTCGCCGGTACTACACCCGACACTCCTCAGCCCTCACATTCGAGCGACCTCAGCGGTATGTTGCCTATTTTTTTCGGAAAAGGGGTTGGTTCTTGTTAATTATTCCGGTGTGAATGTGTATGATGTGGAGGGAAGGAGACAAAGGATTGAGGGGCTGAGAGACATGCGTGGCACTCGAACCGACAACAAAAAAAAGTTGTTCTCCTCTCTGAGCCCAACGTCCATTCGCGCATAAGGCACGCGTGGAGTTGTTGCTTGCCTTTTTTGCTACATTATCCGAGGTTCTGTGTCTATCCGTACACCCCCATCTTTTATTTTTTATTGTCCAGCTCGTCCATCGGCATTTCCTTACATTCCTTTTTTTTGCACATCCTGTTGTTTATTTCCCTGTGAGGGCTTGTTTACCTTGCTGGCAATGCATTCAGATTTCCAGCTTGGACAAGGTTCAGGACCAACCTTTGCTGGACACCATGAAGAGGCATACAGTTATCCTCTCACTTTCTCTGTTCATACTTCTCCCCTTTCTACACGTTCATTCCTCTCCCTCCATTCACTCTCTCTCACTCTCCTCGTCCCTTCTCCTTTACCATGTCCATTTTACTCCGCTGCCATTACACATATGTACCACACAACCACGCATACACATATACACATACAGAACCACAAACGAGGGCGGTTGCTTTCTGCATCTAACAACCTAGAAACAAGCCCTCATTTGACATTTCGCCCATTCCTTTCCCTCTCTCCGTCCCCGCCTCCCTTTCCAATATGACTTGTGCATCCATATCTATCTCTTTTTCCTTCTCATTCCCACTCGCTATCTCTATCTCCCTCCATGCCTGAATGCATACTTTTTTTTCTTTGGCCCGCCATCCATTCATCCCTTCCCCCTTGCCCCTTCTCCTTCTCCTTGTCCCTTCTCACCTCCTTCCCCACCCCCGTCATTTTTTCGCACTGAATACGTTCGCTCGCCCACTTTTTTGTGTGTGGTATATGTATACGTGTGTGCAGCACCCATATCCCCGACACTATATCTACCAAACGATAAAAACCACCAACGAAAGAAAAACCACCAACAAAAAAACCTTTTTCCTTCTCCCTTCTCTGTCTCTTTCTCCTTCCATCTAACCCTCTTTCCCCTTCTTATACCCTCCCTCTCTCTTCCCATGCCTCCCTCTTTTCTTACGAGATAGACTTAGGTCTCGCGTTCGAACTCTCCCGCCAGCTGGATATCAACGCATCAGAAGCGAAAACTAGCACGGGGCGCCCTGGGAACGGAGTCCAAAAGGTCGTTGGCAAGCTGGAGCAGAATAGAGCGTTTAAGGACAATGCCTTCCTGCAGCAGGCGCGGTCTGGCGCTGGCGTTGGCGGAGGTTTGATGCCACCTACTCCGCCAGTATCGGGGGGTGCCCCTTTTCGGTCGACATTCAACAATAGTTCGACAGCGCACGGGAATCAACAACCGACAACTACCACTACTGCTGCTGCTACTGGGACGACGACGACGAACACCAACGCACCATCATATTTGCGGAGTCGATTCCAAACCACCAAGGAGGCCGAGGAAGAAGAGAAGGCACAAGCAGCAGCCAGACTGCGAGAGGCGTCCAGGAAGGCGAATGCTCAGTTACCGAGTGACGACGAAGGGAGTGATGTCTCCTCCGAGGAGGATTCTGATGATGAGCAGCGTGGGTTTAAGAAGCAGCAGCGGCTTTTGGCACAGCAACAGCATCAGCATCAGTTGTTTTTGCAGCAGCAGGCGATTTTGCAGAATGAGCTTGCGGGGGTCAAGGGTGGTGAGATGGGGGATGGAGAGGTGGAAGTGAAACCGGTTGTGATTAATCATGAGGCGGTGATTGATAGGATGAAGGGTCGCCATCGGGCGCTGTTGCAGGGCGCTCATCATCATGCTGCCAGGGAGGAGAATTACGAAGATTACAGGGACGAGTATGCGATGCAGCAGCAAGGGATGGGCAGCAGTGGTGGTGGTGGCGCGGCGATGGCGTATGGTATGCAGTATGGCAGTATGGATCCTTCGATGATGTATGCTGACGACTATCAACTTCAGCAGCAGCAGCAGCAACAGTTGTATTATCCTCAGGGCGGTATCCATGGTCATCCACACGCCAATGCGGCTTACAACCACCCCTCGGTCATGAACGGGATGGCCCCCGGGTACGGTTACGCCCACCCTCCTGCAACTATGCCTTCTTACGCCTCAGGAATGCAGATGCCTATGTACCACCATAACCAGTACTTTCAGGGAGGTGGGGGTCGAGGAACGCCGACGCCGGTGATGTCGCATCATATTATGCAGCAACAGCAGTTCCAGCAGGGGGGTTGGTCCAACTCTGTGGTCTCAGATGGGTCGTCCCTTCCGAACTCGTCTCGTCGCGGATCGATCCAGCATAGCGTTGTTTCTTCTGCTCGCGTTTCTGAGGATTCTTGGAACGAGGCTTCTCAACAGCTTCAACAACAGCACCATCATCATCAGCTCCAGCGTTCCATGTCTGCACAGTCGACACAGAAGACGGCGGATAGCGATAGTGGATACTCGGGTGTGGCTTCGGACCAAGGAAAGCATACCTCATTTGATGACTCGTTGGAGGATATCCAGACGACTGTTGGGTCCGAGTATGAAAAGTCGTCGTCGACGGGCACCAAGAGTAAGGTGGACGATGTTGCAAAGGTGATTGCTGTCCTGTCGATCTCTCAAGCTGCCGCTGCCGAGAAGGACAGCGATGGTGACGATGAGGATGATCAGAGCTCTGACGATGACAAGTCTGAAGGATCGGATTCGGATTCAGAACGGGATGAGGACCCAGAGTCGTTGAAGGGCAGCACAATAATCGACTCGATCCGCCACAGTCATAGTCAGTTCAAGGGCGGGATTACTACCGGATTCTCGTCATCTCCGTCGGCAGCTGCCAGCAACAATGGTAGCAACGAGAATGAGAACGATAACGATATCGATTCTTCGGACGATGATGATCAGCCGATTATCTTGAGCAGGCACAACAGTGCGCGAGGAAACTTCCTGCCTGCCGCTGCCGCTGCCGCTAGCGCAGGTATCAGGATCTCCGCCGAGGAGGCTGTGATGATGTCCGGCCCCCAGGTCATGCAGCAAGTACCAGTGCCGACGAGTAATGGCCAGATGCAGTACATGTCCGCGATGAACATGTACCAGCAACAGCCCATGCACGTATCCTACATGCCACCTCAACAACAACAATCCCAACCGCAACAACAAGCATACATCTCCATGGGATATCAGTTCCCAGGCCCACAACCAGGACCCATGGTCCCCCACCACCAACACTCTTACTCTGTCGACCGCGCCATGCCACCCCCATCGATGGTTTCGCAAGGCCCCGTCGCCCGTCGTGTCAACCCCGCCAGCGCCTCCAAGGGTCATACGAGCACAGGCTCCTCTGGTTCCGCGATCCAGTCACAGTACCCAATCCCAGCCACCACGCTCCTCCACCCTGGCCCCCGTCGGTCCCAATCAGTCCGTGCCCGTCCTCAGGCCACGAGCCCCATCAACTCCAACACGAACCCTGCTGCAGCGCAGGGTAACGGCCAAGCTGGGCGCGGAAGGAGTAGTATCGATTTCGTACGTCTCCCAAATAACGGGTACCAAAGTATGATCAGCGGCCCCATCAACGGCCCCGACTTCACCTCTTCCGGTAACTGTACAGGACCCTATACCCGCGGGTATACCGAACCCCTCTCCTCACCTCCACTACAACTCCAGCAACATCAACAACAGGCACTACCCCCACATCTGCAACAACACCACCAACAGATGGAAAAGCAGCAATTGCAGCAGGGGTACTTTATGAGCGGTCCGATGCCTAGTCAATACGGGTACATGATGCAAACCGGCGTCGGCGTCGGTGTGGGTATGGGTGTCGGTGTGGGGGGAGATCCATACTCGGCACATCCTCATCAGCAACAGATCCTTCAAGCCGGCCGGCGGTGAGAGATCCATACCCCTCTCTAACCATCATCCGCCCACTCACGCACAAAAAAAAAGAGCCCAGTGGTCATTTTGTTATCTATTCCTTACTTTAATTAATTCCCCAAGAGGGTGCCAAATAAACAACCCATACCATCCTTCCTTCCTCACATTTTCTCAACCAAAGAAAGGTGCCATCCAAATATATACTGCAGTGGAGAGGGGGGCGCTAAAGAGCGCAGTATACGAGAACATCACCCCTCCGACGCGAGTCGTCATGAAAATGCGAATTAAAGAATCGCGCGCACTATTGTCATCATACAAAAAAAGGCGTTATTAAATCAAGCGGAGATAAAACACATGTTCGCGATTCCCTAACCTCCAATGCGCATAAAAAAGTACAGGTTCACATATACGTCGCCTGCAATCTGCGAAAAGGTAAAAGAGGGAAGCGCATATCTTACCTCATGGTATCCTTGGCTATCAAGCCAAACGCGCATATCGGGCGTCGTGTTGATCAAGTCTTCAAAGAAGACGAGGTGACTCTCCTTGGGGTTTGTTGTAGGTGAGCGGTTCTTGAATAGGTTGTCCATAAATGCGACTGGGTCCTCGTAAAAGATGTCAGATTCGTCCTTGTACGTTGTTGGGTCAACATCCCTATATGTTGTGAACATGCCGATTTGATATCATGTTAGTGACCTGGCGACAGCAGTGCCCACTGCTTCCTGAAATATAAAAATGGACCAGCACATCCAAAGATTACGTACCCGAGAGGTGGGCTGCAGGTGATGAACCACATGGGCAAGGGTTTAGCATCACGAAGGTGGATACTGCTGTACCACGGCGTAGAATGGCAAGGCATAATGAACCCAAACGACAGATCCTGTCCTTGACCGCCTGATTTCCGTGAAGTTTCCCGAACCCAATCCATTACATCAACGACCCCACGCTGATGTACCAACGTCGTGTACCAGGCCATGACGCCATTTACAACCAAAAGCGCTGCTACAATCGCGATCCTCGACTTTGACTTCTTCCAGTCCCTACTCGACAGGAACAGCCTTTGCATGGTGTCAGCGGCAAAGGGCAGAAGCGGGTACAAGATTGGATACAAAAAGCGCCATTCCTTGTGCTGGAGGGCCGAGTAGACAAAGACAACCCAGAGTGATAGGTAGAGAACTTGTCGTTTGAGGGTGGCGTTGAGTCCTGTGCTGGCCTGGAAGGCATGGTAAGTTCCGATGAGGACAAGGGGGATGTATATTCCAAAGAGGATAGGGAGGCCCTGGGAGAGGTACCAGTGCCAGGGTGAGGAGCCGTAGAAGAGTGAGATACCCTCGAGGACGTTAACGCGGAGGAAGTTGATTGGTGTCCAGACCCATTCGTTGTAGAGCAAGGTCTTGTCCAGCACCGCTGACGCCACAATTGCTCCGCCTCTATGTTGATCGCAAATGTTATGCCCAAGTGGTTAGTAAAAGTGGCAAAGGTTTACCAAAACTTCCAGTATGACCAAAAGTGGGACCTCACCCAATAACGGTGACGTTGAGGCCGGTGTAGATGACACTAGCCCAGCGGCCTTGACACACTAGTCCCAAGATGAACCAACCACCCAGGAAGAGCCACAAGATAGCTGCAGTAGGACGAAAGATACACGTCAAGGAAGCGATGAAAAGCGACAGCTTCAAGTTTCCTTGTGTCTTCCTTGAGGGCGATCCAATGAAGGGCCAGTAATAGAGGGCGATGATGGTTAACGACGCTTCCATTGAGTTGGCGAGGGTCCTGGTCGAGCAGAAAAGGTTCCACCAGCTGGCTACCGTCAAGAACAACTATCGATCGAAACAGTGGCCGTTATGAGTACTTTGGACTGGAGTCAAGCAACCAAAAAAAATTGGGAATTAATTGAAACAGGGGCTTACAGTCCAGTTGGCAGTCAATTGGTTCTCAAAGAGGCGATCCGCGAACCGATACGCGTAAAAGTCGCCCAGGGCAGCAAACAGTGCCTGGAGGAGCCTCGGTGCATAGATCTATCATCGACATTCATAAAGCGATACGTGGTATTAGCATGTGTCTTCCTAGACATAGTACTGTACTTGTCAAGTATTTGACACGTTCACAAACAGAGGAAGATGGTTCAGAAGGACAGAATTAGCGCGTACAAATTAAACTCGTTTATGTACGTACAAAAAGAGACCCGTCATCAAGACCGAAGAGACTAAGGCCCTTGTAGAGGGCAGCAAAGACGGCGGGGTGAAGGACAGATCGGAGACCTACGAGCCACTCCCATGTCAGGTAGCCATATCCGAAAGTAATATTGTGTCCGACTTCGAGGGCCTGCCAGTATTCGTCTGGGCTGAAGTAGGTGTTGATGAGAGTGGCGTTGATGAGGCGGAAGAGGACTAGGCCAGTGATGACCTTTGAGGTTGACAGCTTGTAGATACTTGAAGTTGCATATCTTGCATCAGTTCCTGGTCCTGGTCCTGGTCCTGATGATGACGACAGTAGCATGTCGAAATGAAAGTAGAAAAAGCAAACGCTGGGCGTGGTGTGTAAATGCTGGTGGAAGAAGGGACGGTCAAATTATTGGCTGGCTGCAACTAAGGGCAGATAGAGTTGTGGCTTAGACGGCTTTGCGCTTCTCTTCTCTCTTCAATTTTTTCAATTTGAGAAGTCATATGCCGCTCGCTTGTTTGAATTGTGTGAGCCTGGGTTGGTTTTTTGTCTTTGTCTTCTTTTCCTCTTTGCCACATCCCACCCTTGCCCTTCCATTGCCATCTTCACCTACTCTCTCTCACACTCACTCTCACTCCCTCTCTTCCATTTTATTACTCTTTGCCTATCCCCTTTCCTTCCTCCTTGTACATACCTTCCTCATCGCACTGCAACGAAAACAAAACACTCAACAATAACAACAACAACGAACAACCGAAAAAAAAGCAGCTGTACACTACACATTCTCTCTTGGCCTGCTTACTCAATTCACTTCACTCTCTACTACACCGTCTTCGCATACACCCTCTCCCGTTCTTTCGCATTCGGTATGTGTTCAGCGCCTTACTCAAACCACCAACAACCACAGGAGGACAAACACACACAAGAGCGTTAACAACAACAGCCTTGTGAATGCAGATTGGAACAGTAGCAAAATCAACTGGCCAAGCAGACCATGGACAACAGGAAGAAAAAACTGCCAGTGAACAAACTGGCAAAAAGCGCATGCAGTGGAGCAGTCTGTGTCTGCTGTGGTTGATTGAGTGAGTGAGAGAGAGAGAGTGAGTGTGTGATCATTGTCCCATGCCTTCACATGCCAACAAAAGAAAAAAAAAAAAAAAAGAGAAGGAAGCGAAGGTGTCTATTTTTGAGGCAGCCTAGCGTCACCCCTTTGACACTTCACATGAGAGGAGAGCAAAGAGGATATTATTCATATTCGACGGCTACCGAACACTCCTCACTTCCTTACCCACTCGCCTTGCCTCTTATGGTACACATCTGAGCGCCTTTTTATTGCCATTTATTACTCTGACTCTCTCACTCAACGTACACAAATGTGTGACCATGGGTACAAAAAGTAGAGACAATAGTAGCAGGAAGAGGCGAAAATAGAGCACAACGCGGAGTCGCCGTCTTCTTTGTCAAAAAGATAACAGCATGATCCAAGACGGGGTGGAGAAGGGATAAACAGATGTGGCTATACATTCTCTTCACATTGGCAATGGATAAAGGGTATCCTCCATAACCACAAAGAGGACCAGAGGCAGACACACAGACGAAAAAAAGAAAAAACAGGGATGCATGATTTCATGTCATGGCGATGGGGATACAGAAAAGAAAAGAAAAGAAAGAAGGGGTGAAAGGGGAACAAGGACAACAAGAAAAAAAAGTGCGTACGCTTATTCAACAGCAACAACGGAGGCAGAAGCATTGGTATATCGCAAAGCAAAGCGGTGGACGATTGTTATTGACATCGACACCATCCATCTCGATTGTCAGGACAGGAATAACTGCACAAGTAGACACAGAGAGACGAACAGGAGAGAGCAACAACTCTTTGTTTTTTCATGCGCTCTCACACCAACGAATGGTTATATCCCGTGCATATGCCTGGCTCCTTCTTGCCACTTGCCGTGTTGTGCACTTGCGTTTGTGTATCTCTCTATGCCTGCCTACGTACGCAACACCTTCACCATTGCCCCTCGCCCCTTCTCACTCTGCGTGTGCACCTTTCTTCGCCCATGACATACACCTACATCGCATCATATGCATCCATTGTAACCCGTTCGCTTATTTGGTTGAATCCTTTGTCTCACCTTGTTGTACGTTTGACGCTTTAGGTTCTAGGCTTGTCCTTTTATCCTTGTTTCCAATCGCTGTGGCCATCTCTTCTAAGGACATAACAAGGGACAATAACGGGACACTGAACAACAACAGTTGGCAGTAGCAGGAAATACCCGCAATCGATCTGGATACCGCTTTATTAGCAGGAACACACAAGGATCGTTTTCACCTGCTATACCGACACAGGCGGCTCTGCAAGCAACAAGCAACAAGGATATCACATCCTATCCGCAGCGGTCTGTCTCTGTCAAACATCGTACAGTGACTCCTCCCCCTCCCCTTCCGACTGATCACCAGTAAGTGCTTTCCGCCAAGAACAACAATTCTGGATGCAAACCCATCACTGTCAAACGAAAAGGCGATACGTACAAAATGTCTCCTTAGTCAGTGGCTTGGACTTTTATATTGATGTGATAAACTAACTCAACCGACCTTTCCTTACCCTCTTCTTCTTTCTTCTCCCAACCTTCCACTTCACCTTCTTCACTCTCATAGGCCTCACTGCAGCATGGAAAATGGACCCTTCTCCAGTCTAAGCTCATCCACCGGCATCCAACAGAGTTCACACCACTACCTACCATTGTTGATGACCAACGGCAAAGCCATGTCAGGATCTGTCTTCTCGCTCATAGGAGCCGACCCTGTTGTCACATCCAGGGAATCAACCCACGGGGTCAACGGGACAAACGGGACAAATGGAATTCGCAAGGATCCTCGCTTCATCCCCTCCTCGCCATCGCCCTCCACAACGACATCGGCTTCTACTGACGCCAAGACTGCCAACACCGTCACCACTACTATGTCTACGACACCGTCTGAGCAAGGAGGACAGCGCTCAACACTATCTCAGCAGGATACTACTATGTCGTCTCCAAAACACAATATACCCACCGACAATACATCGGCAAAATCCGGCTCCACCACCTCAACTACTGTGCTTGCCACGAAACCTGCCTCGTCTGTCACGCCTTCAACACCCAAAGCATCAAGCTCAACAAAAAGCGACGCCTCCAACCCCAAGTCTTCGTTCGCAACAGGCGCAGCAAGAACAGCGGCAGGTACAGCGTCAATATCAGCGCCTACCGATCTTACTGATGGAGCGCTGAGCGATTTTGAAGGGTCCGATTTGTCGGATCTAAGTAGCGCATCGAGTGCCAGCGGGAGCGATCACGACTCTGAAGGCGATAAGGATGACGGCCAAAATGGCGAGGACGGTTCAAGTCTGGATGAGGCTGCAAGCGACGACAGCAAAGTGGACAAGGATCAAGGCGATTCCGGATTAGACGACTCTTCCAACTCGGATGACTCTGACTCTCAGCCTATCTTGGCGTCGAAAAAAAGGACTGTTGCCAAGAAGTCTGCCCGCCCACGGATACAGTCTGACAGCTCTGATGGCGAACAGGATCTAGGAATCTCCAAACGTGGACCAGGTCGGCCACCTAAAGCCAAGAAGCCAGTCAAGTCTAGGAGTCTTCGATCACCATCCTCACCTGCCTCTCCGACATTCGCCTCCCATACCCAAGCCAAGAAGAATGGAGGCGTGCCATCGGAGGGATCTGCCACAAAAGAGTCTGGCTCACAGACCAACAACGAGACCCAAGCACGGAAAAAGACCAAGCAGCCTGACCTTGCCCATATCGACAAGCGCGATCGTTCAGGACGGACGCAGCTCTTCAAGTATACTGCGATGGGCGATCTGGAGGCATGCCGCATGTTGATTGAAGCAGGAGCACAGGTCAACGATCGGGATTATGCGGAATGGACGCCGCTGCACGAGGCCTGCGTCACTGGGCACGACAAGGTTGCCGAGCTCCTGATCCAACACGGCGCGGACGTTAACGCTCGAGGAGGGCATGCAGATACCCCACTTCACGATGCTGCTCAAAATGGACACGTTGATGTCGTCAAGCTGTTGCTGTCGCGCGGGGCTAATGTGTTGGCCAAGAACGCCAAGGGCATCATTCCGATCGATGTGAGTGATGACAAGGAGGTGATGGATCTCCTTCAACGGCGACAAGCTCTTGTCAATATGCTGACGGGGAAGAATCAAGCCGGCCAGACGATGCTCCACCGCGCTTGCAGCTCAGGGTCCTACAACAACGTCACGGACTTGCTCAACCAGGGCGCCGACATTAATGCACAGGACAATGCGCAGTGGACGCCTTTGCACGAGGCTGCTCTTGCAGGTCACACCGAGGTGGTCGAGTTATTATTGTCGAGGGGAGCTCAACCGAACGCCAAGGGACACGGGAACGACACAGCTTTGCACGATGCCTCCCAAAACGAGCACGAGGACGTTGTGAAGATCCTTCTGGAATATGGCGCCGATCCTGATTTCAAGAACTCGAAGGGAGAGAAGCCATGCGATGTTTGCGAGCATGACGGGATCTTGGAGCTGCTCAAGACTGGGGCCAGGAACACCAAGAAGGCTGTCATTCAGGCTGTCGATTCGCCACTTTTTAGATCACCCAGTTCGTCTGTCGTACCCCAACCATCCAAGAGCGGCGCCAACGGATTTCAGTCTCAGTCGTCTACCAAGGGTCAGGATAAATTCAAGAAACATAAAGAGGGCAGCGCAGATGTCAACATGAGCGATGATGGACGGAGCGCCAGCGAGGAACGGCCGACCCAGATGTCCAGAGACGAGCGCAAGATGCAGCAGCTGTTGTCGACGATCCGGATGCAGGAACAGATGGAGGAGAGGAAAAAGGCCAAGAAGAGGCGGCCGAAGCAGGCATCGGAGGATGAAGGTGACGACGAGGAGGATTCGAAGCCACTTCGTTCTCGCTCAAAGGACACCACCCCAACACCACCGTCGACCTGGAAACACTCTCACACTAGCAACAGCAACAACAACCCGAGCAGTAGCAGCATTAATCAGCACGCCAAGTCATCTCAGGGCAGGTCTTTGACGAGAGTTGGTAAGAACGGTTCAAGAACACGCTCAACTCGGTCTGAGGACAGGAACGACTCTGATTCTTGTCCCGATGTGTCGATACATTCCAAGCGATCCTTCCAGAGGTCAACAGGAGATCGGATCCGGATAGACCATCGCTACAAGGACTCGTCTGGTCGGACACAGTTGCATCAATGGGCCGAGGCTGGAGATATCGAGATGGTTGGCAACCTCTTGGAGGGTGGTGCTGAGCGGGATCCCAAGGACCATGACGGATCAACGCCCTTGCACCTGGCCGCCAAGGCAGGCAACACAGAGGTACTTGTCTTGCTTCTCGCCTATGGAAGCAACGTCAATGCACAAGATCAGGAAAAGACAACAGCGCTGCATGAAGCTGTGCGTTGCCACCACCTAGAGGCTGTCAGGCTGTTGTTGCAGAACAATGCCGTTGTGACTCTACGCGACTCGATGAAGCGGACCTGCCTTGACCTGAGTTCTTCCAAGGACTCGGAGATTCGGACACTGTTGAAGACATCTCTGGACCAATCTGAAGCCAAGGCCAAGGAACGGAGCAACAAGCGGCTATCCCAGTCTATAGATTGTAAGATCATTGCCCTCTGTCGACTTAGCCTATGGATAATTGAAGCAAAATGTGATGCATATCTAACACTTTTTTTACACTTTTTTATTCTATCAATGCTTACAGCACGAGGATCTCCGAAGCTCAAGGAACGCAAGACTCACCGTAGCAGTGACAGCGATGAACCTACAAAGGCCAAGAAGCGTAGTTCTGGCAGGCGGGAGGGAGACGAAATGAAGAAGCAGCATGCCAGGAATGGATCTAGCACCGGTCATCAAAAGTCGAGTAGTATGACCGCCATTTCTGTCTCTCACCCTAAGAAGCTGTCCTCCAGCTCCACCGCGCCCACTACGTCGGCGCCCACTCCCACAGCTCCATGGAAAAACAGCTCTGATATGGAAGACGTCGAGACTACGGTGCCTCTCAAGAAGCGACAACCTTCATCCCAACGGTCGATCTCTTCGGGATCTTCGACGCTTCAGCCCACCGAGGAAAAACCTGAGACTCGGACCTCCTCAGGGTCCAGCAAGAAGCGGAGAGAGACCGATCGTCATGGTGATGGATATAGCGGCAAGGTCAAGATCAAGAAGGAGCGCGAGGACGATGCACAGATCTTCAGGTCCCCAGGACTGATGTCAAAACCAGATGAACTTCGGAGAGTTGCGTCCACACCTTCGTTCTCTAAAGACGGTATCAACGGCAAGCAAAGCCGGTACGGATCTGCAAAACCACCGACGTCGTTGTCGACTTCCAGACCCAGTTCAGTATTTGGGATGCCATTGGGATCTTCGGTTGCTTCGATCTCGCCGCCTTTGACCGAGACGTCCACATCGCCACCTCCACCAACATCCTCAGCCTCGCTTGCATCCCAGGATTCAGAGACGCAGCGGAGTCGGAAACGGAGCAGCCAGACCTTTTCCTCGCCGAGTGGCTACCTCAAGTTTCAGGATGATCTGAAGCAAGCCACAGCAACGAAGTCGCAGCATCAACATCAGCGGCAACGGAGCTCTGTATCAGTATCAGCACCGACATCTGGATCTCGCCCTGCAGGAGTCGTCGAAACTTCTTCATTGTCATCCTCAGCAGCGGCAGTGTCGGCTGATGTGGATGTCTCACGGAAAAAGGCCAAGACATCGACCACCGACTCTATTTCAGAGCCTATGAGCAGCAATCAGCCTGCAGCAGCAACATTATTATCTTCTGCACCTTCAACTGGAACGACGAAAACTATCGTACCAGATGCACCAATGACCCAGGCAGTAGCAGCAGGACCCGCTACCAATGCATTAATCTCAACACCACCTCTCAGCAACTCATCGACCAAGGAGCGGGCTTTTAGTGTCGCGGAGGAGCCTGTCAAGAATCTCAAGGTCGAGGAGGCTGTCGATATGGTGGTGAAGGCGGAGAGCCCACCCCCTCCGCCACGGTCTGCTCAGGACGCTCAGCGGTATTTGCCCCTGTACACTGTTCAATTTTCGAACGAGGCCGACCAAGTGGATCCAACAGCATCAGCAATAGCAGGACCAGGACTGAACGACTCTGATCCATCCCAACAGCATTTTTGTGTGGTGGATCGGCAGGTTCAATTGTTGCTTGGGCTGGGGCTGACTGGATCCGGCTCGCTCTACTCTCGGTATCCTCACCTTCACCGACGCCTGGTCACTGCGCGGGAGAAGGATCGTCTCTGGTCACCGCTGTCGTCGATGGTCTCTGATCGATGTGCGGCGGCTGTCAAGCTGAACTACGAGGTGCTGCCGGTGGAGTGCCAGTTCTCGTCATGGAGCACGGCCACGACGGCGATGTCGCGGTTGAAGGAACACGAGAAACAAAAGTTCCTGGGATGCGACCTGTACTTTATTCGGCTGGACGAAGTCACTGAGCTGATTCAACGGGACTTTCCGCAGTTGGACGACAGTATGATGACAATCACGTTGGATATCGGGTACGATGAGGAGTTTGATATGGAGACAGACGCGGATCAGGACTTAGATCTGGATCTGGACAAGGTCAAGATGGAGGACGAGGCCTTGAAGACTGTCAAGGAGGAGGTTGTCGAGGAGACTGTCCACTTGTCGACCTCGTCGTCGTCGTCAATGTCAACCACCACGTCTCTGACTTCGCTGGCTACCTCTGTGTCGTCCTCGTCACTTTCACACCTAGCTTCACAAGGAGAAAGTCTCTCAGCTGCTACGAGTACCTCGTCTGGCGCGAGTGGGTTCATCCACAAGCTGAGACGTGTCCCAGCCAAGATGGCGACCAAGGCCATGTTCAAGGGCCTCCAGCAGCAATACCATCGACACCCTTAGATCCCTCTCTTTTCCTTTCCGCGCGCTCGTTTTCTCTTCGAACAGACGTTCGGAAAATAAAAACACGAAAAAAAGATTGGAGATCGAGATGTAAACAAAAATGTCGACTTTATTGAAGTGTTCTGAAAACCAAAGTCTTTTTTTTCTCTTCCTGTATCATCTCTTCAGTCCTGGCTCCATTGCGGATTGCCTCCTGTGTTTGTCCCCGTCTGCCTAGATTTCGTCCGCATTGTATTTATCGCGAGTGGAACGAGAAGAGGAGGTAAAAGAGAATAGAACAGGGCCATGAAAGTCATTCCCCAAACACCCAATGTGACCATATACCCTCCAACACACCTTGCACCACTCATATTGTTCGATTCAAGAGACCCCGCCAAACAGAACGGTGTGGTCATAAGCCCTTTGTACTAATGTTGACTGCTAGAGAATCCCATACTATTCGTGCTGGCGACTCGTGTACGCCATGGGATCATGGACTCGCCTCGCTCACATGGTCCGCACCCTGCTTGAATTTTTGAGATCAAACGCAGGGGCGGGACCACCCAACGTCTGGGGGGACAAACTCGATGACCCCCAAACAAAGACAACAGTCAGACCCCCCTACGCGTATCACTGAAGCCCCTCCTATTCTCTGTTGCCTCTCTTCTCTTCCTCATATCCTCTTCTCCTCGCCACCTCCAACCGCAACACCCTCGAGTTGTGCAAGAATGCTGGACCAATGACCTATGACAACTCATAAGTCCGCCATGTTAAACTGCTCAAACAAACAAGTCCTCTGCATAGGACAAAGATGTAGACGCGTCAGGAATTGGATTGAATAAAAAGAAGGAAGGGGTCGTGTACGTTCCTTGTAGGTCTTGGGTCGCAGGCTCTTCGAGTGTCGTCGTTGGGCTCTAGAGCCCATTCTTCCATAGACTGTCAACGACTACTCCAGATAATAGTTCCAAGAGATGTAAATCCCATTTCCTGATTCGAGTGAGTCGCCGGAAGGGAATCAGTTGGCTGGTGGAAAACTGCGTGGGAACTAAAGAGGAAAGTTCACAAGATAAGGGACAAGGAGTTTAGAGGGGGAGAGAGATTCTTTTTTTTTTTTTAGAGGAGGAGAGAAAGAAAGCAAATGTGAAATCGACGTGTGGGATTGAAAACGAAATAAACAAACAAGCATGCAATATTTCTAATGGAAGAGAAATGGTGGCTGTTAGTTGGTGATTAACGTACCTTTTGGTGTTGCGATGACAGGCCGGGTTCCAGTTCCGGTTCCGTGCTTGATAGTTACAGGTAACTGAAGGTTGCTCATCCGTGACCAGGGCGACGACTGGGGGCGAGGTCCAGGGCACACATACATAGGCCTTCAGTCTAATGAGACTGAGAAAGGTGACGAAGAAAATGTCAGTAAACTGAAAGAGACGATCCGATACACACTACACATACACAGCAACCAAAGCAATCCTACATCCTCTCGCAACATTGACCAAAAGAAACCCAGTCAAAGGAATACAGGGTCATCTTCCTTTGATCCAACGTGTCTCGCTTCAGTAAACAAACTGTTTGATGCACCATATTCATGCTCACACCATGTACCGGCTTTGTGTACGCCAAGGACCCCATGGAACAACCGCCCCCCTCACATGGTCCTGCTTTGCCTGCACCTTTGACCAAACTCGAGAACAGAACAAGCAGAACCACTCAACGTGCGAGAGTCGTCTCCAAGGGTCGAGACACAGACATCAATTGTACCCTTCGTCACGATGGAATCATAGGATTTGCATCCTAGCCACCACTGCCACCCAACAAGCGCCTTGGTAAAGAAAGCCCTCTTGCTGAAGCTGTCTGAAAATGGTCAAGCGTATGAAGGCACCTTGGTAAGGTATAATGAACCCCTCAAGGTTGAGGGTATACGACGTGAATACTTCGTAGACAGCAAGTCTCGGATGACAATATTGAGAGAGACGAAGAAACAGTCATGGGAGATATGAAGGCAAAGAGAGAAGGGGACATATACTTTCCTTGGAGGGGTCTTGAGGGTCTCGGTGTCTTGGAGGGAAGGGGTAGACTCTCGATTCCGATGTTGACGTGGTCACTGGAGAAGAGCCATGAGGATGGGCAGAAGGGAAGGAAAGTGGTAAAGAAGCGAGCGGAAGGATGGCGAAGGGAACTCGTGGGAAAAAGGAAAAGAGAGAAGGAGAAAAGACGAAAGGGGAATGACCAGCTCGAGAAAGAAATAGAAATAAACAGAAAGCAAATATAAAAAGAGACAAAGGATACGTGCTTCTCAAAAAGCGAACAATGCGAACAATGCAAGGTGGAGCAACATCTGCCACTGGGTTAATCTATTGTTTGTTTTGTACAAAAAAAAAAAACAAAAAAAAAACAAACAAGCATGAACCGTGGGAAAAAAACATGTGAAAGCAGAGAATCAAAGCAACAGGGACAAAGTATCATTCATAAACAAGTATTCGCTGCTGAATTTATTGATGAGGAGGAGAGGAGGGATGGGCGGTGGGTGTTGCTCAAATTTAGGGCAACTCAGAGCTGGAGGCCACCTCATCCGTACTCCTTCAACCATACTAAATCCCCTTCCAATGGTATAGCATGCAGACCGAGGGAGGTGAGGGTGATATTCCGCAGGGTGTCATTCAATCTCATCTGGGAGTATACCGAGTCCCATGCTGCTCGGTGAACCGTTGGTTCACTTTCCATCAATAGCTGCTTCAATGGCTACTCCTTCGAGGACAAATACTTCCATCTTCTTTCTGGTGACCAGAATTGTCAGCATCAGATCTTGACAAGCCGCTAGGAGATGCTCCAGCCCGGAGGCGGTCGCCGACCGGTATGTTACTTCCAAATGACGGAGCGCAGGTGTAATGTGCTTGTCCGTCAAGATGTGGAGTTGCAGAAATTGCTCTTGACGTGATATGGAGATCTTGAGCAGGGTCAGTGCATAAAGGTGAGGCAAGGTCCGGCCAAAGTCCAAAAAGTTGAACCCTCTTCTTGCGATGATCAACTCTTGTGGTTCGGGACACGAGAATAAGGGAGACAAAGAAGTGGGCTCGACCGCGTGTTGGTTGTGGGTGAGTCCAAGGCGGCGAAGATGACCGCACATTCTCAGGATTCGCAGGTGCTGGCGGGGGGTGCGGAGACTCTCAAGCTTCCATGGATCAGGGTTTGATTGTCCAGAGATATGCGCTCCCGTTTCCTCCAAATACCACGAGCCAGCAAGGCCGAGTTTTCTCAGTCGCGTCAAGCGTGGGTACAACGAGTGCAAGTGAACAAGACCTTTACCCTGAAAGGGCATGAGGTCGAGGTCCAACTCCACCAGTGATGTGAGGTTGTCCTTGTTCAGCAGTGCATCCAGCACCACCCTCGTCACCCTAGTCATCCGCGACGACATTCTTAATGACTCGAGATTGGGGAGCTCCAAGACAAGACCAAACTCTATGTCTCTCATCCATACCGGAAGCGTCGACGTGTCCGTGGAATCCCACGCCAAATATCGGACTCAATGGGGGTTGAAGACCGTCTTCTTCAATCTCGGGTCGTGGATGTGATAGAAAAAAAGGCTATGTGTCCTCCATTGATGGTGACTGAGCGTCTCCCACAAAGATGGTGTAAAACATCCGTCTCCATCCCTTGCAAACACGAACACATGTCACCCTATCGTTCGCATTCAAGCGCACTGCTACTTCATATATAATCTCCAAAGGGACGAACTGAATTGGAGATGATGATGAAGTGAGCGCCAAGGTGGAACGAAGGGGACCGTGGAGGCGTCGATGTGGATGTAGAGTTGGAAGACGAGGCGACGGAAGATGAGCTCGGAGTAAACGTAGATGAGGAGGGTGGTATGCTGCTGGAGGTGACCTGTGCGACGGTGGAGACGGAGGTTGTGGAAGACGAGGTAAAAGCGTCTGAGGCTGTGGGGTGTTGGTCGGAAGCACTGGCGGGGTCATGGATAATGACGTTTCGAGGCAGTGGTGGGTGAGGGTGTCGGTGAGGATGATGACGAAATTGATGCGGAAGCAAGCTTCCGAAGTTGGGTGATATCATCTTTTTTGAAGCATTTTTGGATATGAAAGAAAACGAGGAAATATACGAAAGTGGGAGGAGGGAACTGGAAAGAAAGAGAAGGGATCTTTTATGATATTTCACTCTCTCTTGAGTAGGGGCTTGGCTACGATGACGAACCAAAAAAGGCGATCGCAAGAGTTACATGCCATTAAGCGAAAAGGAGATTGAAAAGCGTGGGAACGACACAAGAACACACACAACCATCATCACTAACTCAGTGAGGCAGAGAGGAAATATATAAACCAAAAGATGGCTCGCTCATTCTAAGTACCGCATGCAGAAACAGAAGAGACAGAATGAGTAAGATATGGTCGGAGTGGCCAAAGCGAGATGGCGGTCGCTGTTGCTTATCATGGGTACGACTCCAACATCTCTTTACTTTCTTCCTCCTCTCTCTCCTCTCTCTGGTTCGTTTACTCCGAATTGGTGGCAACATCACAAACCAGTCACTCGACTACCACTAATCAAAATGCAACTCGGCATTTACCCTCAGGCACAGACGCCTTTTCGTTCTTTACCTCCTCCTTCCTCGCGTCGAAGGATTCGTAACATTACCAGGACCAGGACACCCGTCTTCCTTACCCGCTCAGGAACCGCCTTCCTCTGCCTGCATCGTATCCAACGCTCGCCCGAGTCCTGGCCATCCCCGATGTCGACTTCGATCTGCACAGACTGAGGCTTCAGCGCCTTGAGGATCACAGAAAAGCTGTTTACATCCATCCTCAGGCGAAACCTAGCTTACAGGAGTACGGCGACAGACTGTTTCCGCTCACGGAGAAGGTTTTGGAGTTCTTGGCCAGTCAGCGACAGGTGTTTCTGGTGCTGGAGGATTCTGGACCGAATATCCTAAGAAATCCAAAAGGCTACGACTACAACCCAGCCACCTACACTCGGATACACGCAATACTTTCCATGGCACCCATACCCATGCGCACTATATCCTGTCCCGCCCAGTCTTTACCCGTTGTTGTATTTTTCATCCGTCATATCTTCACTTGTCGTCATGTCCCCACCTCTCATACCTCCATCCGTCATCTTACCCTCACCCGTCGTATCCTCACCAGTCGTGTCTCACCCGTCGTATCCTCAGCAGCCCGGTCAACAATCAGACATCCCGTACCGCGGTCCACATCCTAGTCCTCATTATCAGTCAAACCTATCCCAGCCAACAGACCAAATGTGAGCTCCATTGTTTCATATGGTGCCCACCATCCCAACCTCGCCTAGTCTTCCGGTCCAAGCACCAGCGCAGGAACTGCCATCAAATACGGTCACGTCTCCTCCCCCTCCTCCTCATTCACAAGACTTGCTGTCCTTGGCGTCTCTTTATCACCCACAAGATATTCTGCCTATCAGCTTAGGGTACAAAATACCCCCTGATAGAGGAGCGTTGATGGTACGCGCTGCGTGGGATGAGTTTCACGGCCCTCTCTCCCATCTAAGGAGTCAAGCCTGTCTTTCAAATGATCTGAAGACAAAAGAAGTGTATAGTCATCGACGCGAGTTTGTATTGTTGGCACAAGAAGCAGCAGAAAGAGAGAAACGCCCGGTGGAGGTTCTTGTCGACGAATGGACGGAAAAGTTAACAGGACAGACTATTAACTCTATTCGCGAGGAATTGAAGGCCCAGCAGAAAACAAAGTAGGATACTGAACGCATGCCTGCTTGCTAGCGTGCCACAATAAATATCAATCCTCAAAAGTCATACAAGGTGCAGTGCAATTGCAAAGCATGGAATACAGGTAAAGAGAGATAGGAGTAGGAAGGATCCATGCTGTATACGAATATCAATTAAGGCAAAGAAATAATAGTCCTTCGATATCACAAGAAATGTAACATGCCCCTTCAACGCACAATCCACACCCGCTCAATAATACTTGATTCGCTTCTTTTCATGGCATTTTGGTTATCAGTAATGGATCACCTAGACGCGCACCCTTTCATTTCGCGTCTGATGTCTGTTCATCCTCTGGTAACAACTATTCTATGAATGAACTTGTATGGTATCTGCGTAAGCGTCTCGCTCTCCAGCTCTTTCCTCCTTTGCTTCTCTGATTATGTGTTAACAATACCTTGTGAGTGTATTTCTCCCCACATGGGTATGAAAGAGGGTGGTCAATCGATGTAAGGCAGGAAAAGAAAATATGGCAAGGTAAACAGGTCCATGGACATCATGCATGATGGCGAAGACTTATGCGCATACCATGGGGCGTCTCTATATTTACTTTCTTTCTTCTGCTCCCTCCCTCCCTCTCTTTCCACTTTGCAACACTCACCTTTCACCCCTCATCACTACCCTCCATCTCCTTCATTCGTCTTCTTCACCGCCAGTCTCCTTTGCTCTCATTACACTCTACCTACATTCGCACCTGTTGGTCATTTCAACATCCTTCCATCGTCCTACTTTCTCTTTCTCCGTTCTCTACATCTCCTCGCTCAGTCAATCGTCATCCTGCGTGCTTGTCCGTCTTGTACCTAACAAGTGCCGAGCACCCCAACCTTGGAGAGGTACAATTCTCGTGTCACAATATCCCATACACTACGCTTATCACCGTTGAGCACCTCCTAACCTCTCTCTCCACCCTTCAACCACTTCGCCACTATGTCCGCCTAATAGCAATTTCCGGCTTCTCTACTCGACGCTCTCCCATCCAGCCAATACACAAAGCACCCCCCCCCCCCCCCCAAAAAAAAAAAAAAAAAAAAAAACGTCCTCACTAAGGACGAGATCGTATTGTGAGTACTTGGACAATCGTGTTTAAGTGCAAGAACTCTTCATATTCTGTTTAGCGCGTGCTAACTCTTTCCATCTGAAAATAACATGGTCATTTTCGTTTCCAGTCTCCAAGCATCTGCCCACAACGGACCAAGAGCGACAACAAAACAACAAAACGACAATCCCACTCCCTCTCTCTGTCAGCCCTCCTCGACAGGCAATAAACGATTCATCAGCCACGGTTTTTCAATGATCACTCTCGAGGATAACCTGGTTCCTTTGGACCTTGCAAGTGGCGAGGCTGGCGATGGTGTCGATAACAAGCCAGTCTCCTCCCAGCATGGACACAAGCGGCACAAACTCTCCAACAATATCGACATCGACCTTGCAGTCTCCATCAGCGAAGTCAAAAGCCCTGCCTCCTGTGCCCAGCCGTCAGTTCTGACGGCCATACCTCGCTTGGACGTTTTCTCACAAAATATCAAACCACCTGCCATCCTCATCACCCTGCCCGAGTTCGGTTCCCGCATTGACACCACTCCCCAACTTGCTTTGTGCATTGCCTTGCTCCCCAAGGTCGGCGATCCCCTCAACCAGCAAGAGGATCACTCGCAGATTTTGTCCTCTGGCACTACTGCCCAATGTGCCTGGATTAATTATATGAAGCAAGACCCCATTGAGCAAGAGCGTCTGCGTTGGCTAGGGGCTTGCATGGTGGATGAGTTTGCAAAGAACGCCTCCAAGGACTCGACCGAGATTGCGGAGATGGTACTTATTGGGCCAGTGCTCGACAGTGAGCACTTTCGCAGGATGCTGTCGTGTACCATTACGGCATTCGAGCAGGCTGTGTTTCTGGACGTTGATTTGCTTCAAGGTCTGGTGCAACTGGTCCATTCTGCTCCCTCCGACGCTCTACACCCTGTCGACCTGGTCAATATCCTCCGTGTACTCAGAATTCGTCTGCAGGACACACATCAGCAGTCGACAGTTCATCCTTTCCATCTCACGTTGGCTCTCTCGAGGCTGCTTGATGTTATGGCGGAGCACAAGGTCAAGGACTTGGATCGAGTTGAAGAGCACGAACCTCTGTCTGGGGTGTTGTCGGCTTTGAAGGCCAGTTCAGATCCCTACTTGATGTATCAGGCATGCTATGCGTTCCAAGCGCTGCAGTATGTGCCTAATAACGAGACTCCGCTGCAGGCCGTTCTCCGACATTCTACTGGGGTTGTGGAAGGACTCGTCAAGGTGTCGGCGGTATTTATGCTGGATTTGGGAGCAGTTCTCGAAGGACTCTGCAAGCTGCAGGAGACTCTCGGAGGTGTCGTTGAGGTTGCTGGTAGTGTCTATGATGGTGCCTGTTCGCTGATGGAGAGTGGCCGAGGCGTGCTTGAGAGCATGAAGGAGGGGTTCGGGTCAGGTCAGAAGCGTCCGTGGTACACCGCCGTCCGTGCCGCCTACGCCTTTGCTCAAGCTGGCCAACTCAAGGATCTCAACGTTCTCATCTATGAGGCACCCTGTCGTCGTGACCCCTTGTTCCAATGGGGTATCTGCCAGTTGCTGGGTGAGATCGCTTCCGAAAACATCTGGGATACCAGCGTCCGCCTGCAAGCCGTCGCTCTTCTTAGAGAGCTGTACATGAATGATCCTTTGTGGGGTCAGGATGAGAGCGTCAGGACTTGGATGCTAAACATCATCCGCCAACTCGGAACCACTACTGACCAGGTCGTCAGTACCAGTGCTCACACCTTGCTCAAGGACCTCGACCAGGACCAAGACACCGCCACCTGTCTTCCTTATCCGCTCAGGAGCCGTCTCCCTCTGCCTGTAACCTCCCCTACGCTCGCTCGCGTTCAGAATATCCCTCCTCTCGAATACGATCTCCACAAGTACAAAGTCCTGAGGTTGAGGCTGAGCCGCCTGTCGCTTTACATCCAGTCATTCGCCAAAACCAGCCTGAGGGCCAAGGATGAAGACACATTTCCTCTCCTGGAGAAAGTACAGGAGTTCTTGGCAAGCGAGCATCAAGTGATGTTGATCCTAGGTGACTCTGGATCCGGAAAATCGACATTCAATCGCCATCTCGAGCATCGACTCTGGACCGACTATAAGCAAGGCGGACCCATTCCATTGTTCATCAATCTTCCCGCCATCGACCGCCCCGACCAGGACATGATCGCCAAGCAGCTGAGGGCCAACAACTTTAGTGATGACCAGATTCAGGAGATGAAACAGCACCGCCAATTCATCCTCATCTGCGATGGCTACGACGAGAGTCAGCAATTGGTCAATCTGCACCAAACCAATATGCTGAACCAGCCAGGACAATGGAACACCAAGATGGTCATCAGCTGCCGCATCCAGTTCCTCGGACCCTCATATGCCGATCGCTTCAAGCCGCAGCCGACAGATCGCTACGCCTCTGGTTCAAAGGATCTATTCCAGGAAGCTGTCATTGCTCCATTCTCCAAGGACCAAATCAAAAAATATGTCCAGCTTTATGCGCAGGATCCACATACGGCACTGTTATTCCAGAACCAAGCTACGTGGTCGGCGAAGGAGTACATGGACAAGCTGATAACGATCCCCAATGTCAGGGACCTCGTCAAGAACCCGTTCCTTCTGACGCTTGCTCTCAAGGCTCTGCCTCGCCTGGTCGCCTCGAATAAAGTCCTGCCAAGCATTCGTGTCACCCGAGTCGGACTCTACGACATGTTTGTAGAGCAGTGGCTGGAGACGAATCGACTCCGCCTACAATCGAACACACTGAGCAGGAAAGAGCTGAAGGCATTCAACTCGCTGGTGGAGGGCGGCTTTATTGCGCGCGGGATCGACTACCTGCTGCGTCTGTCAGCGGCAATCTTTCAGAGGCAGGATGGAAACCCGGTCGTCCAGTATATCCATCAAGATGATAATGACTCCTGGAAGGCGGCGTTCTTTGGTATTGACCCCAAGGTCAAGCTGCTCCGCGAAGCCTGTCCATTTTTGCGCACCGGTAACCAATACCGCTTTATCCATCGCTCCATGCTCGAGTATTTCCTCTCCCGCGTCATCTACAACCCGGCCAAGGTTGACGAGCGGGATTTTGACTCATCAATTGAGACTGCATCCCCTGTCTCTCTTTCGTTCGACACCAATGGCCCTTTGTACCAGAGAAGCTTGCTTAAGGAGTCGTCGATTATCCAGTTCCTGTGCGACCGCGTGAGGCTCGACCCGGATTTTGAACAATACCTGCGCGCTGTCATCGACCAGTCCAAGACCAGTTCCAGTGCCACCATCGCTGCCACCAATGCCATCACGATCTTGATCAGAGCCGACGCTCTGTTCAACGGCGCAGATCTCCGTGGCATTAAGATCCCTGGCGCCGATCTTTCCTATGGCCAGTTCGACTCTGCACAGTTCCAAGGCGCTGACTTAAGGAGCGTCAATCTCTCGGGAAGTTGGTTGCGGCAGGCAGATTTGAGTCATGCACAGATGGAGGGCGTTCTGTTCGGAGAGCTGCCATACCCCAAGGTGGAAGGTTCCGTAGAAGGCTGTGCCTACTCGCCTGACGGAAGGATGCTTGGAGTGGCCTTAAAGGGTAAAGGCCTTGGCATCGGGATATACGACACCTCCACATGGGAACAAATTCATCTAATCACTGTCAGTCGCGGTGTCCAATCTGCTGCATTCTCGCCTGATAGTCGACAAATTGTATCTGAAGACACGTATGGAGTTGTTCAGTTGTGGGATTGCACAAGCGGCGAGGAGGTGTTAGGGGGGTACCCTTGGACACACTTATGGATGGACTCGTTAGTTATTAAGAAGCGCACTGATTGTGTAAGCTCATTGGCGTACTCGCCTTGCGGCAAAGGTATTGCCTCGGCCTACGACAAAACAGTGCAATTGTGGGGAGTTAACGGAGATCGCTCCTTTGTTTTGGAAGGCCACACTGACCAGGTCACGAACGTCAGATTTTCCCCAGATGGACGTCAGTTAGTATCAGGCAGTGGTGATGGAACGATTCGGCTTTGGGACTCAGGGACAGGAGAACCAGGAGTCGTCTTGCGTCCTTTGTTGGGGAAGATTCACAGTCTTGCCATTTCTCCAGACGGCCGATGGATCGCTTCCGGCCACGATGACGGCAATGTGCAGTTGTGGGATATGCACTCCGGTAGCCCAGGTCCTGTACTACAAGGCCACACCATGACTGTTACTAGAATCACATTCTCTTCGAACGGTCAATTGATCGCCACTACGAGCAACGACCGCAGGGTCATGTTATGGGGCGCATCCACAGGCGACCTTATTTCCACATTTGACGGTCACTGGCACTCTATATCTGACATTGCTTTCTCTCCGGATGGTCTTACCATTGCATCGGGATCTAATGACGGAATAGTGCGACTGTGGGAGGTGAACTCCGGTCGGTCCAGCATTGCGATACAAGATCAGATCGGTGACTCTTGTCTGGTGGCCTACTCTCCCGATGGCCTATCTGTACTCTCTATCGGTCTCGTACCTGTCCTCTCTAGGCATCGCCCTGGCGTTATCCGACAGGGGAATGCTAAGACAGGATCGCGCGGATCAGTGTCGTTTGAGCTTCCGGACCCAGAGATGATCAACTGCGTGGCGTTTTCGACGGACGACAATCAAGTCGCAACCGGGTGCGAGGATGGTTCAGTGCGATTGTGGGATCGCAGAACTGGCGTAGCTGGGCCAGTCTTGAATGGGCATTCGGGCGCGGTGAAGATTGTTGCTTATTCAACCTGTGGTCGCTGGATCGCCTCTTCCGACGGCAAGTGGACTGTACGATTGTGGGACCTCCATGACACGGAGAAGCAATACATTCTTGTCCACGCGAGCGGAGGCTATGACAACAAGATCAAAGACTTGAAGTTCTCACCAACAAGCCATGAACTTGCGGTCTGCTCGGGGAACGAAATAGTCTGGGTTTTCGATCCACAAACAAGAGAGCTCTTGATGTGCAAGTTGATGAAGTGGCCGATTTGGTCATTGGACTACTCGCCCAATAGTCAGCAGCTGGCTTTAGGCACTCGGAACTCGGTTGCCCTGTGGGACCGGCGGTCGAATGAGCCTAGTTTGGAGTTGTTCCCAGGTGCTAGTTTGGAGGGTCCGTTTAGTAGGAGCGTGACCGTCGCCTACTCGCCATGCGGTCAGTTTCTGGCATCCTCCACCGAGGACCACATTGTACATCTCTGGCACCGACATTCGGCCCAAGGGAATATCGAGAGCTGGTCTTGCGTAGTAACGCTTCGTGTGTTTTCTGAGCCTGTCGTAAGCCTGTCTTGGAATCCAGTTGTCCCGAAGGAGTTCATCACAGCCAGCCGTGATGGGTCTGTCCGAGTATGGCGAGTGTCGAGTAATGATGGGGCGGTTGTCGTCAAGATGCTCTGGGGCACTAATCTTAGGAGGCTTTGCTGTGCAGGTGTGGTTCTCAAAGGTGCGACTGGTCTGAGCCCGATCTACCGCAAGTTGTTGGCAGAGCGCCGTGCTTTTGATAAGGGCTTGTCTTTAGATGACGATGGATCTGATGGTGGGCTTGAAGACGACGGTGGGTTTGAGGATGAGCTTTACGATGGATTTGACGATGGGTCTAATGACTACGATGGATTTGACGATTTTCTTGAAGAAGACGATGGATTTGACAATGGGTCCGAAGACGACGATGGATCTGAAGATGGGTCTGAGGACGACGATGGGTCTGAAGATGAGGAGTAGCGGATGGACGTCGGCGCACCTGACAGAGCAAAGAAGGCGAGCAAAAACTTATACGTGATGATCTTGCCAAACATAGAAAGTGTTCCTGTATGTATTATTTCTTGAAAAGAACGGTCCGCATATCTGTTCTTTCTGCATTTTCCTATCTTTTTGTTCACGTTGTGATGTAAAAGCTGGGATGAAAAAAGGCGTGTGGTTGTTGGGTCATGGAACTCTTGACGCGTTCAGGCTCTCCTGTCACATTTTCTCTTCGTTCTCCTTCCTCTTGCACTTCAGACTCATGCGTGATGGTCAAAAGAAAATATAAGTTTGAAGCGACAACTGTCGTTACACATGATCCGGCTCTCACCAACCGCACATAAAAAACATCGCTCTCAACCGAAAGTCCAAAAAAAAAAAAAGACAGACGCCGTGTGTGAGATAGTCAGGGTTATGGGGCAAGGCAAACTGCTTACCTTACTAGATTGAAATGGTTACTGTTACACTAGTAGGGAGCAAGATAATACTCTGGTTGTTTTTATTGTGAAGTGGAAGCAAAGATGGAAGAATAAAGGGATAGGACCTTTGTTGGGCTTTTGTTCGCCCTTCCTTGCGACGAACAATCAAATATAGCAATCGTGTAAGTTTGCTCGATTTGATGAACTTTGGTACACATCTCCCTCCAGTTCATCCCCCCACATTCCAACATTTCTGACATTTTTCTTGTTGTATTTTCTCCTTTTTCTTTCCTCTCTCTACCCCGCACATTGATGTAACGGGTTCAGTGCTGATGGTTTTTCGTTGTTATTTTAACTTCCATTCTTCTACGAGTATGTGTCTCTCAATTATCGTTAAGAATAGTGAGAGAGCTTGTGAGGATCGCCCGTTATTTTTGTGTTTGTCATTTTCTTAATCTCTCCCTCTTCGAGTTTCCCTTTTTTTTTATCACCGCCCCCTCTGGTAGGAATAAAGACAAGGCGCCCCTTGTAATTTGACAGTCTCCTTGAGGGTCAGATAGGGTTACTATACGCAACTGAATGCGCAAATCGCCTCTCATTTTCACAGCCATTAACGCGGATGGTGACCACCATGGAAGAACCATAAATAAAAAGTGCATGGAGGTGGGCAAGAGGAAGAACCAAGGGACAGCAAGAAAAAAAGAAAAGAAGTCCCCCCTATGAGCAAAAATTGGCGGCAAAAATGTCAACACAGAAACAGCCTTCGCCCTCCACCACCTTAGCCTCTCAGCAACAAACTCTTGACAAGCCTTTCCAAGAGAAACATCACAAGCACAAGGGGAAAAAAAAGGCAAATGCTGTTGTTGAGGTTTTTTTGTTATTTGTTATATAATATATGAACTTTTTTTTTGATACTACAACAAAAATGAAAAAAAAGAGAATGCTACAAGTACAATGTGAGAGAGAAAAAATGATAATAGCGCAAGAACAAACTATTCAGCGGCCTTTTACTCGATGACTTCGATCTTGGCGCGCTTGCGACGGGGATCCATGTCCATGCCACCCATACCAGCAGCTCCAAGGGCATCACCAAAGTCGACAGGATGACCCAGCGTCATGGCAACATGATGATGACTGACCATCTGGGGGACACTTCCGTTGCTGCCAGGCTGACCCAATAAGGAACCCTCAGTCTTGATCGACATCAGTGTCATGGTTGGTCCTGTAGCTCCTGCAGGGTGGTGGTACAATGGCATATGCGAAGGAGGATGCAACGCATTTGCAAACTGTTGCTGCTGTTGTTGTTGTTGTTGTTGCTGTTGTTGCTGTTGGTGCTGTTGTTGCATCTGATGATGATGCTGCTGCTGTTGTTGTTGGTGGTGGTGATGTTGCTGTTGCTGCCCAAGAGGGTCCATGGGGCTACTGCTGCCGGGAGCAAAATTGTACATCATCGAGGCTCCAGATCCCGCTGTGGAAAAAGCGGAACCGGATCCATTGACGATAGGCATAGGAGACATCAGACCTGCGGAGGAAGAGGCCGAGGTTCCAGGCATCGACATGGCCATCGACGTATGCTGGGTCATCAGGTTCGACGATAGACTGCTGCGGTGGTGAGCGTTCATCATCTGCACATGGTGCTGATCCTGTAACGTCTGCTGCTGCTGCTGTTGCTGTAGAGGTCTCTGTTGCTGTTGTTGTTGATGAAGCTGATGTTGTTGTTGCTGCTGTTGGTGATGCTGCTGCTGTTGCTGCTGGAGCATCTGAGCAGCACTGGCCATGAACCCGTTCTGAGATGCTGCGATTCCGTTATCATCCTCGCCACCAGCACTACCGTTGGAAGAGGCCAGATCAGCACCGTTGACGCCGTTCAGGATCAACATGCCTCCCATGCCCATCTGGAGACCCATGCTCACGGTCTCGGTACCGTTTCCGTTGTTTCCGACCGGCTTTTCGTTACTATTTACAAGTTGGATCCCGCCGGTCTGATAAAGATCCATGCTATCGTTTCCTCCAGCCCCGCCATTCGCATTGACATCACCTGCACCAGAGTGGTACAAGATCTGTAACCGCGTCGTCTCGTCCTGACCCTCCACAGCCCCCGATCCCGATCCTGAACCAGCTCCAGCTGCTGAGGAGGATGACGGAGGGATGGACAGGAGTCCGGTGCCCAACTTGAGATACCTCAGATGTTGGCAATGCTTCTCCAATATGTTCAACAGACCGGCCTTGGAAAAGGGTTTGGCCAGAATATCGTTCATTCCGTTGGCAAAGTAGGTCATGATATCGTTGTTGGTGGTGTTGGAGGTCATACTGATAATGGGCGTCATGGCATCAAACTGTCGAATCTGTGTCGTTGCTGAAACTCCATCCAGCTTGGGCATCACAATATCCTAAATGATGTGCGTAAGCAATTGGATAGGGGTTTGCAGTAAAGAAAATTAATTAGCATTAATTACATGCATGCGTGCGTGCACTGTTGTCTCCTGCCTTTGTTGACTCTCTCTCTCCTTAAAGATAATAACAAACAACATACCATGAGGACAATGTCGTATTTCTGATGGGTCATCTTTCCGACAGCGGCCATGCCGTCTTCGGCAACATCAAAGGGACATCCAAAGATCTGCAAGAGCCTTGAGCTCAGTCGTCGGCAGGTATCGTCATCATCGACAAGCAAGACCTTGGGTGGCATGGCCCAGCTGGGGATGACCATATTTGAGCGCTGGAGCGTCAGACTGTTGTCGTTCGAAATAACATCTGAGATATACTGTTGTTGTTGCTGCTGCTGTTCCTCCTTTTGCTGCTGTATCCGTTGCTCCTGTTGCTGTTTCTGTGCCAAGGCGCGCTGCTGTTTGGCGGTAGGTTTCGTGGCTGGCTTGGAGGTGGGCTGCTTTCCAACAGCGTCGCCTTGCTTCTTGGTCGTCAATTGGCTCAAAGGGAAGGCGGGGAGTCCCAGGCTAGGATCTTGGCATATACTCGGGTGCTGGAAAGTATCTTGGCCAAAAGTAGAAGACTTTGGTGCAAAGGGAAGTGTGGAAGTAGTCGTTGCTGCTATTGTTGACGAGGAGTTGGTAGTCGAAGGTATAGAGGAGTTCGTTGCAGTGGATATGGCGATGAGAGGGAGGTTGGAGGATGTTGTAGGAGGATGCATAGAGTGCAGTTGTGGTGGGGAACATGACGAGGAGGATGTGGAGGACTGGGGTGGCGAGTTGAAGGCGGTCTGTTGCTCTTGGATGGCAGTCTCCTGTTGTGATGCACGCTTGGTGCCCTTGCGCGGTTGAGGTTGTTGCTTCTGCTGCTGGGTAGGACTAGAGGTGGGACTGGCCGTCAGTGATGATAATTTAGAGTCGACTCCAGCGTGGGACAAGTTTCTGACTAAGGTACCGTCACCTGGTAGATGGAACAAGAGTAAGCACAGCAAAGGTACGGGTGAAACGTCAGTTAGTACTTTGCAGCGGATAAAATAAAATAGCACGAGGGCTGAGGGCCGACAGAAAAGCAGGGCTGCATTCTCTAGAAGAATGAGAAGGTATAAAAAAAGGAGAAACATCGCCGCACAAGCAACAAAAAAATGCGACAAGAAGGTAAGGAGCATATGTACGAAAGTATGTATTTCGTAAACAGTACCTGAGGTAGAGTACCCGAGCAGCCCCAGGAGCTGGTGGATCAATTGGTCTTGCGCCTTGAGCTTGGCTTCGCATTGCGCGAGCTCTGCTTGCATCTTTGTTTGGATCTTGAGCATGTCGTCCAGTTGCATCTGGCACTCTTCTGACGTGGCCGCCTGGTGGTCGGGGGAAGAGCCAGAGGGTATCGACAGTTTCTTGTTGGTGGGTGTCTTGCGCTAAACAAATTAACAGAATAATTCGCAATATAAAAACCATATTAGTACCTTGAAGGGCGATGGAAGCACAGGGGTCGACAAGGGCCGTGTGAATGAGCCCCACGGGGTACAAAGGTGTATTGTCTTTTGCTCAGCTTTACGCCCTGGTTAATGTCGCTGTTTATAGCTGTATTTTTTACCTTGATGTTTTCCAGCAGATCTCGTTTGTCAACCTGAAACTTTGGGTGCTGAAACTCCCATGCCTAAATCAATGCATGGTTCAGTGAAAAAGCAAGGTCGCAGAACGGTCAGGTTAACAACAGATAAAAGGTTCATTTTTCAAACGCAAAAGGTGAACGACGGGAACGGGAGGTATGAAGAAGGTGGAGAGGGTAAGGAGAGGGTACCTGGTCGCCGTAGGGTCGGGCAGCGTCCTCGGTGGTTTTGATCTTGTGAAAGTCGTATTTGTTGAGTTGACGAACAAAGGAAGCAAAGTTGTTGTGCTTGAAGTGCTTGGGGAGGATGGCCTTGGCAAACTCGTTGGGCTCCTTGACGACAAAGGTCTCGCCGGACTTTCCCCAAGAGACAATAGGGTCGTGTTCTTTTTCTTCGAGCATCCGGTAGAGCTTCTTGACAAAGTCAGGCACACCACCACTGCTACTGCCCGTTGCTGTTGTAGCGGCAACTGGATCCTGGAAGGAGTCGTCTGTGAGCATCAGAGTCGAAGTTTGGTCTGCCATGAGGACGTCTGTTGAGCTAGCCATTTTTGAAATGGTTGTTCCTGCCGTTGCTGTTTTGGTTGTGGTTGGAGTGGGGTTTTCCGAAGAGGAGGATGGCCGATCGACCAAAGGACGCTTCTTGGTCCGCTTCTTGTCTGTGACCGTCAGGGTGGGCAGGGAGAACACACGGGGTAACAAAGGTGGTTGTAAAGAAAGAAGGAGCGAAAGTGAGGAGAAGGAAGGGCGAGGGAAGGCGGTTGCTCACAGTGTTGTTATTTGCTGTAGTTGTTTGTTTAGTGCAATGGGATGTGGAGGAGACTAGAGGAGTGCTTCGTGACGATTATTTTTTTTGTGTAGCGTGTGAGATGTGGTGAATAGAGGAAGGAAGGTTGGGAGGGGACACAAAGGGGAAGAAGACAAAGGATCTATTCAATCCAGCGTTTGAGAAGTTCACAAGGGAGTGCAGAGTGGAGAGGTATGGAAAGATTGGCGAAGTGGGTAAGAAGGGAGAGAGAGTAGAGAGGGTGAGAGTGAGAGTGAGAGTGAGAGTGAGAGTGAGAGAAAGAGGAGAGAGAAGAGTGGTGAGTGTCTGAGTGAAGCGAATGAACGAATAGCAACATCATAAAACAACGTGTGAGCGTGCAATTGATAGACCGTGTTTGTTCTTTTCATCCTCTTTTTTGCATTGCATAGCAGCGAATAAGAATAAGAAAGCAATAGGATATGCAGCCAGCTGGCTGGGGAGAGAGAGTGTGTGTGTATGTATAGGGAAATGGACAGGAGCGAGTCGGACCAGTCAGAACGCATCGGGTCTGTTTCCCCTCTTGACCCTGTTGAAAGCCAGACAGGACCAGTGTGTGTGCACCCTCTCTTCCAACCAGTGAGAACGAGGGCCACGCATGAAATGTGGCGGAGTCGTAATCATACAAAGAGAGAGGGAAAGAAAAAAGTATATGGAAAAGGCGACACACACGTTCGCCCGCTGGGCTGGTAACTCGTCTTCTTGGTACACTTTGTTGTCGTTGTATGGGAGAGAAGAGGGAGGAGGTGAGGGAAGAGGTAAATGAGTTTCGCCACCGTTGTATACCTTTTTGATAGGGGATCAAGAGGGAGGGAGTAAGATTGTCGTGGGAAACAAGTGTCAGGTCGGAGTGAGGAGTCTTTGGTGTGTAAGAGAGGGTGTGAGAGTAGGAGGAGATGCAAGTAAAGAGAACGAGAGTGCGGATGAGTGTGTGTGGTTTGGGGGAGTGAGTGATGGAGAGAAAGAGAGGAATGAGGATGAAGGATGAAGAGCGAGAGAGCAAAGAGTAAAGAGAAGAGAAGAGAAGAGGAGAAAAGAGTAAAAGGTGAAAGTGAGAGAAAGAAGAGAGAATAGGAGAGGGTCGGAGGGACAACGGACAAAGGAGGATTTTGATAGAGAAGAGAGAGACACAAACACACAAACACACATGCACATATGTCGTCTTACTCTGTTCTTGGCCACTCACCAGCCCTGTCGCCAATACAGCAAGTACCACATGAGAGGTGTCGCCGGAAAGGAAACAGGGCACCGCAAAGGATGGGGACCATTTACTCTAATCTGTCCGCACCCATTGTCCCTCTCCTTCCAATGCCCATGCCAATGCCCATGCCAATCATCCGCGGGGAAAGGAGGAGAGTGTGCACTGCACACATTACACATCACACATCACACATCACACATCGCATCTTTCTCTCTCACTTCCTTGGGCAACATGTTCGTCGCCGTTGCTTCGTCTTGCTTTCTTCCCAGGTGGTAATATAGGCTACTGTACTCTTTGTTTGCTTGCTTGTTGTTGCAAAGAATGAATTAGAGTAACATCCAAGTTCAATTCAGTCCCCTCCTTCCCTGCTGCCGCGCCGCTCACTTTTTTTTTTCTTTCATTTCGCAAACTACAAACATGCACACCACAAACAATCGAGCAACACCACCAACCACAAAGAGAAAAAAAAAAAAAAAAAAGATGGTTGGCCTGGGAACTCGTTGTTTTTCTTCAATTCAATTGGGAAGGACAACAAAGAGTAACAACAACCCCATTTTATTCTTACATCGTTCAATCCATCCCTTTCTTACTTTCTTTCCTGGACCCTTGCAATATTCTGGGATCTGGTGCCTACCTACATGACCCTCATTTTGCTATACTCGTGCCATTCTCATTTCTCTCTTCAGCCAACAGCCAAGATAACCAAGAATACACACCCTTTACAATTCACCAACAGCAGACAGTTTCGTTCCACGCTCACCACCGTTTGAACTGTGCCTCCGTTGTAACAGAAAATGGGTTTCTCTTTCCTCAAAAGCAAACGTACTGCTGTACGCATACATCATAGCCATCTCTCTTTTAACCTTTTCACTAGCTCCAAAAATCATAACCGCACTAACAAAAAAGAATGGAGTGCGAAACTGATAGAGAGAGAGACACAGAACCAAGCGAAAAGCAAAGGACAACGCCCAATGCTGACGATGGATACTCACAAAATAAACACAACATTTTTTGCGTTGCATCAAGTTTGCTTTGTCTTATTGTTCCCTGCTCGGGCGCCTCTTTCCCTTTTCAATCAGGCTACCCGTTTGTTGTTTATGTCTTTTGACTTGCATGCTTGTTTGTTTTCCTTTGTTCTTCTTGGGAGACTGAACGAGAGCAATCAAAGAGAGATGTGCACTATAACTCATAACTCAGACAGAGGGTTGCGTGGAGGGGGGTCTTCACTCCCAAATGAACATGATGTTGTTGTTGATGATGTGCGCTCACTTTGCGCTTTGCGTTTTTTCTTTTTGCTTGCGCCTTCTCACATTTCGCGGTTGGGTTCGCTCGTGGAGATGATACATGTAGATTTGTATTTCTTGCCAGTCTGTCTACTCTTGTGCTACTGTGCACCGCACCATGCTCACCTCTCGTTCTCGCATGACTTTTGTTGTTTATCTCCACTTCTTGAACACCCCCAGTATCGGTGTTTTTTTCTTTGGATCAACATCTCATCCTTTTGGCCACTGCAAAGTACAAAAAAGAGGTACTGCACAGAGCTACAGGGTGAAAGAAGTAGCCCACTTGGTTGCTTGCTTGTTTGTTTTCCTATTCCTCTTCTTCCTCCTTCACTGAGTTGCTTATTTGTTTGTCTAGAGGAGTGCTGCTCGAAATAGGCTCACAAAGCGAGTAGGTTGTTCTCTTTTCATTCATCACCTCCTCCTCCTACTCTCTTCTACCGTCGTTCTCTACCCAACATCTTTCCCTTTACTTCCCTATCCCCTGCCCTTCCTTCCTCGAATTGCAATAACCAAAAATCTCATTCGGATTCCCTAATCCTTTTTGCTTTCTCTTCCGTCCACCCCCTGGTACATATCCTACTAGAAGAGTAAAAAAGTAAGACAACCTTCATCTCTTTTCCCTTCCTCTTTCTTTGTTACCTTTTACCAATCTCTGTGGTCGAAGAAGGAAGGGAATAGAGTAGTCTACCTAGAGGAAGTAATTGAATATGCAATAAGCGAAGCAATCATTTAAAGGGGAGGGGTTCTTCTCTCCCCTCTTGACAAACAAAAAATAAATAAAGATGGACCTTTGTCTGTCCCTGTCCACAAGGTAAAGGAAAAAAAAAAAGAAAGAGAAAAGAAATCTGTGCGATATGATTGGTCCGTCGCCGTTCAAGACCTTGACCCACCACCACCACCCACCGTTCACCGTGAAGTGTTCAGTGCTGAATCTGAGGGTTTTTTGAACAGAAACAAAGGACACGTTCACACACGGCTCTCATGTCAACATGCTTTGATATTCATTGAACTCAGACAATGGACAATTCAAGAGCAAACCTAACGCAGATACTTTCACTACAACTGCTTTTTGCTAGGTTTTGGCTTTTTTTTTTTTTTTTACGTTTGTTCTTGGAAGAGAAAAAAAAACGAGGGGTTAAAAAATGGCAAGAACAAAGTGGTGCTAAGTTGGTTGGCTGGTAGAGGTGGGCAAAAGGTGGGCGAGTAGGCTGATGATAAAAATAAAGGAGACATTGGGAGAGAACACTGCATAGGCAAATCAACAAAAAAAAAAAAAAAAAAAAGGAGGAAGACAATGCAAGTCATCGCATCGCATTGCATCTGCATCACTTTCGCGCACATCGCAACCATATGATCTCTCTTCCTTCCTCCTTCCGTTCTTTATTCCTTCTTCTTTCTTCTTTCTTCTTTCTTCTTCTTCCTTCCTCGCAATGTACTCCCCCCTTGCTGCTACTGCTATCTCTCCCTTTGTTTCGGTCCACGCACCGGGAGAAAGAAGGAGAATGAGAAAAAAAAAGGGCTACAAAACTTAAAAACTAAACAACGCATTCCTCGCTCGCCCTTGATCGCACTTTTTTTTTTTTGGTTGAGATGTACCCTTTTCTTCCTGCTTTGCCTTCACCTCTCGCTCTTCCTCTTTGCTCTCTCGTTCGTCGTTGATAGGAAGAAAAAAAAATGGCGACAAATTAACACAAACAACGAAAATTGAGCGGCAAAAAATAATGACAGAAGGTAGATAGGGCAAGGAGTCGACAGTTGAAGGAGGAAAGATGGCGAGTGGGATGTAGGAAGCGTAGGAGTTTTGTTCCCGTTCATTTGTTCATTACCCATGAGAAGGTACGCTCATAAACTCTTTTTCTATCTTGCCATCCTTCTCTTGACACGACAACTTCATTTTGGTTGGTCGGTCGGTCGCCTTACTTTGGTTCTGCTGGTTTGGTTTTTGGTTGTGTGTGTGTTGTGTTGATTGCAAATAGAAAGAGCTGCTGCTGGGTTGGTTGATGAACGTGTGAGCGTGAACTGAGCTCGCAACCTGTCAGTCAATAACAAACAATGGTGGTTCGTCTTGCCCTCGTACTTTGTTGGTACCTGAATGTATCTGTCAACCAAAAAATCTCCGGTGAATTAGCAAAGAAAAGGAGGATCGGATCAATTGGCCACATCTCTCTGGAAAGGGAAATGAAGGTACTCTTATCCTCGTAAAGAAGAACAAAGCGGCCTTCTCTCCCTACTTTTTATGTCCTTCCTTCTTGTTTACTAT